ACAAGCGGACGGTCGGACCCGGCACGAGCAACATATGACGACCCAAACTCTCGAAGTCGAAAAGCGGCATCTCAACATCTTATGCAAGAACCTGTTCAAAGACCGAGTAGCAATAGGGATCACAGACAGACCGTGACGACTACGATGCCTGTTAGATCTCCTACGAACGCTTCCTCGAAGCAACCGTCTCGGGAAGCTAGTGAAGTACTTAATCGTGTCATCGTGTCTCAGCCCGAGGATGACATTGAGAGGGAACAAGAGCGCCTGAGCGAGGCCCAAGCCCAGTCCGGACGCCGAGTTACCGATGAGGATAGCCAAGCGGTTGTGGCCGCAAATGATACACCCGAAGAAACCCGCCGTGGCGGTCGAAGTCGCCATGACCATTCTAAGCGCGAAAAGGGATCGAAATTTGGAGATTATTATTTAGGAAATGTTATCGGAGAAGGTGAATTTGGCAAAGTGAAACTCGGCTGGAAGCAAGATGGAGGCGTTCAAGTAAGTTAAGTTTTCATTCTTTGAAAAGTACAAACTAATATATATTCTTAGGTCGCTATTAAACTTATACGACGAGATAGCGTGGGAAACAACCCGTCCCGGCTAGCGAAGATATATCGAGAAGTGGCTATTTTACGTGGGATCTCGCATCCTAATATCGTTAGATTACATGAGATGTCTGAGACGGAGCGCCATATCGGAATAGTCCTCGAGTACGCTTCTGGTGGCGAGCTCTTCGACTACATCCTCAACCACAGATTTTTAAAGGATGGCCCTGCTCGGAGGCTCTTTGCCCAACTTATATCGGGAGTCGGATATCTTCACAAGAAAGGAATCGTTCATCGAGATTTGAAGTTGGAGAATCTACTTCTTGACCGAAACCGTAATATTATCATTACCGACTTCGGGTTTGCTAATACTTTCGACCCAGCGGATGAACTGACAGAAGATGAAGAGTTGAATCTATCCGACCGTGATTTTGTTAAGCGCATTGGTCTAGATAAGACAAAACCGAACGGAACGCGTAGAGGCGATCTGATGCAAACAAGTTGCGGAAGTCCCTGTTACGCAGCACCCGAACTAGTTGTTAGCGACTCGCTTTATACGGGCCGGAAAGTCGACGTATGGAGCTGTGGAGTTATCTTGGTAAGTTGAAGCTATTTCACATGCGACTTGTTGGTGTCTCTTTATTTGCTTACCATGTTTAGTATGCCATGCTCGCAGGATATTTACCATTTGATGACGATCCCGCCAATCCCGAGGGTGATAACATCAATCTTCTCTATAAGTACATCGTAAATACTCCGCTCACCTTCCCGGAATATGTTACTCCTCACGCGCGAGACCTGTTACGCCGCATACTTGTTCCAAGCCCGCGAAAGCGCGCAGACCTATTCGAGGTGGCTCGGCATAGTTGGCTGAGTGAATATGCGCACGTTGTTGAATTCATTACCAGTAGTACAACTACAAGCAGCGAGATTCAAAACACAACTGTACCGACTGAGGATGAGGATGCTGGAAATTTGGCAAGGAGCGCATCTGTTAGAGAAGCGACAAAAACTAAACCATCTAATAATGCAGCTCCAAGTGATCCGGCGCGTAACCAGGGCAAAGCCGACGCAGAAGAGCAAACGTACGGCAAGCAGAAGGATAATAAGCGACGAACTGTACAAGTGGAGTATGTGGCTCCTGTAACCCAGACACAAAGAGGAGGTGAACAGTCGGATATCCATGCGTCACCGCGCGGAAAGACTCGGGCTCGGTCTTCCAGCCAAGGTCCAGTCGAGGTACATTCTTCACCTACCGACAAACCTCTACCAAGAGATCCGCCAGTCTCGAGGGACGACTACGCTACACCGTCTCAAAACTCTCGAAAACCGCCGAGCACGCACCGGCGAGACGCGCCACCCTCGAGAACGAATATACCCCGTACCACGTCCGATCATGCTTATATGAGCACTGCTGCTGCTGGCACATCGGCTACGAGGCCTACTACTGGAGGCTCGATGCAATCGACAGCCTCTAGACTAGCCTCATCTACACGAGGATCGTACGGTCAACCACTACCCCCAGCCGTTGCCGGTACTAACGTTCATGGAAGCATACAACAACCTAAAGGTTCCAAGAACTACGTTATCTCGAACCCGATCCCTCAAGAGGCGCCCGATTCGGATTTTGGTCGACCCAGCATCAGCGTGCCTTCGAAATTCGCGCAGGTTTCAGGCTTTACTCAAGGACAGCAGCAGGGCGAAGCCAAAGGTCACCGTAGATCTAACACTATCGGCGAAATCGGAGGTAAGATCTTCGGTCGCAGTGGATCGATCTTTGGAGGTCGTAAGAAGCGCCCGGATCAAGGGGACAAACCATCTAGAAAGTATCCCCCGATCAGTATGTCTAACGCGGTGCCTGGCGACTCGAGGACTTCTATGGAATCCCGTGCTTCTCGGAGATCATTTTCTTTAGGACTCGGTAGGAAGCGAAGTGGTAGTATCTCGGGGTCTCAAGCGTCACTCGAGAAACCGCAGAACCGCCGTTTCTCCCTAATGAGGGCGATGGGCTTAAGCAAGGAACCTTCGACGCCGCCCCCTGAGGCTTCGCAGCAAGATCTACCGATCCAAGAGCCTCCTGAGGTCGACGAATATAACCAATATGCTGATCCACAACACGGCTACGCCAACACAGGACAACGATACGGAGATGGAACATATGAGCCTTTACAATCACCACGGTCAGAGTCGGTTCGAGGAGACCCGAATGCTAGCCCTGTTCAATCTCGATTCCCGTCTAATACAAGGCCTACGGCAATTCCTTCCTATCTGCAGCAGGGTGCGGTCCTAAATTCAGAGTCTGAATCGTCAATTGAACAACCACAGCGAAAGCCGCAGCATCCCTCCCCCTACCAGGTCGGTTACGACTCCGACCAATATGATGGGCGCCAGGGTGCGCGTGGAAGTGGAAGAGGAGTCTTGCAGAAGAATAGGAGATTTGTGGACGCCTACGACGGCGAGGAGTACGGAAGACCTCACGACCATGCTGGCAGTAGCGGCGCGGCGAAGAGAGTGATGGACTTCTTTAGGAGGCGGGGCCGAGCACGAGGAGGCGAACCTTAAGAGTCTTTGGGCATTTTCAAATAGGATGCGCCTAGTCACTAAGAGAAGTCTATTGTCGACTCGAACAGAGGACTTTGGAAGTGTGCTAGCGCGCCTAGACGACATCAAAATTGCTTCTGAAATCTTTGGAATGCTAATGATACCTTGTTTTTCGCCAATGCCTATATCCTACGTTACCTACCTAACCTTGTAATACGAGAGACGCTACCTTTTTCAGAAACCAATCTTAATATTCTATCCGTCGAGACATGACATAGATCGCGGACCGCTAGGAAAGACAGGAGGAGCCTGCGAGTGACCCCTCAGGTGTAGTTGGCAACCAGCCTCACAAATTTGGAAGACAGATGACACCGCGAGGGACTGATATTTGACGATTCGGAGCCTTACTATACCACACATTCCCACTCCTCTCTACTCGGCAAGAGCAAGCAAGCAAGCAAACACACACGCATACGTGCATACACAACTACACACAAATCATAATCATGGGCTGGGAGTTGGACGGCGTGCGTACCTTATGTATGTAGATGGGGGGGGGGTCTCCCGGTTTTTATGTTGAGCGCGCTTCTTCGCAGTCGTTCGTACACTCGCAGCAGCAAAGCTGCAGAGTATCTTTTTCATCTATTAGCATCTGAATCAGACGGTTCCTGTCTAGCACATTGCGCGATGCGTGTCTAAGTGACGTGACATAAAGCTTGATTTCAATGCTTCGAGGTATACTGTAGAGGAAGAGTGTGTGTGATGTGAACGCGAGATAATTGGAAATCGAAAAAGAGGAAAGTAAGAGTAAGTTGAGCACTGAGGATAAATTGTATAAATTTGTAACTTGTAATCATAATGCGGTCCGTGGTCTCGGTCTCGGCGTCTTTGCGTATCGGATATATATTTCCCTTATAGATTAAGATATTCATTGCGAAGGCTTTTCCAAGTTTCTAATCTCTTCGGAGGTCTTGTTTTTTAATACTACGAGGAAAGAGATAGGCAGTTCCCATTCCACAGATGAGGTTCTATTGTAGTGGTAATTTTTAGTTAGAAAATTGCGATTGTTAAGGCTAGTGGTATAACCGCTACTCAATTATATGCTACTATTATGAATAGATATCTCATCCAGGCGCATCCCCCTTAAAGATAATAACGATCTTGATTTATCAGCCTCTGTCTCTCTCCTTTCCCTCGCCTACCCTTTTCAATGTTAAACTTACCAGGTAGGAAAATGACCATAGTTAAAAGTAACTCGGTGGTTTTTCTATGTTTGTCTAGGTTGCTCAGACATCTATATCTAGGACAAGAGTTTTAGCTAGCTACCTACCTACCTAGTTATATTAATACCTTATTCTTGGGCCTCAACAAAGTCGTGTTCACAGATAATTCTAATATTATATTTTTGCATTGACGTGGCCTATATGACTACCAATAAAATGACCTTGACTAAATAGCCTTAGGTAGTCATCCTATCTTGGCTTGACGATGACTTGTTCTTTTGCAAGTGTCATTCATTTTTGTTGCTTGATTCGTTGATATGTACATTATGTGTATGTAAAGACTCGTAATGAAAATAGTTTTGTTTCCCTCATAAATTCTTTATGATACATTAGATATGCATGTAATGATATATAACTGCGGGGCAATAACAACTCACCTTTTGTCAGGCAGCATCTCAACTTCGCGCTCAGTGATTCAGTGGCGCGCACGTTTCGTCAGCAACGACACAGACCGTGATTTCTAGAAGTTTATTTAAATAGCTTACGTTATGGCCTCCTTGCCTTGTAGCCTTGGAGATGGTTGAGCTGTTGAGTCCTCTTACTTTTTTACTTTTTAATCTTCTAAATCATATCGAGTTTTCTTTTCAATCTTTCTAACTCTTTCACCTATTTTCAATCAACTTCATTATACAAAATGAACGAGATTGATCCTCTAATTTTCTCATATTCCCATTTAAGGGGGTTTCCTCGTGAGAAGGATGCCTTGCATACTCTGAAGAAAGTAGCTTCCTTGGTGAAGCCTCTTATGAGAGCGAGGGAATGGACGGTTGGCGAACTAGCCGAGTTCTACCCAGATGAACACAACCTCCTCGGTAAGTTGAAGCAGCAAGACTACCGCTATATCCCTAAAATACTAATATTGTAACTGGCAGGCTTAAATGTAGATAGTGGACGACAGGTTTGTCTTCGACTTCGATATGCCACCGATCGCACCCAGTTTCTCCCTCTCGAACAAGTGGTTGATACAATGCTTCACGAGCTTGCACATAATGACCATGGCCCGCATAACTCCAAATTCCATGCGCTATGGAACCAGCTACGGGATGAGCACGAAGCGCTCCTGATGAAAGGATATAGCGGCGAGGGGTTCTTATCGGCAGGACAGCGACTCGGCGGAAGAAGGATACCTCCAGAGGAAGCTCGTAGACTGGCTCGAGTAGCTGCTGAAAATCGTCGTACTATCAACGCTGGATCGGGACAAATACTGGGTGGGGTTGGCCCTCGACCAGGGCAGGATATTAGAAGAGTAATTGTCGATGCGATCGATCGTCGTAGTAATACGCTCGAAGGCTGCGCGAACGACAACCAGACTCGAGATGATATTCGGAGGATCGCTGACACGGCTACTAGAAACGGTTTCAGGACGCAGGCTGAAGAAGATGCGGCAAACGAGGCGGCGATAGCTCAAGCATTGTGGGAGTTTGTGGACAAGGAAGAAAGGGTCCAAAAAGGCGACAGTTACATTCCACCTAGTTCTAGTAGACAAACTTGGACTTATGGCGGTGCTTCCGATGCACCAAGAGCTCCTCCTCGCGAAGCTAATCGCAACGTGGACAGAGGAGCTTGGAGAGTTACGTGGACTTGTGATATTTGTACCCTTGAGAACCAAGCTAGTTTCTTGTGTTGCGATGCGTGTGGTACCGAACGGGATGAGAAGACTACCCAGGACCTCGCACAAAGATTGTCGAATCAACAACGAACGGTTATTGACCTTACCGAGTCCTCGCCACCAAGAAATCGGAATACACAACCCTTTAGACCAGGTTCAGGTTCGAGTTCAAGACCGACCGCTAGACCGGCTGTGGTGTCGTCCCACTCTACGATTCCTGCAAAATCGGCGACCTGGACATGCTTATTCTGTGGGCGAGTTAGAGAGCGGCAGTGGTGGTCTTGCGACCGGTGTGGAACTATCAAGCAAACATCGTGACAGAGAATTGTGATAGAACATCCGATAGGGGATTGTTGTCTCTGTAGAATTTCTGATACCATTTGGCTTTGAAAGACATGTTTGTTTGCTCTATGATAAGGGAGAGCTTAGTTTAGTTTAGTCTAATTATGTTGCTTTAGGAAATACATGTAACTAGTTGTTCTAAATTCTAATGAATGACATCACGAACTTAATTAATCTTAATTGTATTTTCACATGTTACACAGCCTCGATGGAATGGAGTTAATTAATTTATAGCCATCACGAATTTTAGAATATTCATCTTCATCTAATAAACTTAATTTAGTTAGTTCGACCGGATATAGAAGTGGAGAAGAATCTTTTACGCTTGCGGTAATTGATTATGATTATGATATGTGAAGCTATGATATCATTACACTTGACTTGACTTTTAGGTAATGTCAAGTATGTAACTATTGATTGATATCTGATAGAATTTACCTAAGCAAGGTACTTATAGCTTATAAGCCACAACGACGCAACATGACCTGGCAGCTCGAAAGATGACGGATACACGATGCGGTGTAAATACTACCTTGCTTACTATTATATATTTACATAATGTTTCAGAACAAGGCAAACCGCTGATCCCATATAAGGCTGGACGACCCCAACAGCCGCATGCCCATCGGTACCTTCAATGGTGTGAAGCACTTCTCGGAAGTTTATCATCCCACGACGTCATTCTGGGGTCGGGTCCCGCGTGGCGTAGGCCGCCGTTGCAACTGTTGATCGATCTAGGTACGCCAAGCTAAGTACCAAAGTACTCAAGGTAAGTTTAAAACGAATAGTTAACTAAAAAAATAATTCTAAACCCTGCACGATCCCTATAGAAATCTATGATGGCCGATTTCGATGTAACAGCAAGGTGTTGCTGTTATTAGTAGCCACCTCCGCGCTGTTGTGTAATACCTAGGTAAGTGGCTAATATCGAAGCTACCGAGATTTAATTCCTTCGAGACTACTGGACGATATCCCTTGTAGAGAATGGAGATACCTACCTAAACCATATAAGTTCATATCATTGGTGACTGCTAACCTCTTGGATGTGTATCACCACATAAGTAGGTACCTTTATTAGTTATCCAATCACAGTGCGAAACGCAACGGGTATACGAAATACAGCATGTACATACATTTGGTACATTATGTACTGCCCGATTGCATGTATTAGTTGGTATTCGATATCGTACTAGATGTATATACAGTTAGTGTTTATAGTGCCTTGCCATAGGACCCTGGCCGGATTCCACTCCGGATTACTAATTAGCGTAATGATCGTCAACTATTTGATCAGCTAAGGCAAGAACCCCTAATTGATTGACATTTGATAATGAATTAGGTCTGTTGCGTTTTAAAAGCTTTGATGGAACTAGGTGTAGATATGTATGTGGTAGTAAAGAGCTTACATACATACCTTACACCTCGAGATCTATCTACATGGAACATTTTTTGGTACCGAGATTGCATTCAGTAACCCCCGTCTAAAAAAAATATAGGTTGCTCTTATATGGCAGAAGCTTACGAATTAGAAGGTTCTAGGTTAACTACCTCTAATAATGAAGGAGCATTCCCTGTTATTTCCGTGGGCAATGTGGCAGTTCCAATGAACAATTTGAACAATATACTTATCTTAGGTAGTAGCTACTGTATTTTAGGTAGATACTTCTATGTTAATGTATCTTACCTAACCTACGTATGTACCCGGAAACCTTGTGATCCGAGGCGCATGCGTCCGTCTAAAAAACGTATCGTCCAATGTCACACACCGACAATGGCCCATTCTTTTTTTTTCACATCCAGACTCCAGCAAACTTAACCTAATTGAATTTCACACATTCTACATACCATTCTGCTGCATTCTGACCCGAATATCTCTCCTCTAATATGATAACCACCCCCCCTCTCTCTAATTCGGGCTGCCCTAACCTAACTTAGACGGACCACGGTGCAGCCTCAACTCACTCACTCATTTCACTTACTCGCTTCTTCGCTTACACTTTATATCTACATATCACCAAAATCCAAATACGTCCAAATACAGCCTATGGAAGCTAGCGGATTTTCCAATCTTCTCAAGGAAGCAAGCGTAACTCTTCCCTAGTGTCACCGAACGTTCGAGACCCTCTGCCCTCTGCCATAGCCCCCTTCTTATAGTCCTTCTTGTTGGTGTACTGGTATGTTTGCCGGTGTCTACTGGTTCCTACAACAGCTTTTCTAAAAGGAAAAAAAAAGGAAAAGGGAAAAAAGGAAGGAAAAAAAAAAAGACAAAACCAGTGCTCCTAAGAGTAACTATTTTTACTTCGCCCCTTGCGTAAGGACTTCGCGAATGTTGCAGTTCGATTCATGGCCGCCGATTAGTAAAACCTTAATAACTCACCCACCGGATTTATCCTCCCTAATCTTTAACGACCGATCGACCGTGTATTGTAGCTCATGGGCCTTCTTCTATCCGTGCCCTCTGCTCCGGCGATATGACGCCTCTAGATGCCTTGAGCACCCCGAGTTCCATGCCCATATCTATGATCCCGGAATCTCCCTCTCCCCCAGAGATCCTCCCGCTGCCGAATCAGACCCCGGACGACAACTACCAATCGCCCTCCTGCTCAATCGAGCAGTCATATTTCCCTTGGGATGGCGGTCCTCTCTCCGTTAGTACCAGTCGCCTGTTACGAGATACCCATAATATGTCGCCGATAAGGGAAAAGCGATCTGCCTCAGCTAGTCCTCTGAGACTGACGATGCCCTTCATATCCCCTGGCCAGCTCGCCTTCTCCGCTATGCAATTTTTACCGGTGCCCCTGCTGGTTCTAAACAACCTGAAGACTGTCGTCCTAGCAAACGAAGCTATGGGAAAGATGTTGGGTATGGTGGGCGACTCGCCTCCACCGATGGACGACCCGGCCGTAATTTGCGAGTCCCTCCGCGGACAGACACTCTCGCAGATCGGAATCGATATGGTGCAGGATGGTAGACCGGTATGGGTTTCGTGGGAATATTTCTTGGATGAATTAATACTCGAGATGGGCGCGAGGCAGACAACAGGAGACTCGGCATTGCGTACTAATCATACCAACGGGGAGGTCCCAGGTACGGTAGACGATGCGAAAGTAGAGCCACCCGGTGATATTCTGGGCAAGCCAGCAACAGATTCTGTTGTTGATGTTGTGGTGCTCCCAAAGAGTTTAAACATATCTGAAATGCCAAAATCGAAGCGAGCTGAGCTTCAGACATACGCTAAGATGATAATTACGATATGGGAGATTGAAAACCATCAGACCTACTATACTCTGACCTTCACCAATACCGGCTCGGGACCCTCGTCCATTCCGAGTAGACGAGTTCGTGTCGCTCGACCTTCTACGCTCGAGGCCGCGGAGCGTAAATCCATCATGAATTCCAACCCCTCTTCTCTCGGCTCCGGTCACTCTTCCAGCTCTCCCTCATTCACCAATAGTCCTAGCTCAGTCTCGGTCTCGGCCAGCCTGTTTCCACCTATGGGGCCCCCGTACCGTCTACCTCCATCAAGCACTCCGTCGTTCCTCCAGAAGATGACTGTTATTAAGGATGCGCTTCTTGATAAGACCGAAACACCGATACTTGCTATGTGGGTGGATGGTAGTGCCCCAGTCATGAATAGAGCAGCCCGAGACCTCTCCGTGGCCGTCAGTGGAGAGGAGGGTAACGACGGATACGATTTGCTGTCTCGGTGGGAGGTTTGGGACGGAGACTTTACAAGAAAGTATGCCCCGTCTGAGTTTCCCATTGCAGTACTCTTACGAGATCGAAAACCTATTTCTGGGTGGAAAATCGGCATGTATGACAGGACGAAAGAAACGAGAATTATATATGATGTGCTGGGCGAACTGATTACTAGCGACGAGACTGGAGAAGTCGTTGCTGGTATTATAACTTGCCGAGACGTAACTCATCTAGCCCAGGAGATCACAGATATAAAGATCGCGGACGCGGAGAGGTTCAAACTAATATGCGACACCATGCCTCAGATGGTCTGGACAACTACATCCAACGGAGTGCATGATTTCTTTAACAGCCGTTGGTACGATTATACGGGTCTGTCGGTCGAAGACTCTCTGGGTCGCGGTTGGAAAAATCCGTTCCACCCCGACGATATGCCCACCACATGGAAACGATGGGAGCGTAGCCTAGTTACGGGGGAAGCTTATGCTACAGAATATCGATGTCGTAGCAAGGATGGTGAGTGGAGGTGGATGTTAGGACGTGCGTTACCGCTGAGAAATAAGCGCACAGGTCAAATCGAAAAATGGTTTGGGACTTGTACAGACGTTCACGAGGCCCTTGAAGCGAAGATGGCCGCGAAGCAAACTAGAGCGCAGCTTCTTAGCGTTCTTACGCATGCGCAGACAACGATCTTCTCTGTAGATCTCAACCTCAAGCTGACGATGTTGGAAGGCGCAGTGTCTTGGATCTCAGGAAAGGACGATACGCCAAACAATGATGCTGACCAGCTTGATCCGCCGACATATGTTGGAAAAAATATCGAGGAGGTGTTTATTAACCTAAACCCGCGACTACTTCCGAGCGAGTTTTCTGCATTCCTCGAACCCGTAAGACGTATATTGTCTGGTGAGCTGACAACAGAGACCGTGCACGAACACAAGCTAGGTAGGTATCTTATGTACGATTAGCATATGAGTTTGCTAATAAGCGTTTAGATGACCGGTTTTACCGCACTAGGTTTCTACCTCACGTCGAGAGAACTTCGCAGGATGGCCGGACTAGTAAAACAGATATTAAAGGCGCTATTGGCGTCATTATGGACGTTACCGAACTAAAAAAGAGAGAGCAAGATCTCGAAGAGCAGGTTAAAGAGAAGAGACAACTTAAAGCCAACGAAGCAGCAGCTAAAGAAGCAAGCCGTCTAAAGAGCCAATTTTTAGCAAATGTAGGTGGTGTCTTATGTTTTCGGTGATCTCCGAAGTGCTGACATGCGATTTAGATGTCTCACGAAATTCGAACACCGATTACCGGCGTGATAGGAATGGCTGAGCTTCTTCTAGACTCGCCTCTGGACGAAGAACAGCGAGAATACGCAGAGAACCTAAGCCGATCCGCGAATGCTCTATTAACCGTCATCAACGACATTTTGGACTTTTCCAAAGTCGAGTCTGGTCGCCTTGACATCGAAGAAGTCCAGTTCTCCCTCTCTGTGGTAGTGCAAGATGTCTCCAAGATGCTGAGTTTCGCAGCTGGGAGGAAGAATCTGGATTTTCGCTCTGATATATCAAGCGACATCGAGAATGACCTCGTTGTTCTTGGTGATCCCGGTCGCGTCCGTCAGATCATTACGAATCTACTCACTAACAGCATCAAATTCACCAACGGTGGTTACGTTAAATTCTCAGTATGGAAAGAAAAGGAAACAAACGACACAATTGAGATAAAATTTGTTATTGAGGACACTGGTATCGGAATCGAAGAAGATGTCCTGAAACGTCTATTCCAGCCATTTAGCCAAGGAGACCCCTCTACGGCTAGGAAATTTGGAGGAACAGGGTTGGGATTGACGATCTCGAAGAATCTGGTCGATCTAATGCGTGGAAGGATCACGCTAGAATCTACGATCGGCAATGGTACCACTGCGACATTCTGGATACCATTTAACAAACCGCAGACTCCGCAGAGGGATGCACTTGTCGATATTGGTTGCCTACCCGAGCGATTACAGTCTGAGATGAGCGTTTCGTGTAATAGTTCGGAACATGAGCATTTCCTAGGAACGACGCCGGCAGACCTATTGCAAGGCACGCTGGATAAGCCTAGACGGCATCGGAAGAGACCTGCTAATTTACTGGCGCCGTTCGGTTTCGAAAGCGAAGACCTCCCCAGATCCGAACGTGCCAAGGTGCAAATTCTTGTTGTCGAGGATAAGTAAGTTCCAAAGTTTGAGATTAGCTGACAAGTTTAATTTTTCTAATATGTTGTTATTATCTAGCGCGGTCAACCAACAGATCGCAACCAAGACTATCAAGAAGCTTGGCTTCAACGTTTGTGCGGCCTGGAATGGCAAGGAGGCGCTTGATCATCTCGAGGCGTGCAGGGAGGGAAGGTTCGCTAAGCCAGATATCATTCTGATGGACGTACAGATGCCCGTGATCGACGGGTATAAGTGTACGCACATACTGCGGCACCACGTACCATACAAGAGCTACACTAATGATGTTCCTATTGTGGCCATGACTGCCTCGGCGATACAAGGAGATAGAGAAAAGTGTACGAAAGCCGGTATGGATGACTACCTGTCTAAGCCCGTGAAGAGTAGTATACTTGAAAGGATGCTAGTGAGATGGAGTAAATCCCGCCGCAAGGTAGAGTCCATGTCATCTTCCTCAGCTGACCTATCTACTTCGGACTGTTCGGATTCTGCGGGCGGATGTATCAGCACCGACATACCTACACCAGCCACATATGGCTTCTCTAGTCAGAATCCCAAAACGCCGGAGGAACGTCCAGAGAATGGTGATCTGGATGGTATCGGGGAAGACGACCGCACAAATCTACTAACACCAAGACCGATCAACGCGCGGACGGGCTCGCACGAGACAAATACGTTCCCCTTTGGGATCTCTAAGCCATCTAGGCAACTTAACAGTGATGAGCTAGCTATGCAGCTGCGAGATGATAAGCTCATCGATGCCGCAGATGATAGCAACGGCAAGAATGCGGCAGGGCAGCCGCCCATATCCCACTCATTCCCCGAGGGTGACTCATTGACAGAAGAGAACGTGCAGAAACTCGAGAAGGTGGGCGCGAGAAGCTCACCCGTTAGGGAGATATACGATTTTGAAGAGACACCAATGTGACCGTAATGAAATAAACAGGTCGATTTTGCTACATTTCCACTCACATATACGACGAGAGCTTAGGTTTTAGGTTAGGGCTAAAAGCCTCCAATTCGAGATAATCTGATTTGTCTAGGGAGCTCAGTGATACACGGTTCTGCACGCTCCCCGGTATCTTCTCTGCGGCCGGCGTTGAAAGAGGAACGGTACCGGGCTGGATAGGCTGGGAATGGGTGTTGGAACGGGGGCGGTAATGACGCATTTCGCTTCGGAGGGATAAGCTCCACCGGCTTGGGTAGGCGTTGGTGGATGGGACGGGTCTACTGTGGGCAAAAAAGGGGTGCATGTCGATTACTTCAACGGGCTTTTATGCATTGGGGTTGAACGATCTGCCTGGCTTCATGTCTGCATGTAGCCTAGCAACTTACTTACTTGAGGTACCCGTGCTGTTTACGCATATAAGGGGTACCGTATTAGTTATTTATGGTGTGTGGTGTGGTATGGCGCTTTTGCTGCCTCCACGCGCCTTTTAGAGTATATAGTATCTAGTAATTCACGATAGCTTCGCTTCGTAAGAGATAATATTTTGCTATATTATTAACCTAGGTACTGTTGTGATAAGCTGGATCAACCAACATAATGGATATTAACTTGTTTATATTTATATGAATCCCCCCCCTTGCCGCCTTCTCTCCCAAGAGAAGTAAATAACAATCGGTCACTTTTATATGTAGAAAGGCAGTTTGCTTCAAGTATCCAGGTAGGAATGTAGCTGTCTATAGGGTATTTTTAACAAAATGATGGACTTTTCTGTATTCTCATGCCTCGCTTGATATACATAGCGAGTAAGATGCTATCTTTTCTAGCTGTTCCCTTTATAAATGAAATCCCATCATTCCCCAATAGTCCACCGAGGATCATTTCCTTATGCTAGGCCATGCTATGCCTTGCCTTGCTTATGTCTTTTAACTGCTTCTTTTTTTTATTTCGACTCCCCGTCTTCCGTATTCACGTCTACAAATGACGGCTAACTAACTAGTAACATGGTAGTTGGCTCGAAGGCATATAGAATACCTACCTACCCTCCTCACATCTTACTTAGCACGAGAGCTACTTCACTACCTCTAATGGTGAAGAAGGTCTTTTCTCCCTTGGCGGAACGAATCCGCCACTAAGAAGGTGAGCTCGAGAGCTTGTTTTTCGTTGAGGCGGGGATCGCAGAAACTGGTGTAGTTGGTAGACAGATCGTCCTCGTCGAGGCCCTCGCTACCGCCAACACATTCAGTCACGGCATCGCCGGTTAATTCTAGGTGCACGCCGCCGAGGTAGCTGCCCTCCTCGCGATGAATGCTTAGCGTCTCGCGCAGCTCGTCGAAGATGTCTCCGAACCGCCGCGTCTTGATGCCCGACGCCGTCGACCGCGTGTTGCCGTGCATCGGGTCGCACTGCCAGATACACGCCCCTCGGTACTCGGACCCCTCGACCGCACGGATGTGGCCCGGTAGCAGCTCGCGCACTTTGGCTGCGCCGTACCGCGTGATTAGGGTTACCTTGCCCACCTCGCACGACGGATTAAGCGTTCGTAGTAGTGCGAGCAGGTCCGACGTTGGTGTCGTGGGGCCTACTTTGATCCCGATGGGGTTTGCGATGCCTCGGAAAAACTCGACGTGTGCGCCGTCGATCTGCCGCGTTCGGTCACCTATCCAGAGGAAGTGCGCCGAGGTATCGTAGTACTCCATCTGCGGTTCCCCCGTGGTTGATTCGGGGGCTGCTTCTTCGTCGCCGGGGAGTATGGGCTTTTCCATCAGTCGGGTAAGGCTCTCCTCGTACTCGAGTAGCAGACCCTCGTGGCTGGAGTACAGATCGACGGTGTCGAGCTTGGGGCTGCGGTCTGCACCGATGGTGTGCATGAAGCGCAGCATGTCCTGCAGGAAGCGCACGGCCTCGGTATACTTGGCCTTGAGCTGCGGGTCCTTAACGTGGCCCAGAGTCCAGTTTAGAGGACGGTGTAAGTCTGCGATGCCTGCAGCGATGGCGGCTCGCACGTAGTTGAGCGTTGCGGCCGAGTGGTGATAAGCTCTAAGGGGGTTGAAAATGACATTGTAAGCTAAGTGCTTCATAGAAAGGGGTAAGGACATGAGCTATACTTAACAAGCCTCTGGGGGTCCAAATCACGCTCTTCGAGGTGGTAGCCATTCAAGATATCGCCGCGGAACGAGGGGACTTCTTTAGTCTCTCCGTTCTCGTCGACGACCTTTTCAGTCGGACTCGATCGGGGTTTGGCGTACTGGCCGGCCATACGACCTATACGGACGACACGCTTGTCGGCACCCCATATGAGCACAAGACTCATCTGTAGTAGGAGTTTGATCTTAGACTCAATAGCGTCGGCGCGGCAATAGTCAAACAGCTCAGCACAATCACCGCCTTGCAATAAGAAAGCCTCACCGCGCGCAACATCGCGTAAGCTAGCCTTGAGCCGGGCGATCTCTTGCGGGTGAACCACGGGAGGGAGCCGGCTCAGCTCGGAGGTTGCGCGGCGCACGGCCGCCGGGTCGGGATATACGGCCTGCTGGTTGATTGGCTTGGACCGCCACGACGAGGGAGTCCAATCCGAAGGAGGAGCCATGTTTGTCTTTTTTTTACAAATTGAATTAAACTTAGGTAGGTACTAATATTATAATCTTGAAATAGTATGAAATCTTGAGATGATATGATAAAAGATATTGAAGATAAAATGAGTCAAAGGGACTAAAAAGACAAGAAGCCACTAAATCATTATTACTTAATTAGGATGAATTTTAATTTTCTAATAGAGTGCAAGGGATCCCTGCACATGCACCTGCAGTAGCTCGATCCTATGTGCTTATGTACCATAGCAGATGTATCTGTAGCGTTTATATTGTTCATTTGCATATTGCATATTACATATGAATATATGGAATACCAAGGTACTAAATTTAGTTGGGGGGAGCTCGAGCTTAAAGCTCCCCCGCATTTTTACTGAGCCTCCGTTATAAAATTATATAAATGTCAATGCAACATAGAAAAAAAACAATATAAAAACATTAAGTATCTCTCATACACTACACATACACTACACTACAGCACGAAAGAAGTAAATCAAAATGGCAGAGCCTCAACCAAAAAATGTCCAAGAGGGCGCATCCGGAGACGTCGAAGATGAGGTCCAAACTACCGCCAAGTCAGCCGAGGATCGAAAGGCTGCTGCTGCTATGGCGAGTCTCGACACTCGCGGAGACGATGCTGGTTCGTCCAACGCTGTCGATCAGGAGGCTGTAAGCAAAGCTATGCAGAGCCTCGGGAGTGGCCCCTCTACTGGCGCCGCGAAGGATGCCAAAAAGGTCAAGGTTGACCCTGCTGACGTTTTGTTATTGGTACGTTCCCGTTTCTCAGGCTAGGAGTGCAATATAGGCGCAATACTAATATGTTGGGGTTGTGATTATAGGTCGATGAGCTTGATTTAACCAAAGCAAAGGCTACCGAGTTGCTTAAGGCGCACGACGGCGACGCAGTTTCAGCTATGAAGGCTTTTATTGCTACGTGAAGAAGATTGTGAATAGAGGGGTGAGGTTCTTCTAGCACACACATTGTCGGAGGAGAGGCGTCATGGTTTTGGGAACGTGATAGAGAAAATGGATAGATATATATACCGAGTGAGAGGATGAAGAGAAGCACGAACTTGGAAGGCTGGTGGACACCTAACTATGCTAAGCCCTTCTTCATATCATCTCTACGAATGAGGCGTATAAATATTTATTTAACGCCGAAGAATAAAGGGAAAGGAGAGTATCTGATAATCAGATTACGGTATACGGCCGAAATGTCCGCCTTAGGAGAGAACCCCTGAGTCACGTACCCCGGTTCTTAATCATTTACCGGAGGCCGGACACCGGACACCGAACGGCGGATGATCCTCATTAGGGTTACTACCTGGTTGATTAAATGAGCCGAAATATGAAAAAAATTATGAAATTCACCGAACGCTTTCCCGCCGCATTACTACCTACATAGAAATGTACCGTCTTATTCACGCCTTAACCAGGGTATGTCTAGTGACATACTATTATATATTCGGGGTTAGATTACCAATACGATATATTCAAATACCTAATAGTTAGTATATGCTAACGCTATGGCGAAGAACATCGCCAGCTCGGCACCGCGAGGGTTGTGGAGACTTACGGGAAAACTATCTGACTGTTTTGCTATTTTATTAATCAAGTCTCTAACCTGGTAAGCTAACCACAAAACAATATACCGACTAAGATCTACGGAGTACGGTCGACGACGCATCAGTAAGCAAGTTCTATGTTGCTATGGCTTATAAAATGTTTAGTCCCTTCCGCGATGGAAGAAGAAGAATATCAGTAGTCCAGTCTCAGATAACCTCATAGTTATTTTCCTGTTTGCCCTCATCCCCGAAGAGCCTCAGCACAGCAATATCGTTAGACTCGGAACTAACCATACATCATGCTTCTTTTGAAATTAGTCCTTCCCCTTTTGGCTGCCGCTTCCCAAGCGGCGGCTGATCTGATAAAGTGGGATGATTGGGAGCACGGTCGAGTTGCTCTGGAAGATGTCAGCATTCACTTCCGTTATGCTGGCTCTGGGCCACCCCTACTACTTGTCCACGGGAACCCGCAGTTCAGTCTGACTTGGCAGTTTATCGGACCTATCCTCGCACAGAACTACACCGTCATCGCCCCGGACAATCGCGGCGCCGGCGATTCCAGCATCCCGCCGGACGGCAACTATAGCGCTGCTGCTTCGGCTGCTGACCTTAAAGGCGTCCTCGATTTCTTAAACATCAGCTCTACGTACGTCTTCTCACACGACAAGGGCGTCGGGATGGCCATCGCGCTCGCCGCACAGTACCCGGGCTTGGTGAAGATGCTCGGCCTATCAGAGTACATCCTGCCAGGATTCGGATACGAGGGCGCCGCGACGCCTGGGCCCTTTTGGGATTTGTATCAGAACCCACAGCTGGCCTTTTTCCAAATCCCGGACTTTGCCGAGTTTCTGATGAGCGGTCGCGAACGCCAGTTCCTGCTCTGGTACTTCTACCACGGCAGCTACTCGGGCCCAACGGCCTTCTCGGAAGAGACGGTGACGCGTTACGCTAGCAGTATCCAGAAGCCTGGGTTCTTGAGGGCCATGTATGGGCCATTTTCGACAGCTTCTGTCTCGGCGGACGCGGAGTTCTTTAATAGGACTGTGGGAAAATCCCCGCTGAGTATACCGGTTCTCGCGACGGGCGGAGAGGCAAGCTTTGGCCTAAAGTCGATATTGCGACAGTCTTTCGGATCTGTCGCGAGCAACCTGGAGGTAGATGTCATTCCGAAGGCAGGACATTGGGTTGGTAAGTTTAAACGCCTTTCATATCCTCTCTTCCGCACTAGCTACGACGACGTGGAGTTAGAGAATAGTCAACTGATGATTAATATAGCCGATGAGAACCCAGTCTGGACTGCGAACCGCTTTCAACAGTTCTTAGCTAAAGACTCCTCCCCGATGGACAAAGTTGACCTGTCATATCTTAAGGATAGGGCCACGCTAAAGGTGGCATATTTCGGGACGTTGAGAAATGCGGCACTGGGAGGACTCCAGGTATCGTGAAGTATCTACCGTATCGCGAAGTATCTATCAGGTAATCAAGTAATATAGTTCTTCAATAAACGGTTCTTGCTGTTGATATATAAACTTATGTATCATCTCTATTTAGCCCCTTGACTTTAGACTTGTCAACTCTAGGAGCTGTCCCCGCTGAAATACAAGCCCCCCTGAATAATGTTGGTCTTGAAATAACCCGGTTGCTGCCTAGAAATGGCCTAAATAATTAATATGGCAGAACTAAATCTTACACATCTTATGGTTTCTATTTTTCTTTATTTTTATATTCTTAAATCTAAATAAAACAAAAGTCTATATCGTCAATGTTCGTTGTCTCAATCACTGGAATATATATATATATATATATCACGTGACCATCTATTTATACTAAAATGATTTTTAGGATCGATAATTGACAGTGAAGTATCTTACAGGGCATATTTTATAAACGAGAAATTACTGTTACTATTATCAAAATTATAAACTGTATTACATGGATACTAATCTGTACCGCTTATTGTATTCGTTTATTCTCATAGGTAGCATCCTCTCTCCGTCACTCTTCCAGCGATACACCAGGAGCTCATGGGGACTGCTACAGATCGGTTGGTTGTATACTCTAGGAGACTGTCGTTTGGGCGGGGGACCCGAGATGGCTCGATATGATTATTCCCCCGAATGGGAGAACGAGCTTGAGGGTAACCTCGACTTTGAGCTTTACGACGGGATGAATGACGAAATGCAGCGTATCGTGCAAATGGCCGGCGACAACACCACTCTAGTTTACGAGTTGATATCGCAAGAGATACAAAATAAGAAAGACCAAGGCCTCATACACGAAAAGACATATTCCCACGGCATGTTTCATGAACCGATGATCGCCTATCAGACGCCTCGGAAAATTAGCGTGGATGAAGTGCGGAAGTTCGCAGAGCCTATGATCGCTCGTATCTGGAAGAACTTCTATGAGCTACAGAGTATTGTCGAACGCTACGAAGCATCTATTCAGGATAAATGGGAAAATAAATCTGAGGCGGAGAGACGGGATGTATTGAACCAAGCTTGGGGTTTATCACCGCCGATGGCTCCTGAGCATCGACCTGACTTGACGCACCTAAAACACCAATGCATCGGGCTCGTATGCAACGAGGGCAACATCACTAATGTCTCGAAGCGGCCCCATTTCTTGTGGCCTAATATCAACCTCGAGGATCTCAGCAAGACAGAGCCATTCTTACTCTTGCTTAACGCTCGAGGTAGGAATCCGCCGTCGACATTTGCCTTCGCCGAGCTCGAACCGCTCGTATTTGGTATTAAATCCGGTTCTTTGCGCATACCTCCGTTTCTTAACGGATGGAATATGAGATTTACGGGTAGAGATAGTCCTGGCACTTACGGAGAGCTAGTCTCCTGGGAAGATGATCCCGATGCACGTCAACGGTTGCATCGCCGTCGTGATGTGAGCCCTGGCGAAGGACTCTGGATCCTCGAGATACAGGACCGTTTGTACCAATTCTTACTCGATACATGCATGATGATCCTTCACGACTTAGACCCAGAAGACAAACAGAGTCAAGTCGAGCCGAAGCCCCCCGTCTCGATCACCAAGTACAAAGGCGATGTTGCTACCTCTCTCTTATTCTCTCAATACGAGTCTATTTACCACGTACCCGCAAACTTTGATATTAAACGGCTTCAGAGCCTAATCGGAGCCAAGCTATCTCAAGTTGAAGATACAATATGGGCATTGCGCGAAGATCCTGGGTTTTTCGTCTCTAGCCTCTTGGAGCTGTACCAACACCGCCCCGAGCATATCCTTGACGTCAACGGTGATATATATCCATCTGTAGCAACTGAAGATGGCCGTGAAGAAGTGTTAGCTTCTACCGTTCGTTCTATGCTAAGTTACTACGTGCCCGTTATCGAGACTTGGGGCTACATGTACGACCTAGTCAACCGCCTCGCCTCGCTGAAAGAAGAGCTTTTCGATCGCGTCGAGGCCGATACGCGGCCGGAAGATGACCTACCACTTGACTTAGAAGTAGCATTTCGCTCATTGAGGCACCATCTAGACCATTTCCTGAAAGAGCATCTTCCCGCAGCTAATAGGTGGGCGCGGTGGTCACCACCCATCCAGCCCCTATACCGATTGAACGTGCCCGAAAGCCCCGACGCAAAGATGAGCATCACAACTGGTAGCACCGAGCCGAACCCGATAGAAGCTGTTTACCTTTGGGTGTTGCACATGATGGCCGACCCGACCAACCTGAAAGACATTGGACTCAACTCTTGCGTTCAAGAGGTAGAGCGTATCGCCCATGATCCGGAAGGCCGGAAGTTCTTTACACCCTTTGTGGCAGAGCAGTTTTCCGATATTTTCGTCATGGCCGAAAGTATACGGCAGATCGGGCTCTTTCAGCCGTGGGCAGCAACGTTCGAAACCCAAATAAAAGACAAGGGTGCGCGGAGGCAAATATCTGACGAGTTCAAACGTACTGCTAGGGCCCTGGATCCCTTATATAAACTTGAACTGCCAAGTAGTGCGGGAAAGCTCGGCGCTGTGCTGACTAGAATGAGATATCCGGTCGACGAACCTCTTAGCGAGACTAATGTTGAGGCCATGCGGGCGGCTGAGAAAACTCTGGATACCTTTTGGGATGAGGTAATAAACCAACTCCGACAAGATGGGCTCTGGAGTGGACGCGTAAAGGACGTGCTTGAAAAAGAGCCTGAGCGGAAACGGCGGTGGGTCGAGCCGTCTGATAGTATTAGAGGAGATACAACTGGCAAAGTTGATGACCCCTATTCATCGAAAGTAAAGCAACAGCAACAGCAACAGCAGCAGCTCCCATTAAAAATTGACGAGCGCGCAAGAAAAGTCTTCACCGCGCTTTTCTACGTGCCATCCACAACTACCCGACCCTCATCACAGGAGGGAATATCGTGGCAAGACTTCCTCTACGCCATGCATCACGTCGGTTTCGAGATCGAGGAGCTTGGCGGGTCGAACTGGCACTTCACCCCCGGACCTACGTTGCTAGATCAAAACCAAGGATATACGCGCGCCATCCAGTTCCACGAGGCGAAGATAACGTCTCTTATGGCGAGGATGTACGGTAGAAGACTTGCTAGGACATATGGGTGGCGTGGTGAGATGTTTACTGGAGAAGAAGATGGTGGCGAATAAGAATGCTGAAATATTCTAATGTAGGTAGCAAGATGTTTATGAGGGTTTGGATTTTCTGAGATAGGTACCTTTGGATATATTTCTAGGGTGGTTATTATTAAGATGATTACGCAATTACGACGCCCGTTCGGTTTCAAGATAGGGTTAGTTATAGAGGATTCATTCGTAGTATCTGCGGATTCATAAAATATGCTTGTATAGTATTAATCAGTTCTCAGAACATTCCACTACTGAAGCACTCACTACCTGCCATCATCCGTACCTAGTATCAATAGTTATACATTAGGTAACCTCCTTGAACTAGCAAACCCTATAGCTGTAGTATTGCTCTTTGCACGATATCACGTTGACCCCTAGCCTTGCCCAAGTCAAGCTCCATTCCAAAACTGTCTACCCCCCTGTCGACGCTCAATAGGATGTTTATGGAAACTCGACTACGCAGCACCACATAATCATTCGAGGGACTCTGAATCCATACCTAGGCGCTTCTCGGTGGCAGTAAGTCGGGATGGGATGCCTTCAACCTGGGAAGATTGTGATGTCGTAGTGACTGATACTTGGTGGACGTCGGCCACAAGGACTTGGACCTCGGATTTTAGATCCTTCTCGTTCTCGTTGGTCTGAGGCTCGGTTGATGGCCCTGCGAGCTCCCCGTGGGCTTCTTTGGCCTCTTCCCCAAGCACGAGCTTTGGGTCTGCCGACTGGGGCACTTTGTTGGCGAGGACTATCTCGAAGGCTAGCTTGAAATTCTGACTAGATCTAGCCGCGTCTGCTGCTGCGCGCATCGCTTCTGGGTCTATCGGCTCAGAATCCTCCGACCACGGATATCCCTCATTATCACCATCTATACGATTTGATAAGTTAGTACCCTTTACGTGATTTCACATTAGATTAGATACCTTAGGTAGGTAGGTATACTTTACTCACCGGAACTTAGTTTCCAGATCCCGTAGCGGAACAAGCGACAGAGAGTTGAAAAGAAGGGATGCTTCGGATCCTGTGCTAACTTTGTAGCTAGGGTATGGAGATTGTCGCATAATGTCTGCTCTATGCCCTCGTCACGGGCCTCCTTCTCTATAGTCTCAATAGCCTCCTGGAGCGAAAAGGGGGGTTTGTTCGACGCCATTGTGAAATTAGTTCTCTGGTTAGAATGAATGTTGTCGAAGCGGAAGATGATATTGTTGTTGTTGGAAAGAATTTGAGGTAAAGAGATAGAGGAGATGAAATTGACACAAGTAGAAGTCGTCGACGCGTAACGCGTTAGGTGCAGTGCATGCGGCAGGAAGGCGGTAGGCGCGTTGCTACGGTTGACACAGACTCAGGATGTCATCTGGCGGACCGTTAGATAACATTATAACTTGGTACCTGAGTTACGGACTTTATCTCTTTGTACACCTTAGGTACCTAACGCAAACAAGGCATTGCAGTCTGTTGCAAATATTTCATCTTCAACCAATAACACCTTTTGGTTTCAGCCTTGTAATAGTTCCTTTACACAAGTATTGCCGTATGGGTTAGAAACAACCTACCATTATTTAGGAAGCAACGATAAATCGTTTCTATCTCGGTAGTACATATGATAGAATTGTGATGCTACCTGCAAATGGGTTATCCTACTTGCTATCTACATGTAAGAGGTCTATGTGATGAGTTTACTACGGGAGTAAACTATAATGGCAGCCGTATTAAATTGACTATTTAACTGCGTTCTATCTATCTCAAGTATACCAGTCAGTTCTTTTATCCCTACTGGATGAAAGATCTTTGACTGCATACATTTATATATTACTTGTGCATTCCAGCTGTATCCTTTTTCTTCACCACTATGAACAATAGAGCGAATATGCTACGAAGAACATCTAAAATACTATTTGGTATCTTTCCCATGATACAAATGATCAATTAAAGCGCAATAACCCCAACTTGTTAGTCGTTCTTGTCTGAATAGTCTCGCATAAGAACCACCATACGATCGAAACGACAGCATGAGGTATTCTTACAGACTTACCTCTACAAATTCAATGACCAGAATTATATAATTATAAGATAATACTTATTCTTTAACAATTCCCCAATAGAATAAACTCAGTGTCTTCGTATGAGAAGCGTGTGATGGCACGTTACGTTAGCTACCTTAGGTAGGTAACCTGCGATGCTTGGATCAAACCTCACTATATCTCACCTCAAAAACGACTAATGTAAGGGCTTATTGTCAAGTTGTGGGGTATAGTATTTACTAATAATAACTTACGTCAGAAGTTTAAAGAAGAAGAAGAAGAAGAAATAACTAACTAACCTAGTCTATATAAGCTGGATGAGAGTAGTGGAGATATTAATTCCTTTCATCGCGTGGGATTTATAAAATGACAATCGATCCCGGTTCTCGAGAAACATCAACTTCCTATTTCTATCATCGAAATACCCTCGTACGATCTCATTCTTCTCTCTTTTGAAATAATAGTACTACCATTTTTTGACATTGTCCTGCCAAATAGGGAGAAGCCCCATTGCCAAAGGACCCCTCTTCCACAGTCTATCAAGCATGGGGATATTCAAGCATTAGAAGAAGATTGGATTTATTCCTTCCATGGCATCTCACTTCTCCAAAACCTCGTGATAACCATCCCGAGAACCGAAGAAAGGATCCAGCCTTATAATAAATCTAAAATTAAGCTGTAGCTCGAATCGATTGCATCTCTCATATTTTCCCACATGTACATTACCTAGATGCGAATCATGTTTGCCAAGAAGGTGGGTGGGGGCTAAAGGATGATCCCAAGTTGTTACACGCGATGATACCTAACCTAGTCGCATCCTGGTGGCCGTCTGGTGGCCGTTTGGTGGTTCCCCTATCGCGAAAACATACCCGTTCGCGGGAAAGGCCCGACCGGCATCCATCTATGGTACAGGAATAGCCATCAGCTTGGAGCCCTGTCTACCGCGTAGAAACCGCCTCACGGGGCTGGGCCGCTTAGCTTAGTGATGCCGCGCCTCTAGCAATATATCGCATACTAACGACATGTGAGTGAGATATGCCGAGTTGTGGTTTTATCATGTAAATCAAGGTATTTTTATATCATAGTTGCTTTTCAGAATGGCACCTAGGACTTAGGACATATGTAATTTTCTGGATATGTATATATATATAAGTCTCCAGGAACGCCTCTTCCTAGACTCCTTAACTAGAACATGACTCATTCCAAGTTCTAATTTCTCCTTCATTCTAACCTTTTAACAATCTTTTGTGTCGGTCACCATGTACGGAAAAATCAACTCGGCGCTGGCGCTACTGCTTGCCGGCTCCGCATTCATAACACGGTCTGTCGTGGAAAGCAAGCTCGTATTTGCTCACTATATGGTAAATAAATAAAAACGCTCTTGCAGCACGACTTGTTTCCTAATCAAGTTCTAACTATATGTACTTAGGTTGGGTCTGTGGATTCGCAAACCACCCACGCGCAGCAGGATATCGACGGTGCTATCAACGTCGGCTTTGATGCCTTCGCCCTGAACGTAGGAAGCCCCGGGGCCGACTGGGCGAAGAACACCGTGCAACAGCTATTCGACTACGCAGGGGACAAGTCGTTCAAGCTCTTCTTCAGCTTCGACTTCTACGGCAACGGGGATATCGGCCAACACCAGACTCTGTTCGACCAATTCAAGGACCATCCCGCCCACCTCAAGTACGGACCTAACGACCTCCCCGTCGTCTCCTCTTACAGCGGAGGCAGCATCGGCCCCGACACGTGGAGAAACTTCAAGAACACCAACAACGTCTATCTCATTCCCAACCCAGAGGCCGACGGGAACTACTACAACAACCCCACAGCTTTCTTCCAGAGCTGGGGCGATGCTGTCGACGGCGTGTTCAGCTGGGAGACGGCCTGGCCCGAGACTTCAGAAAAGCCCGCGAATGTGTCTTCGGAGAGGGACCAGGCGGTTAAGACGGCCGCAGATGCCGCCGGCAAGGCTTATGTGATGGGTAAGGCCCCTCTAGACAGAGTTATACCGGTCGGGATAGGATAAACTAGTATTAACAAAACGCAGGTCTATCTTCGCTCCAATACAAACACTGCTGCGGCGATTCCTGGTACCGAGGCGGCGAGACCAACTTGCCCGAGCGCATGGAGCAGATCCTTTCCGTGTCTCCCGAATTCACCGAGGTCATCACTTGGGTAAGCAGCACATCTTCCGAATCCTACCTACGTACCTAGTTAGCTATATCAGATCAACCCAACTAACCCACCCCCTCCGTCCCAGAACGACGCCGGCGAGAGCCACTACATCGGGCCCTGCTGGGCCGAGGGCCTAACCGAAGAAATTCTACAATACGGCAACTCGGACACGACGCCGCACTCCGGATGGCAGCCGATAATCGCGTCCTTCGTCGACGCCTTCAAAGCCGGGGCGACGGACGTCGGCGCCATGAAGCCGCGCAGCGGGGCCTTCGCCGGCGCCCTGTGGTACCGGGGGGTGCTGACGACGTGCAGCGGGGACAAGCCGCGGGGGTCTGGGGCGGCCGTCGACGCGGTGAACTACGCGGTGGTCCTGCCGGCCGACAGCAACGGGCTCAGCGTGCGCGTGTCTAGCGGCGGACAGGTCCTGGCGACGCAGGCGGTGCACGGCGGGCTGAACTACAACTCGGTCGTCGGCATGACGACGGGCGCGCAGAAGATCGAGCTTGTCGATGCTGGCGGGCAGGTTATCGCTCAGGCGAATGGTGCTGTGGATGTATCCAACGATGCCGCGAATGGGTTCTGCAACTATAACTACTATGTTGCTGGGTTGCAGTAGTTAGAATGCAGAGATTATGTAGGTTAGGTACCTAAACCTACCTTGTTTGGGAAAAAAAAAAAGGAAAAGGGGGAGGAGTTATTGATTAACCTTGTAATCCCATAGACTTATAGAAGATTATTTCTTATTTCTCGTCATCAATACAAAACAGTCCGCCAATCTTACTAGACGCTTACTCCAGGAGCACAGCATGCATGTGCTTTGTAGTTTATATTTGATTTAGAGTCTCATCTAAATCGCGCCCCATATGCCCAGGTGCAGATATAAAGGCTTGATTGTTACATATAGATTTTATCGTTTCAAGTCAGAAACATAGTCGTGGTAATAATATATAGGTAACTAATATAATATTTAAAAGACTTTGTAAACCTGGTAAATTGATACCCGTCTAAACGTCTAATTGGTCTGAGCAGAGACTCAAAATACTAATATAAACAAAACAATGAGGCACTTCTAATTAATATAGACGACATGAGATTACACTAGATCAAGTATCGCCAAGTCTAAAATATTTCCCCTTATTAGTCACGGTCAAATACCTAAGCGTTTACTTTGATCGTTATTTTTCTCATTCAGCTATCTTCTTGATCGGATCATCATGTGATCACGTATCTCTTATTCTGTATCTTCCCATTCTCACGATGCGGCATACGCCACGCGAGTAAAATACACCAATGCAGGGCTCAATAGAATCCTGTCATATCCATTCGTATGCAGCTCCAGCGCATCGACCTCGAGAAGTCAATAGGTCATCGCAAACGACGGGTTTTATCGTCACAATCCGTAGCTCCGTACAAATGATGTGAGTTATGCGGGAACCGCCATTTCCGCCGAAGACGGTCGCGACGGTAACTATCGCAGTGAAACTAGATGCGGTTGCGACTATATAGAGAATCAAGTTTCTCTAGGCGAATCGATTTTCGATTCCATGTATTTGATATCTCGACATAGATCTCATCTCTTGATCTATACTCGAAACGACTGTATTACTGGTCTTCAGTCTTCTGTGGATTCTCATCCTCGGAGTCCGACTCGTGATCTGGAGACTTCATTTTCGAGTGGGGTAGAACATCGAGCGTCTGCGACTTTCTAGAATTTGAACTATTGCGTTTGCCATCTTGACTACTACGGCTTAGCGGCATATCACCAAAGGAATTCTGAGCCGTAGGCGTGTTGGCCTGACTGCCCCCGCGTTGGCCGTGGTAGTGTACGACCTGCGGAGGGGGCTGCCCGTGCTGGCCTAGTAGATGCTGGGGATAGGGGTCCAGATCCTTGCTAGAGGTCGAGAAGGTCGAGACGATCGGTTGGTGATAACCGTTCGTTGGGTTATTCCCCGTTGAAACAGGCCCCGGTTGTGTGGCGTGTGTAGTCTGGGGTAAGGATGCTTGCCCGCTGGGCTCGGCTTGCGTTGGGGTGTCGGCGTCGTTAGAGGTTCCCACGGCGGTGTCGAGCTGCCCGGTCAGGCTCGTCATGCCGCCTTCGATATCGCGAAGGAGTCGAACGTACTCTTCCGGTACTAGTCCGCTTTCCTGGGTCTTGGGGTCCTCCGCAACAAGCCATCCTTGGCCGTGCCTATACGATACCCAAATAATTTGGCCTTCGACCAGAGGCAGTTCGTTCTCGTTCTCCCTTTCGAAGTCGAATAGCGCAACGGCCTTGCCATGCATTTCCTCGTCTGGCGAGGTGATGGTGAACTGATAGTCTCTCGAATACCTAGACTCGTCGTATGGATGATAACCCGGAGACGAGCCAGTGCTTGAGGCGTCTGACTCGGACTTATATCCGGTATCGTTCTCGGCATAATTTCGTGGCTGCTGATCTGACGACAGCTGGTACGCATTAATAGAGTGCCGGCCTTGATCCGGCGGATACGTGACATATTCTCCGCCCGGGCCGTTAGCCTCGCCGCCCTGGCTTACATAGTATCTTTCGCCCCCGTTACCACTCGTTCCGACGTAGTAACCCCTATTAGAGTCTAGGCTCCCCGCACTAAGTATCGAGGAAGACGCGCCACCATCTCTCGAGCCCCGGCTCTTATGGTGCCCCGTGACAGCAGAGGTAGACTTGTGCTTTCGATGCCGCGAGCTAACGACAGGGCTCTGTAGGTCTTCGTCCTCGCTCCAGGGGGGGCCGTCGCCGAAATGGATCGGGGCAAGCTCGCCACCCTTTCCAAGTCCACCGTCTGACGTCCAATCCCAACCGATCTTGCTTTCCCATGAGGCGGGCGGGTCTGAAAGTCGTCTCGTCTCGCTAGCGGGGGTGGTCATGCCGGAGGGCGGTCTCGAAGGCTCCGGCGGGGGGCCATAATGCATCGGATGTGTGGGCGGGTAGGCGAAGTCTCGAACGGTGGTATATGACAGACTAGAGTGGAAGACAGGGAAGAGGAAGGAGCCTGGCCGAGACCGCGACGGGACGGAGCCCGTCGAGTACTGCGACAGTCGGTTTTTGGAAGCGTGGGACATCGGTCGCGGTACGGCTGATCGGCGCGCGGGTGGGGAGGTTATTAATGGCGTTAAGGCCGGGTGGTTCGGATTCGTAGTATGCTGTTGCGGCGGAACTGCTGGAGGCGAAACGGCTGGGGATGAGTACGATGAGGACATGATTGCGGTCATCGAGGAAGGGAGACCGAGGCAGTCTTCATATGCGTACCCAGAAGAGAAGATATTTTATGTCGAAGTATCACGCGATACGTATGACGACGTTTGCAATGTGTGCGGTCTCTTGAACAGCTGGACTGCACAGCAACCAGACTACACAGGCATATACATCCACACACGGTATGAATGCCGCCCAACAAACTCGACCCGCAAGTTGTTTCGCGATCTCGTATGATCCTCGATGGGGGAAATCAAATAAATCGGGAAGAATTGTAGTATTAGCAATGTCCAGGGTTTTATATGATATCCCAATTCGAAACAACTTCTTCACCACGGGGCGACAACAAAGGCGTGCGAATTTTCGGTTACGTCTTCAAAGAAGCTAGTTGGACCTATCATGAATCCAAATAGGGACTAGGATGCGAGGAACGGGGAGGTAACTGATATTGGCAGCTTAGCGTAATATTATATTACGTCTCGTCGTCGAATTAAGTGGATTTCGTAGAGTCAATGTCTGCAGAAAGAGAACGAGGTGGTGAAGAAAAAAGAGTGTATCGCGAAGAAGATCGAGGGCGCTGGCGCAAGCGAAGTTGTGTTTAGAAAGAAGACTCGCGGTCTCGAATTCGAATTCAAGGTTGTAGCCCTAGGAGCCCTGCGAAGATGACTAGGGTCGACAAGATAGTAGAAAGGGTAGGAAATTATTCGTAATAAGGTAAGGTTCAAGGTATGGGGAGGGTATTGTAGGGACGAACTGTGGAGATTTGGTGATTTGGTGCATTTGGTGAAGGGTGTTAAAAAAGGTATCGGAGTGGAGATGCAAAAGAGAGGTAGTGTACCGCAGCAGCGGGAGGGTCCAAGGTTCGAGGTCCAAGGTTTAAAGTTCAAGGAGTTCAAGGTTCAATTGAGCGAACTAACAGGGCAGGAGTGGTGAAATAATTCTAGCGGAATAGCCTAGGACTGGTTGCCTGCTTAGCGGAAGGTACCTATGTTAGGTACTGTACTGACTGTACGAAGTACCGTACCATATATCATTATGTCAGGTAAGTACATATATACATACATACCTCCTACCTCCCTTAGAACGGAGACAATCCCAACAAAGCATTCCCATAGGACTATATAATACAAGCAAAAATAAAAATAAAAATAATAGAGTACAGCAAAGGTGCAAGCATAAAATTTTGCGCAAACTTACCTATACACTACAGTTACAACGTAATGCTTTTTTTTTTCTTAGAGGAGCCTTGATCCCAAAAATTGACCGGAATTGGTCGCAATTAAGCGCGTGGTACAGAGATCCTACTGGCTGGACCCTGTACTTTAGCGGCTCTTTGCCCTTGGTAACCACTCAGCGGGGTTTGGTGAATGGGCGGCGCATGCCTGAAATAGCGCCGGCGGTTGCTTGCCGGCCGAGTAACATTGAACCTGAGTGACCGAGTCGCCTATGTACCTCTATAGGGATAGTAGAAAGAATCAAGAGAAAAATAGAGCGAATCAAGATTATATATAATTCGAGAAATACGTGTAGCTGTATTTAATCACATTGAAGATTGCTTTTTCCTTCTTTTTTTTTCTATTCTATTTTCCTTACTTTGTTCTTTTTGTCGGGGTTTTTTTTTTTCAAGCAGTTATGAGCAGACGAATAATATACCTCTCAGCCGGTATTATCCCTAGGTATACACATATGCGCAAGGTAAGAACCATAATGGTCCTACCAAGCAAGCGGTAACGCATTTATTTGCCCAAGATATACAGGTACACCAATAATGCCTAATAGCAAACCATCTAGTAAGGCTTTGTTTGTACTTTATACCGCCACAAAAGTGTAAACTGCTTAACGTTAAGCATGTTTTTAGAATTGCTCAGTTGTTTTAAATGCTTGCTTACGTGTAGGTCTATACTAATAATTAACTTTAGCTAATATAAACAGACTACAACAGAATATAGTTATCCATAGTTATGCAAGCAGTTTACCTTCTATTACTATACTAACAAGGAAAAAGAAAAAGGCAGTATAGTCTATTGCATCCCGCAACGTTGCTGGCTGTAATGTTCCGCATAAGGGCGTAACATCAGTTCCGTTCGACTGCAATCAAGTTGCATTCACTGTGGCCTCTTGCAGCCCAATAACACTTTCATCAACATACTTTGGGCACGGTCCCGCAGCCCAGAGACTGCCCCAGAGACTACCTAACCCCCTAATATGGCGTATGTACACTAGTTGAACCCATCGTTAGCTCAATAGGTAGTTACATACTAAAATACTCTCCCCCCTATTATGCTATGGAATGTTTTAAAAACGTTATAACGCAAACTTAGAATTATCTAGTTATTAGAAGATTTTGCAGCTACACTGCTAAACCCGTATATAGGCTGCTTCGTCGTGCTTCTCTAGCGCTCACGCCTTGCAGCAACACCACATCTAATCCTGCGGACATGGTTGTCGAATGCGATAGACAGCCCGAAGAACCATGCATCTAGTCAATGGTGAAACAAAAGGCGGCATGGTTGATTCGTGCCGCACACGTGATCCCTAGCCGATGCCTCAATCCGTCGTCGCCTACCGCTTGGGTATGTAGGTCTGTACTCGCAACGTGCATATAGAACTTTTAGCTTTGCGAAAAAGCGGTCTGATGTTAGGAATTATGATAAGAACGCTCGCGATGAATTCCTGTTTCGTCGAGGGACACGATGCAATGTAAGTCAGAAGAAAAACGAACGCGGTAGGGATTTGTTAGGAGCTTGTACAACAGGTTACACGCATATCCCAGCAAACAAAAAGGACGTTACATACCACTAGCCTCAAGCGTACCTAATATATGGAAGTATATTAAAGTATACTTCCTTACGAAGAATAGAATACTAGGCTATAGAACGTATAAGATTTACATAACGAGACATAGGTTAGTTAGTTAGTTCGGTATTAGTAAAACAACAAGACAAATATTGTGTAGATAAATTCTAAGTGTTCCCAACGGCGTGTTTGAAATCTTACCCAGCGCTATGCATATAAACCGATCCGGACTTGCTTCTAGTTGGATCGGATGTTGCATCGAACGGGAGGGAGAATTGGAGATGGTGTTTCTATTTCTAGTAACATCCCTTCCAACTTGTTCAACTTGCTGAACTGCTATGTCGGGCGCCGACCCTACAGAAGTGGAGTCGAAACTGCATCTAATACGATCATCTTATTGGACAATAGCTTCCCCACCGCAGTTGTTAAAGGTCATTCTGTCGTTTGTTTCATGTTTTCTGCGTCTGCGTTGTCTAACCCCAAGAGACGCCAACTGCAAAGGTTCTAATGTAGGTATACAAGGTACACGTAGTCGCAGTGCTGCATGTCTGTAAACCAAATTCCTTAAGCCGGAACTAACCAGATATACTCACAACATGGCAATTAACAACTAGATTGCCCTATCTGAAGAAGCTTTACTTAAGCCCTCAAATTGTCAATAGTAAAATAAAGGATTACTTTTAAGTACGTGTATAAAAGTAGGTACCTAGGTACTTATACAGCTAAGTATAGGTACATGGTTACATAAGCAGTTCCATAGGTGATCAGCCATCAGATCGGCACCTGGACTGCTCGGGCCAGCTATATTATCCGGCTCGGATTAATAATTATACCGAATGACTTATGCACCGGGCAAGCGCATCCGGGCCAATTTGTTTTCACAATGTACTATTTGATGTCACCAACATTTTCTTAATTGAACATCAAAATTAAACATCAAACCAATAACTACTTTTGATCACCAGCTTTTTGGCACGGCCAACTTAACAAGAGAGTTGTATTCTTTAGCAAGACGCACAACCCTCCACATCAACGGTAAGTAAATCATCTGGATCATTTCTTTGTTATACATGTAGTACATCTCTTGTTATGATGAAAATTAATATTGGAGCTGTCTGATTTTTCTATGGTGACACTCAATTATTACCTTACGCAACATTTTCTGATCTCATTGAGAAATATTCCCTCAAAATTATTTTATAATTATGGGAATGATATTGAAATTGACACAGTCATAGACTTGGTGCGGCTTGATCTCCGATTCTCGACGAGCATGCGAATACCATTGTTATCGGCTTAGCTCGTAGAATTGAGCTGAACGCGACATTGGACGAAACAAGATGGAGGCAACAAATGGAACATCCGCACCCGCTGCCCCGGCTAATGGTGAGCGGGAGGACCCGGGGGGATTCAAGCTGAAGTTCTGCACAGTCTGTGCCAGCAACCAGAACAGGTATGAGGCTCCTCTCGATCACAGTCATGTCAAAAATGCTAACACGATAAAGATCCATGGAAGCGCATCTTCGGTTGTCACAGGCTCACTACCCAGTCATCTCCTTTGGTACAGGATCTCTAGTTCGACTACCCGGACCTTCAATAACACAGCCCAATGTCTACCAATTCAACAAGGTGTCATACGACGCCATGTATAAGGAACTCCACGAGAAAGATCCCCGGTTATATACCGCCAACGGCCTACTCAACATGCTCGGTAGAAATAGACAAGTGAAGTGGGGTCCGGAACGATGGCAAGATTGGCAAGTAGGTATTCCTAGAACTGAGCACACCTCGGACCGAGGAAGCGAAGGGACAGAAGGCGGCGTGGTAGACGTAGTAATCACCTGCGAGGAGAGATGCTGGGATGCCGTCATTGACGACCTTCTGAATAGAGGGTCCCCTCTAAACAGACCCGTTCATGTTATCAACGTCGATATCAAGGATAATCATGAGGAAGCTTCTATCGGTGGGCGAGGCATTCTCGACCTTGCCGACTCGTTAAACAATGCTGCGAAGGAGGAACGCGAGTCTATTGGACCTGCCGCGTTCGATATGGCGAGTGCAGCTAGCAGAGCCTCTTTTGATGAACGAGTACCGGAGATCATCGGGGAATGGCAGGAGAGGTGGCCAAATCTGCCTGCGACGTGGACGTTGGCTTGGTTTTAGGATGCGAGACTTGATTTGTTTTTTGCAGTGATACCCCGAAATCGGATGATTTCATTTTGGACGAACAGCCGTAACCATACAGATAAGTATCTGGTTGTTTTTAGACGTCTACGGAGGGATATGGAAATGGCATATTCTAAGGACTAATGAATAAATAATAATATCTCAGTTATGACCAGAGGCTATCATCCCTTCTAATTATGCGTGACTATGCCACCGGTAACAATCCGACCTCGTTCTTGTAAAGCGAAATTTCTCGTTGATATATTTTGCTCTTTACATGGTATTTCTTATCTTCCGTCTCTTGTTGGTCTGGTGCTCTATAGGTATCATCTCGGTGATGCCGTCTGGCCGTATGCCCTTTTCCCGATTCCCATATACACCAGGAGCCCCGCTAACAGAATTTCGTGCTGCCAGCCCAGTCTTCTTCGACGTTCCTTGAACTAGGAATCTCACTCGTCTTTCAAGATCTGCTATCCCCTCTCGTGTCATATCTTCCTGGTTTTCTTCTTCGCGGTAAACCCTAATAACACTGTCAAGAGCCGAGTCTGCCATTAAATCCCTACCTCTTTTCCGTTGGCTCCTAATCTCCTTATCCAGCTTCTCCCACAAAGCTAATTGTTTCCTGCAATCCTCTAACGTGATTGTTTCTTGCGCCCTATCCATCTCTATAGCTTTTTCCGCGACATTATTCTGTGCTGGCGGAGCTACTAATTGTCTATTATCTCGTCGTTCTGGAGGCCCCTGCGCCGTGAGGCTTTCCTCTGGCGCTTTCAGAGGCCATAATATAAGATAAATGCCACCATCATCACCGTCGGCATGAAGATGACCCTCCTCGATGAGAGAGACGTTGTTTTCTTCGATGCGACATTCCCTAATCATATCTGTCCAAATTGCCGGTCCAGATTGATTTCTTCTTATGCAGAATATACACTTTTCGCCCTCTACGTCGTCTAAGTAGAAGTCTTCAAGAGAGTCCATCTTGATTAATGTGTGAGATTTGAAGCTCCTCTTGATGCAACCTTATTAGTTAAGTCACGGGTATAAGTTATGTTGAGGGATGGCGTGCATACGTTTAACTTCTGCCCGAGAAGAGTAACGAGCTGATTTAACTCGGACGTTGGTCTCCTTTTAGATGGGACATCTGTGATTTCAAGACGACCAACATCGATTTGTTTACAAATGTCCTCTACGAGGCTTGTTAAAGTTCCCACCGGAACTAAAACATTAAGGAACGACATTGTATTTCTTGTCGTGATAGCATCTAATCTCAGATGTAGAAAGTAAATATAATTTCCTTTTTCCAAAATATATTATTATGTATGTGTTTTTTTTCCGGTTCGCATTATCTAAGACCAGGCAACAGACCGCTACATTACTCTGCACAATTTTTTGTTGTGACGAACGCGTCGATGCGGCCAATAGCCAGCTAACAAACACCAAGCGCCTCCCCACAAGGATCTATGCATACTATGTGCACTGGAACTGATAAATCAATTTAGGCCTCATCATGATTTAAAGCTGTAATAGACGAAGAGAGTATATAATAGAAAAGCAATGTAAGCTAAGAAGAGTCTATATACATGGAGAACATTGTATATGAGATGAGTAAGAGGCCTTTATGTACGGATCCGTAGTCCGATACATACCTAACCATATGAAATATCACGTCCTTGAGTTGTCGAGCCGTATACCTTACTTCGGTAATTAAACCAATCGAATTTTCTAATGGTCGCTTTTATTCGCTGTAAAAGAGCTTTAGTACGGCTGCCAACGAAGCGCGCGCGACGGGAGATGACCAGAGCCATTCAAACCTAACATAGCCAACCGCCGGTGAATGATAAACTAATTAATCACATGTGTATAGGTATACATAATATTCCGTATATCTGGGCTAGTTAGTTATACTAATAGAATAAATAGAAACCCATAAATTTTGTGAATCCCGTCTTTTTCTTCCCGGCCGATGGGGAAATCTAAAATCGTCAAGAACCAACCCCACGAAGAGGTGTATCGTCATTGGGGAAGGCGAACCGTCGATCTTCTTGGTCTCGATCTTCCCATCTCACTGGCGGCAGTCGAGACTCATGAGGCCGTGCCCAACGATCTCTTTTCATTTTTTCTCGTAAGACGAAAGGGGAAAGCGGATGGACTTTTAGAATTCCAATTACAATCCTTAGCAAAAGAGGCTGGATTGAAGAATTTAAAGTGGATGGCGCAGCATTATTCTCATCTTAAGAATGTGTACATGTAGACGATGTATCCCTATCTGTTCTATGTGTATCCTTGAGTACACGACCCCTGAAAAGATGCAGGAGAATACATTTATGTATGGGTTATGTAAGGATATATACATATAATATTGCATTATTAACGGGAATATCAATGTAATGTACATGGTCTTAAGATCAAAGAAAAGCTTATTTCAGCATACATTGTACAACATAAAAAGATAATATACGATGCATTTACATATATCTACCTCTTACATACCTACCTTAGGTATTTAATATAGATTATTCCTGATTTTATTATGTATATATGAAATTAGTTCACCTATAGACCTAAGGTATGGTGAATGAAACGAGTTATACAACCTGTTTTTAGTCTGTACCTAGGTATATATTAGTGTACAAGCACCGCGCGTACGTAGATCCATGAATGTATCTAGGTACTTTGTAAACTTTCCATAAAACAGCCACTTAAAGCAACTGCAAGACCCTGTTCTGCATGCGTTGCAGATGGCCTAGCCACGGCTTAAGTTACCATCTAGCCACCGTCTAGTCAGGCACCGCCCCGGCCAAATACCTTAAACGTCCTAAACACGTCCCCACCCCCTTTCTCCATTGGTCAGGCCCCCCTGTGTTACCCCTTGTCCTTCCCCATCTGCCTTCAACCACCTGGACACTTTTCGAGGTTTTACTCAATTGCTACCACCAATTTTTTAGAAGTGTATTGCCATTTACCATTCACCATTCACCATTCACTTCCCTCCTTCACGCAAATATCCCAGGTACTCTTTTGTGCATGAGTCGTATTCGCTGTACCTGCAGGAGTTCTCCTTGGAACATAATCTTTTTCTCCGCGTAGAGAATTTGAGACGCCTTGAGCCACTATTAACATACGTTCTCTTTGTCCTGGTTGATAGACGGGGTTTACCTTTTTACTTTTCATTGTGCTTTTTTGCAAACTCGTTCGTTATTGAGAGGCTCTTCTCCCTTGCTTTCAATCAATTTCTTTTCCATTCTCATAGGCTCTATTGGCACGTGGAATGAAGCTATAGCTAGTCTACCGCAACAGACTCCCAGTCTAATTGCGCCTCGTTGCTTGTCGCACCTAAGATTGCCTTCCGCTTTAGACCAACTGCTCAGTTAAACTAAGCCTGGGTTACGTCTCATCCCCACCGTGAGACAAGAAATTGTCGGGGTGTCGGTCTTTGTCATATTCATTACAACGCCGTCCCTCTTTTTTTTTTCTTTTTTCTTTTTATACTTTTCTCAATTATTTCCCTGAATTTCCAAGATCCCGTCCTTGATCTCGGAACGGGAAAGGGATAGAGAATTGTTGAAAAGTTGAATTGTCGTAGTACAGCAAATCCCCAAATTCGAGACTGGTATTCGATTGGGTCGAAAGCCGAAAGCTGAGAATCAAGAAATCAAGGAATCAAGGGGGAAGCTAGCTAGATTGGATCGGATCTGACTAGACTGGGCTGGACTTGAGACATCTTTCGCCGCCTCAATTCCTCCTTTTTCGCGTGGCGCGCGCATTCTCTTCCTTCCGCCCTTGATCGTTGTAACAGCGGCCGCCAATTCCGCATACCAAAATTACACTCGCCATGAATACCCGAAATGCGCCGCTTTCACCTGTCTCTGTAGGCGCTGGAAGCGAATGGTCCGGTATTTCCAAGTACCCGAATAACGACGGCGACGGTCCTTATCCTGACAATCGAGGTCCTGTTTCTCCCCCGGATTCCAATAGCTCCAACGGGAATATGAATGGCTTCCCTCCCGGCCCTAGGAGCATTGGCGGTCCCTCGCCGCCGCCTTCGGTCGGACGCTCCAGTACTTATGCTAGGAGCGAGAGTGGGAGGAGTATCCGCGAAGAAAATACTGAGGCAGTCTTAGGAGAACACTACATCGCCCTCAAGAGGTACCTGTCCTCGACCTCTAAGGATGGCCGAGCAGGTCCACCCCCTAACAAGGCACGCGACAAGCTATTACGCCTATCGTCTGTTCAGTTTCTCGAGCTATCTACCGATGTCTTCGACGAGTTAATGCGACGGCAAGCCTATAGTCGAAGACCCCCCAATGCGCCTCCTAATGTTGGTCCTCCATCTTACTTATTGCCCGAAAATATGTTCCATCCCAAGCGCAATCAAGCACGTCAGAAGTTATCGACCTTAGGTCCGCCGAGATTTAGGGATCTTGCGACAGATGTCTTCTGCGAATTGGAAAGGCGAATTCCCCGATTTATCGCAGGCGATGTCCCCCGGATGAGCAATCCTGGATTACCGTCAAGTCGAGCTGGCACTCCCATAAGCGGCATGGTCCCTAGGGGACCAAACGGTATGCGGAGACCGTCAGACGCGAGTTCCATTCGTTCCGCCGCTCCTAGGATCAATGGTGAATACCCTGTACCGCCGTCTCCTGGTCTATCGAACGGTAACTTTGATCGACCTCTCCCAAAGCAATTTCAAAGCAATACAATTGTACCCAACAAGAGTACGATGGTTGAGGAGGACGATGATATGGCCGGGTCGAACGACGAAGATATTGATGCTTTCAGGTCGCAAAATCGAGATAGTAAAAGGAGCATCGGCACAAATGGTGGCGCATCCGAGGCAAGTGTTGAAAGTTCTGGCTCAGAGTACCACGGCTGCTAACTCGTGTTCTATAGGTCGACAAAAGGTTAATAGACGACTATCAAAACCAAGTACGAGAGCTTCGGGACAAGATAGATAGCATGGAAGATCAACTCAAGAAGAAAGACGATGACCTGACTCAATTCATGGATGGTGAACGATCCCGTACATCGGCTTCAAACTTGGAAAAAAAGGAATGGGAAGACATGCGGACAGACCTCGAGAGCAAGCTCTCCGAAGCACAAACACTCAACGACTCGTTACGGGACGAACTTGAGAGGATGAGGGATGACCACGTCATGGAGACGCGGAAGCTAAGGGAAGAGATTGAAGACGCTCAGAAGAACAACAATAGCAACAACAGGAGTACCGGAGGAGATTCTGATGTCACGAGAGAAAACGAAGAGTTGCGTATGGCTCTCGAAGAGCAACAGCAAGTAACAGAGAATGTCCGACGTGAGGCCCGGCAGTTCCTCGACGAAATGAAGGTTCTCTCGCAGCAGCACAGCCCCTCCTGGGAGAGGCAGGCCGAGCTGGAGAAGATTGTTGAGCAACTAGAACAAGAAGTCAGAGAGTGGCGAAACCGCTACGCGCGCACAAAGACGCAGCTCAGGAGCATGCGTGCCTCGTCGATGGGACTGACAATTGAGCAGGATGCCGCCAAGTACGTCCGAGAAAAGGGCTTCACGGAAGAGAATGGCCTCGTCAAGGATGTGCACGTCACTAAATTCCAAATCGCTATTGATGAATTATTGCAAAGGGCGAGAACGGATACCCCGGACAAGGTAATCGATTCTATGAAGGCGGTTATTGTCGGCGTCCGACGTATCACGAAAGACATCGACGAGTCACGGCCGACCGATGGAGAAGTTGCCCAGCAGCAACAGAAGCTCAAGAGCCGAGTCTCCGCCACGGCCAATAACTTGATTACCGCTTCCAAGAACTTTGCATCCGGAGCAGGAATTTCGCCTGTTTCTCTGCTAGATGCGGCCGCCTCCCATCTTGTTGCTGCTCTCGTCGAACTGCTGCGAACCGCCAAGATACGTGCTACGCCCACCGGCGAGTTAGAAGATGACGATGACGGCACAGTTACGCCAGTAGAGTCGACCGGGTTCTTCTCGAACCGCACCACCACAACACAGCAAGATGCGTTCTTGAAATCGCAAGAATCTCCTCTCGTGCCGCCCCCGCCGTTTCAAGGTCTCCGCGCCGGAATGCGTGATAGCGCCAACTCTTCGGCCTACAGCCCTATCAGTTCGCCGCGAGAATCCGGCGATCAATACGGCTCTAGGAACGGCGGTGTCAACGGTATGGCGTACATGGGACTAAACAAGCTACCTTCACCTCCCAACGGCCAACGAGACAATACAAATGAAGAGTTGAAGATATATCTCGAAGACCAGAGGGAGATTATGGTCCAGACAATTCAAGGTCTAGTCGGTTCCATCCGTGGCGACGCGCCTATCCAGCAGATATCCGAGGAGATTACGTCGATTACCGATGTCGTTGGCAAGGTAGTTGCCGAGACCGAAGCAAGCGGCAACGGTGGCGATATGACGGACCGCTTGGCCGCTTGTCGCCAACGGCTGATCGAAGCCGGAGATCGAGGCAAGGATCTCGCAGCTCGTGGCCTTGGAGAAAATGATCGGGATTGGCGCATGTGGACTCAGACGTTACCGCCTATCGCTTTTGAGATTGTACGCGAAACGAAGGAGTTAGTCCAGCGAATTGACCGTCTAGTCATGTCCCCGACGGCGGATGATTTCTCTTAGGAGCGCCCAAAACAAAAGTTAGCGCCATCATCATTACGTCTATTTCGTTGACTTTGGAGTCTTCATTGATTATTCGAGCTTTTTTCTATTCTTTTTTTTTGTTCTCACCAGACCTCGATGAGATACCCCATGAGCTGTTCTTGCTTTGACGGATCGTATAGAGCTGTCTGGGTTCAGCTCAATCTTTTATTTATACTTATGGAACCTTGGAAACGGGTGGTTTTAGTCGATACGACGGCGCATTTCCCCTAAACACACGTAACTTTAATCGATTCCCATTAAGGCCTCGCTCTTCATCGACAACGTGGAGTAAGTAAGCTAGAAATGGATGGAAATTGTGTCCTCTTTTCATTTTTCACTTTACAACTATGTTGTCGTTCTCGTTTATGTGGCAAATGGACGGGGAACAGTGTACTGGCGGGGGGAGGCAAGATGTAGTGGGCGATCCCCGCGTACAAGATGACTTGACGAGTCTTTTTTACTGATGAGTCTGAAGTGGCTTCTCTCGCGCGGGGCTGGGCCATCATGGGGGTGGTGGGTGGTAGTCATGCGAAAAGATGACGATTACGGACGAGAACAAAGCTGGCATATTGTAGCATAGATATCGAGCAGTATTAGATGGACTCGATGGGATACCGAGTCAATTGACTACGGAATTTTTATTTCGCTTTTGATAAGAATACGAATTTGCGTGAATAAAGGGTAGGATGATTATATTGTATAGTCTAAAATGGCTCTGAGGTATTGATGAAAAAAGGTCTATTTCAAATGTACCTAGGTTTAGGTACCTAAGGCTTCATCTCATATTCTTAGAAGACCAGACTTTGTCATTTAGACATTAAAACAACCATATCCTCTTCCATACCTAATATTTAGTTATTTTCCGTATCAAGGTTAAAACATTGTCGTTTTCGGCCACAACCTAATACCAGCCACCACCTTCTACTCTTTGGGTTTACTAGTCGTATCATCCTTATTCTTAAATGTCGAAGTATCCCTCGAGGACGTCGGCGTTCTGCGGGGGCGTCCCGGCATAAGCGGATGTGGTGCAAGCCACTGCCGTCGTTCTTCCCTTCTTCCACGAGACGTCGACTCTGCCCGGAAAGGTCGTTCTCCTGGTTCGGTGTTACGTCGGTTTCGCGCCGACGTTGATGATAGGGGCGGCGGCAATGGGGATTCCGTCGTGGGGGTTAAAGGGGTGGGTGAGGAGGGCGAAGAGGGTTCGGTGTTGAATTTAGCGGTACCCTCTACTCGGGTTGGCGGTAGCTCTCCTTTTGGTCGTAGCTGTCCTTGGATGGGGAGAGGCGGAGTCTGAGTCTGAGGGGTTTCATCATCATCATCATCATCATCATCCCCTTGCTGTGGCTGTGGCATCGTCGCGCTCGACGCAACTGCTGATACGGTGATGCTTCTCGTACGGCGCTGCTCCAGCGCGGATTCCCGCCGGGCTAGGCCTTGGTATAGTATCGGGACGAGCTCCGCCCAGCGTGCGCGGCACTCAGCGCTCTTCCGCGTCCATACCATCTTGGCGACGTCGTCCCAGTGGCTCACGCCATGTCGTGCTACCGCTTGCTTCAAGATCCTATCTTCGATCTCGGACCAGCGAGCGGATGGCTGCTGTGGGCTGTGGTTTGGTCCTGGCGATGCTTCTTTGGGTGGCTTTGCAGACATTTCTCCTTCGTTTGGATGGGTTTACGCACTTTAGGTAGGTAAGGTAAGTAAACTGATGGGGAAAATTCTCGATGGAAAGATAGGTAGATAGGTAGATAGTTGGCCGAGTCGTTTCTTCCAGAGGCGCTCTTTTTTTTTACTCTCTCAACACTCAACGGTTGTCGTCAAAGCCTCCCGCCGTTTCACCATGCGTAGGCAGACGAGGGACGTAAACGTGACGATGTCAAGGGGTAAAAGAGCAAAACCTTTTTTTCTTCTTCTTCTTCAAACGAATAGATCGGGATATGACCCGAGATCTGACCTTTGCCAAAGCTTAAAGCTCTAAATGTTTGGTCCCTACACGCATATCTGCCGCAGTAGATGCGTTAGAGAAGTTGGTGGTCCTCGCTCTTAAGGTTTACCTTTGTGCCGGACATAATCTTGGCGCGGTGCTGAGTAGTAGAACACATCCGATGTGCGGGTGTGCCGTTTATTGGCGGGTGCGTTTGATGTGATTTAGAGTAGTAGTAGTAGTAGTACCGAGTGCTAGTTTTCATATATGTAGTTGGACCGATCGTGAAACTTGAAACAATTTTTCGCGTGAGGAGTCTATGTGTGTATATAAGTTTTACGCACAATAGTCATAGGGCCATTGTACACAACTGGTTGCCCCTTTCTCGGCTGCTTTGTATGTGTTCCTATAAGGGCGACGCGCGGTGCTTTGTTAGCTTCATAGTGCCGGGTGTAGCTTAGAATCTTTCTGAATAATCCTGCTCTTGTCTTAAAGTGATGATGGTGGTAGTATTTTCTGCCATATATGGTATGATGGTCACGGCGTGAAAGCTTTTGAATTACTAAATTATGTTAGAATAACTGTAAAGTGTTAGTAAATGGTAGTAAACATAGGCATAGCTATATCCCGACTTCTCAACGATGGTAGAACTCCTTTTCATAACTGGGTGGCTCAAGTCCAGTCATTATTTTCAGGACTCCCCCCGGGGTAGGTAAGCAGAGATACACGTGAAGTGGCGGACAAAGAATCTATATGAAATGTACTCTCGAATCGTAGCTACCAGCTACATATCTGTTATGTAATACTTTTGGTAAGATGTTGGTTGAGACGCCTGGTTTACGAGCCGCCTCGCTTGCTAGGTACCTTTTTATATTCCGTTTTTGCTTTCCATAAAGTTCATTATATTATCACTTCACCTACCTTGTTTAGGTGTGACGCGAGGCAATAAAACTTGAGTTTATTTGGATGTATGAGTATGTATCATTTAAGCGACAGCAAAAAGCTCATCTAGGAAGAACTCAACTAATTGTGATGGAAGTTTTCAGTGTATAAATTGTTCCTCTAGTATTTAATAAGTTAATGGTTATTTCAGCTTACTAAGTAGGGAGTGAGTAGGAATATTAAAGTGGTATAAAGAGATTCACATTTGAGTATCTTATGAGGTTGTAATTAGGTAGCTAATATAAAGTCTTAACATCTTTCAAGGTTTAATATCATAACAGCAGAACAGTCTACACACCCATAGCTATCTCCCAGCATGTCATATATCCTTTAGTTTCTCTGGCGAATACCAATAAGCCAAGATGCCCGTTGCAATGCTGGTGGCTGTGCTTGGCAAGCAAGTACATATGCCACATCTCAATGGTATATATCTGAAACTATACTAACCACGGCTCTTGTTGTTCTCCGTGGAGACGCATTATAAACTGTGTTATGATTCGCTGGCCACTCTAGTGTAAAGCTATCTCAACCCCTAAGCCCCAACGGTGGAATTGTATATGCTAGTGCTAATCTCAATCAAGAATTATGGCGTTTTGATAGACCAATGAAGAGTTATCTCGCTTGGGTTGACTAGTCGTAGGCTAGTAATACAGTATAATACATCGTGTGAATACGGTAGTGTCACCTTAGAATCTAGATTGTTACCGCTTCCGGGGACATCTTCTTTTATATGTCTGCTGCTCCTATGTGAGATTAATTCGAATTAAAGGTTTGTATTTGTGTCCGAAAACAACTTTAGATTAATACATGATATAATCAAGTTTCTATTAGCTACATGTAGCTTGGGCGTCAACTACACCACTTATAAAAAGCTCGTGAAATTACTTACTACTCTAGCCGCAAGCCATTTCACTCCTTTGGCACTTTGGGGGAAATACGTACATCTAAAATAGGCACCTAGACTAGAAATAAATAAAAAGAACAAAATTTCGTTAACACTCGTACGTACATGCTAGGTTAGACGCTTCATCTTTGAGTGCCATCTTAGTAAACTATTTTCACTCGTTTCTGAGGCACAGGGGGTAGAGGATCATGTTATCTAACATTGTAACATCGTGTTGCTGCGGGGAGGAAAAATTGGAAAGCTATCTTGAATCTCTACCTTCAGCTGACAGGGGGTCTGCATATCGTCTTCCAATCCATGACCCTAGTTTCAGCCGCAAAACAGTCCGCTATCGCATTTTGAAGTGATATGCCGCAACTACGAAGTCTCGCGGTGGCACTTCATCTCGTTTGGTGTAGTCTCGAGAGGACCAAAGCGTTTCGGGTGGATCCTCTTCTTCCCGCAGATATCGCTATTTGCAGTTGTCCTTCTCTTGGCGTAGATCAATGGACTTGGGATTTCCCTGGCTTAGAAGCTTACCAAGGTTAGGTAGTTTTGGCGTTTTACTGCATAGATGACTTGTCGTGGGCACCTTTAGCTGCTGGTACCCTACTACCCTTGCGCCTGTCAGTTGGTGAAGTATTTGTTTCGCTTATGGCTTATTGGTAGGCGGGCGAGTCATAGTCCACACGAGGCGCTCTTCGTTCGTAAAAACCATACAGGGTCTGACGGGTACATATGGGGTAGACAGTCCCTTTCCTGAGTCGCTTGATATTTCTACCTAGTTTTCTTTTCGTAGTGACCGTTTTGCTATTCACAGGTCTCTGCGACGTGATTCTCTTTTAATCATTACCCCTTTGTGTGCCACGATGGAGCAACCACAGTCGAAGTACTCGAACCAGCGAGTTCCTGGAAAGGAACATATTCCCCTTTACCCTAAAGGATTCGTTGCCATCCGCATTATTCAGTTAATTTTCGGCATTATATGTTTGGGATTAAGCGCTTTCGGTATCGTCTATCTTGTTTTTGCAGGAGATGCCCTGACGCTTTTTACCGTATGTGAACCTCAACAGCCAACAATTCGGACCAATATTAAGAAGAAACTGACAAGATAACCAGTCTATTGCGACTATCATCACTAGTATATATTGTCTCGTCGCCCATTTCGGTCCCGCGAAGGCTTATAACTACTGGGCAATACTTGGCTTGGATATATTCCTTGTTATCTTCTGGCTAATTTCATTTGCCATCCTTGCTGCTCAAATCGCATCCGCGTTCGCTGAATATAACGCATACAGCGACTACTATGACGGCTACTATGATTTTAGCGAGTACGATGCTATAGTTAATACGTATGGCGGTAGCTTAGCTGCTGCTGCAGGTTTAGGTGGTGTAGAATTGTAAGTCATTGGATGTAGGCTTCTCGCTATATTTACGCAACTCTAATGTCATTTAGTCTTCTCTATGTCATCTCACTTTCGATCCACGGCGTCATGCTACACCGGCACCGAAAGGCCGGTCTCAAGGCCATGCCCATTCACGGGGCTCCCAGTGGTACAGGTGCTGGCGTTGAACTGGCCGGCGGAGAGAAATTTCAGATGCAGCCTCAACCTGCGCAAGTCTATCAAGAACCCAACCCTATGGCTGGGCATCCTCCGCCTCCCCAGGGATACTATCCGCCGCAGTCGCCGTCCCCGCTCTCTTCTCAGCCCACAGGCAGTACTTATGTTCAGCCCCAGCAGATGGGAAACCCCGGTCAGCCTATCTACGAGGCTCCTGGTCAAGCCCAACAGTATCACGCTGCTCAGTAATCTAGGAAGGATACCCTGGTTGATGGAGCATGAATGAATTGTTTTCGAATGAGTTTGTACGGTAGCTAGCAGGTCATACATATATCTCATTCCATGCAATGCTAAGTAGGCTGATTTAGTAGAGCGAAAACTCGGAAAAAAACAAAATAAAATCTTCTATATTTAGAATCGGCTAGGCCTTGGGAATTCTCAAGGCGCATCTATAAACTGTACGCCGAAACGGAAAAGTGACTTTTGACTTCAACTTCGTAAATTTCCCATACTTTGTGTTGTTAAAAGGAACGTGGTTTCGGGAGTGCTGCTTGCGACCTCTGGAATGTATTCTTTCACCTGTATTACCGAAACCGGGAATAGCTATACGGAAGCATCCAATCATGTCCCAAGGATTCCAATTGTTGTCTAAAACCATTATACCGAGTCCGTCTTTGTCTGTTTGATAACTTTTCTGCGAGCCCTTGATTTTGGCCGTCTTTTTAATCACCATCTCTCATAAACCTCTAGCCCTCTCTAGTCAAATCTTGCTTGAGTCATCGTTTAACTTCTCAGGGGTTTTACTCCATACTATTATACACTATACATTATTACATTATTACATATTGAAGGAATCAACAATAGCATAAGAATTGAAGACTGTTCTGCGTACGGACTTAACATGTCGGGAATACAAGACGGAGATAAGAACAAGAAGGGGTCAGGGAGGCGCAGAGCGCTCTATACTCCACGAGACACAGATGTCAGAGAGTACCCTAAAAATGTCTTTGAATACGTAGCCCACGGAATATTTGGGGATCCTGATCACAAATGGGGTCCGTTTGCCAGACATGTCCGGGCGGCTAAGAAAGAAGGACGTTGGAATGAGTGGAGGCTTCGTGATATCGTGAATGAGGAACCTGATGATTCGGGGGACGAATCAGATGACCACCATAGGAGACGAAGCAAAGTTTCACGAAAAGCCTCGCAAAGATATAAAATAACCGAAGAGCTAAGACTCGACAGTCGCCCTGCGCATATCGACTTCGAACAGCTTCTTGGTCGCATAGCCCATCCTGGAGATTACGATGATAACTTTTATAAGACGCACTACGCCAACCTATACGCTAAAACGGTAGACTTTGCAACTAAGTGGTTCGATGGCAACGTGAACTTGGAAAACTTCAGTCACCCGGCCCAGATCTGGACTTCTAATATGACGGAGCAATTTGCTGAATACACCCGCCTGGTTGCCCATGAAGATCGAGGAAACGGTGGATGGCCCATCGTATTAAATGATGCGACGCAACGAAAATGGCTTGTTGTTGGCATCCTCGGCCAGGTTATGGAGAAGAAGATTTTTAGTGAGCTGCTGTTCGGAGCAGACGAAGATACCGAAGAGGAATTAGAGAGACTTGACTTTAAGTGGATGGAAAAAGAAGGTAGGTTATTGAAGCCCAAGGGATTTTCTCCTTTACTCAAAACAAGATAAATTATGATTTACTGACACATTTTTATAAAGGTTACGACCGTAAGACCGCTCGTGCTATTACTGCGAGGTATGGTGTAGAAGGAGGACTACTCCCAGCAGATTTTTGGCCCGCGGTCGACGAGCTGGCGGCCAAGACTATGAATATTTTCCTACCGTTTCTAAACGTTTTCAAGGAAGTCCTCCCGGGACAGGCAAACGCATGGTACTCGAAAACGGTATTCTTGCAAGAATTGCACACGATAATTTCGTACGCGGGTATGATTCAAGTCTGCATGGCCATCTCGCCTTCTATTTTCCATTTCCTCTCCGCCACGCCCGGCGCCCGTATGGATTACGGGCAGGAGGAGCAGGCTGATATGCAGCTGTACCGCGAATCCAAGGAGCTGTACGAGGGAGAGGATAAAGTCTGGAATGACTACGTCAATGCCGCCGTGCAGGGCTCCCGTGTCAACAGGCGCGTTCAGCAGCCGATCCAGATACCCCAGAACGATAAAGAACGCCGCGTCATGGAGTACCACAGGATCCGCGGCGCCAAGGTCAAGTTCGCAGTGTTCCCCAAGGTCACGCGCTACCGGCCTTATAACAAGGGCAAAGGCACTGCTGAAGCCACTTTCAATTATGATCCTAAAGATGAGGCCTGGACGGATGAGCGCAATGAAATCGAAGGCCAGACCATTAGCGATATCTCAAACTGCATGGTTGTTTATTACCAGGGCTTGATTTACCCCGAGGAAGACTACGTCGAGGCCATAACCCTAGATGAGCATTTGCATACGCTTCTCTGGCAGCCGAACGGTCTATACGGATTGCTTGAGGCAGGCTTCGTGACTCTGTTCGGCGCGTCCAGAAGGGCATTCTGGCATGTTTTGGTGGCCGGCGGGTTTCTTTGGGGCTTATTCTCGGTCTATAAGGGATTCGACTACATTACATATCTCGTCAACTTCTGGCTCATCCCTCTCCTCTGGGTTTCTTGCTGCATATATTTCCTCGCCAAGCCTCACATAGAGCAAGGAAACTGGAGGAAGGGTGGACTTATCATTGGCGCTTGGGTATCGTTCTTATACCTCATCGGCGCTTATTATACTCTTACGGGTGTGGAACCCCCGCCGCGTGACTCGAGAGTAGGCTGGGACTTCTTTGGAGGTCAAATCAACGAAACCATTGGCGACAGGCTTAGAGATTTATTGAAGCAAAAGGAAGTCGAGGAAGTGCTATAGAAGAACGCGTGAGCTAGTAGATGGGACGGGGAGACGTGGGTCTCGGTGATTGGCGGTGGTTATAGAACGGCGATAGAGTGATGACGATGGTTATTACAGTGGTGGCAGTGGTGGTGCACACGGTTTGGTGTCCGGTTTGGTAATGTTATTTATTGTTTTAGTTCTTAATGGTATTTTTGCTTTGCCTTTTTTCTGTATTAATATTGTATTCCGCAATCAGGAGATCATTTAACTAAGTAGATTAAGTCCTCGGCCGGGAAGAAAATGAATAAATGAATGCCAATGTTCTAGATTACATCAGGGATCCGATACCACTTACATTAGGTACTTGGCAGTGTCTGGGGAATATCGTGGACATACCGTACAACTGCCGAGAAGAAGTTGGGGAAGTTAGATATGTTCATATATAGAGTATCCCTTACCCCTTGTCCAAGTAAGTGGGCCATTGCTGCTATCTCCGCACATTTACCATGGTGATCTTCAAACATCGTACGGTAGAGATCGAAGATAAAAGAGGGCCAGTTCTGTCCATTGCATGTTTACCTACTTAGCTCTTGATTCTATCGTCTCCTCGACTGTATCTCCAGGTAAAATTGAGACGGGATAACAACCGATATGGCGCCTAAATACTCAGATCCCCTATATCAGGAAGCCCACGAGGAAGCTTTTTCAAAGCCACTCGTTGCAAAGATCAAGACGGTTTTGCCACCAGACGTATCTCAAGAGGATTTCGCCTCAGCTTTAGAGAAAATAGTGGCAGCTTTAGGAAATGACGCTGTTTTTACTGGAGACGGCTTGAAAGACTATGTTGACCCTTATGAGATCCCTGAGGCAGGGCATGAAAGGAGCGTGCCAAGCGCTGCAGCTTGGTAAGGAACTACCTCCTTAGAAAGATTCGATCTCACCATTCGAGCTATTAACCCACCGAACAGTCCATCCTCAGTGTCAGATATCCAGGCCGTTCTGAAGATCGTAAACGAGTATAAAATCCCGGTGTGGACTTTCTCAAGGGGAAAGAATCTAGGGTATCATATAGCTGAATCGTTGCTCGAGAATAGGCGAGGACTAACATGATTTTCAGGTATGGAGGGCCCGCACCGCGTGTTCCTGGAAGTATCGCTCTAGACCTGCACCGGATAAACAAGATCATAGAGGTAAATGAAAAATTCAGTTACGCGGTAGTTGAGCCTGGAGTTACCTTCGGGGACTTATACGAATATTGCGCGAAACATAAACTCAAGGTGTGGCCGAGCACGGCATCTCTGGGATGGGGTAGTGTCATTGGCAATGTGGGTTCTTACTCGCGATAGTGAGAGACAACTTGATTTTAACGTTACTAGGCTCTTGATAGAGGATTGGGATTTATCCCGACGGGAGTCCACCATGAAAACATAGCCGGTATGGAGGTTGTTCTGGCGAACGGCGACGTCGTCAGAACAGGTCAGTTCGCCATGTCTAACTCGCCCTCTTCGCATACAACAAAGTTGACATTCGGCCCTACGATCGATGGTCTCTTCCTACAGAGCAACCTCGGGATAGTGACTAAAATGGGTATTAACTTAACACCGCAGCCGCAAGCATACATGGCCTGCTCGTTCGACGTGCCCGAGTTCGAACATATCGAGACCATAGTTGATGTCTTTGGCGAACTACGACGCAACGGTACTCTACCATACATGGTCTACGTCTTCTACATTGCAGAATGGGCTACCATGTTTGGCAAGCATTCAGATTGGTGGAAAGGTGAGGGACCAATTCCTGACTGGAGACTGAAAGAAATGCAAAAAGATTTAGACGCTGGCATCTGGACTGTCAAGTTTGGACTTTACGGGCCGACGGAGATCATCAAGGCCCAGTTCAACGAAGTAGAAAGAGTTGTAGCAAAGAAAGCCCCCGATGGCCGCCTTCGCCAAACTCTTTTCGCCGGAGAGGACGGAAATCTTTTAGAAGCCACTGCTGTCTCTCCGCTCTACGGTGGTGTCAGGGTCGGAGTCCCAAGCATGTGGAATATACCGATGGTGAACTATTATAACCGCCGGGATGATTCGGTTGGAGCACACGGAGCGTACTCGCCCATCGTACCCCTGGACGGGAAGACGGTACTCGAATGGGCCAAGACAGCCAAGGGCATCTGCGCGGAGCAAGGATTCGATTTCCTATGCGATTTCTTTATGCACGATCGATATGCTATTTTTGTCACGATGCTCTGCTTCGATAAGACCAGCCCAGAGCAACGGACGGGCGTGGATAAAGTGTTTCGTAACCTCTTTAGAGAAGGTAGTAAGCGGGGTTTCGCCAAGTATCGGGCACATATCAACCATATGGGTAAGTTTTATCCCGGGAGATAGATGGACTGTTATAAGTAATACTACTAATACTTGATAGATTTGAATGCGGACCTTTTTGATTTCAACAATCATGCTTACCGCCGTTTCGTCGAGAAGTTGAAGGTTAGTCTACTCTACTCCTCTCCTCTGTACGTACTGGCTGGCTGGGATTTGGAACTGAATATTCAATTTATCTATAGGAATCTCTGGATCCTAACGGTATTCTCTCGCCCGGGAAGATGGGAATATGGCCGGAAAGGTTGAAATGGTTAAGAACAAATAGTCAAGTTGCTAAGATGTAGTGGATCGAAAATAAGGGGTATCTTATAATAGATATGTTAGGTACCTAAGTATAAAGGTTGGCCAAGTATAAATATGATAGGTCATTCCCAACTATCGTCAAAAAAAGAAAAACGTATGTTATAGCCATAACCGACTCCGAGGCACTCTATGGTAAGAGATTACTACGTACCTGTAATACCTACCTGTAAGTATTGTATCGTGTTGATATATGTCGGTTAGTTAGACTCCTAAATTGGTCAAGTTGACTTATATAGCCTGAAGGGCTTTAAACCTCTTAACCGCTATCCCCAATGATCTAGTTGTATATTTGAGATTTCATCGAGCCAGAGATAAGAAATACTTCAGTATTTTGGTTATCACTCAAAAGGTGGAAATGCTATTGAAACTTGACCCGGCAAATAGGAACCACGATGGCTCACGATGGCTTAGATAACAACCTCGTGTCACACGCAAACAAGCCCCCAACTTGATTGTGAAATGCAACGGCTTTAGCCAATCAATATCTCGAATCGGGGTGCCCCTCGCTATATGCATGTAGAAGAAAGTACTTATTTGAGACGCGTTCGACGCGTTTGGTGGCTTTCCAGCACAACAAGTCCCATCACAAATATTATAAAGAGAGAAGAGATGCCCAAGCGCAAGAGGCCAAGTTACTATGCAGTTCGAGTCGGTAGGAAGCCCGGCGTGTACGATAACTGGGAACAATGCGAAGAACAGGTCTCCAAGTTCTCAAACGCAGCTTTTAAGGGTTTCGACACACTTGACGCCGCTCAAGCATTTGTTGGCGATGCCTTAACTCCCGACACCGACCATATAGACGAGGAGAGTGATGATAATGATTCGGCGCGACACGACACTCTCGCGTCCTTGGGGGACTCGACGGGTCTTACAAGCTTCAAGGCCAAAGATGCCGAAGGGCTAATGCCGCCGCCCGCATCGCAGTCTTACTTTGACCAATTCCCAGACTTCGTGCCCGACAACAACGCGCCTTTCGACGACGAATTCGGCCGTCTGGCCTCGTCTCAGGGCTTGGCGTCCGGGACCCAGGAGTACAGGAGACAGCGGACCAAGGCGATCCGCGACGAGTTGAAACTCCACTACTCGACTCAACCCGCGAGGGCCCTGCTGGCCATACCCGAGCTGGGGAAACGATCCCTCGACGAGAGGGAAAAGCTCGACATCTATCAGAACATGTGCCGCGAGATCGGCGTCAACCCGCGCGACACCGTCGGGGCGTGCAGACGGGAGCTTAAGGGGGTTCTGGTCAATATTGTCGATTACATCGATGCCCGCCGCGTAGGAACAAAAGTCAAGATATGGGCCTGGGAGGACTTCCGTCTGTTCAGTGCGTATTCTTTGAGAGGCGATAAACGTATGGATAGGAACGAAGCGAAGGCAGACGGGGGATTCCTGTCGGCTCTCTTGCAGAAGATAACGGGTCCTGGCCCGGGGGAGAGGGGGTTGGCTTCGCTGGCTGCTGGCAATGGAAATGCTAAAAGAAGGAGGACTCGTTAGGGAGGATTAGGGGTTGTAAAGCATGTTCGTGTGTTTAGGTATCTTGTAGTTTATTGGCTAGGTAATATCTGCTATGAATTAACGATATTTTTGTTTAGGATGCAGGTTATGGACTACTTAAACAGATAGGAGAGATTAGTTTGTATCCAACGAATATAAAAGAAACAAGTTTGTCTCGATATATAAGCTATTTTTTAAACCGAATATTTGAACTTGGGAGGCCATATCAGCCAAAGTAATGTCAAGTAATGTCCGCTGATTTATAACCATTTATAATAGGTTTTATCCTAAGTTACTATTACCGCTATTTATATCCAATTTCCATACCATTAATTTTCCCGAATGACAGAACCTCAACTCCAACCCCATCCCAACCACCAGCTGCGCATTACATCTCGTCTCATCTCATCTCATTACACCGACATATATGTACCTAATATAACCTATTAAGCCTTGCGTCTTAAGCTCTTGCCCCTCTCGAGCAAGCCCAAATCCCACCATCCCTCAATCACGCCCCAGAGGGTCTTCCGCTTCGGTTTCGGCTTAGCCGCCATCTGCATTTCTAGATCTCGCCCCCTTGTCGGGCTCAAAGGTGTCGCCTCGTCGTCTTCGTGCTGTATCTGAACCTTCCTACTCTTCGCACGGACCAACATTCTCCCCACTGGTATCCCGAGAGCATCCCTGGGTAAAGGGGGCACTCTGCTAAGCCGGTAGTCCTTTAGCTTAGGCGAGGCAGGGGTGGGCGTGATGGGCGTGAAACCGTCGTCGCTAGGGGTTGGGGGGATGACGACTGCGATGGGAGGATGGGGCATTCTTTTCTTATCGCTGACACTGCGGTGAGATGGTTTGTGTATGATAGGTATATAGTCTTCCTCGGATGAACCGGACGAGCTCAAGGACCTGGCTGCGGATGGGGCTATCATCACTGGAGCCGGAGCGGAAATATTGCTCCCTAAAGGCTGACCCCCGAAGATGGTCGGACCTGAGTTGGCATTCACTATAACTGGAGGTAGCCGAACCGGTCGGGTATCTTCGTCGACAGACCGAAAAATAGGAGGGCGACGCGCGGGTTGGGGCGGGGGGATCCACCGATCGGAACCCTTGGCGGCAAGGAGTCGAGTTCCAAGAGCGGTCGGTCCCGAATTCTGCTGCAGGGGACCAAAGCCCCTCTCGGATTTCTCAGTTACAGCAGCTTCCCCGGAGTTCCCACGCGTGCCCGCGCGCCCCTAACCTTCGATGTCCTTAGGAGCAGCAGCGGCGGTGGCCTTGGTGCGGCGCCACAGTCCGACGCAGATGACGCTGGAAAAGGCGAAGAGCACGCAGAGCGCGATGCTCAGACCCCAGACTGCCTTGATCTCGTAGCAGTGCGGCTGGTCGGTTGTAATCAAAGCCAGGTAGTTGTTGTACTTGGCAGCTGCTGAGGCATAGTTACGAGCTGAGATGGACACGGTAAATGTTTGGGTTTGTGCGATAGGCTGTGGAAGCAGCTCGCACTTAAGTAAGGATAGGGGCTTTCCAATAGTGACTGCGACTACGATAGCGGCGACGAGGAGCGCTAGATCTATCCCGCTCGCGATTAGAAGAGGGAGAAGCTCGTCGTAGTACAGGATGTATGAAATCGAAACGTAAAGCGTTGCGATACTTGCCTTCAGAGTTGTTAGCAGGAAGTTTAGGCAAAAGGGGTAGGAATTTGCACACGTACCACGGCAAGGGTGCCAACCAGCACGTCCGGCACGTCGCGTTCCAAGGTTACGATCTCATTGATGAAGTTGGCGGTTATGCCGATGATGGCGATGAGCGAAGCAAATTGCATCGCCCGGAAAGCTATGAAGGTCACGCCGAGGGCGCCGAGCTGAGGTGCCTGGAAACGCATTCTCAACGGGATGCCTGTTTCGAAGTCGGTTATAAGCGAGAGTTTCGGACGAGGCTTGTCGGACTTGAGGACGGTGCGCAGAGGGAGACTCCGCGGCGGATATGGGAAAGACGACCGGGGGCTTGAGGAGTGAATTTTGAATGAGGGACGGCTCGAGACCGAATTGACAGATGGGAAATGAGCTTTTTTGACCTCGGATGAGCGAGGATTTGGACTGAAGCAGATCTACTGCGATAGAAAAGACCGATATAGATATAAACCGAGAAGATCGTAAGTAGGAAAACCGTTTCGTATAACTTAGAGAGAAAGAGTCGTTGAAATCCAAAGACCGTCCGTTATATCGTGATAGTAGACCCTCCCAAAATAGTGACCGAAAGGAGACAAGGGAAATAAGGAAATAGAGAAAGACTCAAGGAAAAAAAAAAATAGAATACTGCTGAGAGATTGTTTAGTTCGTGAGGTATGAGAAAAAGAAGGTTGTCGATTATTGGGGGTCTCTACATCTTAAATATCTAACATCATACATCACATCGAATATGGTATAAGCCAAGTCCGTCTAGATTCTTTCAATATCCATCGTCTACCTTAGGTTACAACTCTCGCGGCAAAACATCCCTGACTCGATCTTCTTTCTGAGCAGCCGCGTCTTGGCTATCATTGTTTGCGTCTACGCATCGCATCCACAATGCTATTTTCGCAGACATAATATCGGCACTTGAAGCGGATAGCAGAATCACGACGCGCGGGTGTGTCCAATCGGGGGAGAGATGATCGTCGTTACCAGGAACCCAGCATAAAACACCCAGGCCGTCGTGGATATCGTCGCCATGAACGATAGTCAAAAATAGACCAATAGCACCTCGTTCGCCTAGCGTCGTCCTAACCCCCGGCAATTAGCATTATTGTCGGGGAGTTCTGGTTGGCTAACGGCTCAGCTAAGGCGAAATGAAATCGGTGGGTCGATCAGGGATGGTTAAGCGCGGGCCGCGGTTAGCAGCCTTGGTGTTTGCGACTGTAGCCGCCGACATGGATTATTATATGAGCACGGGTATTAGTTTGTTGTTTTAAGTCGATCGTCAATTGTCGACCAATAGGTTGGCTAACCTGTTTTTCCCTTGTAAAACAACCGGTCCGCATACGATAAACACCGTAGACTTGGGAAGGCGGCTCTGTTGCTATGCAGTCATGGAATTCCCAAGCCGCATTGCTTCTTTACTGGTCAATCTAACTATGGTGGAGATTAAGCAGAAGTTTCGGAAGCTTAGAAGTCCTATCATCATTAACATAACCCTGACCTTGACCTGAAACAGCGATGGCAAATACGATATTTAGAATATCGCATCGTACGTGTTAGGTTAGCAACATCGTAACAGGCGGGTGGTGGTGATACGATATCATATGGTGCTGAAAATCGCGTGAATTTTATTTCTGTCTGTGGTTTGTTAGTCTTCACAAGAGTTCTAATCAAATGGAAACACTGTCGATCTGTAACTTGATCAGTTTAGGTTGTATCGTAGTCATTTTACTCCCAGGCGCCCTTTTGCGAATGTGTTAAGACCATTCATGTGCAGTCCACTAAATAACATGAAAAAAAAAAACCTGAAAAAAGACCACTGCCAATCAACCTCCAATTCTAAGTTCTGAGCAACGTTGTACGTTGCTAATATCGTCAATGTGATATACAGTCTCCTATTTTTTTTGTAGGTATGCATAGACTCCGCCTTGGCTAAGACCTTGTTACGGGTTAGGGTAGTCCTCTAACCCAACAAGTCGTCCAAGCCACTGCTTCCGCCTGCTTGTGAACTACCTGCAGGTTTTTGCGTGCCTGCTGCCGGCGCCCCCCAGAGTGATGCGCTGGTCTTCTCCTTGGCGAGCTGACCCATCTTCGGTCCTGCAGTCGGTGTGCTCGCTTTCTTCAAACCGTTACCGGCTTGGCCCCAGAGATTCGCAAACGGGTCACCACCGGCGGTGGGCTTAGCCGTCGCCGGGGCTGCTGGTTTGTTAAGCGCTGATAGGCCGGATGAAGTGGAAACACCAGTTGCGGACGATACCCCAGAGATTGATGAACCCGTCGGCTGGGCTTGGACGGACTGATAATAATTAGGAGTTGCCGCTTGATAGCTAGTCATCGGCTTTGGCGCTTGTGCAGACATACTCGCGGCTGTCGGTATGCTGAAAGACGAGTAGTTAGCTGCAGGTGTCGTGGTGGTGCTTGCGGGAGGTGAGATCGACGACATCATGTCGCTAAGGTTAGCTTGCTGGGGCCCGGACACAGGCTTTGGCGCAGCGAACTGGGCGGTGGAATGAGCGTTCGACGTCACCATAGGCGGGATACCGACGTTGTTTGAAGGTGCGGGCGTTGCCGATTGGAAATCATCAAAATCGTCGTCATCGTTGTTGGCCGTCGACAGAGCAGCCAGTCCAGAAGAACCATTCGATGGAGTAGCCGTAGAGGCGGTCGCCGCAGGAGCAGGGTCGTCAAAAGAGAAGAGGTCAACCTCGGGCTCTTTTTTCTTTGCAGGTTCGACGGTCTTCTTGACGCCCATCCTTTCATTACGCTCGGGTCGCTTCGCTCGAGACGAGCTCGACGGCGCAGATCCTTCATCGAACTCGTCATATTCTTCGAACTTGTCTGCACGACTAGCGCTGGTATCTTTCCAGTCATCAGACTGGCCTCCGAACCCGCCACCATCTCCGTATACACCGCCTGAGTACCCGCCATAGTTGCCCGACTCGCTACCGAATCCCCCAAAACGGCTGCTACCAGAGAAACCTCCCATAGTACCGCCTTCGACTCCCGTGTACTTGGCCTTGTTGGTTCTGGCCTTCTTCCGCTCTGCTCGGATCCGATCGACGTCACCTAGGAGTTCCGCAAGTTCCTTTGCACGATTTCGGACGTTGATGCCCTGGTCCTTGCCGTTCTGATCGATGTAGTGAAATTGCCGTAGCATCTTTAATAGCGTTATATGGCCGCGCGCATCGTCGATGACTCGTTCCGAGCCGTGCTTGATCAAGAATTCGAGAAGTTGAAGCGCCTTGTATATTTGCCTCCATTCTTCGGCGGCCTTTTCGGTGAAACGACGGTAGATCATGGGCATAATTTCGTTGAGAGTTTGGCTAACGTCGGTCAGCGTCAGTAAGATAAACGCGTGGGCAGGACTATGATCGCGTACTAGTTAAAGGTGCCATTGGCGATTTCCTGCATAAGAGTAGACGAGGCGCCCCATGGTTCGTTATTAGTAGCTTCTCGCACCTGTTGCGCGCGTAAGTAACCGCAATATCAAGCATCTTAGGTTAGAATCAATTGAATTGTTACCGACCTTAGATTCCATCTCGGTGTAATTCATAACAGCTATAATATCCAGATAAGTTAGCATCCAGGTTTCGGCCGAGGCATACATCGGGTGTATAAGACGAGTACATACCATTCTGAACCTTGCGAACACCAGCCTTAAGATCGTATAGCGTTAGGTTGGTCACCTGGTCTTTCAGACTGTTGAAATCCATCTTGTGCCGTAGTTATTCTGTCCCGATCAGGGACCAAGAGAGAGGATCGAGGTTGTGGTAGGAGGTAATAAGATAGCGAGCTGAGGGAAGTAGGTTTAAAGCAGTTTTCTGATTATATTTCTCGTTTTATTGCTTTATTGTTCTTGTTTAGCTCAGTTTCGAAACGTTGCTAAATGGATGAATTGCGGTATCGAAACTGCATCTGGCAAAACTGACACTTCGACTTTCCTACCTTCCTTTCGGACCCCTGACAAACGCTGCCCGACTTGTGCAATGGCCACCTTGATAACTTATGGGATCCACATCCGGCACTGCGGACTCCTTACGTCAGCGAGACTATAGACATCACGTGACTAGAGCATGATTATCTCATACATACATGTCACCCAAACAAAGAGACGCTTAAATTTCTATAGTTTAGGTATTTATTAATATAGTAGTGATTTACTAACATTCAGATTTGAAGACAGAGATTGAAAAAGGCATAGTACGTATATCTAATTGGTCAAGTAGACAAAATGATAGAATGGCCAGAATAGCAGAATAGCCGGTCCACTTTAGTGTATAGATTTATAGAGAGCTCGGACCAGGTTAAACTTTTGTAGGGCTCCCAAAGATCCCAGAAAATTTGAGAGCTCTGCTCAAGCTTGACTCCCACTATTGTAAACTACGTTATCCGGCCTCGAATTTGCTCTACTTATATTTGGAGTGACGGTTTCATTGCATTATACAACCCGCCTATAAGGTATGTGAGAACGGTTCTTAGAGTTGTTATCGAATTTGTACTTTGTTAAGCTTGAAAGGAAGTTCTCAAAGCTCCAAGCGGAGCTTCTAAACAGCACAATCTTCGAATCATAACTTGTGGTTACGTTAGAAAGCTGTGAGCTTGTTGGTTTGTAGCGGTTTTTCTTTTTCTTTTTTCTTTTTTTTATATACAGAAGGCTGTATTAGTGTCGACCTCTTGCGCAAAATGATCATCTCTCAACTTCCAAAGACAGAAGCAAGGCTGGAGAACAATTGTTTCAAGCCAAGTTGCGGCCCAGCGACGACATGTCTCTCCATCTGTCCTTTACAGGCCGAAGCATGCCGAATCTGTGGGCGGTCAGATAGATGGGTGGAAGTGGGGTGAAAGCTGCAGTCTTGCCCCAGCTGCTCTGTGTCCGCCTCGTTGGTGTATGTCTGCGTATGTCTGCGTATGCGTGTGTGTAAGTCGTGGCATGCGTTTCTAGTGGCCTACTTGTCGCATGTTTGAAGACGCTATACTCGAGCAGTCCTACATACCTACTACATATCTACCGGCAGCATCACACGCTTGTTGCAACAAGCGTGGCGAGAAGCCGAAGACACTATGCTGCATGCAAGGAGCACAAAACATTGCTAAGGCACGGCACGGCATTGCACTGCCACCCTCTTGCCCTCTTTTCTCCGGAGAGTCGTTGACCTATCCGATGGAAAGACGCACGTGGAATTTAGTCCGAATATGTCTAAGAGCACGTCATCGGCGTCCTTGACAGCACGGAGAACACAGTGGATTTCCGTATTAGTTGAGGAGCCTTTCAACTCATTGCCGGCTAGAAGACCGTCGGAAGCACTTGGTTGACCGATATCCTTCGAGCGAGGTGAATCTACTCGGCGTTTACTTTATTAATATAAAAGCCGAAGACTTGTCCTCTTCGGAGCCCTTATTGGAATAGCCAGAGGAATGATGGATAGACGGAGTACTCATCCAGACCCCTGACCTCCATGCCCCTTTGATCACAAATTCCATCCCCAGTTCTAACCCCAGTTCTAGTTCGGACTGAGAATTGGCGGGGAGAAAAAGGGGGGGGATACATTCTTTCCTCTGGCTTTTAGTTACGTTTGTTTCCGTTTTTGTTGTTGTTGACGTTATCCCCTTTTCAAAACTTACCCCTTCTCCTTCTTATTACCTCTTATTTGTTTGCTTTTTATTAGAAAAATCAGTCCAAGAATACCAAACCATCTCAACCTACTTGTACATTAATCCCAATTAGTTCTTGTTGGGATTGAATTCATACATGGTACATGTAGGTAATGGTTACATGTATTGTCGTACCATTGTACTTCTATACATGTGTACATACCTATGATGTATTTCTTAGTGGCATGCATGTGGGTAATATGTTTAGGAAGTCCGCCTCAAGTGAAAGCACCTAAACTGTTAAAGTGGATGGAGTGGGGTGGGAAGTGAGTGAGAATAAGTGACGACAGCTCCTTCCAAGTTTAACCCCTCCACAGTATATACAAGTACCCGTGTACCTAAGGCTGTTACGATGCTGCTAAGATGCATGCAGTACCACACTTTCACCCTCATAAACCCCACTTGCAACCTGTAGCCCCCTCGGAAAGAGCTTTTTTTTGCCTCCATCTTTATTATGTGATTGGTCAGTAGCTTGAGCTGACCCCTCCCTTAGCAAATCCCAATACAGTACCGCAAAAAGATGATGAGACAGACCTTCTTCCAACCCCTCCTTCGAGTGCCCCGCGCTGCGTTTTCTTCCTCCTCTTCCTCATTTTCAACTTCGTCTTCCTGCTTTCGACCTTCAATCTTCCCAAAGGCATCATCAACTTTCTCTTCTACTCCAGCAAGCCAATCGTCCGTTCGATTCTTTTCCGCAACCTCAATCAATATGTCTGGCAACATTAAGGTGTAAGTCTTACCTTCATCTTTAAATTCTAACTTCTTACTGTAGACTTTTATTTTCGGATGGAGCTAACACATTGTCCAGCTTCTTTGATTTGGAGTGGGAGGGTCCCGTCCTAGAGAATGGCAGACCTACTGCTACCGTGAAGAGTAAGTTAGATCCCATCCCAGCAATTCCACCAAAGCTTCTGCTATCTCGATAAGCTTCATCTTCTATGCACCAGAGCTGTCTATATTATTCATATATTCGTTAGGAAGCTCAATTGGTTCCCAAAACACTGTTCAGCACCGTATATTTTTATTTATTCTTAGCTATTTAGAGCTGACATATTATCTATTTCATAGCCCAGACCGGTCGTATCAACCTGGAGCTCTGGAAGCCCCTCGTACCCAAGACCGTCGAGAACTTCCGTGCTCTTTGCACCGGCGAGAAGGGCTTCGGCTACAAGGGCTCATCCTTCCACCGTATCATCCCCGAGTTCATGCTTCAGGGTGGTGACTTCACTCGTGGCAACGTATGTCGATTTCCTCTCAATACTATCATAGTCTGCTTTTGAGCCGACTTCTAACAACACAATAGGGCACTGGTGGCAAGTCCATCTACGGCGAGAAGTTTGCCGACGAGAACCTCGATATCAAGCACACTCACCCGTACACCTTGTCCATGGCTAACGCTGGCCCCAACACGTAAGTTTTATTCACGTTGCTGTGTCTTTCCATCTTGTACTCCCTTAGCTATTATTTCCTAACTAACGTAACTTGTATTTAGCAACGGCTCCCAGTTCTTCATCACCACTGTCAAGACAAGCTGGCTAGACGGCCGCCACGTCCCCTTCGGTGTCGTTGCGGACGATGCTTCCATAGCTATAGTCAAGGCTATCGAGGCTACTGGCTCCCAGAGCGGTGCTATCAAGTACAGCAAGCGACCTACCATCGTCAACTCAGGCGAGCTTGCCTAAATGAAAAGATGACAAACTTTTCATCTTAACTGCATGTAACATTTCTATTTGGCCCGCGATGCTACCAACTTGCCTCCTTTCAAGTATTGGTCTAGGCCACACAAAAAGGCATATGGAAACTCAGGGAGGGTCAATTTGCGAGACAGTTCAACAAGCAATTCTTTAGACGCTAGGTAGTTGCCAATAACAAGTCTTGTTTTAAATCATATATATTTAGTCCAAGTTCGGTGACACGTCGTTGTAATTGTAGCCTGACTGTCCTGGCCGTACTGACCAACATTAGTGGCTTTGTCCGGATTTGGTAAAACTCTCCCAATGTTTTTTTTCTCGTCCTTAGTTGTGATATATGTATTTTCCCCGCCATAAAACACCATGCTATGCTATGTCGGAAAGCAAAAACGCCACTTATACCTTGGGTATACATTATACCTTATAATAACCATTTGTCAAAATATTCGCACCCTCCCGCCCATACAGGACCACCTTCTTCGCACAGTTCAAAGACAGGGCATTTGCCGCAAGGCACGGTTGTCAAGCCATTAGTTCTTGGATCCCAGAAATCTTCGCTGTCTAGCTTGACCATGTCCGGATGTTGCTTAGACACACGCACGGCCCTGTAGCCAACTCGGTCACCAGTCTTGACCTCCTCGATCCTGTTCTCCCAGATGAGAATGTCGATAAGCTCCTGAACGTGTTCTGTCTTCAGCGGCTGTCCTTTGGCTATGTGCATAGAGACGATTTCTGCCGTAATCTCCTCGGCCGTGGGGTAGCCCATATAACCTGCAGGTAGAGGGAGGCGGAGGGCCCCGCGGACCTTAGATGCGGGAGGTATATGGCGTGTATTGTCATCTTTAGACATTGCGTCTGCGGAACGTTTTTTGCTCTTTATCGCGGCCTCGGATAACCCACCTCTTATTACGCCCTTCTTTGGCAAGACTGGGCTCACGCTTCGAACGCCTCGTTCTCCCGTACTTCGATAGCTACCCCTATCCTTTATAATGCGCACCACCACAGCCTGCAAGGTGTCGATGAAGGCCTCGTCGAGATATTGATCAGTGTACCAAGGGCCGCCTGTTGCGCGGGCAGAAGGCTGCATGTTAAACTTGATCCACATCTTCTTGGACATGTTCTCGACGGTGGTGAACTGCTGGATGAAGCGCTTGGTCTCCAGCTCCTTAAGCGCTTTTCGCAAGGCATTGTCTTGGAGGTTAAGGCGCTTCTTTATGTCCTGCTGCCATGCGCCCTCGGCACCGGCCGAGTCGATAATTTCGTAAACTAGAACCTGGTCCTCGGAGGTGAGGTGCTTATACCTATCGAGAAGAGATTAGATGGCGATTAAAATCAAAAGTAGGTAGATATAATAGGGAGCATAATAGAAAGAAGACTTTACTTACTTGGCCGCCTCGGCCTCTGGACGGAGTCGCCATGCTAGGCCACTGTGGAAGTGGACGGGGACGAAAAGGCGCTCCCGCGTCAGAAGTTGTATGATTTGTAGGAGTTTCTTGACATCTTTAGGCGGAACGACGTCGAGCGCCATTAGGTCCTCCTGAGAGAAAAACTTCTCGGGATTATCTCTGCAGGCATCTTCGCAGGCGGAGTAGAGCTGAGTTTTGAGTATCGAGGTCTGGTCGTCCATTTTGAAGGGTGGTTGAATCGTGACTCATATGTTAATACCTAGTAAATGGTAAATTGGTGATAAGTTCAGTAAGAATTTACAAGGCGCCGCGGGATAGGTAAAAAAAACGCGCCAAGCTGAAATGTACCTAATTCCAAAAAATTAAGAAAGGATCGAGGTACATAGTTGCTTAACGCGCTTCTACTTGATATGTCTGGAATGGAGGACTTGACGTATGTGATTGTGAGGTACGAAAGAGTAAAAGGTATAGGTGAAAATATATAGTTACCAAAGATCAATTGAATAAGACGACGTGCCCCGCGCAATCAGAGGAAATATTTCTTATCTCTATTTGGTCGCGCATACTTAGACGTATTGACCTATGTAAGAGGTAGGTACATGTAGTGTTAGCGCGATATGCCGATACGCCGATACTGATACGCTATCGCTATCGACAAGCAGATGCAGCTTTCCGTCAGGGACCTCAATACCCCACCGTAGAAAGCTCTCGAATTCATCGCATTCAGCCCTACATAAAAAGATCGAAGTCCCAGTGGTTCCATTCCAAAGTTTGGGCATCGCAACTTACATATAACTTTACCACATTTAAATCCTCCTTCACGACTATTTCTTCCTTCTCTGTCTACAAGTTTCGTTTTACCTTACGCGTAAGAATTTTCTCAAATTCATAAAATATTCGTTCAAGTTAAACACAACAACTGCATTTGGAGAAAAGTAGCATCATCCCACCATGGCCTCTGTAGACGAGCTTAAAGCTCTGGGCAACAAGGCTATTGCCGACAAGAAGTTTGACGATGCTATGTAGGTTTTTATATCCCTATAATATTAATGTTTTTAACTTTACAGCCCAAATCACCAAGAATTTGTCGAGAACTATAAACTAACAGTTCTATTAGTGATGCCTTCACCAAGGCTATCTCTATCGACCCAAACAACCACATTCTTTACAGCAACCGATCCGCTGCTTACGCCTCTAAAAAGGACTGGACAAATGCTTTAAATGATGCCGAGAAGACTACCCAGATTAAACCAGACTGGCCGCGAGGATGGGGTCGCAAGGGCGCAGCCCTGCACGGTTCCGGCGACCTTCTAGGTGCCAGCGACGCCTACGAGGAGGGTCTCAAGCACGATCCTAACAACGCCGGTCTAAAAAGTTCTCTTGCCTCCGTTCAGCGAGCCATGGAGCAAGATGCCGGTATGTAAATATCCATACCTCCAAACATATTTCTTATTTTCATTTTATTTATTTTCCATTTTTATTTTTTTAATATATACTAACTCCCTATAGGCGCTGGTCTCGGTGGTGATCCTACAGGTGGAATCGGCAAGATGTTTAGCGACCCTAATCTCCTCCAGAAGCTAATGAGCAATCCTAAGACCAGCGGTTTTTTTGCTGATCCATCCTTCATCTCAAAGATTCAGACCCTACAGCAGAATCCACAGAACACACAGGAGTTGTTCAGCGATCCTCGAATGATCCAGGTATTAGGAGTCCTGATGGGCATCGACATGAATATGGGAGGCCCAGATGACATCCCGGGCGCTGCTGCTGCCGCCTCTTCATCTGGCGCTAAAGAGGCAGAGGAGGACGTTGAAATGCCAGACTATACTCCAGCCAATTCCAAACCAGAGCCAGCCAAGGCCCCCGAGCCCGAGCCTGAGCCAGAAGTGGACGAGGAAGAGCTCGCCAAGAAAAAGGCAAAGGAAGAGGCCGACAAGGAAAAAGCATTGGGTACCGAAAATTACAAGAAGCGTAACTTTGACGAGGCTATAAAGCACTATACTAAGGCTTGGGAATTGCACAAGGACATAACCTACCTCAACAATCTCGGCGCCGCTCAATTCGAAAAGGGTGACTACCAAGCCTGCATCGATGCTTGCACTAAGGCTATCGAAGAGGGTCGTCAGATATATGCTGACTTTAAGATGATTGCCAAGTCATACGCGCGCATCGGTACAGCCTACGAGAAGCTAGGAGACCTCGCAGCAGCGATTGAAAATTATCAGAAGTCCCTGACCGAGCATCGAACACCCGATACTGTGAATAAGCTCCGCGCTGCCGAGCGTAGAAAGATCGAAGAAACTCGGAAGTCCTACGTCGACCCGGAGAAGGCCGAGGAAGCTCGCGAGGAAGGTAATAAGAAGTTCAAGGAGCAAGATTTCCCCGGAGCTGTTGCGGCTTACTCGGAGATGATCAAGCGTTCTCCGGACGATCCTCGTGGATATAGCAACCGCGCCGCCGCCTTTATTAAGTTGTTCGAGTTTCCAAGCGCTCTCGAGGACTGTAACGCGGCTATCAAGAAGGACCCTAAGTTTATTAGGGCGTATATTCGCAAGGCGCAGATTTACTTCGGCATGCGTGAATACTCTAGATGTATCGATGCTTGCAACGAGGCTACTACAGTGGATAGCGAGCACCATAACAACGCTAACGCACGGGAGATTGAGCAGCAGCAGCAGAAGGCTCTGCAGGCTATGTACTCTGCCCGAGAGAATGAGACAGAGGATCAGACTCGGGAGAGATTGATGAAAGACCCTGAGGTAAGTACCGAATGAACCCCCCATCGCTTCGGATAGAATAGGGACGGCTAACCCACGCGTCGTAGATCATGAGTATCATGCAAGATCCTGTCATGCAATCTATCCTACAGCAAGCCCAATCCGACCCCGCGGCGCTGCAGGAACATATGCGTAACCCGAACGTTCGTTCTAAAATCCAGAAGCTGATTGCGGCCGGCGTGATTCGAGTTGGACGATGAGCGTTAGCATAGTGGGTGTCTTATTTTTCTACTTGAGCTACTTTATCTCGTTAATTTTCACAATGGTTAGGGTTGGTGGTTCGTTGGCTGTAGTAGCATGTAAGGGCATTGCGGAGCCGTAGGTACTCATGGTAATTGCAATTCACGATACTGGCGTTGAAAAATGCAAAAGGTGGATTAGGGAATGAGGGTAAATGAATTTACGCTAATCAACGATTCCAACATCCTTATAATTCTCACTAAGCTTCATAGCTTGATAGTTTTCGTGATCTGTTACAGTTCCTTAATTATGAATGCCTTCACTTGACAATATTCGTACCGTAAGCATAGCTTTTTATAACGCTAACTTTAGTATATTCGTTTGGATGTTAGTATGAACATATACTAATTGTACGAAGTAAATGATCATTTATTATACATGCATGCTATCATAATCTATATTAAACCTTGAGTCCGTGCTGTTATCCATTCCATAAGTCCGGCTTTTGCTATTTTGACAACTCAACTAATAGTTGGTCAGAACATTTCCCACCATAACTCAGTCCTCTAGTATTATACCGATCTCGTTCGTATCAATTCCGTAAAGCTTAATCAATGACAACCGGTGGCGCATTTACCACCATTAAAGCTAGTCACATCGTCACCCCTTTTATAGTGATCGTATTAGCATCCGATGCTTAGCGTTGGCCCCCGTTAAGCCTTAGCCTTAAGATGTTCTACTTACCGAGGGTCGATATGTTCCCATTGTAGTATGAAGAACCCTATGAAAGCGCCGAGGATGATGCAGATGATTAAGTATCCGTTGTAGTACATGGCAAGCAGCATGATCCAATAAGCCAGAGCAAAATGAAGCGTATGCAGCGAGGCACGGATGGCCTGTTGCCAGAGCTTAGGTCTAAATGGTGTGGCACGGACGAGGGCCCCGTTGCCTTCTTTTGATATGAGAGCCCCGTTGGCAGTATCCGTGGAGTTATTGACGGTTGTCGCGGCGAGGGCGCTCGTCGCTTTTATGTGCTGGCGGATTAAGTGTTGGTCGTAGATCTTAGAGGCACGGCGTAGAAACTCGAGCAAGATCACGAGCAGCACAACACCGATACATAGACCTGCGAATCCGCCACGGGACTTGACTTGCCAGGATTCCGAGAGGAAGCAGGCGTCAATCGTTTCCCAGTTCCAAAGCATCTGACGCTCATGGCCTGTTAGCGAGGTTGGACAAACTAGGTGATAGGTATACAACTCGTCGTATTAAAGTGAATATCTCACAGAGATCTTACATTCCCCCATTTGCATTTTCCCTTCTCCCATGCCCCCCATGTTATCTGCACCTCCTGTGGAGGTCGGCATCGCAGAATCAAGCGTTGATTGTGCCGTAGTTGAGACCGAAGACTCTATCGATGATGGCATAGACATCCCCTCCATGTTTGCTGGCGGCTAGTAGTAAATATAGAAGTAATCAAAATGAATAGGTAACTATATCGTTTATGAAATAGTAGCAATAGTTAACGGCCGAAAAAAATGAATAAATCAGCCACAAGGATTGCCCAAGCATATATTTAACTCTTTGTCACTGATACTTGACTTGTCCTTGACACTCAACCATCGCCATCGGCAACAAAGGGGCTAACTTGCCGTAAGTAATATATTCGAACTTGCCAAGACCTTCGATATCTTGGGACAAAAAGCCTTTGCCTCTCTATTGCGTAGCGAGTTGGGCTTAGATAAAAGGATACGATATCAACCAAAAGGTAATTATTTGCCTTGCCAAAACGCAAAAGTCTCGCATGGAGTTGGCTCATGGGCTTATGATGTTATACACAAAGGCAGTATACTCCACAAGTGCTACAATACACTACTTATAGCAAATGAGAAGATGCTATATTGGGGCTCTTAGTTCTCGGATCCTCCAATGCGTGACGCCGTTTTACTAATTACATCATTTTATGGTGTACTTTCTAACCCGTTTTACAAGACCGCAGAGTGTACTTATTAGGGTAGGTACCTATATATATATAAATCTGAGTATAGGGGGTATTATTACACCATCGGTCACACATCAACTCAGCAACTCGCAAAGTTCTACGGGGGCTCCATACAATCCATAACAACCGTACCATAGTCACCCGGCCCATCAAAGAAATTCTGATCCATGCCCGATCCCTCGAAGAAGTCGCTCGCCCACCAAGCGCCGGGACTCCACTCCTCAAGCGAAAACTGGGTAGAGACGTTCATCCCCGAAGGCATGGGAGGCCAATTTCCTCCCATACCATTACTATTGCCGAGGTCAACCTCTCTAGCAATGTTGGCATTTGATGATAGATCAGGTCGACGACCCTCGCCACCTACGGCGGCTACCATCTCAGCCCATCTCTCCAGCTTAGCGCGAGTGCTCTTGAGTTTCCTCGCAGCCATATCCCATATATCATTCTCGCAAGTTAAGCCCCTCTGTTTTTCGCAGGCCTCTCGTGCCTGCTCGCATCGCGTTACCATACCCTGTAAGATCCCAGTGGCATCTATCCGGAGCTCGGATTGAGAGAGAAGGTGAGACCTGATAGTGCGTACTGCGGCGGGAATTGAGGGATCTAGATCTATGTCTTTGACTCCGACTGTCGGTGCGGAGACTAGCGCCGCACCGCTGCAACCTGGATCACTTCGTACCATCTGTGGCAATGAAGAACTAGTCGTCGTGGTCGGGGTAGATGTAAAACTCCGGTCGGGGCTTGTCAGCTTGGACCAGCGGACTAGCATTATTACAGAGTTGATGAGCTGGGCCGAGATAGGCATGGGTAAGACAAAGTAATCCGCGACGTCGATAGCTAGCCAAGCTTCGAACCAGGCCTTGAGCGCGGTCCCAGATCGATAGAAAACATCGAGTGAAGAAGCAGAATCTAGAGTTAGAGATGATAACGAGTTCGATATTTTTTCGAGGAGCGTAGCATCAATCCGCGGCGGCTCCCATAAGCGTAAAGACGCTGTATTAATATGGCACATGAGCAGCTCTATCTTTCAGTTAATTTCACGTTTCCCGAAAGTATCATGAAAGGTAACTAACTGTTTGATAAGAGATGACGAGGTAGTGAGGCCTTAAAGTTTTCTATCTCCGCGTGAAACACGCTGGAATATGCACTCATAGGAGCACGGGTAATACCAGCCAATTCGCTCTCGTCGTGGTCTTTCGCGTGTAGTTGAGAAATACGCTCAGACATGTGCTGGATCCGCACTAGATGGACGAGGAGTGAATCAGTTCCATACTCCTGATCGGTCTCGAGCTCCCGAAGACATTGATCTATGTACGGCGTGTATTTTGGCGGCTCGATTCGCTGAAACGAGAGCGAGACACTGTTGCGCGTGAGTATGATCGAGTACGTTAGAGAAATATACCATACCCACAACCCCTATAAGTTGCTGGGTTAAGTAAGAGTAGTAGTTCATTTTGACTTACACCGAGGTCATATACCAGACTCCGCAGAGCGCCCTCCTCTCGTCATTCATCCTGCTTTTCGGGGCTTCGGGAGCTGAAATCAATAATTTTGTCTTTTCCTGTAATTCGGGAAGCTTGTTAATGCCGAGGTCTGATACTAAACTGTTCGCTAGTGCGATCAAATTGTTCATCTGAGCGTGCATTATACAATGGTAGTGATAGTATCCCACGACTAGGAGAATTGATTGGAGTATTTCTAGAGACCGCTCTGAACGCATAAGCATCTGCTCGGATATGTGTCTCATTATGAAGTAGTTCTGTGACCTTAGCGAACTTAGGTTACGATAAGACGCGATCATTCGAACTGTGGCGAATAGGAAAGGATACTTCAATGCCAATTCCGAGGCCGTGAAGCCTGGCGGAAGTACGACAAACGGGTAATTAGGGACAAGCTCGTCAACGAATATCGACAATAAGACCTCGTCGGACTCAGGCGAAGCAGGGCTCTCGCCGGCTTGAGTACGGCAGACACATACACGAGGGGCATGTTCATTGTAATAATCAGGAATTGCAGGTGGTTGTCCATAATTTGAGCTTGAAGATTGGTTTGGAGAATCGGTGCTAATTCGCTTTCGGCTCTGTATTGGTGCCGCATCTGCGGTCGCCTCTAGGGACGATGTAGATGTAGTGGATTTGGCCTCAGAAACCTGCCTTAACGGGACAGGGATATCTCCTGAGTTGGTGGCCTTAATAAAATCGACGAGGCTATTAAGTCTCTCCTCAAGCTGTGCTGTCTTTCTATAGTAAAAGATAGACTGTTAGTCTTTGCCTTTACGTGTGGATTAGCTCAAAGATCTGTCTGACACTGGCGATGATCGAAGAACGCACTAAACAATGACTATTCCGACAATATATGTATACCATCGCGATGAGAGCCGATTATAAACTTCTAGAAATAAATGAGTGCTTACGAGGGCCTGCTCTGCCGCTTTTTCCTCGGCTTATGTATCTGACTGGTACAATCTTTATCTAAACGTTCACATCTATATCCCCCAATCTACCATTAGTAAACTGAGTAACATGAGAGTATACCAGCGCAAGGCTCTAGGTCTAGACTTAGAAGACCACTATATGCATGAGAGAATACTCACCTATCACACCTAACGCTCGACCTGTTGCTTGAGCGCAGGCACTTAGCCTTTGCGAGAGCACACGGCGAGCATGCGGCCCCCCATTTGGCGATAGCGGAGTTCTTTGGTTTATCCATTAGTTAGTACGACACAAAACAAGATAACATATTCGATGATAGAAGTTTCAATCGCCGGCGGACTTTCAAAGTGTAAACCGCAAGCCGTGATGAGATAGCAGTCAGCGTTCGAGGATGGTCTTCAGGTATGGATGGTTCCCACGAGGGGACGGAGATTAAAGATAATCTCCAACTTCCGGTCTCCACATATGAACCAAGATGTTCTTACTACCAAGCTTATGTTAGTTGAGATGCCCTGCATTGGCATAGCCAGACTAACATAAATATAGGAGAGATATGTATATGCGACTTACAATAACTCACCGTTTGACCCGGACTTTTAAGGAAAAGGCCGGTTCACCGAAACGTATGGTTTATGTTCAGTCATTACAACATCGTACCCCGGCGCCCTCATGCGGTTATCGGTTATCTTAAATGCTCGCATTATAATCCTTATTATTCGTGGGAAAAGAATCGTATAAATTGTTTTTAATATGTCCCGATACGACTTTTCAGAGCTGCGTCTCGAGGCTGATATATCTCGGCCAGGGGTGGCCAGCTATAGACTACCTACATACCTAGACTAGTTAACGACGACTTACACAAGCTTTGCTCAGTCCTTAACTAACGATGAATAACCAACAGTCAGTCAAAAGTAGTTCTGATACTGGAGATGTAGAATCCGCGATCAAAGTCGACAGTCCCAAACTCGAATATGAAAAGATTGATATCGAGGAGCATGGCCGTGACGACGTTGGCGTATTTCCCCCAAATGACGACCAAACCAAAAGCGGGAGTAACAGTCCTCCGCAAATGAGCGGACTGCCCTTCTACGTGGCGATGGGGTCCGTTACCCTAGGCGTTCTCTTGATGGCTCTCAACAATACAGCTCTAGGAACTGTGAGGAAGACGCTCCGACATTCTTGGTCATGCACATGCTTACATTTCTACTAGGCCATCCCCGCAATCACAGCAGAGTTTAATACCGTAGATGATGTTGGGTGGTATTCTTCGGCGTCTCTAATAGCAAAGTGAGTTGGAAGTCGAGAGTGTGTATATGCCGTCTAACAGTACGAAGCTGACAAGTATGGCGAAGTTGTGTCATGGTACCGTTCGTTGGGAAAATATATAGGGGCTTTCGAATCAAGCTCGTGTTTATTATCTTTATAATTATCTTCGAGATTGGATCCTTGATTGCAGCGTTATCGACGTCTTCTATGATGCTCGTCATTTCCAGAGCGATAAGCGGTATAGGGGGTTCCGGGATTCTCAACGGTAGTTCTACGATCGTCGCCGCCACCGTCCCGATAGCGAAGCGGTCGTTTGTCAACGGTATTATACTTGGCTGCTTTGCCGTAGGCCAGGCAGCGGGCCCTCTAATCGGCGGTGCTCTGACCCAGGGGCTGACATGGCGCTGGTGCTTCTACATGTATGTTGGCCGTCGCTATTTTGGTGTAACCGCTTGGGCTAACCCTTCTTAGCAACCTGCCCTTAGGTGGCCTGGTCGTTTTCCTATTCGTATTTGTAGTCAAGTTGCCTGTGACAAGGCTCTCAGAAAAGAATACATCTCTCCTGGAGCGGGTCCTTGACCTCGATTTTGTCGGCTTTGCCATCTTCGCCGCAGCGGCTATAATGTTCTTGATCGGCCTGCAATGGGGCGGCACTGAATACCCCTGGAATTCGCCGGTCGTCATTGGACTTATGTGCGGCGGAGTGGTAGCCTTTATACTCGTTGGATTCTGGTTCGCTTACAAGGGAGATTCGGCCTTGCTACCGCCTAGGCTACTTCGTAGCCGCATCAGCATCATGATCACTATCACCTCGTTCCTACAAAGCGGCGGGTCCATTAATTCACTATTTTGGCTGCCCGTCTGGTTCCAAGCGATCAAAGGTGTGGACGCTTTGCAGAGCGGTATAATGCTTCTTCCTATAATACTTTCGCAGCTCTTTGCATCCGTAGTATGCGGGGCTATCGTTCAGAGGTCAGGCTATTACCTCCCGGAAGTCGTCGGAGGGAACGCGCTGGTGGCGATCGGAGCCGGGTTGACCTCGACCTTTTCTCTAACCACCTCCGATGGGGAAATAATAGGATATCAGATCTTGATGGGTGCAGGTCGTGGCTTTGTCCTACAACTGGTGTGTAATCACATCTGTCTTACATCTTTCTTTTATAGTGCTAGGGAAAACTGACGATCGCATTAATTTAGCTTGTCCTTGCCATGCAAGCGAACGTGCCTAGAGAAGACGCTTCGATAGCATCCGCGTACGCTATGTTCTCTCAGCTACTTGGGGGCGCCATCTTTTCGGCCGTCGCGAAGACCATCTTCACCAGTTCTATAGGAACAGCCCTCCAAGAGTTTGCTCCAGACATCGATCCGAGCTTACTGATTAATACCGGCGCGACTGAGATAGCCAAAGTTATCCCCCCGAACCAGGTAGAAGGTGCTCTCTTGGCATACAATCAAGCCATCAACTATATATTTGTAAGAAAATCGACTCTCGCATGATATCGTATCCTGACTGATATATTTATTAGTATCTTCAATTGGCTGCCGCAAGTTGTGCTTTTCTAACCGGCTGGGGAATGGGATGGAAAAATTTAAAAGAGGTGAAACAAGAGAAAGAAGTTGTAGAAAAGAATGGCGCTTAATTAGTGATACGAGGCTCTAGTATGAAATACCTATTAATGATAACTAGAGGAAAGGCTTAACGACGAATAAAATAGATTATTTAGATACCACTTTCACTAAATATTTAATTGACTAATAAAATCCCGGAAATATTAATTATCCTACTTGATAAAATATATAGGCAGTACTGCTGATCAGGTGTATACCTAACATTATGCTTAAGCAATGCTATAAGACACCGCTAGCAAGCTTCGTCTTAGATCGCCAAACTACCTACCTAACCCAAGACTTAAGATTAAAGCCTCGATATATAACATATACCCTTCATTACCATAAATGGTCTAGACTCGCCTAAAATTGGTAATCTTATTACCAAGTCTGCACTGCTACTCTGTATTGCTATTCAATTGGATAATCGACAGGGGGGTTCTCGCTAAGAAGCTGCCTATAGTAGATGCTTAACCTCACGAAGAGGTCAATAACACCATTGAAATACAAAGCGGAAAAGGCATAGATATTTAAATCACCAGCTTATGAAAAGTATGGATGAGTACGATTTCATTATTGTCGGTGCTGGACTCTCTGGAGTCGACGCCGCTTACCGCCTGAAGACTCAGCTGCCAGACTGCTCCTACACCATTCTAGAAGCACGAAATGAGGTCGGCGGCACTTGGTCATTCTTCAAGTTCCCCGGTATCCGGTCGGACTCTCAGCTTACATTGTTCGGCCTTCCGTGGCGGCCATGGATACACGATACGGATATGGCTAAAGCGCATCTCATCAGGGAATATATAGAGGATGCTGCACGAGCTGAAGGTATCGACAAGAAGATCCAGTTCAAGCACCAGGTCACCGGTGTCAGTTGGTCTTCAGAGGAACAGCGGTGGACTCTGGCGGTTAATGCAGATGGCCTCGCAAAGGAGTACAAGGCCAAATTCTTGATCACCTGCTCGGGGTATTATGATTACGCCAATCCGCTTAAGGCCGAAATACCTGGCATCGAGAAGTTCCAAGGCACGGTCGCGCACCCTCAGTTCTGGCCCGAGGACCTCGATTATGCTAATAAGAAAGTCGTTATCATCGGATCTGGCGCTACGGCTATTACTATGCTACCCGCCATGGCCGAGACCGCGGGCCACGTTACGATGCTTCAAAGAAGCCCATCCTACGTTATTAGCCTGCCCCTATCGGACCCTGTTGGAAGGTGGATCAGGAAGATTTTCCCAAAGAGTATAGCTCACTCACTCAACTGGTGGCGGTCTGTATACCTGATATCTATTCTCTTTTCCGGCTATATACTAAACTAATTCTCTGTAGATGTTTTATCGAGGAACATGTCTTTGTTTACTTTTGCCTCACCTTCCCTAATCTAGCAAGGAAGCTCGTCGTGCGCGATATGAAGAAACAATTACCCGCCGATATTGATGTGAACGTTCATTTCAATCCTAGGTATAATTTGTTCGAACAACGAGTGGGACTATGTCCAGACGGGGACTTTTTCCGAGCTCTACACCGAGATAACTGTGATATTGTTACCGACCATATCGAGACGGTCACGGCGGATGGCATTCTTACCAAGTCAGGAAAGAAGCTTGACGCAGATATTATCGTGACGGCCACAGGTCTTCGTAAGCATTGCGTTTTCTAATGCCCTATTGAAAATTGCCCCTAAGCATCATGATAACTCTCCTTTTTCACATGTTCGATTATAGAATACTGACCTAGAGAATATCAGACGTCCACCTATTTGCAGGAATCACCCCGATCGTGGATGGACGCCCTGTGGATATAGGAACTTGCTATGCTTGGAGAGGAGTCATGGTTACTGATATACCAAATTCAGGAGCCGTGATGGGGTATACGATAAGTTCCTGGACGCTCGGTGCCGATAGCAGTATCAAGCTGCTCATCAAAATATGGAAGCATATGCAGAAGACTGGCGCTACGTCGGTTGTGCCTGTCAACACACAATCTGACCTTGCCTCGTCTAAGCCGGTCGTAGAACATAGCTCGACCTACTTTGTCATGGCGCAGGATAGGTTGCCTAGGATCACGGGTATATCTCCGGTAAGCTTCATCTCGTATATTCTATATTCCGACTTTACTCATCAAGCATTCACAACAATCTTACTTTATTCATCAGTACTGATTTTTTTTGTTATAGTGGTATGGTCGCACGAATAGCATATATGATCATCTAAAGCTGTGGTTTGGTAGTATTACGAAAGGGCTGCAGTACACGTATCCATCAAAGAAGAATGATTGAACGTTATCCTTTCATGGTAGATATATTAGGTAGCTTTTAAGGCTGGTAGAAGCACTTAAATAAATGATATACTAAAGGCCAATAATTACATAGGAGGTGATTATATAGGACCTCCCCGCAGTCACCATCTACCTGAATACCTATATATTGTTGGAGGGGTAGTACCTAAAGGTTATCTTATCGGATCTTGTATGCCATCATTTGGCATTTTTCTAAAACTTCGTGTTTGCAAGACTTTGATTTTTATTAATCACCTAAAAATCATCTAAAAAGTTTAGTATTATTCAGAGCCTAGGTATTCCCGCTATCGAATAGAACAGACTCCAAACATGGCCAACTTTAGGCCCGCATTAATAGTAGTAGATCTCCAAGAGGACTTCTGTCCTCCAGTAAGTATACCTATCTGGTTACCTCTACGTTGTGTAGTTTTGCGGCTGCTTGTAACTAGCTGACTAACAACGACTAGAATGGTTCTCTTGCAGTGACCAATGGTCGCGATATCGCGCCATTGGTCAATAAACTTCTGGCCTCCCCTTTCGTGATCAGGATCGCGACTAAGGACTGGCATCCGCATGATCACGTTTCGTTTGCGGCAAATCATCAAGGCAAAGTCCCGTTTGAGGACTTGATCACGATCGTGAACCCATACAACAAGGCCGAGACGTATGAGTCGCGACTATGGCCGGTTCACTGTGTACAAGGCAGTCCGGGAGCAGAGCTGATCCCCGAGCTACTTATCAGTCAGATTGACATGGTTCTCGAGAAGGGAACTGATGCGCGCGTCGAGATGTACAGCCCATTCTACGATCCCTTCAAGTCTCCACGAGTTTACGACAGTGGCCTTGTGCAGATTCTGAAGGAAAAGCAGGTCACCGATGTGTATGTGGTGGGGCTAGCAGCAGACTACTGTGTCAAGAACGCGGCGATCGATGCAGCGAAAGAAGGCTTCAAGACGTACTTAATAGAAGAATGCACTAGAGCCGTCGATCCTTCTGCATGGTCGGAATGCAAGAAAGAAATCGAAACATCCGGGGCTAAAGTTGTTAGCATGGACGGACCTGAAGTAAGCCGGTTGATGACGGCGCAGTAACAGGGTGAAGCTGAAGGCTTCTATCTTGCAGGAATATGTTATCCAGCGGTGTACGTGGGAGTACGGACCCGTAGCTAGGTATTACTATAATTCTCCCTGCTTACTGACGTAGGTCTCGTCGTACGAGCGTTCGATAACGAAGCCGGTGGCGGACTGAAGAGAACCTGTTGGACTATGCATGTATGATTATCTTCCCTGGTGGCTTTCTACGTAGGGGGTAGATATGCGATGGATGGTAGCACAAGGGACGGGAAAGATAAGTCGTGTCTCAATTCCGCCATGTTGGTTTGAGAGTATCCTGTTGTATTTCCTGTTGTACAGAAATATCTAGTATCAATGTCAATGGTTAATTCTAAGACCGCTATTGTGGTTCGCGTTAATGAGAAGCGTGGTTGTCACAACCTGCCTAGGCCTCTTTTAGTAATGGCCGAGATAGTTGTACACGTAGTGTAATTTAACCACATCCTAATATCCTAAAGGTATTAACTGTTATTTGGACTTATACTCTACATATGTATTTAACGATACTAGGTGGTTTTGCTAGGGGTTTATTGACATGTCCAGATTTCACCTTGTGATATGTAATTCAACCCTGGCTGTTGAGTTGTCAAGGTATCCATACGGTGTTGTTGCTGGGGACTTAGACTCCCCCTTCCGCCATGCTGTATTCTATCCCGACCTCTTCCAACCAATGCCTTTCCGCGTAAATGCGAAAAGATGGCGTTGGCATTGGCGAGGTGGGTGAGAACATTGGTGGCTTGATTATCGGTCTTTTTAGGAACTGCACATACATAGGTCCATGAAATTGCGCTGTGCGTACCCGGAGTATTGGAACACCTAGGTAGTTGCCAATTGAAGAAAAGAAGTATGCTTATCAGTAGAGTTAGGACGAAACCTGACTTAATATGACCAGTGAATACTTATGTCTATGTGTTCTATTTTGTAGTAGTGAAGTACATATAGCAAAGGGAAGAGGAAGTAAACAAAATGAGAGTTAAGCTCACAAATGTTGTGTAAGTGTTGTATAGGTAAGGTAAGTAGTAGAACGGTAGGATGAACTTATTAAGTTCTAACATCTTTTTGACTCCGATAGTGCAGGTACTTAGAAGGTACGTAGGTACATAAATAGGTGACTTTTAGTTTTTAGTACCTAATCGATAGTAGGCCGGCTCTCATAGTGGGACCTGTGTGGGACCCCTAATTTTGTGATTGTAACTGATTGAAAGATTCGAAGCCAGGGCTGCTGGGCTGCCAGGGGATGAATGAGCTAGAGAAGGAAACCTTGAAATTTCTCTCCTTCACCGCACCGATAATAAATCCCCACCAACCCCCCCCCCCCTGACTTGCAATTATTCTTCCAACATTTCTTCGTCGAACTATTCTTTGTTCGTGGTTGATAGTTTCAGCACGGCTGCCGATTCATTCTCACTGTCGTAATTGGCATTGATATCGGCATTGACATTGGCGTCAAGGCGTTCCTAAAGTTTTCTAGAGAAACTCATCGTCTGTTTCGTCGACTCCAATTCTGTCACTAAATATCGATAACCCTTTAAGTCGAAAACTTGGGGTAGTCCACCTTTCGTTTCTCGCTCATCGTTTCTCGCTCCTCGCCTCTCACCTCAACAGTTTAACGACATATTTAATATCGTCTTCCCTATAACTACCTAGATAGTCGGAGGCAATTATAGAATTAATTGCTACTATATAAATACGAAAAAAGGGAATTATTTAGGTTCGTCTTGTCCTCCTCACCTAAGACTAGACATCCCGGTTCCGAGACACTATACGGGCATCATAAGTAGAACTGAACTAATCTATACCTTAGAAGGATAAGCATAGTTGTTCAGCGGTCATCGCCCAATGCCTTCGCGGTAGTACTGACATGATTGCTTCTTCATTTCTTCCCTCCCGCTTTCGCGGTGAGCAGCCAAACGATGCACCAATCCCACCATCCAAGATAAACCAGAGAGTCACACCGATCCTCCAGTTTTTCTCTAAGATTGCTTGCCTGCACCCGATCCATACCATCGTCATCGTTTCTTTAATAGCTAGCACCACCTACGTTGGCGTCGTCAAGGAGAGCCTCTTAGATGTGACTGGAAGTGCGAGGACGGCTGATTGGCCCTCATTAGTCGAAGGCAGCAGAAGCTTGCAGGCCGGCCCCGAAACCTCGTGGCGGTGGCAGAGCTTCGATTCCGATTCAACTATCCCAAAGGATGCCGACCACTTGGCCCTTGTTACGTTGGTCTTTCCGGAGTCGTCTGCGGATGCGCCTCAGACTGCGCCGTTGCCTCATATCGTCCCTCTCCCACAGAACCTGAGCATCTCGCATCTGCCATCTACCTCGAACCCCCTAAGTGCCTATTCTCAGGACAGTGCTTTGGCATTCGCCGTCAAGTATAGCGAGGCCGCGGAGTTCCTCGCAGCAGCACAAGAGATCCCCAACGATGTTCCTGGTCAAGAATCGCGCGAAACCGAGTTAGGCAAGGAGGAGCAGAAGATGTGGATAATGAAAGTCGCCAAGGGTTACACCAGAGGAAGTGTGGTACGATGGATTCACAATGCTTGGACAGAGTTTCTCGACCTGATAAAGAACGCCGAGACGCTGGATATCATCATCATGGTCCTGGGATATCTTTCTATGCACCTAACTTTCGTATCGCTGTTCCTATCCATGAGAAAGATGGGGTCGAACGTCTGGCTAGCTATCAGTGTACTTTTCTCATCGACTTTCGCCTTCTTGTTTGGTCTCAACGTTACCACCAAGCTCGGCGTTCCGGTCAGCATGGTCTTACTATCTGAAGGGTTGCCGTTCCTAGTTGTTACTATCGGGTTCGAGAAGAATATCGCGCTAACCCGGGCTGTTTTGTCCCACGCGCTGGAGCACCGTAGACCCGAACAGAAGCAGACCAATGGTGGTAAATCAGCCAAGTTCTTGACTCCCTCGGATGGTATTATTCACTCCGCCGTACAGCGCGCAATCAAGGATAAGGGTTATGAGATTGTCCGTGACTATGTCATAGAGATTCTGATTCTCGTTGCCGGAGCCGCCTCGGGCGTGCAAGGCGGTCTCCAACAGTTCTGCTTCTTAGCTGCCTGGATACTCTTCTTCGACTGCATCCTGCTCTTCACCTTTTATACCGCTATTCTGTGCATCAAACTCGAAGTAAACCGCATCAAGCGCCATGTGGAGCTACGGCGGGCCTTGGAGGACGACGGTATCAGTCGCCGTGTTGCTGAGAATGTTGCCAAGAGTAATGACTGGCCTAGAAGGGACGCCAAGGGCCAGGCTGATGTGCCTCTCTTCGGTAGTGATCTCAGGAGCAACAGCGTCCCGAAGTTTAAGTTCTGGATGGTTATGGGCTTTATTGCCATCAATGTCGCCAACCTCTGCACGATTCCCTTCAGGACATCGGATATTTCTAACATCTCTTCGTGGGCTACAGGCTTGGGAGGTGTCGTTAGCTCACCCCCTCTCGATCCCTTCAAAGTTGCGTCTAACGGGCTTGACGATATACTTTACAACGCGAAGAATCACTCTAAGCCGACTATAGTTTCTGTCCTGACTCCCATCAAGTACGAATTGGAATTTCCTTCCATCCACTACGCTGAGGCACCTCTGCCTACGTACAACGGGCACCATGGTAAACGGGACAGCTATCCTCAACTCAACGGCTACGGAGTAGGCGGACGCATGGTTGGTAGCCTTCTTACTAGTCTAGAAGATCCGATCCTATCAAAGTGGATCGTGATCGCTCTAGCCATGAGTGTTGCGCTTAATGGTTATCTATTCAACGTAGCCAGATGGGGTATCAGGGATCCGAATCTACCGGACCATCCTATAGACCCGAAGGAGCTCGCAGATGCCGAGCGATTCAACGATACCCAGTCTGCAACGCTACCCCTTGGTGAGATCCTACCGAAGCAGTCGCAGCCAATGCCTGACAGGCCTATAACTCCCGCCTATACCGATGATGAGAGTGTTAGCCAGCCTCCCCCAGCTAGCCAGTTATCGTCACTAGCGGCACAGAGGACACAGAGCGAGCTAGACAGGATGTTATCCGAGAAAAGGGCACATGAATTAACTGACGAGGAGATTGTTGCCGTATCGCTGAAAGGCAAGATCCCTGGTTATGCATTGGAGAAGACCCTCAAGGATTGTACGCGGGCTGTGAAAGTTCGTCGAAGTATCATCGCGAGGACCCGAGCGACGGCAGACCTTACTAGCTTATTGGACCAGTCTAAGTTGCCATACGAGAACTACAACTGGGAACAAGTGCTTGGTGCCTGCTGTGAGAACGTTATTGGTTATATGCCCATTCCTGTCGGTGTAGCCGGACCGCTCGTCATCGACGGCAAAAGCTACTTTATTCCCATGGCAACTACTGAAGGTGTGCTCGTCGCTAGCACGAGCCGTGGCTGCAAGGCTATCAACTCCGGCGGAGGTGCTGTTACGGTTCTGACAAGCGACGGAATGACTCGTGGACCATGTGTGCAATTCGAGACTCTCGAGCGCGCCGGCGCTGCAAAGCTCTGGATCGATTCCGAGGTAGGCCAGGCTGTGATGAAGAAGGCGTTCGACTCAACTTCGAGATTTGCTCGATTGCAAACAATGAAGACGGCTCTTGCTGGAACCAATCTCTTCATCCGGTTCAAGACGACGACTGGCGACGCCATGGGGATGAACATGATCTCCAAGGGTGTTGAGCACGCGTTGAATGTCATGGCTACCGAGGGTGGGTTCAGCGATATGTCTATCGTGTCGCTATCTGGAAACTACTGTATCGACAAGAAGGCTTCTGCAATTAACTGGATCGATGGTCGGGGTAAGGGTATAGTCGCCGAAGCCATCATCCCAGACGATGTAGTCAAGGCGGTGCTGAAGAGCGACGTGGATAGCCTCGTCGAGCTTAACATTGCAAAGAACTTTATCGGGTCTGCTATGGCTGGTGCGATGGGCGGTTTCAATGCTCACGCAGCCAACATTGTTGCGGCCGTTTTCATCGCTACCGGACAGGACCCAGCGCAAGTCATCGAAAGTTCGAATTGTATCACCATCATGAAAAAGTAAGTCAATTATCTTATTCATCTTATTATCACTTGCCGAGCTAACTTGCTCAACAGCCTACGTGGGTCTCTTCAAATCTCTGTGTCTATGCCATCGATCGAAGTTGGTACGCTCGGTGGCGGTACTATCTTGGAGCCCCAGAGTGCTATGCTTGACATGCTTGGTGTTAGGGGACCTCACCCGACAAACCCCGGAGACAATGCGGCTCGTCTTGCTCGTATAGTTGGCGCGGCAGTCCTTGCGGGTGAGCTCTCCCTTTGCAGCGCTCTTGCTGCTGGCCACCTAGTCAAGGCGCACATGGCGCACAACCGTTCGGCTCCCCCAACCCGGAGTACTACGCCGGCCCCAGTTGCCAGTGGCGCAATGACACCCGTTGGATTAACTATGACAAGCTCGAGGAGTTCTGCTGCTCTTGATCGGGCTGCGGTATCGAGACGTTAATGATAGGATAGCTTATCCGGTTCGTATCATTGATCGATTTGCGGGGTATTAGGTTAGAGGTTTTTAAAGACGATGCGCTCCTTATAGAGCATAATGATGCATCGAGCTAGGCGTTCAGCGAAGTCACGTTCAGGTATATGTCTTGTGAAAAACAAGACGTCATGCGGATGGGTGGTTGACGGGGGTATTCAACCAAGTTAATTAGGGGATCGTGTTCTACGAAGTTTAGATTCTCTGTTATTCAGATCAGAGAAGAGAGATCACAGATGGAGATGACCAGCTAGGCAATGCAGCAACAGCAAGTCACCGCCTACGCGGGGTCGCCACGGGTAATAAAAAATAAGAAGCTCTCAGCTATAGACACCTAGAAAGACGAAGGGAATAGATATACGTGCTACCTTGGACGGTCTGGAACGAGTTCCCTATGACCAAATGTTAGGAGTATTGCTATCTCCTATTTTTGCTTAGCATATAATATATATTCCATCAATAGACAAGACTAATATCTCAGATGTACCGTTATAATTACCTATTTGATAGCAGCACTGTAGTCCATTATACAACTTTACCTCTTGTCCTCTTATTCCTTACCAGCGTCTACGATACTGTCGCAATTTTTCATATTTTTGATACATATCCGCCTCGAGTTTCGCAAACCCGAGCACCTTACGTAGAGGATTCGATTACAATCTTGCCCTTAGTGCGTCCCTTTCTCAGCTTCTCGAAAGCCTTAGGCACGTCTTCGTACTGGAATACTTCGTCGATAACAGCCTTGACCTTCCCTTCACTCATCCACTTGGCGATCTGCTCAAGGTCGGCGTGGGTATTGTTCGTAATAAGATACTGCCACTTTCTCTTGCCGCCGCCTAGGAAGGAAGGTAGGAATTGTCTCGACAGAACGGTGGTGACGTTCGCGACGGAAAACTCGCCGCCGATCTGCACGAATTTCCCGTCGGGGAGCAAGAAGTGATCGGCGACTCTGTGCAGATCGGTCGGCGTGCCGACGTTGTCGACGACTAGCTGGTAGACCTGACCTTTAGCCTTGAGCACCTGGCTGACGTTCTCGGTCGTGTAGTCGATGATCTCGTCGGCCCCGAGGCTGCGGCACAGCTCGGCGTTCTTGGCGGAACAGGTGGCTGTCACGTGGCAGCCCAGGGCCTTGGCGATCTGGATCCCGAAGGTGCCGGTGCCGCCGCTGCCGCCGTTCACGAATATCTTGTCGCCGGGCTTGACGTTGGGCGCGATGCACTGGTACGCTGTCTGCGCCGCTGTCCCGATGCAGCTCGCGTCCTTGAGGGAGAGGCCCGCGGGCACGGCTGCGCATCCGTCTAGGCGCGCGCTGACGTACTCTCCTAGCGTGCCGTGTCTGTTGGGCGCGATGCGGCCGAAGACTTTATCGCCGATGCGGAAGTTGCTGTTGACGGCGTCGCCGAGCTGCGCGACGACGCCGGAGAAGTCCATCCCGGGGGAGGCGGGGGTGGGGACTAGTGCGCGCATGGCTAGGCCTAGCTCGGGGAATTTGTAGTCGGCTGGGTTGAGGGAGCTGTAGTGTACTTTGACTAGGATGGCGTCGTTGGGGAGAGGGGGGTGGAAGGGTAGAGGTGCGTCGTTGGTTAGTTGGAGGTTCTTCTCGATGCCGCCGCGCGTCGAGGTGTATACCCAGGCTCGCATGGCCTGGGGATGGGGGTTAGATGATGGTGTGTCGTTGGACATGTTGTCGTTGTTGTTGTTGTAGTTGTAGTTGGTTGGTTGGTTGATAAAATAAGGGTTCTATGTATGTCCTGATAAATTGAGGATCATAAGATAGGTTTCGGCTAGACCCGATAGATAGATAGGTATGTAGATAGGTAGATAACTTGGATGTCATGTCACCTCATGGGAATTTAGGTAGAGTCACATGACGTGATGTAGCATATATGTCTACATGCGGCATGAAGCTATTGGGATGATGTAATGATTAGAGCATTGAATTTAGCTTCATCTGTTATTACATATTCTATTAACCTAGATGTTTATTACCTTTTTTTTTTCATATGTTAATTATATGTTTAGGTACATAGTTGGATTGCTTATATAAACTCCTACAGTATGAGAGAACAACGCTGCGACTTTAAAAAGCTTCTCTAGCAGACGCCGGTAGAATGATTCGGGGACGCACGTGTATTCGCCGTACCAGCCCGGAATCCCTCTGCCGAATCCGCCCATGCAAGTTTTAATTGCGTATAACAGAACATTTCTGCCTCATGACTGGTAGCCGATGCCTATGTTACCACATACGCGGATGAGCCGGATGCGACAAGCGGCCCGGTTTTGATTTATGTCGAGATAAAATACGTCGATCAGCCTATGTTCTAGCAGCGGTGTCGGCAGCGGTGCAAACAACCCGCTCGCATTATCTTGGGTTAAGCCGACTGCTTCCGGGTCCCCGTATATATACTAGGTATTAATTAGGTCTAGTTTTTATCTTATCTGATCTGGTTATAGGCTAAGCTTACCTAGGTACCCAGGGATTCTGTAAAATCGAGCCTCGATGTATGCACGTATACTGTTGACATGCGTCATCTTTTCATTCTTGCTGAGCTTTGCGAGCAAGTGCCGAGGTTTGGGATCGTCTTGTCTATTCTACGCACAATTATGACTTCGGACGAAATACGGCTGTATGATCTATAAATACTTACGAAGTCGAAGGTAGGTAGATCTCGAGTGTGGGAGTTGGTGTGTTTAAGTTAAGAATAAGTGGTAATTTTGATATTAATTGGGCTCTCAACTTACACGCATTGAATAGATAAGCCATTATTCCGCAACTAACCTTATCGACTTTTTAGGTCTGTAGTGCATCCTTGGCTAAGCTGCTTAGATCCGAATCGCTTATTTAATATACCTATGATAACTTTATCATACATAGAAGGTGGAATTCGACCCGAATCCCGGCTATCCCTGGTCCAAGCTACGGATTTAAGGCGGCGGAAAGAAAAAAAATTGAATTGTGACGTTAAGACAATCCAACCTCACCTAAGCTAACCTACAATCAAAGGAATCTTTCTCAGTCTCAATGCCCCGCGTCTAGCCAAGCCAAGCCACTTTCCACATTATTCCCGTCTCTCGCAGCCTCGACCCCAGAAAATATTTATATATACTCGTCTCTGCCTTGAAAGTTACATACCGAAAGAAGCCTATTCGGCTCCCGTTTCCAAGTTGATTACGCGGTGAAGGAAATGTCTGAAGACAAGTCCAACTGGAAGACGAATCCCTGTCCCTGTTGGATATTCTGCACAGTTACGGCATTAGGTTAGATATTTCTATGAAAGAAAGGCCCACACCATCCACCATCCTCCATCTTCCCTCGGGGGTGAGTCAGTAAGTATATCGTATCAGCGTATGTAGAAGAAACCTATCATTCTAAACTCAGCCTTGTCTTTGCTAGGATTCTTAGCTGGCCCGCGTAATTATCTCGATTTGTTCTTTACATACTTGTTCACTTTGACAATATCTACCAATATCTACATAAATCTTACTCAACTCTTACTGTTCGGAAGCCTCTCTATCGCCAAGTTGCTAAAGAGGCTGAACTATATGGGATCTAAACTGTATGGGAATTGGTAAGCTCAGGAGCACTGCTCGCGGATCATCCGCATTATATTCAACCTATATTTTACTTCTATCACTCAAACCAATTTAACTCCCATGGAATCGTCATCCCGTTCGTCCCCGAACGAAAACTCGATCGGCTCACCCGCCGCCGTATCCGCCGCTGCGTCGACGCCTCAAGATTCTGCGTCGGTATCAAACTCCGTCTCACACGTTCCTGTACCCGGCGCTCCCAATGCTGCTTTTACGCCATCGGGTCCCATTACCCTCGATCCGTCTACTACGCCCTCATCTGTGCTAAATCCGCGCAGCTGCGTAACATGTCGACGCCGGAAAGTTAGATGCGATAAATTTATGCCCTGTGGCAACTGTCGCAAAGCCCAGATCCAATGCGTCTTCCCAGCACCAGGTCGTGCGCCGCGGCGACCGCGCATGAAGGACCCCAATGCCCCGCCGAAACAGACGAGCGAGCGCGAGATCGAACTTATGAAGAGGCTACGGAAGTTGGAGAGCATAGTAGAAGATCTTAGTGGACAGATTGAAATAGAGACGGCGAGGCACCCCTCTCTCAGCGGTGGGGCTTCACCCGAGGCGACTCTAGACGCGCAGGAGAAAGAGCGGCGAAGGCAGAGTGGGATCACATATAGCGAGAATCTACCCGGCGGCTACCCTCCAGTCGATCATCTAAAATTCGGCCGCTCTCAGACCGGCGACTCCGCTAACCAGACATCGAAGAGTCCTACCTCTGAGGTTAGCAAGCCCTTCGGGAGATTGGTGCTGAACGAGAAAGGAAAGACGCGGTACGTGAGTAGCGCTTTCTGGTCCAAGGTTAACGACGAGGTACGTTGGCTACATATTTCAAGGTCTCGACAGGTCATGTCACTGACTTATGCGATAGCTTAATCAGCTTCGAACCGAAACAGAGATGCTCAGTGATGACGACTCTGAAGCTTCGGACGATGGTAGTAGTCCTGGTGTGTCCCACCCTCACCCAGATTCCATCGATCACCACGGCTTCGTCTTAGGCTATAGCTCTTCCAATGTCGATCTACGAAAATTACATCCTCTGCCGTCCCAGATACCCTTTTTCTGGCAGGTCTACCAAGAAAATGTTGACCCGCTAGTCAAGATATTGCACGTACCATCCATGAACAAGATCATCCGCGAGCTGAGGAGTAACATGGACGATATCTCGCCGGGGATGGAAGCTTTGATGTTCGCTATATATTACGCTTCCATCACATCTATGGAAGATAACGAAGTACGAGTCCCCCTAACTTCATAAATAATACAGCAGTGCAAGCTAATCGTTCTACACGTTTAGGTTAAGGTAAATTTTGGCGCTGATAAGGCGCAGCTTATTAAAAAGTATCGTTTTGCTACGGAGCAAGCTCTCGCAAAGGCGAATTTCTTAGTTACGTCAGAACTAGTTGTAGTTCAGGCTTTTACCCTCTTTCTCGTGCTCGTCCGTCGGTACGATGACACGAGGTTCGCCTGGACGCTTACCGGTCTCGCAATCCGCATCTCGCAGTCGCTGGGAATACATCGAGAAGGGACAGAATTTGACGGTTTGAGCCCGTTCGACATTGAGATGCGCCGTAGACTCTGGTGGGCAATTTGTATTCTCGACCTTAGATCGGCAGAGGACCAGGGTACCGAGCTGACGATTGCGGAGCGGACGTACGACACTCAATTTCCGCTAAATATCAACGACACGGATTTGACCCCGGAAATGACAGAATTCCCGGAAGAAAAGCTGGGACCTACTGATATGACTTTTTGTCTCATACGTTACGAAATCTGCGCCCTGGCTAGGAAGATACACTTCGCAACAAACGGGATGGCCCCGTGCCGTACCCGGAGTACGGAAGAAGAGCGCAACAAGATGCTCCACGAGTGCTATGAGCGTATCGAAACGAAGTATCTCAAAACTTGCGGCGACAAGGATGCGGATGTGTTACATTGGGTCGCCGCCATGATTTCGCGGCTTATCATGGCTAAGATGAGTTTGATAATTTACCAGCCGATGCTGCTCCATTGGGGAGCCCAGGAGGTCAGCAAGGAAATTCGACATCGTCTCTTTATGGCTTCTCTCGAAGTAGTCGAATATACACGAGTGTTAAACTCGGAACAAAGATGTCGCCAGTGGCGGTGGCTCTTCCAAACGTACGCTCAATGGCACGCCGTTGCCTATCTCCTTCTTGAAGTGTGCCGGCTGCCTTGGACCGCGTCGCTCGAACGTGCCTGGATCGTTCTCAGCGCGACATTCCAGACTCCTGATGTGTCCCAACGTGCTAAACCAGGTGTTTGGATTCCATTGCGTAAGCTTATGGGACAGGCGAGGCGTCATAGGGATGAGGAAATCCAGCGGCTGAGAGCTGATCCCGAGGCTGCACGGCAGCTCGATTTGGACGAGCAAAAGAAGACGCAGCCAGAAAGTTTCAAACACTTGTCTAGCTCAATGCGAGGTATTTTAGCCCAGGAGCAGTGGCGCAAGCTCGTGGGGGTTAAAGGTCCCGAAAAACCAACATTTCACATCTCGGACGTCACGGGCGGCAGCACACAGACGGAAAAGAAGGGACTTGCTCGAGAGCCGTCGGATATGAAGGTAGCCCCGACCGAGTTGCAGTTTGTCGACCATTTGATGTCTCAACCGTATCTCGACTCTCAGGACATCTTCTCGGTCGCTTTTCCGGGCGACCAAGCCTACCTTACTGAAGGGGGTGCTCAACCCCCGGGCGGATCCCGGCCAAATCAGACAGTTCCCGGTGAAGCATTCGGCGCTACTAGTAGCAATAGCAATCAGCCATCAACAGGTCAGCCTGCACATAATTTTCTAGAGGACAACCCTCCACCGTGGTTCTGGAGCGGCGTCTGGGGTCAGTCTCCTCCGAATAACGCGGCAGAGAATGCGCCGAGTTCGGAGGATCAGGACGTTAACATGGATGTAGACGAGAGTTTCAACTGGCAGAATTGGGTAGACAACGGGCTCGCGATGGGAAGGGTTAGTTTTATGGGAGGGATCTAAGAATCTCTATGCGGACGGCTCAATTGGTATATATGCCCAACTGGATGGACGCAAGAATATACGGTGGCCTCGAGACGTCAAGTTACAGAGAGTTTACTAAAATGTTCGAGAGGCTTCGATAGGGTTGAAATTCGCCCGCCATATTCCCGGGTGAAGGATCATTCTATTACTACCCTACTTTAAGGCAAAGGGTGCGAAGACGGAAGAGAATGAACGGCCGTGATGAAGTCACGATGCCGTTCCGTGTATATATTGATACCCTACTCTTGGGCTTCGAGCTTTGAATATGAATCGAAACGAAACGAAACGAAACGTCGGGACTGGAATTTGCGTCTTGGCGAAACTACTTTACCATGAATAACAACTTATATTCAGAACCATAACTCACAAGGTATAAATACACGCTATTTAAAAGTTCTTAATATATATTATACATTTATATTTATGAAGTACCTATCTACCAGTTCGACATCTTTTATCCCGAGTCAACCCAATCGTTAGTATCCGTACGGTGGCCGGTTTCCGAGTTCCGTATTAAAGACTAGGTTCAACTTTTAATTACCGGAGGAATTTAGAGACGAGTCTTGCACCAACTGATTATATATCACTCGTTATTGATTTTGATTTGTCATCCTTACCTAATCAATATCACCAATCTCAAGGGTCTTATAAATCCCCTATGTCATTATTAACATGCTATGTATTTATTTTACTCTCGACGGCCCATTTAAACCCCAGTTAGAGTCTAACACACGGTCGAACTATCTCGCCGTCAAAGTTTACCGTTTGGGGGGATGGATACGTCGTGCAACGGAGACAGGCTTCCGGATAATATGTACAAGACAACGTAAATTGTCTGGTGAGAATGCGACGATTTTCTAAATCATCAAATTGTAAATAAAAAAGAACAGCTCCTCGCGCATCGTGAACAATAACTCCTTAGGCCTCTAAAATATTGAATATATACCTACCTCTTAATTACTATATAAATATGTCACACAACGTACTAATAACTGGGGCCTCCGGGTACCTCGGCGGAGATCTCCTTGCTCAGATAGGCGCTGCAAACCTGCCGCCTTACGGAAAGTTATTCGCATCCGTACGAACAGCCGAGCAAGCGGAAGCCGTCCGACAGTACGGCGCCCAGCCGCTATTTTTCAATCTAAAGGATAGGTCGGAGATCCGGACCGCCGTCGTCGATAACGAGATCACGGTGGTTTATTATCTGATCGACGCCATACAACCCGAGCCTCCTTTATTCTTCATCGAAGCGCTTGCCGAGGTCAAGAAAATAGTCGGACGTACCGTTCATTTCTTACATGTAGGTCGGTAGCCACAGATGGCCTTGTTTAGATCTAATTAGGTGTATTGCAGACTACAGGGGCCAAGCTCTTTTCTAGCCATGCTGACGCCCCGACTGACCGTCCCCTTTTGGATACTGATCCGCTGTTATATGATATCCAAAAGGCTCAGAGCCCGAGGCTTAGTGTAGCCCAACAGGTGAGTGTATATCATATGGCGTTTTCTGTTCTACGTAGCTAAGCTCGAAATAGGGCGTTAGAACCAACTGCGCGGTGGTAGAGGAAGCTGAGAAACATGGGGTTCACGGTTATGTCTTTGTGCCCTGTATCGTGTGTAAGTCGTCTCACATAAATTGAGGGCCTAAGACCATACATATTTACTCCTTTATACCTACGAAAGGCTCTCGGAAACTTCTAAGTTTATCTCGTTGACAATATCTTCACAGACGGGAAAAGCAAGGGGTTTGGCGACCCCGTGTCCACCCTGCGACAGATATATATGATTGTGCGGTCCGCAAAAACATTGGGACGCGTGTACCGCGTTGATTCTGACAGGCCGGTACGTCCATAGGTCCTTCTTACAACTGATAATTCAACGCAGGGTTCTAACCGCGGATGGAACAGGAATGGCCTGTATGTCACATACACGACAACACCACGGCGTACATAGAACTCCTGCGCAAGATCCTAGCCGATGAGAATCCCAGCCACGGCAAGAACGGCTATTATCTTGCTTCTCCGGGTAGCATTGCGGTAAGTCTAGGGTTGAGAAAATGCCATAAGAGGATCCTTTTTATTCTATCGAGACTTGTCTTCGGAGCATATAAATGACAACGGATGGCTAATCTGGCACTGCTAGTGGGACGATCTATACGACGCAGTAGCCGCGGCCCTCGTCAAGCGCAACATCATCGCTGATGGCTCGGTTGCTCTGGCAGACGATAGGATTCTCGGGGATATGGGTGCTGCGCTTGGGATCCCGAAGGAGATGGTGCCTATTCAGTTGGGCGGGAAGTAAGTTCTTGTTCACGTTTTTTTTTTATGGGAAGCTTGGATATATATATATATATATCCTCTTCGCCTGGCTACCTACCTATACTGATGTGAGTTATGTTGTTACTTAGGTGTACTTTCACGGCTCGACGTGCCCGTGAGGAGTTGGGTTGGAAGCCGGTTTATTCGGCGGAGCATATCTTGGAAGCTGCTGATGCTGAAGTCGGGTGGATTCTGGGGCATCTGTAAGACTGAAATTTATGGCTGTGGAGAATGTGTTCTATAGGTTTTGGTTATTGTGACCCCTTTTCTGAATTTTCTTTTCTGATTACACTTTATTCGTTATTGTCGTTGAACTGTAGGAGTCGCCTTTTATAAGTAGGTAGACTATCCTGTCGGTGCTGATGTTTTACCTACCAGATGCTAGACATTGTCGTTATAATTTATTGATTCACACCCTGTAAGATGCAGTTGAATAAAATTAAGCTACGGAAATTGTAGGCGGCAAGGCTCTTAGTTTCAGCGTGATAAGTTTACAAATACTGTGGCTTATTTGGTTATATATAATACCATCTGATAAATGTAGATATTTCTAGTCCCTGAACTTGTGTAACCTGTTTTTAAATATATATACTGGAATAACTAATACAATTTGAATATATACACGATCGTTTAAGCACTCGGATAATTACTGCCTTTGGAGGGAGTTTGAAATAATGTACTATCGCTATCAAACATCTTAGGACTTTAAATCATACCTAGCATCTGTTAAGTATGACATTCCAACTACGGTCCTTCGAGAATATCTATAGCCAAGTGTTAGTCTGCATTTACGGTCACTAATACTGAGATAGTAAATACTTACTTGTCCATGAGTGTTTGTAGTCCAGCTATTACCGCCGTTATAGGTACTCCGCTGGCAGTTGATCAAGACCTCAACGGCATTACTGGGTAACATGTTAGATTAAGAGGTACCTACACTCTTCATATAGAAGGACTTACTCGGCAACAATGGAGCAAGGGTTATGCAATTGGTTACTAGAATCGTTGCATAGAAAGATGCCGGCGCCGGCATTACAGCTGCTGACGCTACATCCGCCAGCGCCAGGACTTCCAGGAGGTGCGGCGCAGTCCCCGTTGGCAATGCTGTACAGGTATCTAACACCGGCGCCGATCGACTCGGCGTTGACGTCGTTTCCGTAAGCGCATGTCCAGTCCTGCAGTAAATGTCACGTATTAGAAGTGAGGAAACGCACGGGAGCATAAGAAAATAGTGAGTGGTGAGGTAGACATGCATCTGACGTTGTCGCTCGTTTCCTAATGGGTTCAAGATCCCGCCTCTTCACAGTCGAGTGAGGGCTATTCAAACCCAACTCGTTGTCGTAGTTCGGATTGATTCTTGTAATCTGCGCGTAGATCTCCTGCGAAACTAGATCAGCAGAACTCTAAGGTATACCGATCGTTGGGGCTTACCTCTGCGGTGCCCGTGATCGACACAGCAGGCTCGCCTGGCTTGACTTGGCCGGTCCATGTTATCTTGGATGCACCGAACTCATTGGTTCCCGCGGGACTCTCAGCCGGCAACGCCTACATATTTACATTAGCGATGAGGACTTGGACTTGGACTTGGGAATTTAAATCATTGAGCGATGGACGTACGGCAGATGCTACAGCTCCGGCGAGAAGACAGACGAATGTGGGAAACACCTTCATGTTGGATTATGAGATACTTGGCCTTACTTTCCGACCTAGAAAGAAAATCTCAAAGTACCTAACACCGATTTCTATGGTAACTTGATGCTATATACTATCATGGCACAATAGAAATCCTAGCAAGGATGCCGAATCGCTAACCGAAACAAGGCCACTCGACTAAAACCTCCCTTTTATTTAACGGCCCTAATTGATTAGGCAAGTGACATTATGGGAAATGGGAAATCCAAACCGACAATTCCGGGACTTTATTATTATTAACCTCATTTTAGTCCTTACAACACTAGACTATGTATAACTATAGTCTATAGATAGATAGCTATCCTAGAGTCGCCTTGCCGCATGACCTTGGAGCCATCGCGGCTTTAAGTCCTCATTAGACTCGGCGATATATGGAGCTGCTATTGGCGGCGGGTCATAACCCCAGGCGTGGGATGTAACGTAACCAATCACCATTTGTGAAATTATGAAGTTGTATGTAGTGTATGGTCCTACGATGGGACTTTTTCTCCAATCCACATTAGAGCTAACAGGGGCGAGAGATAAATTTATCTATGTACCTAGGTAGGTCATCTATTGAGGGTTCAAATATATAATCATTGAAATTAAGCTTAAGTTGGATTAAGTTAAAAGGAAGCTTAACTAATTGGATATAGTTATAGGTAACTAGGAAAAGTTTCCAAAATGTCACGCGATATATTACCACCTACTATTACGGGTATGGTGACTTACATAGGTATTCAAAAAGACTTTCCCCGTTCAGGATCGCTAGCTGGGCCAGCTGGGGCAATAACATATATACACGTAAGCTTTGCTAGGAGGTATTTTTGGCGACGGGTTTACGGCACAGCCGTCAACGTGGCAATGGCTCAGCCGTGCTCGGGCGCAAAAAAGATCGTCCCGGATCGTCGATGGTACTAGATCTTATATCCTTGTTATGCAATAAATACCGCCGTGTTGAAGGCGTTTACCTGGGTAACCTAATGTAAACATTTCATAAAATCATCGAATAGGTAGGTACTTACCTACTTGCTCAAAGCATTGGTTGGATACCGAACTAAAGTGGGCATCGTGTATGTAGACGTATGGCGGTGTCGGATGAGACGAATATGTTTCCTTTTACTACGGTCCTGTAAAGTTTCGCCGACGATGGCACTTTGCAAGAGAGAAGGTATTAAAGCCGATATGTATTGTGACATTGTGCATGAAAACGCGAAGCGAGCTTTTCATTCTGCGCAGTGATAATTTAACGCCGGACAGCCTTGAAAGCCTTGATTGTTTCAGAGCCTTCGTGGCTTGTTTAGTTCCATTTTTGTAAGCTGACCCCCATGTCCATGTCAAGCCATGCCATGCCATGGCGTGGTTGGTTACATATGGAGTAATTTTCTAGGCGAGATTCCAGTTAAGGAGATGGGACCCATCCAAACACGCCTCCCTGCAGAGGTCAAGCTACAACGACATGGACAGTAGCAGTTACAATTTCGTCACTTCCGGCTTAGCTCGAGCTGAACCCACCCGGATCCGGAATATATTCTTAGATATCATGTATAAGTTGCGGTGTCCGCAGACAAAAGCCAGCATGCCGTGCCAGTCGTGTCAGAAGCGCGTGTATGTGGTGTATTATTGGGCTCACGCGCTGAAGTACCAGGAGCCACGATGTTGTTCTCGGCCTTTCCAGCATTTTTGCTAGCTTCCCTAGCCTCTGTCGCCCGGGCTCAATACCCGAACCCCGGCGCTTGCTCCGGGGAATGCTTCACTCACGACCCCGCCGTCGTGAAGCGCGCAGATGGCAAATATTTCCGGTTCTCGACCTTGGACTTGATCGGCATCTCGACCGCGGACGATCTGTCGGGACCTTGGACGCGGAGCGGTAGCGTGATCCAGGGCGCTAGCGTTATTAATATGCCGGGGAACAAGGAGGTAAGCATTAGGTAGTCTTCTGTATTCCAAAAAAGAGCATCTTACTTACTATAGAACCCGATGTAGTTATGGGCCCCTGATGTAGTTTATATTCGGGGTATCTACTACTGCTTCTATTCGGTATCGACGTCTGGGAGTCATCAGTCGGCCATCGGCTACGCAACTTCTACAACCTTGGAATCCGGGTCTTGGAAAGACCAGGGAATTGTAGTAACCTCGTCAGACAGCAGCCCGTACAATGCCATCGACGGGAATGTCGTCAACGGCACGGGTCCCAACGAATGGTATATCCAGTGGGGTTCGTATTGGAATAACATCTACCAGGCAAGAGTAGCCATCGACGGCGAGTACGTCTTCAGGTCGGGTAACGAACACCAGATCGCGTACGAGCCGTCAGGAAACCACCAGATGGAGGGCTCTTTCATCTGGAAACGCGACAACCTCTGGTACCAATTCCTGAGCAAAGGTATCTGTTGCGTTTACCACCCGGACACAGACCCGATCGACCAGGTATATCATATTACCGTCTGTCGAAGCGACAACCCGGCCGGTCCCTATGTAGATAAAGACGGCCGCGCCTGTACTAACGGTGGTGGGACAACTGTACTCGCTAGCCACGGAAATATATACGCTCCGGGTGGACAGGGAGTTTTCCACGACGACGCACATGGAGACGTTCTCTACTACCACTATTGTGAGTTACCTAGCTCTCATAATTTAATACCCGGAGAAAGGTCTCTACTGTAGGTATTTATACTAACTTGGCTATAGTGGATCTCAACGTTGGTGTAGATTATCCTCAGTCTAAATTTGGATGGAATGTTATAAATTGGGTTGACGGATGGCCAACAGTTGTATAAGTCTACCAGCATATAATTTCGACATCTAGTATTCTTGCAAATTGTACATATTAAGTTTTGAATATATAAATTCCCTGAAATGCTATGAGATGCTATTTTATTCTTATTCTTTGTTATTTTCTTTTTACATTGGTCATTAGTTAATTGCTTGGGAAATACCTACCTACCTTAGGTACCTAGATATACTTGAAAGAGTCCTACCAAGGGACTACGCCTATGCATAACTAGGTAGTAAATGGGATAATTACGTGATTGGCGAGATATTACGTTCAGGATATTTCTGATATGAAAGAACAAGCTGTGATAGCTCCTAGCATATGCTCATATCTTCTCTTATACGTAGGCCATTACGCAATTTAAGGCTGCGATGTTAGTTTGCTAACCAGATAGCTATTAAATCGGGATTCGGAGCTCGGGGTACTACTATATCGAGGAGAATAATTACGCTGCTTAGCTGTTTTGAGATAGTTGGACCCCTGCACATTTTCCATATTGACTCATCGAAATCTGGGTATTGGCTAACAGAATCTATAAAATAGTATAACTATAGATGATCGTTATGTAGTTTCTTAGATCTTTTGTAGCGACACCATCTCTAAATTGTGCTGGAAGACTTACGTTCAAGATGCCTTTCTCCACTGGAGAGGAGAACTTGCTTCAACTAAACCAAGAAGGCTTCGACTTCAATGTGCAGTTTGAACAGCTCTTCTTCTCGATTATACCCTCTGTACTATTCATTACAGCGTCATTATGGAGGACATTTTACCAGGCGAGGAAGCCCACCATAGTGAATGCACCAGCTTTTCAACTCATCAAACTGGTAGGCTTTGTATACCTATGATCGTGCAATCGAAGTATATCAGCTAAAATGACCATAGGGTGCTATCACAACTTATGTCGGGCTTGAACTATCACTCCTTATTTTAGTCGCAGTGGGATCATTCCATGTGACCAGCATGTTTATAGCCTCCTCGGTCCTTAAACTCGTGTCGGCATTATTCATGGTAACACTTAGCCTCGTCGACCACAGCAAGAGCCCGAGACCTTCCGTGCTCCTGAATAGCTACTTGTTCCTGACCCTCCTCCTGGATGCAGCTCAAGCAAGAACGCTATTCCTGGTATCGGAAGACAAGCCCGAACTCACCTACAGCAGCATATTCTGCGCTGCGATGGCTCTAAAGGTTGGAATATTGGTATTAGAAGCCCAACGAAAATCGAAATGGGTCTGCTGGGATGAGAAAGAACATAGTCCCGAGCAGACGAGCGGCATCTTTTCCCTCGGGGTCTACTTTTGGCTTAATAGGATCTTCATGGAGGGATACAACAAAATTTTGACGATAAACGACCTTTACCCTCTGGACAGCTCTTTAGATGGTGGACTGCTTCACGAAGAGTTCTCTAGAAAAATTGACTATTCGAAACTAAAGGGAGACAAATTTGGCCTCGCGAAGGTGCTAATACGCACATTGAAGGTCCCTCTCATGCTTCCTATATTCCCACGCCTAGCACTTCTCGGTTTTACATTCTGCCAACCTTTCTTTATCGAAAAGCTATTGGAGCGTCTGTCGGAGCCCGATGTTGACGCAAACGTCGGATACGGGTTTATTGGGGCCAGTATACTGATATACTCGGGAATTAGCATCTCTACGGCGCTCTGCTGGTATGATATACATTTCAAAGATTGATAGTAAAGGCTACGGCTTACATATAGACATAGGTACTTCCATCATCGAATGCTCACCATGATGAGATCAATACTGGTTACCGAAACGTTCATAAGAGCTACAAAAGCTCGCATCGGAACGAGTGACGATAGCGCGGCGCTGACACTGATGAGCACTGACATAGAGCGGATTAACATGGGCTTCAAATCTTTACACGATATGTGGGCGAGCCTCATACAAGTTATCATTGCTGGTTGGATGGTATACAACCAACTAGGGATAGTATTCGTGGCGCCAATCGGAACAGTTATGATCTGCTTTACGTGCTTGGCCGTCGTTATGAAATTTACAGGGGATTCGCAGAGGGCCTGGATGGCGGGAGTCCAGAAGCGTGTTGGCATGACGGCTACGGTAATCGCCAGCATGAAGAATCTGAAGATATCTGGCCTCTCCGCGGCCGTTAGCGATTTTGTACAGAATCTCCGCGTAGAGGAGTTGGCAGCCGGATCTCGATTCCGTAAGATAGGTATTATTGCGGCGCTTTTCGGGTACATCCCGTTTCTACTCGGGCCACCACTTACTTTCGCATTTGCTCAGCGAACGCTAGACTCAGCTAGGATATTCACAAGCCTTTCGTACCTCTTGCTCTTGACGGGCCCGCTGTCGCAGGTTTTCCAAAACATCCCCCAGCTGCTCTCCGGACTGGCCTGTTTAGGACGAATCCAGGCATTCCTAGAGTGCGAAACTCGCCACGATTTTCGAGAAGTTCTTGCTGATATGAGGCGAAATTCGGAGAAGACTCAAGCAGATACTATTCCCTTGTTCGGTTCAGAATTAGACTCAGCGCATCCTATCGTTATCAGAAACGGGAAGTTTGGCTGGGAAGCAGGTAAATTTGTCTTGCAGGACGTCAATACTCAAGTTTCCAAGTCTTCACTTACCATCGTCGTCGGGCCAGTCGGCTCGGGAAAATCTACGCTCTGCAAAGCACTCCTCGGGGAGATTCCTTTCAGCGAAGGTAGCGTGGTTCTGAGCACCAGATTCCCACACGTTGGATTCTGCGAGCAAGTAGCATTCCTCTCGAACGGGTCGATAAGAGACAATATTGTGGGATTCTCTACATTTGACGAAGAGAGATACACCGAAGTCATAGAGGCTACGGCTCTAACGTTCGACATTGCTACATTGCCACAGGGCGACAGAACGAATATCGGATCCGACGGGATCACGCTATCCGGGGGACAAAAACAACGCGTCTCCCTCGCACGAGCGCTGTATTTGCAATCTGATCTCCTAGTGCTGGACGACATCTTCAGCGGCCTGGATGCCGATACTGAGGAACAGGTTTTCCGACAAGTCTTCGGCCCGGATGGATTAATAAGACGGCGACGGTCTACAGTAATATTATGCACTCATAGCATTAGACACTTACCCGCGGCTGATCACATCGTGGCGCTCGGAGATGGTACGGTCGTCGAGCAAGGTAGCTTTGACGAACTAATGGCCCGTCAAGGCTACGTTAAGCGTCTGGGATTGAGCAGTCCTTCTGATAGCGACTCTTCGTCTGAGAAGTCGATATTAAGGAAGACCGGTCAGGAATCCAAGGCACCGCTTCTCTACACGACAACCAACACATCATCCCTCGTGCCAGATACCAACGGATCGCGGCAAGTTGGCGACAAAACAGTATATAAGCATTACTTCAAAAGCATGGGGCTACTCGTAGCGGGAGGTAGTCTTGTCTTCGCCAGTCTGTGGGGTTTCTTCTCGAACTTTCCAACAATTTGTGAGTCGGTTCTGTTCTTAGGCGACAGGATGAAATCCTAATCCCACTTGACTGTATAATCACTCTCAGCTACGCCTATTCCCAAGTTAAACTCCGAGAACCGTTGCTAATTGCTACTATTCATTAAAGGGCTCAAATACTGGTCTGATGACATATACTCGGAACATCCGTCCCACACGTACGCTTATTACGCGGGGATATATGCTTTACTTCAAGCTGGCGCCTTGATATCGCTGTTTCTCCTCGGAAGTGCGATTTTCGTCGTCTCCGTCACGAGAGCAGGTTCTAATCTCCATCACGACGCCCTCAGAACGTTGATCCGAGCGCCGTTACGCTTTTTTACCGTGACGGACACCGGCGCCGTTACTAATCTGTTCTCGCAAGATTTGAATCTTATAGATACGGAGTTGCCGAATGGACTGCTGAACACATTATTCTGTGTAAGTTTGCTATACTAGATTTCGACTAGAAGTACAACATGTTTCTGTTTGTTGTTTGAATACTTCATTTTCTAATACATAGCTCTAGTTATTTCAAGCAATCGGACAGGCAGCTGTCATGCTTACCTCATCTCCGTACATGGCTATAAGCTACCCGTTCCTCGGCGTCCTGTTGTATATAGTGCAAAAGTTTTACTTGCGGACATCTAGACAGCTGAGGTTACTAGACCTCGAGGCTAAGAGTCCTTTATAGTAAGTTTATCATCATGAGCTGGTGGACTGTTCCGTCCTATACTAATATGGATTCTCTCAGTACGCACTTCCTCGATACTCTTAAGGGAATTACAACTCTAAGAGCCTTCGGTAAGTAACACGCGGAGTCCCCCGCAATAGCGTCAACATCTGCAACATTTCGGATTGAGATATTATAATCTCCATCCGTATAATCCCAGTACCAACACTGACCAGAGGTTGACAGGCTTTATTCCCGAAGACGTGCGAAAGAACGCCCGCCTAATAAATACCAGCCAGCGTCCCGCGTATCTACTCGTCATGGTCCAACAGTGGCTAAATCTCGTGCTAGACCTAGTAGTAATGGTGATGGCCGCGGTCCTAACAACTCTCGCCGTCCGTCTCCACTCAAACTCTGGCTTTGCCGGAGCTTCTCTAGTCACGCTCATGAGTTTCGGCGAAAACCTTTCAGGCATCGTCATATACTACACCAAGTTGGAAACTTCCATCGGAGCAATAGGTAGACTGAAAACGTTCAACGAAGATGTCAAGCCGGAAGATAAGGATGAAGAGGATATTGTCCCTCCTGAGCAGTGGCCGCAGAGCGGCGAGGTAGAGTTGAAAGGGGTATCTGCTAGCTACGAGTAAGTTGTAAACTAACATTACGGCCGAAAATGATTAACTATGCTGTAAACACAAAACTGACATATGGAACAGTGCAGAAGACCGAATTGGAAGCGAACCAAACTTAGCCCTTCGCGACATCGAACTAAAGATCAAATCCGGAGAAAAGGTAGCTATCTGCGGTCGCACTGGCAGCGGTAAGTCGAGCCTCGTCGCTCTTCTCCTCAAGCTCCTCGACCCCCTCCCAGAGGTATCCGGGGAGGTGATAATAGATAACACGCCTCTCCGGCATATAAACCGGCAGACGCTGCGCCAGCGTATAATCGCCGTGCCGCAAGAAGCCGTCTTCCTGCCGGACGGATCCACTTTCCAAGCCAACCTGGACCCGTCCGGAGTCTCAACGCCGGAGGTGTGCCAGTCCATTCTCGCAGCTGTCGGGTTATCGCAGTTCGTCCGAGAACGGGGTGGTCTTAGCGCGGGTATGAGCGCGGGGACTCTCAGCGCAGGGCAGAGACAACTGTTGTCTCTCGGGCGCGCTCTGCTGCGACGGCGCGTCCGGGCGCAGAACTTAGGAATAGGGGGCGGGGGCTCCGAGGGCGGGCTGCTGCTGCTCGACGAGGTGAGCTCGAGCGTAGACCACGAGACGGAGCGGTTGATGCAGGAGATTATTAGGAACGAGTTTAGGGATTATACGGTCATTGCTGTTAGCCATAGGCTCGATATGATTATGGACTTTGATACGGTGGTTGTTATGGATACGGGAAAGATTGTAGAGGTTGGTAATCCGATGGTGTTAGCTGGGAAAGAAGAGACTAAGTTTGGGGAGTTGGTGAAGGCTGGGGCTAAATAGGGGAAATATCTGTTTTAGGTATATAAATGGAGTTGGCTTTTGTTTCTACGTTATGTCACAAGGTGAAAGTTTATAGATATAACTATTAGTTAATAGTATATGGACCAGTTATTTTTCCTTCGGAATGACTATTCGAGCAAATAGGAGTAAATAAACTACCTTAGGAGGTAGTTAGATAGTTAGCAAAACCGACTTCTCATTCTCACGATCTCAACACAATCAATCAGACCGCTAGAAATGAGTTGAAATAAACGATAGTATCTTTAGGGGGAAACACAATCGCAAACCCAAGCCGCAAGGATGAATAAACGAATCCATCTACCCTCATAACAGACATTCCCCTAAAGAAGCTCATCTGGTAGATAAACAGCGTCACCTCGACCGTGTAATCCCCCGCTCCTAATATTTCAAAGGATCACATCAAACTCCACGTCACATACAATAACGCAGGAGTCGAAGAGAACAATTCTACCTAAGTTATCGATAGGTTAGGTACCTACTTTACACGTATCTTCTATAAATACCTCCTACCCAAGGCAGATGTCAATTCCTCGTTTACATAATACACAAATCCGAGAACTCGACGACCGGGGGGAGGGGGGATAGGTATCTTGTTCGTCATCTGACGCCAGCTAGGAAGCGCAGCCCTGGCCCTGCGCGCAATGAGTATATTATCTAAACGAGGCTTGGATTTCTTGGGGTGCGAGAGAACCAAGACCGAACCCCCGTCGCCGCCGCCGCCTTCAGGTAAGCATGGGGTTATAGTTCGACCGCTGCTTATAATCAGACGTCGGGTTGTGTACCTATCTAACCTACTTAATACCAGATGGATTTCGCGTGCATTAGCAATTAGTCGTTGGTTTAAGTAGTTAGGTAGGTAGTCAGGTAGTTAGTGAGTGAGTGAGTGAGTGCAGCGCAGCGTCTGGAGGATCTATCCCTAATATAACCTAACGGCGAGGCGACATGTAGGCAGGTATCGTACCTTATACCGACCGCGCCGTGGTGCAGCGGGTTTTCGTTCCCCGCCCCTCTCTTACACCACGCTGCAAGGCCGCGGCGCTGCGTGGGCGATCGTATCGTAAGTGGATTTGGAATACCTTGGTTAGGTCCCTTGGTATTATACGTTTCTTGTTTTCAACCTGGACCTTTCTTTTTATCTGCCATGTGGCTTTTCATGTACTTACTATTGCTATAAGGCTGAAGAGGAGAAGTCCGGGGTGCGATCGACGCACGAGCGAGATGTTCGGTATATAGGTACCTAGGTATGTATTCGCTACACCGGCCGAAATGTAAGATAATTCGCGTGTCTTGTTATATGAAGACACCACCTCCCCGCATTCCGCGGACGGTCCGTTATACATGATCGTTGCCGTGGACGGACGGATGGATGGATGGAAGCTTCTAACCTACGAGGTAAACTAGCGTAGCCTGCTTTGCCTCGGGTCACACGTCGGCGGCGTTGGCTTTTCTCTGTCGTCCTCCGTGATACGGCATATTAGACAACATGGATCCTATGCTGTATATAATGTATACATGCGAGTTGGGGGTCAAGTCAAGCCTTTTTTGGGTTGGGGGATGGATGTTGAAGAAAAAGAGAAACAAACCCCAAGTCTTGGAGAGAAGATAAGTACAAGGGGTATCCTAGACAGCATCCGAGACAACCTATCAGGGCGACGCGCTGATTAGCCCGTCACCCACGTGGCAAGGGGATAAGGTTAATTAATACCTTGCAAGTTGCGCGTGAATCCTTCGGAACCCCCCCGGCCTCCACGTCCCATCATCTTTATGTACCTAATGTATGTACCTAGGTAATTGTACGACTTATTAGATGATGGGATAGTTCGGCGATAGCTTGTCTTACAAAAAGATCGTTTCTATTCCTACGTCTAAAAATACGGAATGATCATGTTTCTTCAACTTTGTCTCGCCCCTCATCCGCATGTCTGCCTCTCTGGCATGTCTGTCTGGCCTGCAGTGCAACGCTGAAAAGACTCAAATGCACGCAGGGAGGGTTACAGCACACGATTACATGTAATTCCGCTGTAGGATGTGGTGCGAGTTGAGCACAGCAGCAGTTTCGTATCTTGCAGCAGCAGCAGCAGCATCACTCTTACCTCATATCCTGCATATACCTTACATAGAAGTAGAAGTGTTGCAGCCGCTTTTAGAATTCAAAATCCATGCTTTTGATTTCCGAGGGGAGGTTTTTTTTTTTTTTTTTTTTTTTTTTCATCGTCGGCTTCGATGATACAAGCCTCGTAACTTGTCTGCTGCGCCGTTTCGTTGCGGGTACATCCAATATCTCGGGAAGACTGATCTCACGCAAGCAGCGGAGCCCTCCCTCTCTCTATGTATCTGGAACCTGAGTTCAGCTTCGGGTGGTCGGCAACCTAGCCCCCTTCGATCAACCCCACCAGATACATCTTCATCTTCATCTTCCTTCCAGCTATGAGGTAACTAAGATACGTTTCCAAGGGGCGAATCTTGACTACCGTTGCCTAGATATGAAACTAGACATGTGAGTGAAAGTAATAGTACGAAGGAGGAAGAGACCTAATAATAATTTGACAGGTACTTATTACTTAAAGGATTCGTTCCCCGGCCGTAGTGGGATGGACTGCAGCTCGCCCGTGGAGATAGATGTCTCTCTGTTCGATCTTCACTAAGTATTCGCCAAAAGTCACGTCGATCCCCAGATTTTCCAACAACCCAAGCTCGTATCCTCAGACGCGGTAATATACCATATGTTTCTCATAGAGGTTTTCTCCAAGCGGGGATATGAGGCGGCCTGCCGTTGCGGGAGATGCGATGTGGCATGACGAGGTGGCGCATCGTTGGTAGTAATGTGTACCTTTTGCTTTTGACATGTATTTGGAATTTGACTTCGTCTAAAGTCCCATTTACCGTATAGGTATGTATTATTAGTTTGTCTTCCCCCCACCATAGGATGACCTCTTCAATTGGCGAATATATATGCATATATACCAGTCTGTCATTATTGTCCAAGTTCCAAGTTGGTAGGATCCGTAGCGCCGAATAATATTACTCTAGGCGTTCTCTCTTGCTATCACTCTTACTCCCACTAGCATTCAGCTACGACTTGGCCCGATAGAATAGGTAGTCAAACTGAGTTAACTGTGAGATTGGCTGAGATTGGCCTCACCGAGGATTAACTCGACAACAATAACAAAAGCCTTATTAACTAAACACATCAAACTTTAACTTTGCCCATCTTAGGCTATTTTACCCTTCTCCAATTTGGTTATGAGTTCGATAAAATAACCCCGATGGGCCTCCGCCGCGCCTTAAGCTAAGTCCGAAAGGCCATCACAGCACCCCATCACCATCACCATCACCATCAACTCGCATCTGTGGTGGGGATCGGTCGCAGCTGAATTGACTAACCTATTAGATGCTGCCATTATCTCGTAATGTCTCTCAAGGTGTTTTCTGGGCGACCCCCAAAATCAGCCGCTATGCATATCGCGTTTATTCAAAAGCCGTAAATGACTCGAGTGCCGTAACGCTAGGTTACCATCTTAGGTACCTCCTAATGCATCACTTTAATAGACGATGCTCTCTCTCGTCTATAATATGGCAGGGTCCCTAGTCGCAAACTCGATAATTTTGTGGGTTGTATTGTCACCTACGGAGGCGGCACGTTCCTGAAGATCCCTAATTCCCTGTTGCGAAAGGGGGGGGGGGGGAACATGACAAGAAATTGCCAGATCCTATTGAGATACGTCCGGGGTCCCCCGGTCACCGGCATAATCTGATACTGCCTACCAAATTCACCATTCTCACTCGAATATTTCTCTTATCGACCGTTTGAATAGGCACATCTTAGTATGCAAATTTGTAAATTGGACAAAAATTGTTTCTTCTATTGGCCTGTAAGGCCCAAATGTAATTTTCCTGCGTGGAAATGTGTTTTGTATATCGCTTGTAATAATCCGTGAGTTCATGCCTCGGGTATAAAACCCACCCATTCCAGGACGCCATTCCTATTGACACCCCCTAAATCCTGTCTCCCCTCCGTCCCTCCATCCATCCATCCATCCCTCACTCCAATGAACCTAGCTCAACCTTGCAGGTATAAAACCACCCCAATCAAAATTAAGTAAAACGAGACCGACATTTAGTGCATGCGGGCCAGGAGGAGCTTCAAAGCTTGTGCTGTACAACCAATCCATGCGCGCACATGCAGCATGTATCGTTTAGGCCAGAAATAGGCACCCATAAGCCTAACATGATAGACACCGAACTCCCCGTATTAGGTAAATACAGCCAGGAATTGTAAAGGGAAAACCCCAATATCGAATCAGAAAACACAACAACGTACAATCCGCATGAGAATTCATGAATTCGTATCAGCCAGGCGAAAACCACGAGTCAATGAGGTTATTGGGCCTCGATCTTGGAATGCCGACCTGTAAGCTCTGCGGCCCAACTATCATCGCCGTCGACGATGGCGCCGCGCTCGAGAAGTAGGGCTGCCATATCAGTACGCCCAGCCATAACGGCGCGCTGTAATGCCGTATAACCCGCGCTATCGCGGCTGTTGATGTTAACATCGTAGCGCTGGAGGAGAAGCCGTAACGTGTCGATATGACCGCCTGCGACGGCGAAGTGTAGTAATGGTGCCGTAGTCTCCGGAAAGGGTGAGTTCTGATGTTGTATATCCGTCATGCTATCCACAACGCTGCTAGCGGACGTCAAGAATGCAGACGCTAGAGATGAGGTGCTAGGTCGCCCGGCATGGCCCGACTTTCGGTCTAGCGGTGACCAGCCCGCAGGACTATTAAGATCCGACTCAGGAGATGTCGCGTATGCATTGGCGCTGTGCGCAACGCCGTCGTCGAGAGGATACGCTGATTCCGTGTGATACATGGACATCTCTTCTGGGTTGTTATAAACGTTAAAACTGGCTCGGGGTTAGCTAGATATACAGACACGCGAAACGATGAAACCCCTAAGTTCGCTCGGCTAGGGTTTCCGAGTATTCTATATATTGGGAATCGCGGAATTGGCTTACCTTGTCGATACGCGAAGTCCATCACCACTATCTGTTGCGGTTCCTTGTCCCCATGGCATAGGACTGGCGCAATTAGATGAGTAGATGGGGGGTATACTGTGGCTCCTAAGATGATGCTGGTGCTGTATGGGCGCGGAGGAAATATTAGTTGTGACAGCACGCGTTCGTCTTCCCGTTGTAGGTAAATCCGACACGACATCGTTAGAACCGTGGACTTGGGAGAAATAAGATGCCGCGTCGAACCCTAGCGGATTTTCCCCATCCGTCGTGAGACCCAGTCCGCTCAGCTGTTCCGTACCTGAGGCGTGAGGCCAGGACTGTAAGTAATCGCTCATCCGCCGGGAGCCATTGGGTGTCGTCGCCGATGTCACCGCGTCGGCATTGTGAGCGTGAATATCTCCTAGGCTGGATGGACTTCTCCCACCGGAAGGAAGCTCATGCTCGGGTGGTGGCGTAGTTGAGGGATCTGAACTAATAGACTGCTGAAGCTGCTGCAATTGCTTTTTCAACCTTTCTACTTCCTTGGTTCGATCTCTCATATTTCTCCCTTGATATTGTTAGCCTCGAGTAAATCCATAGTTAGAAGCAGAACTCACTATATGCTCGTTGGGCAAGACGGTTCTGAATTTTCCTCCTCTCAGCTGCATCGGGCAAATTCCTCCAGTCCTCGTCAGGCTTCATCAAATCCACATACGATGTTGTCAGCGGTCGACCGCTGCGGGGAGAAGCTGTTCCTGACATAACGAGAGACGATGAGATACTAAGATAGTAATGATTATAGCGATGGCGATAATTGGTAAAGACAGCGACTTGAAAAGGTAGAAGCAGAGAAGAGATTAAATGTGACGCAGGTCGTAGATGTTCTTGTATATCTTCGACTAAGGTGTATGAGCTCAGCACAACACGACCCCTAAGGTGCGAAAGTAACACGGGACTTAATTAATAGCAGTACTGAATCCAGTAGGATCAGACAGTAGTGCTGATGGATTCCTTATGTCCTAATTTGTCTGGGAAGGCTCGCAGCAATGGGGAATAAATAGCGTTAGAGAAGATTGATCGAAGCCTCCGAGCCCGGTAACGAGATGACAGACGCCTCCCCCCAGTAATGTATCCGATCTCGAGGTGCGTTCAGCTCATAGGCCAGGACAGGGACTAGGAAACATGACGAAATGACCAGGTATCCTGGTAGCTGATCAACCCGCATAGGCCAGGGATGATTTGTGTTGGGACTGCAGAAGGTAGTAGGTGGCCAGCCTTTTTTTGTCTGTTACGCGGCTTGATAGGGTTGGTTGAATAAGAGTTGGTTATCGAGAGCCCCCAGAAGACTTGCCTTCCGGACACGACGGATACCCTGTGCGATTTGCAGGCTAGACCACGGGAGATGTGACCCGCCAAGACTCATTCCAGCCCTTGACTAATGAGCTGTATGAACTTGAAAGAAGATTAGCTCGATGCCAAATGTCCTGCAGATGTAAGTGATGTATTGGGGCAGCTCTCCGCGTACTTCAATCATACGCAGGGGTAGGAAGGTACACATAACCATCATACATAACCATCATCCATTGTGGCTTGCTTCGCCTCAGAGCTTAAGAGGAAACGAAGAGGAGTGGGAATGTACACGCCCCCAGCAGAGACCAATGGGTGTGCGCTTCAGAAAATGCGTGCATCTTCGTGACGAGCTCCACGCATCTTTGGCTCAGCGGCACAGCGAAGAGGTCCCCTTTCCTTGGCGTCGATCCTACATCCGCCGCCACAAAACCCGTTACGGCAACTCCATAACCTACTCTATGTTATGTGTGTGTCCTGTTGCTGCCGACGTTTCCTACGTAAAAAAACCCATTGGTTCCAGGCGTAGGGGGTCAAGATAGCTTACACCTGACCGTATCCTGCTATCGTTATAGGTTGATAGGGCTTTCTAATGGTAACATTGTTACAATAGCAAGATTGCCGCAAGTTTTTGCGAATCTGGCGCCATATGTGGATCAACCCTAGCCACGATGGTATAGAGCTTTATCATATCATCGGGTTATTTGGTTACCTGCCTTGTATAGTCATCCCGTGTTACTGTTCCTGATCGATAGACACGAGACACTGCGATAGCAGATCTCTCGGGCTGATAACATATGTAGTGTCCGCGGCCTAGTGGGCGTGGCGCTGCCAACGACTTGTCAAAACGCAAGAATTCAAATCGACTAACACAGACTTCTGCACGTCATCTGCCACCCGGAGATCAGTCCTTCCTCTTCAAGTTTAGACAGTGGGTGCGGGCACCACGGAGATGCGTATCGGGGTCGAACGGGGGTTGTTAGCCCATCCGTCTTATTGGACGATGTCTCATGTACCCCTGCTCATACCCTGGGAGAGCTAAAATCCTCCGCCGTAGCCACTGCCAGAGGCCTGGGTATCTATGTATGTATGCACTCGAAGCTGTACGAGGGTGCGACGAGATAAAGTGCCCAGACCCAGGTTCCCGTGGTAAGACGCCACCGGTGTGACGGCAGTATAGTCCCCTATTTGTTTTCTAGGAAGCCACTGACGTTATCGAGAACATTCGAAACAACATCAAGTCTATATAGATTCGAGATAATGAGGAAAGAGACCGGCATTGAAATGCTACGCCATTCCCAGTTTCCCTCCGTGGTTAAGCATCGTAGTAGGATACCCTTAAGTCTACTTCTCGGCACGGGTAGAAAGTGACGTTTGGTAGCTACCGTACATGCACGCCGGTAGTTATAACTTAGATTGAAAAAAAAAGAAGTAGGCGCTGGGTAGTAATGAGATGATCGACTCGGGCGCAGCCGAATACAGTCATTGGATCCAACAAAGGTTCAGCTTTGGATTGAGCAAGAATATACAATAGCGACAGTTATGCAGATGTAGCAAATGCAGAAACCAGCGAACCCAAATATTATCTGAACGGGCTGGGTTGGGGTCAACTCATGGAGAATCGATGAGCATATACCGGTTGCATTCCCGCTGCGCATCCCCAGACAGCTGCGCATCCAGGCTCCAGCTATCGATGAGACGACTTGTCTCATGCTTCTTGCACCAAAGATCTGCAAGGTCAAAGTGTCTTGTCCAATAATATAAGAGCAGCTCGAAGCAGCAATTTTCAAGTTCTGAACATAGAGATACAGCTAGTCCACTATTCGACTGCCAAATATCGAATAGATTAACTAGACTACTAGTCGGCAGAAAGTTACCAGCAGCTTGGGAAATAGATACTAGACTCTCGGCGAAGCGTGGAAGTAATTAATTTTCAAATTAGAGGCCCACGACCTGTTCCAGTCATCTGGAAAGGCGGGCGATTGTACGTACTGATATTGGTCACATATCAGAACGCAAAGTGCTCGCTGCGACTATACGGTAGCATGTTAGCCGTTTGGCGGATCTGCAGCAGGGTTTGGCTGAGACGTAATAGGGTCGGTATATAAGAAAAATCCAGGGTCCCCTCCGAAGAACCGGATGGTCTGGTAGCGGGACTATCTGGGGAAGAGAAAAATGCATCGCCACTGCGACGAGTTAAAATCAGCCGGGGATTCTCGCCTAAGCTTCGAGAACAAAAGACAGACCGTCGGCCTCGCAATCCGGACGTAGTTGTGTTGCCGGATCTTTAACTCGTCTCAGGAACTGTCCCTAGGAGCTATACATCACCATACGTAATATTACGGTTTAGAATGGCACTTCCCAATTCCGGAAGGAATCGCGATGTTCGTCTAAAGAGGCCAAGAGTGAGCGACGATGCTGTAGCGTAACTTACGGCGGACATTCGCCATGATCGGCGTGGATAGACATCGTATCCCTAGGTCTCCTAGAAGCCAACGTGATGGAGCTCTAGATGAAGATACGGGCGAATATTGGTGACGTGCTCAGTATAGCAAAGCCGGGCATCGGACTTTTGACGAGATTGGACTTTTGTAAGCACACTTCGTATCACCTCATCAGCTCGAAGCTCGAAGAGTCAAGAGATAGACACTTTTGGAGGTAACAGTCGTCAAAACCAGCAAACACAAGCGAATTTGAAGCGGGGGCAGACTAAGCACAGGACCCTTCAGAGGGATGACGGAAGAAGGTTTTGATCCGGTAACCACCACATTTGGAAAGGAAATGGTATTATGATATTAGGCAATGCTGTGACTTTATCATGAGTGCCAGAAACAAATGTGATGTGGTCTGTAACGAGAAGGTAACGAAGAAACAAGGGTGTGAACAAATAGGACAGGTAACCCATGAGATGCCACAAGGTGCAGAGAATCGTGAATCGTGCAGAGAGTCGTTGCAGAGCGTGGCAGGTGAAAAGAGGAAGTTTGTCTTGGCATTAAGATATGATTGGAAATTTCCAATGGCTGCCGGAGCTAAGAGCGGGGGGGTAACAACCTTACTGCCTTAGCTGCTTACATAGAAACACTAGCACAGACCATAATATCCACATCCCACATTTACTAGGCTATCAAGGTTATCTAGTTCATGTTAAGTACCTAAGTACCTCTATAGATCCCTGAAAAAGGTAAAGGGGGGAACACATTCTAGGTATCAGAAGCTAACAATTCCCCTCCCCCCTGTCCAACATTTTTATTATACACTAATCACTTACCTACCTTCACCATTTACTTACATGTATGTCTCGGATTTACTGCCAATGGATATTCAGCGATTCCGACGGATAGTAATATTCTAATCGCCGGTTTCGCGACGACTTCTAATATTCTACATGTTGTGTAAGCATTGCTTATAGTTAGATAAGTAACATAGGTCATGAGGTTATGTTTCTGCGTTTGATATGTTGTGGTTCGGCCGAGTTTCAAACCGTTGGGGTTTAGGATCCGTACCCAAGTAGAAATCTGTTTGTAAGTGATTTGTTACGAGCCTGTCTATCTCCTCCTATCTCCTAAAGCCCTTCAAAACGTGCCCGGGTAACAGGCAGCTAGAATATCTCCGCTAGGTATATTATGAATTACATGTGAATTCGATAGCCTAGCAGGGCGTCGGATCACCTGGTCCAAAAACTTACATAATAAAGATCCTTCTATAATCAAAGCAAGGTAGACTAGGCTATACAGCTCGCAAGCTTCGTCAATGTCTTACGAATTCCCTCGCCTTACCTAATATCTCGGTCCAAAGTTATTACATCACTTTAGTTAGTCTTAAACATGAGGCGGCGCGGGAGGCGCAGCGCCTTATGAGCCTGGTCAGTTGGCTGGTCACGATAGTCTCTAACCGAGCCCATAGTGCTAGGATATAGCTTGTGGAGATACTATATTTTATATTAAGTCTCCACGCTTAAAGCCTTGAGTATAGTATATCCCGTAACATATACATTCATAGAGCACGTGGACTTTTAATTGATTCTTAATATAGATCGAATTATCGAAGTTACCTCATATATCAAATTGGTACAGGAATAAGACATTGGTTTCAATTTCTTCCATGTCCTTGGCACGACCTCAAATTAAGCCTCGAAACTACTTATAGCGTAAGGCGTTTGACATGGGGGAGGAGTGTGGCGTCGAATATACTAGGTAATATACTACGTAGTTGTGGATTCAATTCACCGAATCCATCTGTCTCTATTGGGAATCACTCGACTGAATCACTGTTCCGGCACCCCACGGTTCCCGGTCCCGAGGTGTCCCAGGCTATACAATATCTCGAACATTGAAATCCATATTATAGATACCATTTATCTATTTATACTCCTCTGTTAAGATGAGATACATATAGCCTCGCAAATTAGACACCATTAGAGCGACGCCACAACGTCGGATTGGGAACCGACATGTAAGCTATGCGTGCCACTCATTGATCACATCAGTTGTGTGACTTATCCCACGCGACGAGAACGCCAAAGGTCGGAACCATGCGGGGGGGGGCGCGTCGGGCCGTCTCAGCGCATGTCAGCCACTCCGGGACCGACTTCAATCCTTAATGTGCTCCTATTTAGATGCATATTATCGGAGCCATCCTCTTCCGCAAAGTTAGGATTCGGGAATAATGGAGAGCCAGGCAAATATACCTCATTAAAGGAATTTCCTTTGAATTGCTCTAATACGCATAGATCGCCATCATGGGCGGAACGTAAGATTGCCTCTCTACTTATTAGCGCCTGAATATTCATGACCTTCACCTTCCTTCTATACCGGGATTTCGGCAGGATCGAGCTCGGATTAGAGTCGAATACTTGAAAACGGAGCATCGTATATTTTACTAAAGAAAGATGTAACGAAGATGATACTCAAGGAAAGTAAATTTTAAGGAAAAGAAAGGAAAAAGGAGCCGGGCTTACAGCAGATTGGAGTGGAGATAAAGAGCGTCGAAATTACTTTATTGACCGCCTTAGTATTTTCGTAGGCGTGTAGCAAAGTTTCACCTTCAGGAGAACTTTTAGCCCCTGTCTCTATCCTTAAATATCATATTCCACCATTAGGTGGTAGCGAGCCCTTGTAATTCTCATCAAATAGCCTTTTGGATTTTCCCTGGATTTGTATGTACACCTAATAAAAAGCCTCAAACTACTCTAATAATGACAAACTCGAGGTATCTACTAGATTGCTGGAATCCTCGGACGTGATCATGTTTTTATATCTGGGTTCACTTCTCGAAGAGCATTTCTTACACTTCAGATTGCTTCTATACAATGTCATCTCATAATGTACTTTATCATTGATAGCCAAGAAAACACCTGGAGCTAGGAGGAGAAGTCGAAATCAGTAATCTACACATACCTACCAAAGTACATTCGCAGACAATGAATTTTGCTACCAATTTTATTATTTCATCGTTAATTTGATATCCATTCCCAAGTCACGTTTCACATATCTGGTCACAAGAATTGTTACGGTAACACATTTCTATCGGGCACTCACAGAGTAATTTAGTATACTAGATTAACTAGGCATTATCCGATTCATGGTACTAACTACTCTATGTGCCTAACGTGTCTAAGAAAACATAGGAGGCCTCAGATGACTGTAGGCGAATCGAAATTCCATTTAGTTCCTCATAGAAATATCCTCACAAAGAGACGCGATAGATAAAGCTATAATGAAAAGGGGGCCAAGAATAGCATAGCGAGTACTATATCGGCCTTATAACCGTGTATAGAAGCATGTGGGCTAGAATTGATCTAGAATCCTGATTTGAGACATAAGGCTCGACAAGATGGGTGTCCTTGCAGCAAACCCCCACGCTCGCGGCTCATATTCGACGAGACATTATAACTTGGACTCCCACCTTCACAATACGCCATATCTACGTTATATCTCGTCTTACTATATACGAATGTGGCAGGAAGGAGACATTTATAGTCGCATACCTAGTAAATGCGGCGACATCGGCTGAGATGGGCAAAACTAAAATAGAGCTAAATAGGAAAGACGATGTGGTAAATTCACACATGCTAGGTAAACCAAGCACACGCTATTTGGGCTTCCCCAGTAGTTCCGTCAGGCCGCGGGCTCCTAGCTTATAATAGCGTATAGCATATACCACTCCCGCTGCGGGGGTATAGACGGACCCGTTCCCTAGTCGGGGTAAAACTCCATGATTCTTCGTCTTCCATGAGCCTCATATAGGCCAGATAATGACCTGCTAAGGCGCGGCTAGCACTAGCTGCCGCACGAACCAGAGATATAGCAAATTTGGAAATGATGCGGCGAGATTACTTACACATGTTCGACAAGTTCGTGTCTTCGGTTGTGCTGCTTACTCTGGGCTAAGCGAAGGGGGGCGATGTCGCTAAGCAAGAGCTGAGCTGTGAACAAGATACGGAATTGCTGGAGGGCACACAAAATTTCACCTACCTATAGGGCATTTTTGATAATCATGACTAAACGATTTTTATCACGTAGTCAAATGTGGCGAAGCTCGAAGCCCGTTACGGAAGGAGGGAAACACAATGCCGAAGCACAATCATGATTGGTAACGGGAGCAGCCAGTTCAGGGAAAGTCATATTCAGAGTAGTATCCTCGGAATTAAATCAAGACGCGGAAAGATGAAAAACCGACTAATCTGGCCCAGCGCCCTATGCTATCTGGTCGGCCAATACTATCAAAGCTATAATCAAGAGAAGCGAGAGAATATTCCTGCTAAGTAAAATGAATCTCAGATCATCGCATGTGAGTACCTCTCACTCGAAATAGTCATCCCCATGCCGTTCGCAAGAGCCGTTCAGTGATCCCAACGGGTTCCAGCAGATGAATAACGTAGTATACTAAGAGTGCAGTGCGATGCTCGATATCTGAGTAGAAGGTCTGTATATTATTACGAGTCAGCGGACCCTAAGTAAGATCTTCTTGAGGAATAGGAATAGGTAAGACAAACCCTGAGATTCATGAATCACTTAAAATTTAGTCTGCATAGCCACAAGGTCGTTCTCGGGTGCTGCGTCGACACGGTCAGCCTGGATGTTGTCTTCTGCGTCGGAGGCAAGCTTAGCAGTCATCTCGGCCGACTCAGGGTCGATCGCAGACTTCTTCTGCGCCTGCGATGCATGTGAATTCTTGGGCTTAGGCTTTGTCGGGGTCTCGATATCTTCATGACTATCATCGCTTTCGCCATCCGCGGCTTTGACGTTGGACTTCTTCATGACGCGGCGTTTGGTGGCTTTGGCCGGCTTCTGCTCGTCTCCGTCGGAATCGCCGGGATAGTCGTCCTGCATAGCGTCTTCTGCAGCTGCTTTGGCGCGTTTGGTTGTCTTCTTTGCAACTCGAGCCTTCTTGGCCTTAGTACCGGTATCATTTTCGGCGTCGGCACCATCCATGGAAGCTGCAGTACGCTTTCGGCCTTTCGTGGGAGTCTTAGCAGTTTCGCTACCTGCCGGTGAGTCCTCTTGAGGGGTGGGGCAGTCGTCAAGGTACTGCTTGCGGAGTTTCTGAAACTGATGCCTATAAATGAAGATCAGACACGTTTTGTACTCACGAGTATAGAGTCATAGATGCAGAAGCTAATCACATCCAACTCTCCTTATACATATATGATGTTGGTACAATATACATATCAAAATGCGTAGTTGAGCTAGAGACCAGACGAAGCTAGACTTACTTGAGAGCCGAAAGGGTGTACTTGCCACGAAATGTCTCCTTGGCCTTTTCAGCAATAGAATTCCAGCCTCTGACAGCTAGTTGCTCGTTCTGGTCCTGCATGATGAGAAGGAGGAGACTCGCATTCTCGTCGGAACTCCACTTAGTAGAGTCCCCGTTCCCGGCAGTGGCAGACTTAGCGGTCTTGTTAGACATTTTGTGACGCAAGTGTTAATAGAGACGGATGATGTAAAGAAGGTATGACTAGCACAGAATATGTTAGTAAGACTTTACTTATTGCGAAGGGGGTAAACTCTCAGATTCCCACTCTGGTTGTGGAAGCAGAATAAGAGACAATCAGAAATATCGACCGTGCTTTTAAGATAAGGGTTTGTGGTTCCAGGGCAGGGGGTGATTTGGTGAACGTCTCTGTTCTAGTTGAAGTCGGGCGACATCTACCTTTCCAAGAGACAACAATAATGAGAGATAGCTCCACGAGATATAAAGGTACAAGAACATTTGATGCTTTGGATTGCGGCAGATAAGATCGTGTACTAAGTCTATAGTGCAGATCACGAGAGATAGAATATGTTGATCGCACAGGTGGTGTTACCCAAGGGATCTTAGGATGGTGAAGGAAAGGGATTGATAGATAGGTACTTACCTTTTGTGAATAGATTAGGTATAATATAAAATACCTAAGTAGAGTGTACAGATAAAGAAGATTTTGTCTTCAGGTGGTAAATGTGTAAAGTTTGGTAGAAAAGAGGTTGGTTGGCTTATGTGAAAAGGTAGAAGTTGAGGTTGATTTGGTAAAAAAAAGCAAGAACGGGAGTACACGGACATGTAAATAATTTAGAGCTGCTAAAAGATTAGGGAAGTTACACAAGGAAACCGCAAGCCCGGTGATAGTTGCTCCTGCTGTTGCTAAGAACCGGGCGATATTATAACCTCAGGCAACCGCAAAAGGAGGTGCACTAGCCAAGTTACGCCAAACATTTTAATCATCCACCTACATCCGCAGATATTTACCATTATCCGGTTTATTCTCCTTATACTTCATTTCAAAAATCTTACCCCAAATGTATATTAGCTACTAATCATATTGATTGGTACTAAGTTCCTCACCATACAAGCTACGGCTTGATTTACAAAGGATACCTACTCGCGAAAGCCGTTCGGATGTTTCAACGTAAGTTCCCATTCCTCTCATCTACCCCGTTTGTCTCGGCCGGGGGTGTTATTTGCTACTTGGTTACTGAATCTTCCATAGATGCCTCGCAATCTCCTTATTGAATACCTCCCTGATGAGGGATTCCAATGGTCTGCAAATAGCGGAACTGCGCTAATCACAAACCACCAAGCCCGTCAAGTAACTCGTGCAATGAAAAGGTCAGGACGACGTCTCGACGAATCAGTCTGCACAGAATACATAGCCCATCTTTTCAACACCGCGAAAAACATGGTCCATCGTTGTCAGGCATTTGACGCTCCTTCCTTCTGGGAGTTCGTTAGCCGCCGTGTCTCATGGGCGCAACGTGTTGACCCCAAAGATCTGTACGACCTATCGATTCGAATCATCTCAGCCAGGCGCATCTTTCTCGACCAAAGAGATTACTTGGCGGAGATGAAAAAGGAGGGAGACGAGGATATCCCAGACAGCGACCTCATCCGCGTCTTCAACGAAGCCAACACGGCTGTAGACAGCTTTACCAGTGCAGTGGCTGATATGTATAAAGACCGCCCGAAAATCCGAGAGAAATACTATCCCAAGTGGACCGATGACTCTGATAACGAGGGGACTTCTGAAGCAACCAAAGCAAGATTCCACGAAAAGTATAAAGCACCCCGCAATCTGTCCAGGAACACCTCTGCGAAGGACCAAGAAAACGGTCTAGAAGGTGAATACAAGAAAATGGTTGAGATGGTCGAAAAGGTTGAAATCGTCGATAGAATGGATGAGGATATGGGCGGTGAGATGGACGAGGTGGAAAAGATGGATGTGGACAATGAGATGGACTATGAAATGGAGATGGACAATTAAGCAAAAGAATCGGCGAAAGATACGAGGGGGTTCATGAAGTCGGCCTGGAGATGTGAATCCCGAAGGAAGGTGTATTTGCCCGTACTATAGCACTCTCCTTTCGTTTCCACCAGTCAGAGATTTGCCTCTCAACTTCAATAGTATGGAGAGCATATCTTAGTAGTCGGTAGCAAATAAATTACTCGTAGTATTATTATTACTATTTACGCCCTTTCCAAGACTTTAAGCTGCCAAATTTAGATGTGGTCATTGAATTTTATTAACTACTGAATAGTTGCGTAAATTTCAATTTCAAGACTGAATATCCTAAATAATATATTCCGATAAACTACCTACCTATCTAGGTACCTGTGGAACTACCTGTCTTGTATTACGGAATGCGTTACTGATTCTTGAGGATAATGGAACCACCCCGGGCTTTAGGTACCTTATATGAGGTATCTAACATTGAGGCCTCGTTCCTGCCCTTGATGTCTTGTTCGTGACTGCCTTGATACCTAGGAAGTGCTCTACAACTGTCCACATCCGCCCGCAACTGTATTTTACCCTGACGACGTGGGTCACCTAGCAACAGTACCTAAGTTACATGCACGTACCTTTAGTATGTGTAGGTTATAATTATAATTAGGAAGCCAACTATCACCTGCTGAGGACTTCTGTCACTCTAGGAATCACTTGGTCGAGTTGGTAGACCGCTGAACTTTCGGCTGCAGACGATAGTTCGATCCCGACAAGTGACAGATTTTCTCAGCCCAGAGCTTACACCCCCAACTTAAACTTGGGTGGTCAATGAGTTGAAATGATCTACCGTCAGTTCTGATGGATGACCCACGCTTATCTTGAAGCCTAAGGGCTTCTGGGTACCTTGGGGACATCAGAATATTCTTGGCACTTTAAGCACCACGATCACTCATGACTTTGGTTTACAAGAATGAGCTCCATTTTTTTTCTTCCTCTTCCTTATTCTAACTATTTCTAATATTATTACTTATTTACTCTCCCTTCATTCATTTTTCATAATATGATTTCTTTTCCTACGCGATTTCGAGTATACCTATCGAACTCTCCTAAATGCGCCGCCTGAATTGCCAACAAATCCCAAAAAAAAAGTAGCCGAAAAATAAATTCTTGTATGATATAAATCTTTTCATTACTCTGGAAAGGAGAGGGGGGACTGAGAGGTGATAGAGAGGGTTTCCATTGCAAGGTAGGCCTAAAGGGCATAAAAATAAATTCGTTACTACACATAATAAAAGTATCCTCCATTATAGATAGGATGTATTATCGAAAATTCTAACAGCGGAAACGCTTATAGAAAATACATGATTGCAAATTAGAAAGTTGTTAATGCTACTAGAAGTTACGCATTGGAATAGAGAAACATAAGAAGGGGAGCAGTGACGACAGTTCGACCCTCGTGAGGGGCGGGTTTTTCTAATTGGGAACCATACGAATGCACCCCCAACTCAAAATTGGGTGGTTAATGAGTAGAAATGATTCAATGTGGTTTCCTTCAGGACGATTCATGACGCTGGCCGTGGCTTCGCGCTCGGGCGGTATTGATGACTGGGGTGACATCTTAGTTTCTAGCGCCGAAATCACTCATGACCTTGGAAATGCAGTACGAGTTCCTATTTTTTTTTTCGAAGCTTTAATAAATGTATATATAATACCTTAGCCACTGCACCCAGACTAGATATGTTAAGTACCTCCTAACAACAATTCATTTCCATCAATGTTAGATGGTATTTCTAAACACATAAAGAACCAACCAGATAGAAACTATCTATGTACGATACAGAAAATAAAACCGACCTGGAAAGTAAGGTAAACTGGAAGTAATATATTAGGTAACTAACCAAAATTACAGCTAATATTAGTTATAAAGAAAGACCAATTTTCTATTGCCACCCACAGCTGTTGCGAATATAACTTTTTACTGATCTTTTATTACCATAAACAATAATATACACGCTCCGAAAAAAAATTTTCGTCTCACTCAATACAAACTAATTACGCATCAAATCATCACATTTCAGTCATCTTATCTTTATACCTCAAATAACGTCTACAAAACAACCCATTAACTACACGTACCAAAGCCCTTCTGACAACCAGTACCACAGTAAGTACTTCCAGTGCCGCAATAACTATACTGGCTACAACACTGACCCGAAGGACACGCCGTATTAAACCCTGTTCCGCAGCGATTGTTGGTCGAAACCGGAAGCGACTTCGTCGGAGTGGCGGTCGAAGAAGTCGTACTCGGCGTCGGAGTCCGTGTGGAGGTCGCAGTGGAACTACTAGTCGGAATCGGGGCCTGCTAAAAATAAACCGGGCTTACGTCAGCAATCCGATCCCCATCACGGGTAGGAATGATGTCATATATCTCGATATAAAGTTCATATCATATCGAACGAAGAACCAATCAAAACGGATAATGTGGGAGGAAGGAAAGGGTTGATGGAATTAAAACTCACCACGCAAGATAATCTCGTATCCGTACTCGACGTATTCAAATTCCTCTTCATATTCTGATAAAAATTCAGCCCGCTAGCTACATTCGCCGCCGCATACGTCGCCTCCCAGACGCTGACGCCGCCGAAATTCGCGCGGCAGTAATACGCATCGACGAGGCTGAGCGCCTGCGCGGGCGCAACCACCGAGCTAGCGCTAGCCGCGTTCCCCGAGCCAGGCAGCCCGACGTACAAGCGCGCGTTCTTGCTGCTCGTGCCGCTCAGCCACGCCGTCCAGGTGTCGAAGGTAAACCCGGAGGTGTTGAAGGCGCCGCCGGGGACGTATTTCGGGTTGCCCGCGACCCAGGACGCCGCGGAGCACTGCGGCGTGTTGTAGTACTGGACGAACAGCATGTCGACGACGCTGTACTGCAGGACGCCCAGGAGGTTCGTGTCCGGGACGACGCACTGCGGCGACGCGGTTAGGAAGAGCGTCTGCCCGGCCGCGGAGGCGCCGAAGTTGGCGCGTAATTGGTTCGCGAGCGCGATGTAGCCGGCCCAGTTGTCCGTGGGCGGGTGCTCGATGTCGAGGTCGAAGCCGTCGACGCTGAAGCCGACGCCGTTGTAGTCGAAGGGCCGCGGCTTGCCGGCGTTGACCCAGGTTGTTGTGCGCGGGCCGAAGAGGCCCCATAGCGTGTTGGCGAAGCTGGTGCCGTCGGTTGCGCCTGTTAGTTGGTACTGCGATGTGGCGCCCCCGAGGGATAGCAGGATCTTCTTGTTGCTCGTCTGGCGGCACGTGTACAGGTCGTGTTGGATATTGGGGCACTGGTAGAGCTGGTTGTTGGTTGCGTTGTTCACGCCGTTGTATCCCGGGCCGGGATACACCCTATAATGGGTAAGTTAGATTTCATGTAACTGTCATTGAAAAATCAAGACTTCCCCTATCCGACCAAGCCCATGTGCAAGTTTCTACCCCTGAGCCAAAATCAAAAAGGGGTGGATTTAATAATACGTACGTGGAACCGCATTGGTTTCCAAAGTTAATCCCGGGGAAGCCATTTGCCTGTGCTGGGAATAAATTCACAAAAGACAAGACGATGACGTCGATACTCGAGTCGGCGCAATATGTGCTGAGCGCAGGTTGATTCGGTCCTTGGCCCTACGTCGGGATATGAGTGTCAGAGGGGCGACACCATGGGGAAGTAGCTGCTCACGTAGTAGACGACGACGTTATTCTTAGATGTTGTGCTAAACGCGGCTTGTGCGGCAGACAGCAACGTCGATGTCAAGGCAAGGCTGAAGGCGAAACGAATCATCGAAAATGAGATTGTATGCTCTCGGCGCTGTCCAACAGACGTTTTAGTAAAACTGAAAATCAAGAAGATTTAATAATGATATGCCTACAAGGCTAGAAATCTACAATTGGTCTCACTGCAAATGGCTTACATGGTCGAATGAGTTATTCCAGAGCAATGAGCTCGGGGTGGTCTGTTTTATAAGCCCGAGACCCTCTAATAGATGACATACACACATCGCCTACACGTTTCCTAGACCCTTACAAAATTGACTACGAGGTGCGTATCTCTATTGAATCATCTTGGTGGTCACTAGTTCACCTACATGGTAAACATTTAGAAATACATTAAGGGTCTAATCCACCTCTTTAGGAGCCTACCGTTAGATACCACGGCTAGCCAATGGGGGCGCGATTCAGACACGACTCTGAGGGTGGCGAGGTCGGGTTTTCAAATAGTCCAACAAGCAGCCGTCTAGATATCGACTGACTCGTTCGCGGAAGGAAACCGCACATAATGCTCAAGTCAGCCTCTTCATGGCTTTGTGATGTCATCAGCCTTTCCCCATCTTGACGTCTCGTCTCCGCCCGCCCAGTCCTTCTCTACGTAGCCCAGCAACTGCTTAACTTCCGCCACCTTGGCTGAATCGCCTGTATTCTTCCCAATGTTGTCACTGATCTTAATCGCCGGGTTTCCGGCAGCCGAACTCAGCTTTATAACGATATTTAGGGGTACTGATTTCTTTCCCGTGCTGAGATGAACAAAGTCGTTTGTCAAGAACGTGCCGACACCAAATGTTGGCTGGAAGCCATATTCTTCGGATATCCGCTTGTACTCGATACACTTATCGATATCCAACGAGTCAGAGAACACGATTGTCTTCTTATCCTTGATGCCCTGACTCTCGTAGAAATTACGCATCAGCTTGACGAAATCCGGAGGGTTGCCAGAATCCTGCCGTACTCCACCGTATATATCGGCATAGCTCCGGGGCGAGGTTGTAGATTGGGTACCCTCATCTAGGACAGGAATATTCGGAGTATCCGGAAGATATCTGACAGGTTTACTAAAAGCCTTTAAAAATTCTGGAGTGCCAAATGTGTCTGTCAATGCGATTCCCAATACGCCCTCGCCAAAGCATCCAACCCATCGGCGTAGCGCCTCTTCTGTTGCTATTTGGTAATCATTCGTGATAGCTGCGATGCCCATAAACCACTCGTGCGCAACAGTTCCGATAGGCGGTAGGTTGAATCGCATAGCTAGGTGGACGTTACTAGTTCCTGAGAGCTTTCCCGAGAAACCGCGCTTCTGTGCCTCTTTGCTAGCTTTCACGAGACCTCTAAAGACTAATGCTTGGGTGTGATAATCTCTCCGTCTACGGGTTCCGAATTCGGAGAGGATGCATCCTGCTTCGAGGAGGCGCATACCCTTGTCATACGCCTTCTCCTCTTGGCCATCGTAATTCCAGTCCGTGTCCATGAACTTGAAGTACGCCTCAGACGTCAGAGCAAGAAGTGGGATCTCATATAGTATCGTGTCAACCCACTTGCCCTTAATCTCAATGTGGATGTCGCCTAGTTCGTCTTCCGCCCCCGTATCCGCCCCCACGGGGTGGAAAGTCGGATTTAGTTGCTCGCGGGGCTTGAGCCGGAATTCCTTCAAAAAGTCTAGGTACGGAGCCGAAAGATATTTGCAATGGGTCTGCAAGAAATGGAGTTCGTCATCCGAAAGTGAGATATTGCCAAGCTCTGATAAATATCAAGGATCAATAAATAAACACCATCGGATATATAAGCGAGTCTACCTACTGCTAATTTGTTCGCAAAGCCAAGAGAAGGCCTTGCGTGACAATTTCTTCTCCGGAGTACGGTTGGTAAATGCATATGTGACAGGTATGTCAGTGTAATATTTGAAGACAGCGCATTGCATTGTCAATTTGTATAAATCGGTGTCGAGGAAGGATATGACACCTTCCGGGAAGGGGGTTGACCAGTCAAAATCCATCTTGATAGTAGCCGGAGGGTAATAGTGTGCGAAGATGAGGGAGGTCTCAAAGGATATGTAAGTTTCCTAAAGGTTGGCAAACAGTTGGATAAACTGCGCAATAAATACAAAACGATCGGTAAGATTTCCTTGTCTTAGGAACTTCAGTCTAGGAATGATTTTCTCTTATAATCTTTATATTCAGAATCGTATGTCTAAAACCCAAGAAATGGAAATAGCTCAAATTATTGGCTGGTCTTGTGAAGTTACTTGACGATATGCGCAGAGTCTTTTAAGTTGAGTTGCAGGATGCGTCACCCCACCATCACAACCTCAGATTTGGCTCTTTGTGTGAGAAGCTGCATAAAAGATTAACAAGCAATGTGGGGGGTTACTCAATTAATCGGATCTGCCCGGTTCTTCACATGCGCAAAAGCTAAGCTTCACCTATTAACTACGTCCTAACCTGCTAACTACCTGTGGTTAACTAACCTTTGTAACATTATGTAAGTTGTTTCAGTAAGAGGGTTTCTGAAGCTTGAGTCTTATTGGCTGAAATTGATATTAGTGTAATGTTGGATATCTAAGACTGGAAGTTATGTAATCAAAGCTTTAAGATTCTGGAATGGATGGAACTTAGAACACCGGACAAAATAATTTTCCAGATCCTACCATAAGACAGGGTCTGAGCTTTCCAAAATCGTGGCCTCAATTGAACCCCGGATTTTTTGGGGACAGCTCCTAATGACAACGCTATTCATCGTCCACACGCGACTCTCTATCTTCTTCTTCTATCTACCTTCACTTTTCAATTCCTTAACAATCGCGTAAAGGAAACGTTCTTTGTCTTCTAGTTTATTCCCCGGCCGTTTCTTAATTTTCGCAATGGTATGTTTTATTCTATAATATAAGTCATCTGTAATACAAAACATAGGGGTTGAATGATATATTAACTTCAACAACCATCTACTGGCTTCTACTCATTGTTCGTTGGAATCGCGCTGACATTTTACGCATATAGTCTTCTCCTCGCGCAGCTTCTCCCGTCAACTCGCCGGCCGCTACTGGCTCGAGCACCGGCCGTCCCTCCTCTCCTGCTCCTCCCGGAGGTGCCCGAACTGCCATCCGACGAAGAGCCGCTGCCGACCAGAAGGAAAAGATTGCAAATGCGCGACCGAGCAGCACTCGTGCCGCTGGTGCGGGTGGTAGCAGCAGCACAATGCTACGTATGTGAAAAAGAAGCCATGCTTAGTATGATGGGACTAGGTATTAATGTGGTCTAGGTCTCTACACGGACGAATCTCCCGGATTGAAGGTCGATCCCGTTGTTGTCTTGGTTCTCTCTCTGGTCTTCATCTTCAGTGTTGTTGCTTTACACGGTATGTCAAAGCATCGCGATTACATCATTCTTTTGTACTAATACCTTTCCCAGTTATTGCGAAGATCACTCGACGATTCTCAAGCTAGATGAATAACGACAATTAATTGTGTTAACGAGGGTGCTGTGTGGCCACCGGAGACGGCGCGGTTATGATCAACTGCGACTCTTCTTTGGATGCGCAGAGGGCGATTGACAGGCAGGAAGTAGGCACGGCAGCAGTGATGTTGATCCAACTTTACTAGTCCAGAGTCTGTGCCTAGATTCTAGCGGACTAGTCTCTTGTACTATATCAAAATCTGGCAGGATCACGCAAAAGTTTCTTTGCCTTAACTGAAATGCCATTACACAGGCGTTGTGCGCAGTTGCTCGTGTTTTAAGAAAATATTATTGCAAGCCATGACGAGTTTATAATTCTATCTATGCGGTGAAACGAAGCGGGTAGAAGTTTTGCCTTATAGTATTTCACTTTCACATGATATTCGTGTTACTGAGATGCATTTAATTTATTGCTATCATGTAAGCCACTGTGTAACTCGATACGCCACAGAATGTTCCACGTATTATGCGATCAGACCTCGAGCTAACATCTGTCACAATCAAGACCAGCAAGTAATGTTATAATTGTCTTTATTTTCAAGTAACTTAACTTAGAGTAGAGATCGCATTTGGAATATATAGCAACATCAAATCCAAATCCGAATCCAGATCTAATAGCTATTCAACCCCTTGAATTTCTAGGCTTCCTCCAAGCGAAAGGTTACACAGCCTACCAGACCGAACGAGTGCGAGGCATTCCTTAAAAGTCAAACTTCTGGCCTACTAGCTTCTCGCTAATCTCCCATAGCTTGCGAGCAGCCTCTGGGTCGGTGGCGTACTTGTGTGGAGTGACAATTTGACAATCTACGATGTATGACCCAGGTCTGTCGTCGAAGTCTGGGTCTAGTGCTGCGGCGAGTAGCGGTGCGGCTCCCTGGGATACGTTCTTTATATTGCTCGGGCCGCCCCAGGCCTTTCCGGTGTTCCGTTCGGCTACCTTGCCAATCTCGCTGAAGTCACTCTCGTCTAAATGGTTGGCTAAGTTGGTGGTGAAGATGGCACCGGGGTGTGGTGCATAGGACTTAACGCCCTTGCTGGCTAATCGCCGCGATAGCTCAGCCGAGTATAGGATGTTGGAGGTCTTGGCTTGGCCGTATGCGCTCCAACCGTCGTACGCCTTGCCGTCGGAGAAGTTGTAGTCATCGCCGCGGAAGGGACCAATACCGTAGCCCCGGCTCGTCACGTTGACGATGCGGGCACCGGGGGCTGCGGCGATGATCTTGTTGATGATGAGGTTGGTCAGGAGAAAGTGCCCGACGTGATCCGCTGAGAAAGTCAATTCGATTCCTTGCTTATCCAACGTGTAGTCTTTGACGTTCATAATGCCGGCATTGTTGATGACGACATCGATCTTGGGGATCGAAGAGTCGTTGTTGATTTTCTCCGCAGCTGCTCGGACGGAGTCGAAGTCAGTCAGCTCGCAGGTGACGAAGGTTGTCTTGACATTGGGATTGATGCTTGCGATCTCCTCTAATACGGGGTCGACCTTGGCCTTGGTCCGGCTCACGAGGATGAGGTGTGCTGGCGACTCGCGGGCCAAGGCGATGGCGCATTGGGCACCAAGACCCTTCGCGGTAGTTCCGGTGACGAGGAATGTACGTCCCTTGATCTTGTCGGCGAAGGCCTTAACCAGCTCTTCGCTAGTCGTGGAGAATCCAAAAGGAGACATGATGTCGAAAAGCTAAGTACTATTTTATTCCGGGTTTAAAAAATTGTTGTAAGGTTGGGGTAATTGACTATCTTTTTCTCTGGGTAGTTCACTGGCTCAATATCTATATATACTCGGTGTCTACTCTCTATCCATCATTGGCATCGGCGATATCACCAAGCCAATCGTCGTTAGGCTATAGGTTGAAGAATTGCATTAGTAAGTATTCGCGTCATATCATGGTGGTATATTCTAACTACAACCTTGATTTCACTCGTGGTCCCCGGACCTTAGACGGGCTTTGGCGGGGTTAAGACTTTCAATCTGCATGCTCTTGGTAACTTATGAGTAACATTGAAGTCTTAGTGACATTAAGTACGATATATAAATGGATTCGTCCGAATCTCATGATCTAAGCAACATGAGTACTCAAGACGAAATGGAGATTGGCCGGAACTAGTCGGAGTTAAGTATGAGTAATAGCACAAAATAACTAACTATATGTTTACCATCCCCCTTTTCTCGAATGAACTATATTTTTCTTCTTTCTGCTTCACCACCAACAAATTCTTGGCGCCCCGGTAGATTTGCCATACACGCAGCTCGTCACATGGGCCTATAGTTATGGTTGTACGTTTTAGCAAATATAACTAATAGACTAAAGATAATCCAATTTTTTGAGTCATTTCGTTATACTAATATTTTTCTGCTTTGCTCATCGAGTTATATGCTTTCCTAGTTAGGTTTATATTTGCAATATATTCTTCTATGAATATCCTGTATACTCAAGAGTTGGTGCTTCAGACACCTCTTATACTTAACTAACTAATATATACCCAGGCACAGGTATATGAACCCTTTCACGTTCTTAAAATGATCCAATAGTATCCCCTTAATAAATATCCTAAGCTAATGGCAACCATATGTATTTACATCTGAAACGGGCGGTTAGGCATTTATTATATTCAATGAATTTCACGATCGTATCAGGGCTATCTTCACGGCCTATTATCGCACCATAGATTTACGAAAATTCTCGTATCATATTGGAGCAAAGTCCGAGCTGAACTTGTCTATGGCTATATCATGTGATATTGCGGGATCTACCGTGCTGGTTGGTCCTATGACGCTAATCTGTATAAAGTAGTACGAACACTTTAAGTATCCAATAAGGCTGATTTTGTCCTCACTCAGCCACGATCCTCGCGTCACTAATTGTCATTACTTTTACAGAAGTACCTTGTACGAAGTAATCGGGGCTTAAATCCTTCGCATTTTCGCACTTCGCATTTCGCACCAGCCCCCACCTCTCACTAATACTACGTTGAAAGTACTATGTAAAAAGTTGATGCCTTGGACTTTTTCGTACGTCGTACTTTTAGTTACACTACATCTTCCACATGCATCATGGTACAACATAAAAGGCTATCAATATCATGAGCCACGTAAACACTTATTCAAATCGAACGACCCCCTAAAACACTGCAAACCCCTTTTTTTAAAAGACGAAATTGTTATTCGCATTTCATGGCGCAAAACGGCTATCAGATAATTCGCTAGCCAAGCTGTTTGAGGCTGAGGAAATCCGAAGTTCGCTTAGGATGCGAGGTTCGCGGTATATTTGGTCTAATAGATACTATGTTTAAATTTAAACAGGGTACGCACGCAACGTCAGGCATCCAAATAAATAGTCCCCGCTCTAGAACTAGCCTCAAGTAGGTGGATAACCAGTGGATAACTAGTGGGGCTTCTAGAGCGTTATCCCCTGCTTTAATCCTTGTTCGGCAATGCATCATCGATGCTTAACCATAAAAAGTTGCTTGTTATCAATCCCGAATCGCAAAAGCATTCGTGATCTGGATCATTATTCTGGTAGTACCTTGCATTTACCTTACGCAATATATTATTGTACCTCCTCCTTCATACTCCACAAGACGAAACTGTGACCGATAAATTACAATTATATACCATTGCTTTGCTTCCTTCAACTCTTTTCCCTTCTTGTGATACCTAAGTTGACTAAATAATATTCGTTTGCAACTGATTCATGTGATACCCCTCCTTTTATCTTCCCCCCCTCTATATCTATATCTCAATCTTTACCGTCATATTTCTTTCCGCATACCTCGATAACTTCAACTACTATATCCTGTACATTCCCTCGTATGCCGTATTGATTATTTAGCCTAGATCTGTCACTATGACGATAGTTGACGAGAAGGCTGCGCTTCGCAATGCCGGGGCCAGTAGATCTGCTCAACGTCCAGGTCGCACCTCTTTCAGCAACGCTCCGGAGGTCGTGCCGCCTGGTTACAATAGCGGTCATATGTCTACAGACTTCGAACTTGGGGTAGAAGATGATGCCCCTCCAGCTTATAGCGAAGTACACGATCGCTTCTCCCTTCACCAAACAGGGTTTGAGGCAGGGGCTGCCGTCACTGGTAGGTTTTATTATTATTGAGCTTTGGCGCTTTCATAGCTAATTAAGATGTTTTACCATAGATGACGGCCGAGTTAATATCAACATCAATCAGACGAATAGGCGCCTGGCAGATTTGTTAGCACCCGCCTTACGTTATCAGGAATCTATACACGAGGATCCTCTTCCGCCTGCCTATATCCCTCCCAGCTTAGGTGGTCTACCAGGACAGACTCCTCCACCCCGGTTGAACGTTGTTATACAGATCGTAGGGTCGCGAGGTGATGTTCAGCCATTTATCGCCCTCGGGCTGATTTTGAAGGACACATATGGCCACCGTGTGAGAGTCGCTACTCATTCAACTTTTCAAAAGTTCGTCGAGGACAATGGCCTTGAATTTTTCAACATTGGAGGCGATCCTGCCGAGCTCATGGCCTTTATGGTGAAGAATCCAGGATTGATGCCTGGTATTGATGCGTTAAAGAGCGGAGAAATTACCAAGCGAAGAAAAGGTATCGAGGAAATTGTACTTGGTTGCTGGAGATCTTGTATCGAAACTGGAAATGGCTTGGGACCGGCTCCACGATTCGACCGTAAGAGCAAAGATGGCGAAGAGGACCTAAATCCAGTGCCGTTAGACGATATTTCGGGTCATAAGCCTTTTGTCGCGGACGCCATCATTGCGAATCCTCCTAGTTTTGCGCATATCCACGTGGCTGAGAAGCTCGGAATCCCTTTACACTTGATGTTCACGTAAGTCTCTCAAAAACTCATAAATGAAACTTCTCTAAGATCTATAAGCATGCCTTGGTCGCCGACAAAAGCATTCCCGCAACCTCTCGCGAATATTCAATCATCAAATACGGATCCCGTTACTACGAACTATCTTTCCTACGCAATGGTCGAAATGATGACATGGCAAGGACTTGGTGACGTTATCAACCGTTTTCGTACAAAAATACTTGATCTTGAGCCTCTCTCGGTGCTCTGGGCCCCTGCTTTATTGACCCGCCTTCGGATCCCCTATACATACTGCTGGTAAGTTTAATTAGAGTCCCATTCAAGTGTAACTGAAGCCTTATATTGTATCTTAGGTCACCAGCGCTCATTCCCAAACCGAATGATTGGGGACAACATATTGACGTTGCTGGGTTTTACTTCCTTAATCTTGCATCATCTTATACTCCAGAGCCCGAATTAGCAGCATTTCTTGAAGCCGGTCCCCCGCCTGTTTATATTGGATTTGGTTCTATTGTTGTTGACGATCCGAACGGTCTAACGCGCACGATTTTCGATGCAGTAGCGGAGACGGGAGTACGGGCGCTCGTTTCGAAGGGCTGGGGTGGATTAGGAGCTGATTCTGTCGGGATACCGGAGGGCGTGTTTATGCTTGGTAATGTCCCTCACGACTGGCTATTTGAGCGCGTCTCCGCCGTCTGCCATCACGGAGGTGCCGGAACTACGGCCGCTGGAATTAATGCTGGTAAACCTACTATAGTTGTACCGTTTTTCGGAGATCAGCCGTTCTGGGGAGCTATGGTCGCGAGAGCCGGAGCGGGACCTGACCCCATCCCTTACAAGAAACTCACAGCGGAAGCACTAGCTAAGGCAATCCGAATGGCATTGATGCCAGAAACCCAGGAACGAGCCCACGAATTAGGCGAGAAGATACGGGAGGAAAAGGGCACGGACGTTGGAGCACACAGCTTCCACAAACATCTCGACGTCGACAGGTTACGTTGTGCTCTAGCTCCTAGCCGGGTCGCTGCGTGGCGTCTTCGGAGAACACAAGTTCATCTTAGCTCGTTAGCGGCGGCGGTACTGGTGAATAATGGATATCTACGGTATTCGGACCTGAAACTGTGAGAATAATTGACTTACTTTGCTGCTTGTGATTTGGTTTTACTAATTCTCGTCTTAGGTTTCGTCCAAATGAGTATAGCACTGAGGATCATCCAACAGACCCTATTTCGGCATGCGCATCGGCGCTGCTGGGAGATATGGGTACTATTGCCATGTCTGCGGTGGACGTTCCTCGGGGTGTTTTCAAAGGAGGAAAAGCATCAGAAACGAAGTCAACAAAGAAGGGCAGCGATTTAGCTTCGATGGCATCGAAAGGGGCTAGTAGCAGTACGCTGAATCTTGCTGATCAAGCGGGTTCGACTACAACACTGCCGCCCTCCGATGTAACCAGTACGCAATCTAACGCACCCGCCGTTCACCCGCTCGGCATGCATCCAATTGGTATGCAATCAGAGCCTAATAGTCTACCTAACTTAGCGCATACTATGTCAGCTACCTCGGGACATTCAAGATCGCCTTCTGAATCAGTGCGCAGTCCCGGTCATCAACGAAATAGCTCGACTCCAAAAACAGGAGCTCCACCTACCACGAGCGAGTCTCTAGAAAGGGCTCTTCATGCTGGCAGAAGTATTAACAATATAGTGGCAACTGGTATGAAGTCTCCCATGAATTTTTGTCTAGGTGCTGCGAGGGGCTTCAGGAATGCGCCGACTTTGTATAACGACGATACCGTTCGTCCCGCGGATAAGGTTACTAGTTTTACTAGTGGTCTCAAGGTTGCCGGCAAGGAATTCGGGTTGGGCATGTTCGACGGGATTACCGGTTTAGTAACCCAACCCATTAGAGGTGCAGAGAAGGACGGCGGTATTGGGCTACTCAAGGGTTTTGGTAAGGGAATCGGCGGCTTTATGTTAAAGCCTGCAGCAGGTAAGTTACTCCCTGTCTAATTTAATGCAACCAAGAGCACGCTCACAGCTCTTTTAGCTTTTTGGTCCATTCCTGCCTACACCATGCAGGGTGTCCATGCCGAAATCAGGTCGATGTTTGCTCAGAATGCTCAAAAATACATTGTCGCGTCTCGTATTTCCCAAGGCCAATACCACTTTAACGAAGCATCACCTGAGGAGCGTGAAGACATCGAGGTTCGTTGGCTTGCTAAGAAGGAGCAGATGAAGGGATTCTACATTTGGAAGCAGAAGGAGAAAGGAAAGACCAAGGAAATCTCCGCCGCTACACCGACGCATGGAACATCAATTACGGAGCAGATCTCCAGCAACGAGCCGCAGAGGATGGGATGGTTACAGACAAGAACCCTATCCAGCGAAGACCGGAGGAAGCTTCAGGACCAGAAAAATTCATGGAAGCAAAAGCAAACGGAATCAGCGGCTACGGGCGGTACATTTATTGATGAGAAGGTTCGTTCAGTTTCTGGTACAGGTAACACACGTGATGAGGAAGAAGAGTTTGAACGAGCCATTATGATTGCAGTGCGGGAGACATCAACTGGAGACGCAAACGAAGATTCCCGAGTCGAACAAGCGATTCGGTCGAGTGTCAGGGCGTTACGAACTAGATCAACAACTATAGGCTCAATGGCCTCGACAAATTCTCGGGCTTCTAGCACGCAAGATTCTGGATACTTTACCGATATTAAACGTCCATACCCGGAGGATATCAAACACCCCCTATCCGGACCGTCGCTACCATACCGGGCATCCGAGGATTCGATGGAAATCACCGACGAGGAATATCAGGCATTAATCGAACAAGCCGTTCAACTAAGCATGACCGAACAGCACGGAAGCGGAGTTCGGAGACACGATCTCGAGGATAGCGAAGACGAGGATTTAAAGCAGGTGCTTCAGAGGTCACAGACGGATAAGAGCGTAGAAGATCAAGATGAAGAAAATTATAAGATGGCGCTTAAGGCTTCGGAGGCAGAAAATGAGAAAAAGGGTGGGTTTACTGACGATGAGGAGCTTAGAAAAGCTATTGAAGCTTCTCAAGTGGAGCAAAACCAAGGAAATAATGGCGATGACGATGAAGAGCTGAGACGCGCTATCGAAGAGTCTGAGAGGGCTCACAAGGAGGAATTGGCATTGAAGTCGGAAGAAGATATTGTGATGGAATTTGTCAAGAAACAAAGTCTAGCAGAGGACCAATATCGTAAAGCTAGAGGCAAGGGGAAATATGCCAACTACGAAGACGAAGACGATGAAGAGGAGGAACTAAGGCGGGCTTTGGAAGAGAGCCTGCAGACGGATAGCAGCAAAGAAGTTGGAGGTGGGGGCGGCCCGTCGCGTTTCTAGGGTCAACGGGTCTTTCGGGTGAAGATGAGAATGCATGATACATATTGATACCCTTCATTGGTTGGAAAGAAAAGAGGCGGTTATAGTGATACCTAGTAATTATTAGAATAACATGGCTAACGTTACATTGCCCCCCTCGGCGAGGCTGTTGATTCGAGTAGTGAATGCGAGTGAGTGCGTTAAGTTGAATAGTATGTCGAATTTCACAAGATGAGTTGAGATGTTAGATCGTTATACTTGGCCTTGGCCTTGGAGACTACCGAAACTGGAATAGAAACTATGGCCTAAGCGGCAGGGGTGTATCGAAACGATCAGATCAGATCGAATCGAATCATGATTATGGCCGTAAGTGGCGTCGGTAGGAATAGCCTCGTATCCGAGATATGCATGTTGCATTTTTCTTTTTCAGCCGTATTCCTCATCCCCCCCCCCCCATTACATACCCAGGAGCTGAGGTCGCAGCTTATCATAACTACATGCATACGCTAGCCCCGGTGGCTATTACGCTTACAGCGGTGATAGCGACGAGTCGCATACATAGATGTGGTGGGAGGCCGAAAAAGCAAAGGTTTATCACTTGGTTAGCCCTGCGTCCCCGTTTCTATTTCCGCTTCTAGACGCGTCAATGCTTTTGGGTTGAATGTGAATGGCGTCATTGGAGGTGGGTTATAGCTGTCTGCTTATACGCGGTGAACTGTTGTGAATTTGTGGATGTTGGATAATACCTGGGCAGTGATATATGGATATGATAGCGTCGATCGGGTGATGATGGAGGGTGGACGGGGGGTCATTACGACAACAACGACGATGATGATGACGACGGCGAGGTATGTAATATGAGGTATGATATAGCCCTCATCGGAGGGGAACGCAAGGGCGACGTCGAGTATAAGAACAGGACTTAGTCGCCCTTTCAGAGAGGCAGGTATGTCTAACCACCACAAGAACATTCATCCAACAGCATCAGATTCAATACACTTAGAACCACACCAATCTACCAAAGCAATATGCCATCCCACAAGAACCAGACCTCCACTCCCACCAGTAACATCTCACACACCTCGCTCCCCATGCACCCCAAACCCAAGCGCGAGGGCGAAAGCCCGGTTTCCGAGCAATCGGACCCGGACACCGTCGAGAGCCCCGCCGACGAGGTCGTAGCTGATTACGATGTGAAGCTCGGTATGTTTTTCTAGCCTCTTACCTTACCCCCTTACCCCCTTGACCCTACCCCCTTATCCAACCCACCCCTCGTCCAACCTCAGAGCATCTACAGATATACGTATCAGCTCTACTATGGGCACAACAACTAACAACGAAAAAAAGGCAAAGACGAACAGGAAGCCATCGACACCTCCAACATCATCAGCGAACGCACTCGTCACGCCAAACCTATCAATGGGAGTTATATCCTGTCGGATGAGGAGGACGAGGATGATGTGCTGTTACATGAGGACGGGACTGTTGTGTCTGCGGATGCGGATGTAGATGCAGAGACTCTTGGTTAGATAGAAATGCCTTGATTTGAGTTATTATTGACCTGGCAGCATGTAAGTAATGATTTGACAACGAGAGCTGTGGTATATTTGGGAGTTGAGAGTTAGAGTTAGGTGTGGATGGAATCTCGGTCTAGGTCCGGAAAATTGTTCTACGAAAGGGAGGATCAAAGTACTGATATCATGCCGCTCTTTTTTATCACGCGAGTTTTGGTTGGTGGTTGTAGTAGAGAATAAAGCAGCTGGTTGATTCTTTAATGTTTCATTTGGTCATCAGCTACCAAACCAGAACTACCAATTGTATAGATGCCAAGTGTCAGGGCTTAATAGTCATTGTGTAAGGAGCCTCGAGAAGATGAAGTGGGATCAGATTTATACAACTTGGAGGTCTAGCCTCTTAAATTACATGTTTAGTTGGTGTTACAACAGAATTTGATGCGCTTATGCATTTAGCTCCTGATCCTTCTCCGGCTCCGGCTCTAACTTTGGTTCCAGCTCCGACTCTGGCACCGGCTCTGGCTCTGGCTCTGACTCTTGGAACATATGGTACATCTTCCGCTGCTCCGGCGTGATCTTAGCCGGGCTACCAACCATCAAGTCCTCGCCCTTATTCGTCTTAGGGAACGCGATGACATCCTTGATGGACGGGACACCGCACAGCACAGACAGGAAACGGTCGAAACCGAAAGCGAACCCGGCGTGGGGCGGACACCCGGCCCTTAGTGCCTCGAGGAGGTGAGAGAACTCGGCTACGCCCTCGTCAGTCATCTTCAGGACGTCGCGCATGATGAACTCCTGGTGCTTGGCGACGTGAATACGGCGGCTTCCACCGCCCACCTCCACGCCGTTGATGACGAGGTCGTAGTGGTCAGCCTTTGCCTCGAGAGGCTTAGTCTTGGCGCAAAAGAAGTCTTTAGCGGTAAGCGGGGCTGTGAACGGGTGGTGGGTGGAAGAGAATCCCGCGGTGCCGCCTTGGCCAGGATCCGCATCGTCACCGTTTGGTGTGAAAAGGGGGAATTCAGTCACCCAGAGTACTTTAAACGAATTGTCTTTAGGTATGAGCCCCTGCTGGACGGCATCATCGTACAGCGCTTTTCTAAGCCTTCCTAGGTCAGTAGAGCCTCCATGGAACGGCTCTCGTTTTCGAGCGTGGAAGATAATGATGTCTCCGTCCTTGCATCCATGGTAATAGCTCTCTTCCAATTCCGTAAATTCCTCAAGTCTATGAGCAGATTCATGTCCAAGAGCCGATAGTCCATTGAGTGGTTTGCTAGAGTCATAGACCAATACAGCTGGCGTACTTTCAGGACTTAGCTTGACTGTAGTATTGTTGGGTAGAGAGTCCATGAATTTCTGGATGAATTCCCCCGCGCCGCGGGGTGGCAGATCCAGACGAACCTTGATAATTTCGACATATGGGTCTTCTAAGCTTGTAATCTTTTGGATAAATTCTTGAGGTAGGTTTAGATGTAGCGTACCGCGAATCTGCCTCTCATCTTAGTAAATGAAAGGGAAGCTCTGCTGGGAGGTTTGACTTACATTTGTTATATACGGCGCGCTAATGCGCATATCAGGCTTGTCGATACCAAAATGCTTCATTACCTGAGAGTATGTCATAAAACGGATGTCTTTATATTCAGTCCTAGAATAGCGAGTTATCCCATCTCCGGCTTCTGGTTCCTTTCCGTCTTCCTCTTCCTCTTCACTCTTATTTTTCTTATTTTTTTGCCCTTTCGCCAGAGTTTGGTCAGCGCCGACGTAAACTGGATGTTGGATGCCGTTGATCTCAGTTGGCGACCATTTTTCACTGAGAAAGAGAAAAATTTTATCCAATAGATTTGAAATAATCTTCATCACATCAGAGCCGTTGGCAAAGGCCATCTCTATATCGAGTTGAGTGAATTCGGGTTGCCTATCAGCACGGTGGTCCTCGTCACGGAAGCATTTGGCGAATTGGTAATATCTCGTAATGCCACTAGCCATGAGTATCTGTTTGTACTGCTGCGGACTTTGCGGTAGTGCGTACGCATAACCCTCTCGCCTCGTTGGGACTAAAAATTCCCGGGCGCCTTCTGGAGTAGACTTGAATAGGAGAGGCGTCTCTACCTGGATAAAGCTTTTCGACAGAAGATACTTTGAGATGATTGTATGCAGACTGCTCCGTAGTTTTAACCTGTCACGGAGGAGAGGGTCGAAACGCAACTGTAGATAACGTTGGTGAGGTGGCCACACGGCATCCTTGGAGACGATGATATCCTTTGGAAATGGATTTAGACAATGTATGGATCGTAATTTGAGATCCCACTTCTGGGGCGACCCGGGTTTCTGTGTGGTATTGGGGGGGTCTTGAAGGGTTCCGGTCACAATAACTGGGCTGTAGGCTGGTATGGTCTTAAGGTCTTGGTGAGCCAGGAACTGCCGCGAGCCGTCCTCCTTCCAGGTGGAAACAATCTGAATTTGTTTTCGAGAATTGTAATCGAATGCATTACTTAACTCACAGAAACTCAAGTTTGAGCTCACATCCCTTCGTTTACTAATAAATCCGTGAACGGTTACTTCCTGCCCAGCCTTGTAACCTAGCATGGGTGTAGCTTGATGTTTTCTAAGATCGATAACTTTTATATATATCAGCTACAATTTATTCAGAATGAGTCTCTGCTATTTTATCTTACAATTTTTATTATAGGCTTCCCATTTCGCACTGGGATCAACTGGTACGCTTTCGCTTTCTTCAGATTCCGCAAGCTCAGATTCCGTGGGCTCAGATTCTATAGACTCGGTAGCTATGGATTCAGAACCGGTAGGTTTAGATATTTCATCATGAAGTGTTCTTGTGTGCTCTAGTCGGAAAATGGGTTGGAACCGACGTGGCAGGGACTGCCCTTTGATGCTTAGAATGCATCTTAGGGTAGTCCTCTGCAAATAGCTTGAGAGAATTCGAACCATGGATCTCTCATCCGACTATTTCGGTCTTGATGAGTGGAAGGTTATAATAACATACCACTGATGTAAAATAAAAATGGAATGTATCTTAGGTACATATGTTTAGGTACATAACCTTGTATAAAGATAAGTAGCCCCGCATTCACAGGTATCTATGTATATAGGTAGGATGTAGGTACATATGTACCTCCTAGCTTAGCTGCACCACAATAGCTGATAGCTAGCTCTAGCGGATAATTGCGGCTCCGCCCCGGCGCAAAATTCCATTTTCTACCTAAGCAAAGCTTCTGCCGAAATTTTTGAACTTTTCTTTTCCTTTCTTCTTCATCCTTCCAATTCAAATAAAAGTGAGTTCTTCGACGAAACATCCTATTCCTGCCATATTAAACAAGTTACTAACATTTATTATCGCAGATGATGAAAGCTGCGTGTACTATATGATGTCTTCCTCCTTTCAAAGCTTTAGAACTCTCCCCTTTGGGGCTTAAGCGGTTCTGTTGCAGCGAGAGGTTGGAATCATGAAATGAGCGTTCGACACACCTCGACCTTGTTTACATCGGACGCGAAAAAGCAACTCTGATTACTATTATAGTTTGGAAGGCTCTAATTTCTTTCCCCAGTTTCCCCTTTTTCTTTGATTTAATGTTACTGTACCTCATTTGCTAGCGTTTCTTGTCCATGTTTTAGCATGCCTTGTCTTGAACTGATTTCCAAGATATAATGAAAATATTCTCTGCGCTTTCTTCGCATGCTCTCGGTGATTTTGTTCATGTTTTAATGGGATTTGATGCTATAATGACATGTGTCTTAGAACGCGACTACCTGTTAATACGAACAGGAGGTAGATACAACGATGACAATGCTTCTACACATTCGCAACTCTTACCGCTCAACTGCCAAGATCGTTAATATAATAATTATAATTGTATCCCTCAATATTCCAGAGCCAGGCTTTGTCTTTTACTGGGAATACTATGACCTCATAGCTGACTAATATCTGGTTTATTCCAGTTTAAATCGGAACCTTGGGAGTCCCAAGGTACATATTTGGTTCTATGTTTCCACAAAACTGTGCAGGTTCAGGTACTAACGCCTTGATAGGCACCCCGCAAGGAATAAAGAAATTCGTTGCAGACCAAAGAGTATTGCATGCATATGGACGTATGGATAAGATATAGTTAATCTTCTTGATGAAGTTGCATGGAATTTAGGTATACCTACTATATTAGGTACATAATATAGTGGCTACATACGTATGTTAGGTATGTATAATAGGTACAAGTACGGAATACATGCAAGTAGTTATCGATACATGGATATGACCTAGTGGGTAGGAGATGACATGGACCAAACCTTAAAATTAGATTACCTAGGAGCCCGATATCCCGACCGACGTTTCCTAAACGTGCGGCTGGTTTTCTGGCTGGTCTCTTTCTAAACTTCCATTTCTCCAAAGCCCCAAAGCCTCTAATCTATCTATAGGACAGTAAACTCCCGACCAAAAAAACAACAGCAACGACATAATAACTTAACACAAGAGTCAATCATTCGCAAATTAGATATTTAAATGTATTAGTAGTCGTATGGAAAAACAACCCTCTCCGCCCGAAATGGAACAGCCGTAACAAAGCCAACCCCGTCAATGTCCACGAAACTTGAGTCTACTTTAGTCTATCAATCTTCTCAATTTGCTCTGCCACGAATCTAATCAATCCCGACGTCGCACCTCCGATGATGATTGTCGCCTTTGTCCAACATTGAATATACTCTTACGAATAATTCTCGGCGCTCCCGTTCCAACTCCTCGTGAATAACGATATCGATAGTACCGGCTAATACTTGACCGGAAAGTAAGCCGCCCGACAAACAGACATCAACATCTAGTAGTTGAAACCCTCATTCGGTTCTTACCATCATAGCCATCATGTCTAGTTCTTTTGAGAAATCCGTCAAGGGTGCAACCAAGATCAAGGTCAGTCTGTGCCTCTCGCGGTATGTAGAGCTAAGCCAGTCTAACCCCTGACAATGTTCCTGAGTAGGCCGCTCCTCCAAAAACCAAATATATCGAGCATATCCTTGTCGCTACGCACGCCGGAGAAGCGGGAGTGGGAGAAGTTTTTCGGGCATTGCAGTTTCGATTGCGAGACTCGACATGGACTGTAGTACTCAAGAGCTTGATAACAATCCATTTGATGATCAGAGAAGGGTCGCCGGATGCCACACTAGCGTATCTCGCGAAGCATCGAAGCCAGCTAGCAATAGGCTCATTCACCGATGGTAAGTTAATAAATAATCCCAGCCTATGCGCCCCGATGACGTCGTCGAGGATATATTTCTGATGTATATGGTAGCGCAAATTCAGGGGCGAAACATACGACACTATGCCGGCTACCTCGCAGAACGCGTACGCGCATACAGAGATACGAGAATAGATTGGGTCCGAGCTAAAGAAACGCGACTTGAGAAGCTTTCGGTTGACAAGGGATTACTCCGAGAAACTGAGGCGGTTCAGCATCAGCTTACTGCCCTGCTGAAGTGTGATGTATGTTATGCGATTCTCCCTTAGTATAGGAACGACACTGATTCTGATATTCCGACAGGTTCTTGAGGATCCCGAAAACGAAATTACAATTACCGTGTTCCGACTTTTGGTGCTGGATTTATTAGCGCTATTCCAGGTGTTGAACCAAGCTATGATCAACATTTTAGGTAGGTTCGAGTTATCTACGAGCGACATACGTCTAGGAGACTAAATAGATATCAGGGCACTTTTTTGAAATGTCAAGGCCAGACGCAGAGAGGGCTTTGGAAATTTACCAGAATTTCACTAAACAAACAGACTACGTCGTACAATATCTGGCTGTAGCGCGACAATGGGAGCCTCATACTAGAGTAGAGGTTCCTAAGCTGAAGCACGCTCCTATCAATCTTCGACGGCAACTAGAAGAATATTTGAAAGATCCCGATTTCGAAATTCATCGAAGACAATACCTGGCTGAGCTCGAGGCCAAGAAGAAGGGAGGATCTGGTTTATCTTCGAAAGCCGATAAAGGTACTGCAGACTCTAAGGCCGCTGCCGCAAAGTCTAATGGACCATCCGGAACTTCATCCAAGCCGCCGCAGGCAACAAGAGGACCGGATCCGGATCTAATCGATTTCTTCGACTCGATTGAGCAGAATCAAACCACAATGGCAGTGCAACCGAATCCTCAGCCGCAGATTGCCCAGGCAAACCTTCCCATGTCTACAGGGAACCCTTGGCCTTCAAATACTCCCTTCGCCATACAGCCAACCGGCCAGCTTCAAGACAATGGTTTCATACCTCAGCAGACCGGGTTCCCAGTTAATAATACACCTTTCCAACAACAGAATGTTGGCGCTTTCTCCCAGCAACAACAAGTACCAAACCAAATACAGCCGAGTTTCACCGGTGCTGGTTTCGGCGGATATACACCGCAATCTTTCGCGCCAGGCAGTCTTCCTCCTGTACCCCAGAATTCTGCGCCTTCTTTCCAGCCTGGGACTTTATCCCCACATATGCAGACAGGGCTTCAGCCTGGCCAGCAGATAACTAATCCTTTCAGAGCGTCTATGCTGATGGCCAACCCTACTGGAGCACCTAATAATTCCTTTGCCGCACAAACTAGCCCCCAACTTCAGGCCGGCGGTCTTAGCCGGCAAAATACCAATCCTTTCGCCAGATCTTCCCCTCAGCCTGTCACCCCCTTTTCTAATCCTCCCTCCAGCTCTCCTTTCCAGTCGCAACCTCCGGTTCAGGCTCAAGCCCCTCCCATTCAAACAACAGCCACGGGCACCAATCCATTTGCCAGGAACTTTGGACAGCCACAAATCCAACCTCAGGGCCAGCCTCAGACTCAGCCGCAAAGGCCTCAGACGAGCGCCGGGCTCATGCCGCAGCCTACGGGAAGTACGAACCCATTCCGGCAAGGAGCTTTTGTAAACCATCAGACCGGAATGGGTTGGCAACACGGACAGCAGCCGATGGGCGGGGGTCTAGATCAGCTCCAGGCTATGCCTGTGTTCCCTCGACCTACTACCCAGACGCCTTGGCAGCAGTAGGAAGACGACTAGCGTAATGTATGTAGGAGGGGGTTTGGCATCTAGAAGAGAAAGAAGACGGTGGCGAAATCGCGTCTCAGGACGTTCTCTAACTTATCACTGAGCGCATAGAGCGAGGCGTTATCCTAGGATTTCATAATTTCCCCCTAAGCGTAGGACAAGACTGGAGGAGAGAGGAGAGGAAGAAATAAGATTTAAGAGAAAGGGCTTTATCAGAAGAAGCTAGCAGAGGCAGGCAAGAAAGCCAACATGATTCATCGGATATCCACGGTAGGGTCCCCGTAAAAGAAAAGAAATTCAAGATCAGGCGTTGCCCCGAGGGGAAATACTATTACCGTTATTCTCCCGAAAGGGTCGGCCGGTTGGGCGGAATCGCGAGCGAGCAAGCAAGCATTGGCGGACTCGAGCTTACTTCATGCGCCTGTATTATTTATGCTCTGTTGACTTCAATCATGTTCAATAATAGGTTATTGCGTAATAGCTAACACACCGCCGCGCTGCAGGTTGTCGTGAAAGAGTACTCAACACTTAGAACTATTTCTACCTAGAATTAAGTCTCGCGATTCGAATTAGCAGACAGAAGATAGATATTAGCATGTATTCGCGGACGATGAAGATATAGTTAGGTATATAATTGAATTTTAGTAACACCGTGATGTAGTGTCCATATATTATGATCTCCCCCTCGGAAAATACCATGCTGGAACACTGTCGCTGTGTAACTGAATGAAGTCCACATGTAGATTCCGCGTCCCCTATTTCTATACCATACTCTATCATGCGTATTCGGATACAGTTAAACGCTACCACGATAGATAGACATTATTACAAAGTTAAAGCCTCCCTTATGCACTTATACCCCTGTTACTACCCTTGTAACCGTTGACCCTAACCCTTAGCCTTAGCCTAACCTTAACCCTAACCCTAAGCCTTAACTCTAACTCGATCCCTATCCCGATTCTTTATCCCTATCCTTAAATAAATAGGTTATTATAATTTGAAACAAATTTTTTTTATTCTATTATTAGACTGTTCAATTAAGTTGCGTAAATAGGTTACCTATCAGCGTAGCGTAAAATATTTGGGTATTATGGAAAGATATGGCAGTGTCGTTATCGTGAGGTTAAAACTAAATGGTGTCATTTATTGAAGGTGGTGTTTTAAGGAATTTAAAACACAAGAATTTTTCAACCCCACGACGCGATAAAGGGGACCTTAAAACTCTAGATGAGATATTCGGAACAAAAGACATGTGTCACGGTCAGGAGTCAGGCATCTTGGATCCTTATGCATATACAACCTTGCAGCTCGCTGCAAGGCTCTTGATATTCTGGGTTCCCCAGAATATCATCGTTTTTCATATTGACCTTTTGGTCTCGTGATAACATGTTTAGTATAGTCATAGGCTCTCCTAATTAAGGTGAAAATCCCCGCGCAACAACAAAGTTGTTTCTATGCTGTCTAATTCCGCCTTGTGACATCGTCCTTATAATCAATCAGTTCTGATGATGGCATGCCCATGACGTTGGCTAGCTGATTCAAAACGCCTTCCAATCTTCTTCCGCTGGTTTTATCCAGACTATGAAGTGTCAAATTGTCGCTATCAAGTGACTCAAAATCTCTGTTTTCTCCTAACTACCAATACATCGCTCGCTCCTAAAGTCTTAGCACAATCAATCAAATCATCTAGGCATCGCTTTCTTTGACGTCCCAATAAGTATACATCAGCCAGTTATGTGACAAGAAGTTAGAATGAGCCCTGAATTCGAAACGCCACAGACAGCAACTGTCTTTGGGAATTTACATCCAGTACGGAATTCACCCTTTTACAACAAGGTAAGAAGTTTTTTTCGATCCTTTGTAATTCCTTTATGGGAGGATACGAGATTCTTAAACCCATCTGGATCGAATCCGAGAAAGATCAGGTTTTCTAGCTCAAACGTGTAAACACTCGCAGCGTTGGAAACCATTTTTGATGTCGAGTATGTCTGCATATACCGGACACCGGCTCCGTAGAGGGTACCTTTTTCAGAAGGCTCTGACGTAAAACTGGCAGAGTCGTAGAGCTGGTGTAAGGGGTACTGGGTGTTAGTGGAGAGATCGCGGGGTAAGTCTCTATTGAAAGATGTAACCTAATAAGGGCGTTTTATTGTCAGGGTATAAGTGGGTTGGGGGTAGATTCAAGGGTAGATAGATCTAGTGTATACTATAAGATCATAAGAAGACAGATGTTAATAGTTCAATTCTAACAGGTAGGCATTCTATCATTCATTTTATGTATAACATTCATCGAGAGTACAATATCTGACATTTATATCAGTGCTTTAAAACTTGAATTCATTGAACCAGTGGGCTGCGTGTGTTTGCACCACGAACGCATGGCCCATGTCATTCTATTTGTACCTACTAAGGTTGCAAAATCTGTGATATTTACAATGACTTAATATTCCATAGCAACGTACGAAATACCTTTTAATTTGATAAGTCGAGGCTAACAATATACTTGCGTTAACTCTTTAGCATTTTTGCATACCCGTATGGTATCGAGTTTTCATGTACCGGGCCTTAACGTCCCAAAACACGGCATAGCAAAAATACGGTAGCTAGGTAATATGGTTCGTAACTAGCTACCATCGCAACCACGTATAAAAGACCTCTTATTTTATGTCTTCAGGTGTGGGCTTAACACGGTATATTATTCAATAAATCTGATTAGCAAAAACCTTTATACTATTCTTAAGATGGTATCTTAGGTCTTTTCCAAATGTCATGGTACCATCACAAGTTGCTTCCAATGTGGTTATGACGTACCGTTATATAAGAGATTCTAGGGGCTCAGCCCATACTGGCTCTTTCTTTTTTGCAACCACAGTTTTAACTACCATATCTTGACACGAAGTCTTAATCTATGAAGTGTATCAGTGGGGCATGTACTTATATCAAGTTCGCACTTGAAAATATGACTTAAGACTAATTATACTATTGCTTAAGCCCTCTTATAATGCGTATATTTCCTAATAATCAAGTTATTACTTGAAAGCGCATTAATACTATTATATTTAATGTTTTAATGTTAGAATCAACCGTATAAGTACCCTAGACCAAAGTTGTTGCGCACAGGCCAATGGTGAGACTTTTGTAAAAATTCGAACCCGAACCCGTTTCACTTTATTAGATAGTCGCGCAAGCCTTTCCGTGGCCACTGGCCACGGAAATATTGTGCACGGGCCAACATTAATTTTTATTATGGCTTCCTAAAGATTGGGTTGGGATGCTGAGGAGGGCAAACGTAATATCTACCCCCCCTACGTAAAAACATCCTCCTCAACCTTCACCCCCGTCGTCCTCCCCGTCCTCGCCGCCTCCTCCGCAGCTATCGTCCCAACCGCCTTCTGCGCATCCGCCTTCTCCTCCGCTATAAACACGCCTAGTCCCGCAAACGCATCAAACATGGCGCGCGCCTCGTACTCGTGGGCACTATATCCAGGGACACGATGGTCGTCGCGGCTACGCGCGTCCTCGAGCCATGGGTTATCGTAGCGTTCGTGCAGCTCGTACCGCGTGGGCTTGAGGTCCAGGCCTGCAAACGCGTCGTATGGCCGGAGGTAGTAATCGGCGTCCTCGTCGCGCTTGGATTTGTCTTTGAGGCCCCGGATCGAGAGGAGTGTGTCGGTAGATGTGGGGGCGGGTGTGTTGGATGCGTTGAGTAGGCTGGGGAAGTTTGAGCCTGCGATCTCGGCGACGCGCGCGCGCTTCTGCGCAATGATACGCGCTTGGACTTCTGCGGCGGTGCCGGGTTCGCCTCGCTCAAGGGCTTCCATTACTTCGGCGTTGATGGAGGCTTCTTCGGCGCGGGCGCGCTCTTCTTCCCGCTGGTCTTCGAGTCTGCGTTGGCGCGCAGCTTCTGCCTCTGCAGCTTCGCGCTGTTTGCGCAGCGAATCTGCTTCGCGACCCTTCCTTTTGTTCTTCTCGATATCGTCTTTATGTTTCTGCTCGTACGTAAGCAGCTTTTGCTCAGCATTCCGCTGCTCTGTCTCGTCCCCATTAACTAAGTCGAAAGTCAGGTCTTCGACCTGCTGCAGGTAATCGTTGTAGTCGCGGAGCGTGACGAAGTCGTCTTGGGTCATGTTGAAAACAGCTTGAACACGGCGGCGCAGGTCAACCTCCCGCTCGATCCTAAGGTCTTTAAAGAAGGCTGAACGGAAACCGCGTTGGCGCAAAGTCTTGGTGCAGGTGGCCACGGGGCATTGCGCGGGTCCTTTGCTGAAGATGTTATTGACACAATTAATGCACATTGGATGATAACACTCTGGGTTAATTAAGAATTCCATTTCTGTATTCAGATACCGTATGCGATTACACACCGGGCAGGTGTCGTCTGGGACATGGTCGAGCGGTCGCACGGTAAGTGTGGTGGCGGTGGGTATGTTCCTTCGAGACATGATTCCGTTTTACTTGCGAGTGTATGCAGAGCTTCTAATGCATATAGAACTACTAATGTATCTAGTGTTCGGCGTTACGTATCTCGTCCTGCGAGGTGGGTTAAATATGAGGAAGAAGGACGGTTAGAGCGGTGGATGGGTATGAGAAAGCCTAGTCGAATAGTAGTCATTCATTTGGGTTAAATCTCGTCTTGCGAGGGGTAAGTTTGTAATTAATTATGGTAAAACGTTGTCTAAAGTGTCTAAAGTGTTGTCCAAGATTCCTGTAAGGGATAACCACCAAGACAGCGGTAGGACGCGTTGTGGTAGAAGAAAGAAAGAATGCAGCTTAAAAGAAGTTCCCAAGTTTGATTTCACCTTTACATGTAGGTATGTTAGGTAATGTATACATGTACAGCCTGCAGGAAGCTAAAATTATTTACTTATTTCCTATTGGTCTATAATTCTTATAGAGGCAGCAGGGGTTCATGCCCCACTACCCAGGTTAATAAACAATTGCCCCTCCATCTTAAGCTTTCTGACTTTCAATAATGAACCTTAGCTTCTACGTCTTCGCTAGCCTTCTTATTGATTCTCCTGCTTAACTTGCAGCTACCTAACCTCACAATCAGCGCAGACAAACCCGATACCAAAACATTGTGAAATTATAAACAATGGCAGACAACGGTACGCGCACACATCTTAGACCCAAAATAGCACTATCCGTTACAAATAACTAACAAACTATATTATTATAGATCTCACTCCCGAGCAAGAAGCCATCGCCCGCGCCAAGGAAGCCGAGGAACAAGCAGCGCTGCCCTACAAATGGACCCAAACCATCGCTGACCTCGATATCAACATCACTGTTCCCGGAAACCTCAAGGCCCGAGATCTCGTTGTGGAGTTCAAGAAGCAGAAGCTCAAGGTCGGCATCAAGGGCCAAGATCCCATCATCGATGTGCGTATATACTTACCAAAGCTACAAACCACGATATACAATATTTATACCCGTACTAACTTATCCCCAGGGTGACCTCCCGCACACAATCCTAACCGAAGAATCCACCTGGACGCTCACTTCGTCACCGGACGGGACCAAGACAATCGAGGTCCACCTAGACAAGGCGAACAAGATGGAATGGTGGGCGCACGTCGTGACCACGGCGCCCAAGATCGACGTGACCAAAATTCAGCCCGATAACTCCAAGCTGAGCGATCTTGACGGCGAGACCCGCGGCATGGTCGAAAAGATGATGTACGACCAGCGCCAAAAGGAGATGGGCCTACCCTCCTCCGACGAACAGAAGAAGGCCGACATTCTTAAGAAGTTCCAGGCCCAGCACCCCGAGCTCGACTTTAGCAACGCCAAGGTAAATTAAGACATTTGTTCCCTACCAAGTCACGGAAGAATACAGTTAGGAAATACCGTGAGAACATGCTTGCTTGCTACATATAGTTATGAGATCACACGAAGTGTCAAGAACACGGAAAGGCTTTGGAATAAATGTGCATCTTATTAATGACGTAGTTATGTATATATAAGTGCCACGAGAGAAATGGAATGTGTAGGGTGAAACGAATCGCCAAAACCACGGAGGAGGCAAAAAAGACCAAGGGTAGAGGCGTCAGAGAGCCCTGCTCTGGTTTCATCTTGGAATCGCTAGTAATGACATAGCAGATGATAGCCGCTACGCATCAATTGTCAGATTAATAAGCGTTCCGTCGCGGTTGTCCGCAGTAAAGAATGAAAAACCGAAATATCAAAAACCACTTACATTAGGCATATAGCATGAACTTACTTACCTACTATCGACGGCTTCCTTCTGATTTATCATACCAGTTGCGAGTTTTAGGACATATTGGCCGTAATAAGGTGATGCATTGATGCTACCTACGAACCAAGCGTGTGTCGTCTACATGCAAATTGCTAAGGTGACGGGTCGCCCGCGAGGCTTGTCTCATGCGATAACCTTCTTCAACGATCAAGACCTCTGGTTGCAAGTTGAATATAAACCATATTCGCAGAACGGGCCGGAAATCAAACATATCACTTAGATCGAGTCAACGCAATTCCACGGTCCTCCTCAAGATTTAGCCAGTCTAGCCGCCTTAAAGCGACTCATCCGCTTTGGTCCACCTTGCTCTTCATCAAGCGGCTGGATAGGACTTTCATCTTCTTTCATAAACCCGCCCTGTTGATGGATGAGCTTGTTACGCATCTTGTAGTATTCTTCTGTCGCCTGCTTTTGTAGCATATTAGCGTCGAATTCGTCCGGCTCCCTCACTTCCGAAGATGGTTTATGCTCCAAGACAGAAGTCGCCAGGGTCTGGTTTGCCGGTCCTGAGGGGGTAGGACCAACGACATCGGGTGTATCTGGCATGATAGGGGTACCGCCCAGGGCTATCGGAGTTGCATTTATATGGGTATCATCATTCCTTGCCTTTCGGAACCGGGATACTTTCTTACTTGGTGCCGCTGTCGGTTGCGTTGTTGTGCTGCTGCCGCTGCGCTCCATGACAATGTCGGATAATGGGTCCACCTCGTGCTGCTTAGATTGTGATTGGGGCACTCGCTCCGGAGCTGACTCTGACGCTTCAGCTATATCAAGACTCTGGGCAAATCTAACACTCTTTTTGTTGTCTTGTTCTGACGACTGGTCTTCGGCTTCGGGTGGAATAATTGGTTGCCTTTCGACATTACCATTCAGAGCATCTTGGCCCTGACGTTTGATGCTTATCCGGCCAATACCTTCCATCACATCTTCCTCATCATCCATCGCCTGGGTCTTACTAAAGGAATAGTCGCTCAGCCGCTCTTTGAGTTCCAGCATTCGCCGCTTCCAATCATCGTCAACGGTAAGCTTAGTCTTACCCCATTCGTCTTCATCGTCATCATCATCCTCTTCATAGTCACTATGATCATCCGTATCGTCGCTCGTAGATCCTTCTTCTAGTTGCAACTCCGCAACAATAGGAGCCATCTCAAACTCCATCGTATCTTTGTTGTAACGAATCATATCTTCTCTCAGTGCAGCATCCTCTATAGATTCGTCGGCAGGGAGAATAGGGTCTGATATTATGCTCTGCTGATCCTTAGCTTTTTGCAGGATCTCTTCCAGTCTCTTGGCAGTTTCCGACTGCTCCAGCTCTTCTCCAGATTTTGTGTCTTCGCTAAACGTCACGCTTTTCTTCCTAGATGCAGATTTTACTTTCGCTTTTTCCTTGACCTGCGAACTATCAATCACATTTGGAGCATCCTTTGGCGAATCATTCACCTGAAGTTCCTTAGATTGATGGTTTGATGTACCCAAGTCGCCATTTGAGGTTGATTTGTCATCCTGTGTCTTCTGTGAGGGCTCGGACATTGGGGTAGGATCAGTGGGTGAAAAATCAGAAATTCCAGCCTTCCGAAGAGCTTCAAGAACTTGGGGTTGGGTATCTCCTGCGGTGCGTAAGCTATACGACACAATATTGTCATCGTCGTCTAGCTCCTCTAGTATTTCGGTGATTGGTAGTCCATCTTCATCAGTTGCGTCTGGATTTGCAACAATTGTGACAGCAGCAAGTCTATTTCCTGCCTCTTCATGCTGCTTACCAAGCGTGTCGATATTCTTGGAGACATAATCCAGCCGATTAGTGAGCGTGCTAATGATCTGCTCGACCTTCTTCGAGTCGTCACGCCCGAAGACGTCAACGAGCTCCTTCTCATTCAATAACTCGCCCTTAAACTTTTCCCGGGTGTTTTTCAAATCCTTCCGACTAGCTGCTGACGGTAGCGACTTCACATCAGCTCGCAGCGCCTCATACTCTTTCTTCCATTGTTTCCAGTGGTCAAGCGCATTAGAAAGTCTCGTGACATTTTCCTCTAACTTCTGCCGATGCCTTTCCAGGTCAAGAAAGCTGTCCTTAGCAGCAGCCATTCTGAAGGTTAGAAAGTAATGATATAGAAAATAATTGTTCGGGGGCAAACGCGATATGAGAAAGTGTTTTTTGATTAGCTGAAGAAAATGGAGTTTGTTCATTCCAAATTCCAAAGTTTCGAGTTGGAAGGAAAATGAGGCTAGTCTCCACCTATCACGTGCCATTATGAAAGACGAGCTCGGATCAGGTACCTAGGTACATCTCCTCATTAAGCACCCTGCTATCCCCCCTTTTTTGTTAAAAAAAACATGCTTTCGATATAATGGCTACCTACCTACCTAGGTACGCATCTAACTTAGAGAACGAGCAAGACCCACGACAATGGGAGATTAGGAACTTTCGGAGGGGAACGGGATCACTGGTATATCCTAAAATGAAAATAGAAGCTATTCAGCTGCATGGCTATCAAAGTAGACAACTAACATTTCTGTTGAGCATGGCAATCCTGTTATTTCTCAACTACTATATAAATAAATTTCAATTTATTAAACTGAAGGTCATGTTGCAAGGCATTGGTGATTATCAAGTATGGCTAGGTATTCTCTCATTACACGAAGCTAAAGGGATTAGACCTCCTAACCACGGAGTATCACATATTACGAGAATTAAAACACAGCTTTACATTAGCAAATCCTCCAAGAAAGAGTATAGTTGTAAAGTTTCATCATAGAGTCTTGGGATTGAATTATCATCTCCTAACCGCCAGTGTAATGCAAAGTGGTATATCGCGTTATCGTTAAAACCAACTCCTCGTATTTGACCTCATTCACATAACCCTTGCGAAACTAATCCAGCTTTTCATTAAGAATTGATACTGTTGGTTCGTGTCTTAGCCACAACATACAGTGGCTTCCTTAGCAGCACTTGTCTGTTGTCCACTAATATAATCGTTAGAATTGAAAGAAGGCATAGTACTTAAAGAGTTTCTTAAAGCACTTACCCGCCAAGTTTCTCCCATTGAAAGATGAAGCTGCCGATGTAGGCACCAATGAAGATGCAGATGATGATATAACCATTGTAGTACATGGCAAGCCTAATAAATAAGGTAGTTAGCCATGTCAATCTATTTTGATGTTGTCTGATAATATAGGGAATGAAATTGAGGGACTTACAGCATGAGGAAATATGCCACAACAAACTGAGCAGTGTGGAGGAAGGCACGGACAGCCTGTTCAAGGGGCTTGGGTCTATAGCCGTTGCTAGCCACAGGCTTGACCGAGGGTAGCTTTCCAGCAGAAGTCTGATCGGGTTTTGGTGAAGTGCGACCGTTCTCGTTATCGTTGCTAGCAACAGAAACAACGAGGCTGTGACTGGCATTCTTACGGACGAGGTAGTTGTCGTACTCTTTAACAGAACGGCGCAGGAATTCGAGTAGGATAGCAAGGAGAATGACACCAATGCAAGAGCCTGCAAACATTCCCTTTGATGTGATGTGCCAAGAGGAAGAAATGAAGCAGGCATCAACTGTATACCAGTTCCAGAGCATCTATTCATATTAGTTAGTACTTGCTGTTTCAAGTCTGAATAATGAATTAGGTATATGAGCATAAGATCACTTACGTTAATCTGACAACCTCCCCCCATATCCATATCCATATCCATATCCATCGAGGCAGTACTCGACGACGATGCAGCAGCAGTCATAGTCGGGGTTGCCATGTTCATGGTGCCGGACGTCGTCATTGATCCCATATCCATCTTAGCTGACGTATGAGAGTTGCGTCACAGGTTAAAATTTCAATACGAATTGTATGTTAATCCGATGGGCTGTGATTTCAACCTAGAGTCTAAGGGTCGTGTAGATGCAACTTAGGTAAGTACTAAATTTGTTACCGCTTTGGAATTGCACGGGACAAGAAAGAAAAGAGGAAAAAAAATAAAGACCTGGCAACAGAAAAGAATTAAGTTAAGAGTGGTGCGGCAGAAAGAATGAGAAGACAGTGGACGGAATAACTGTCAGGTCGAACCTTAATTATTTATGGTTACCATGGCTTTTGATGTCTTAACCTGATAGACTGACCGTTGAAGGAATTTACATGTAGTCACCCTTGTTGTACCACTGCATGGGCTGTAATAGTTCGATCCTGAAAATCCGTAGTTCTAAACTGTCGGTACCTTGGCATGTAAAATAACTACTGTAGGTACCTAACCTATTCTTGGGCCGGGAGCACATTTGAGCAAGTTATGGCCGTAAGGCCCACCTGCCACCTTACGATATTGTACAGTATAAGGTAGGAAACTACAACCTTTGCGGCGTTCTACTTACGCGCCTATTGGGTACCCTTAACTTATGTATTAATGGCAGTGGTTACACGAGAGAGCAAATATTATACATCTTCGCTTGTATCTTTGTTTATCTTCGCTATCGTTAAAGTTAAGCGTAAATCCTGCTCGGCTGCCATCGCGCTTTAATTGGTCTTTTATAATTTGATACTAATTCAACTTTAACCTATCATATTAATAGGCAGATACGACTAGTATTTCAGATTACTCATAACCCATATTAAACAGTCTCAACACGTGCAAAAAGAATTTATTATTACTTTTCTCAAAGACAGATTCATATCTAGATCCCTTATTGGAATCCTTAAGCGAGATCTATATCCCCAGTCTCGGAAAGTCTCCACAGTCTTTCTCCTATTCTGGCAAGAACATGTATGACAGTGTTCGCAGTGTCTTAGCACAGACTTATACGAAGACGTAATCGGTATCGCACTCTAGGGATGCTGGATTATGTGGCTGACACGAGGCGGAAGAAACGATCAGCCTTGATAGCTAAGTTAGCCTTCTGTGATACCTTCTTGGAAACACGGCATGGTCAGCAAATAACTTCGGCCACTTACGATGTACGACCCCCTCTAGACTTCACATTTTTCTGAGGCTCCGAAGGAATCTTTTCCCGCTTCGACGCCTCTCGCTTGCGACCATCAGCTCCACCCTGATCAGTGGCACACAGATCGAAATATACTGCGCCGCTGGGGTCGGTTCCGTCATCCTGTGCGGATAATTTTCCCGTCATTTCCCCAGTGGCAAGGGCTTCTCGCACTACCTTAGCCTTAGTGACATACAAAACCTCACTACCAGCTACCTTCGCCACGCAGTTATGCCAAGGAGTGGGAATGTGCAATAGGTCACGAGAAGTCATCGAGTTGCTGTTCGGCAAGAGTGATTCAACTGCTCTGACTAATTTGGGGTCAAAAAGTTGAATACCGAACTTGGGTCCAGCATTATTATGTCTAACGGGTACATGTCGTTAGTTTTGTCCCTATCAAAGCTGGTGCGGCAATGTCTCAGGTTAGGCCTGGGTAACTTACGCGTGGATCGACAACCGAATGTGGTTGGGGAAGAGTAGTTCCACAAGATTTGAGTATGCTTGGTTTCTCTATGATAATCGCAGTCAGTTGGTTTTCGCTGCTCTATATGACTCGAGGATAAAGTTTGGATAGGGAGAAGAGCTTTACCATCATCATCTCAAATGCTACTTTAGACGAGAGCTTCTTCTGCTTCGAGCGGCTCATTGTTCGCGTAAATGGATGGAGCTCAAGATCCTCAAGCATGAACCGCGAAAACCCACGATATAATGCTAGAACCCCGGCCTCTTGGGACTCAATCCTAGTTCGGAGCGCGGCCTTCTGCGATTGGCACCCAGCCATTAAGAGACGTCGGCAAAGTTCGGCTTCTACGGTTATTCGCGTCTGGACATAGTGATTGATTGACGGAATATCGAGGTTAGAAATCTTCGCAAGCTTTGACGGGCTATTGTACTTCTCCAACTCAAAGAGGTCGACAAGAGATTTGAAACCAATTCGGTCTATGTTACCCCTTTGGAAGCTGATTTCTCGATTCATCTTGATCAACTTCTGACTATACGCGTCCACATCTTTATCGTCGACACCAACTATATACGGTTAATACAATTTTCTAGAGTCAGGGGCAAAGATGGCACATACTGCAGTCGCTAAAAACATGTCCGTCGCTAATTATCCAGAGCTTTGCACCTGCGCTATATATCGCCTCGATGGCTTCAACGAAGCCGTGAAGATGTTCTAGAGCCAGCTGCTCGCCATGATCTGGGTCTTTACCAGTGACCTTGTCTGTATTGGTTGATTTACAGGGGAAGGCAGGCAGACAAAGTTCGAGCTTTTGACCCTGGGAAGTAAAATGGTGAACGCGCTCCGTAAAGTAAACCCGTCCAGAAACACACCACTTATCATCTTCACCTTGATATCGAAGGTGCGTGTCGAACAGAGACACTATCTTCTCCGTAACCAACTCAGTATAAAGATCAGAAGGACCCGGACCAGCCTGACCAGCGATAGCAAAGTTGGCCTGGCGAAGGAGCAACCGATTGAAGAATGCCTCAAACTCTCTCTTAGCATCCGTGGGGTTTACCAAGTTATCAAGGATAATTCCGGTAAAAGATCCATTCGAGGTTTGATATAGCTCGTACAGTTGCAAGCCCTGTAAGTCGTCGTCCAGCTCAGCGCAATAATATGGTGTCTTTTCTACGCTAACTGTGTCATTCCAAGTACAAAGGTCGACGCTTATGATATGCCAGTGTTCTCTGATTCGGGCTTCCTGCGGACCTGTGCAATACAAGAGGTTGCCATACGAGTCGCGAGAGAATGCGGCCTGAAATCGATAGTAAATCGACTCTCCTTCTTGGGGAATCTCCATGGTGGGCTGATGGCAACTCCCGCTGGCTGGTCCCTAGATGCGTGTTAGGTAAAGTTGGGGCAGCTCTTGAGGAACGGAACACCGAAAATATCCTGGGGATCCGGGATACATATCCGAATATATCCTGCTCAGTTTCCTCAGTCATTTCGGTTGTCAGTCTATCTAAACCGCTATAGATCCATTCATCCCCAACATTGAAGAGCTCGGCGTGCCCTAGTTTGTGTCAGAAACCCCGAATCAAGACCGCGTCGGAAAGTATCTCCATTTTAGAGAGTAGTAGGTCCAGGAAGACAGTTCCTTAGCGGCTCTTACAATAGTATCGAAAGTGAGGCACAAATATAAGAACTATAGCATCTTGAGCGTGACAGAATAGTCGAAGACTGGGATCCGGGGTTGAATTGAAGTCCTATGTTAGACAGACCTCGAAGCGCTGAGTCGCTACCCGTGTAAGGTTTGAGACATAGTCACGATCTTCGCAAGCGACAGCGTGTCTACACGCAACATAAAGTTCTAGAAAAGATACCCTCAAAGCAACAACTCGACCAGATACGTACATAGAATGAGAAGAAGTGGGGGGTATATAATATAGGGTGAGCTAATATGAGGTAGATGATCCTCAAGGTTGTCTCTCAATTAGGTATCGCGTGTCCATTCTGTCAGGTCAGCTACTGAATATCTGGGAGATATACTTGAGGTAAGTATGTGATTTTATTTTCTATAATTCTCTACTCCTATCCATTGAGAGTTCCTTTTTACCACTGACGTAGTATAGTCGCGGGCCCGATGAAGGAAAACTAAGAACTGAAAGGGGAACAAAAACCCACCCGTATACTACCTAGGTAGGTAATCGAGGACACAGAACTAGTCTCACCTCAAGGATATGCGAGTATCCATCTTCCCCTGTCAAACATCCATAATATTTCTTGCTTTGAGACTCTAGCTAGCCGTTTTGTATATGCATGCCTGTCTCATAGGAACCATATTTAGTTGGCTTACATGTCTAGATATAATGGTTGTTTCAGTAACGTTCTTGGGCTAACTGCACTTGATGTCGTTAGCTCCATATGACAACGGAAACCGCCGGCACCAACGTTCTTCTAAATCCCGTCGACTACCCGTAAAGGGGTCAGAGCGATGCTTCCCATAGTCTTACCTCAAATAAGGTTGCTTAATGTAACTTGACATGTGGATACGGGAGAATTATCTAAGGTTTCGAGATAATCGCTCGTACATAACTATTATATACTGCCATATACTACCCCTTTTTTTCCTAATTGGTTTCTATAATTCTAGAAATGGGTATAAAGGTAGCCACGTTAGGCTAAGTTATACTCGCGTACTTAGTATAGGTACCTCTTGACAAGGAATAACCAAGGTTTAGGCTATGTATTTCAACAACCCAAAAGTCGATGTGAATTGGGTTGTTAAGTGGTCAAGTCACTTGTAAGCCAGGTTCTGCTTTTTCCTCTTCAGTATTTTCTCCTTCCTCAGCGTTTGAAACCCAACTATACTCTAGTAGGCGAAGAGTTCCACCTAGGAATTATATTCATCCTGAGCCCAGACGATTCTTAATATTCAAACCCGAAAGCTTCCGAGATGTAGCAGTGCGATAGGACTGTAACCTGGAACTTGATATACGCGGACTTGTATCCTGTGGAACGTATACACTTATTCGCCTAATGTGTATTCTTCTCATTTCGCTATGATACTTGGACTCGAACATCATTACGCATCACCTACCAGGGATTAGTTATTTGTGGATCAAGGATAGAAAAAGTTGAAAATTCAATATTATTCATATCCAAAGAAACTGCCTACCTAAACCTAGGCGTACGCAACAAAGAACTTGAAGTTCAGAGCGCACGCATGATACCTCTTGCATACCTACCAGAGGTACATTTTCTCACTCACCTACTCAACTATCCATGTAGTTCCACGAAGGAACCCCTATTCAACGGTATATACGGTATACACCATCGGCAGACTTACTCACCTACCTGCTCACGCCCCGCTCGTCGAAAACGACCTCGGTATCTCTCCGAGTCTCCGCGGCGGCAACGCGTCTTCCGGCCGATCACTCGACGTAGACTTCGAAGTATGTCTGCGCGCCAAGTTGATCCTGCGAGAAATACTTTCCTTTATAGACGAGCCCTCACCATTAGCCTTACTCGAGCTTCGCCGTAGCCCGTCTAGGAACCTGACCTGTTTCTTCTTCTTCTCCGGGACGGTAGACAACTGATTACTCGTGGGCCTGCTACCCTGTAGGGCGTGCATGCCCTCGAATCCACGCGGTTGCTGCGTTACTACGCCGTCTTCGGCAACATCTACTACCCCGGCATGAGGGTCTACACCGTAGGACCGTAGCATGTCGTCGTGCTCTTTAACAGCTTGCTCCGCGCGATGTGTCGCCAGCACAGCCGCCACATCGATGCCTGCACGCGCCATCTCCGGCCTGGCGTTGACGTAGCGATCCGTAAACGGGATCCAAAAATCCTGCCCAAGTAGCGTGGGTAGCAATCTCGGCTCCAAGGCATGATTCGTACGTGCCGCCTTATCCAAAATCCAAAAAACATCACCAGCAATCGTCTCCAGCGCCAAATCCTCCTTCCTCTCATCATCATTACCATTATTATTATTATCCCCATCCTCCTCCCTTTCCACCTTCTCCTTTCCCCTTTCCTCCCCCCTACGAAGATAATCCACATACCCCGCCGCCGCATGATCCAACTGACTAGCCAAACCAAGCACCCACGCACCACTCACCCTCGAGCGCACCTTCTCCAGCTTCTCGAACCCATCGTCGAGGTACTTGATGCGCACGCGACACACCTTCGCACCCCCCACCCCGTTCCCCTTCACCGGCACCCCCACCGAGTCCGCAAACACATCGTACCCGCTAGCCGCAAGCCACGCGCGCACGTTGTCCTTGGCGTGCGCCGAGCACAGTATGCTCACGCGGGCGACGCGCCGCGCCGTGAACCCGTGGTCGACCAGGGCGCCTAGCCCGCAGATCGCGTACGACACGTGTTCGAGGGCCGCGGCGATGGTGTTGAAGACTTGCGCTAGCTCCGCTACGTTTAGGCTCGAGGTGCTCCAGGTGCCGCGGGGGTCCTCGCCGTTGGCAGTCGTCGGGAAGCGTTGGCGCGGCAGGCCGGGGCGTAGTGGACGTGTGTGCGCTGGGACAGGGGGGTGGGGGAGTTGTAGTCCCGCCGGGGCGGAACGGGTGGGCTGGAGCGGATAACCGGGTTGTTCGTTTTCGCGTCTGTTGGGATGTTGGCGGCGACTTAAGTTCTCTCTTACCTGGGCATTGTACCGGTTGCGGAGGTACGTGGGAGTCGTTGGGGTGGTTGGGCTAGACATCTCCTTCTGGTTAGGCATGCAGCACCAGACCAGGTTCAGGGACGATCTATCCGTATTAGAAGACATGGTGTTTGACTGGCGTAGGATACTCACTGTAGAATTAGTTAATAGTTTTCGATCGTCTTGTTAGTTGTCAGTAGACCTACGCTACGTTATGCTATGCTATGCTATGCTAACGTAGGACGAAACGAGACGACTGATTAGTGCTTTTTATTCGGCGACTGGAATACACGGATACGGATTTGGACGCGGGCTAGATTATATAATTTTTTAAAGAATGTCTTTGATCATAGGGGACGTCTTTGTAGATTCAATAATACTGTTTTTCTATAGCTTAATCTTCAAAGACCGACTAGTTCATTGGAGGAGGAACAATCCTAAAATTGAAGAATGGACCTAGTAGGAATATTGTTATTGTCTATAACAATGCCTAACAAGGACAAGGCGTAGACAATGCTGAGCGTAACCCTAGAAAACAAAGTCAACAACACATAGCCATGTAGAAGTCGAAACCTTTCACAGTGGAAAAAAACTAAGATGGTATTAGCATGGGTGGAAATATTCCCTTGTTCATGATACCTCGCTAGCACATATGCAAGACCGAGCCGTGAAACGAGCCGTTCATTATCGGGCTCTCTAGACCGGGCCCGCTAGCCCTTCCAACGCCTATGATACACTTGCTGAGGATCGAGACCTCAGATTGGAATTAAAATTTGTTCTCGAGAATGCAGATTTACAATTCCTCGTCCTCGACGTCCATATGATCCCCATTCGATTGGCCATTAGCCGCTGCATCCTTTTTGGGCATCGTAGCTTCTTTGTCGATCATCTGCCTCGACACGGAGACGATGTTGTCCTCGATAAGCTTCTGTCCAACATCCTCGAGATGCTTCTTGGGATCCAGCTTGCCGACGTAGCGCGTCTTGAGCTGGTCCTTGGTCAACTCGGTTTCCTCCTTGACTCTCTTCTCGTAGCCCTCGGCTAAGGTCACCAGTGTCTTGAAACGGTCCTTGTTCTGCTCGTCCTCGTGCCTAAAGTCTTCCATCTGTAGTGCTTCGGTCCATACGTGTTTGTGTAGGTTCATGAGCATGTTCTCCTCTAGCGCAGTCTTGCGGTAGTTGATGCCTATGGAGTAGTAGTGTCGGTTGAGCCCGTGGATAAGCGCTTGGATAGAGGGCTTATTGAGGTGACCCAAGTTGGAAGTACTCTGTCTCGGCTCTTGTCCGAGCATCAAGGATTGCGGGTTGATGAGGCGGAAAGCATCGATAACGACCTTTCCTTTAACTGACTGTATGGGATCGACGACGACGGCGACGGCTCTCGGTGTTAACTGTTCGAAACTTTGTTGGGTGTTGATGTCGACCGAGGAAAGCCAACATCCGAATCCGGGATGAGAGTGGTACCATCCAACGACCGACTCAGGTCTACACGGCAATATTAGTAAAAGTATAGGATGAGACGTAGACGAGACCATCTTACCGTCCGGTTTGCGTCAACATGTCCATCATCTTCTGCTGGAATACCGGGTCGACAGCTTCGACACTGACACCGGTACCGCTCTGGGGCATAGCAAAGACATCCACCACTCGTACTGTAAAATCGTCGACGAATTCTCCTAGCATAAGTCCCATGACTTCCATAGGCACACCTGCTCGTCCGTGTCGTAACATCTTGAGTAGCGCAAGGGAAGAAATGTATACGGTCTCGGAGTTATCGATTAGGTTTTGGTTATCCTATTTAGATAGTATATTAGCACATATCCGAGCTATCCAGGGTGTTTATATCATCGAGAGTTAAGCTTCTTACCGTCCCCGGGGCGGCACCGATTCCCATGCCGCTGGCACCGGCAAGCATTCTGTTCAACCGGTCCATCTTGATATGTCGGCGCTATCGCAGTATGAATTGCAGTAAGTTTACAAGGTGCACCAAGTCGTAGAATCAATGTAGATTTACGATTAGACTGGTAGGAATAACAGGTGAGAGTAGAGTGTAATAGTGCGCGGTAATGTTGAATGTTGGTAGAATTATTTGAGAGGGAATCTGTAAAAATGATAGAAGCTCACATCAAAATGCAGGCGTTGACGAAGCCCGGGTCTGCCTGCATAACGTACCTAAATTACCTAAGCATCTAAACGCTAAAAGCTATTAGCTTTTGATCGATAAGGGAGCTCGGGCCAGGTATAAGTTTCTATCACGTGAGTTGACAGTTCCTTGGAAAGTACCTATGTAACTCCATATGCCCATGTCCATATTTTCAGCCTTCATCAGCCTCGGTTAGTCGCATGTGTACCCTATAAGCACTAAATCTTTAGTGCCGTCATCATCGGAGCCAATCCCAACGTCGCTTCGTCGCCTAGTCCGGTCAAGAGATCAACCTGATCAACACCAACGGAAAGGTACATGTCAACTAATGAGGCCTATGCGCTAAACATATAAGAATTTCAAGCAAATCTGCGTTAATTTATAAAACATAGTAACTAGGTACCTATAATTAGATAATCAAGTGAAAGTATAAAGCTTTTTATAAGTGTTGATGTTCTTTCTCTGTGGTTATTAGAATCGCTAAATTGTAATTGTAATTTATGCAACCAAATATAAAAATCCACGGAGGTCATCCTTAGGCTCGGAGCGATCACGTACGTTTGCACTACACGGCCGAGCTGATATGATTCGGGCGGCCTACAGCTCCTTTGTTGGGTTCCATTCACTTACCTGATAACAAAATAAACCTCCGCTTACTTCATAATTCCAACCCTCCTTTACCTCGCCATGGGATCTGATAGGCTAGACCGGGGGGGTACACACAGCCTGCCTGGCTGCCGACAAGCTCGAGGTAGTCTACCCATTATAAGCCCATGTCCATACCAGGAGGCTATATATTCCCAATGTCCTCAACATCATCACCCGTCAAACATTTACTTCGGAGCTTCCAACGAACAAGCTTCACAATGTCTACTACATACGGTCTATTCCAAGTACACGACTCGGGGGAGGCCAAGGTTGAGTACGGAGTTTGAGACTTTTATAATAACTAGCTACATAATCCTTGAGTCTTTACTAACTTGGCATGTTAGTATCGTGCTCTTACACGGGCTACGAGGTGACATAGAGAAGACTTGGTCTAAAGACGGAGTTATATGGCCGAAAGATTTACTCCCCCTGGATGTACCCGAAAGCCGTATTTTCCTCTTCGGCTACGATACTAGCATTGCTCAGAAAGACCCCACGCGGGTCGCCAATACAGAAATCCACAGCGATGCTAACGATCTTTGCTCTAAGCTTGTGGCTGAGCGTTCGAGCACCGGCACGGTATGTATATCCAAGGTCTAGCTTAGGATTACTACTAACTTACTATCCAGGACAACCGCCCTATCATCTTCATCGCCCACAGTCTCGGCGGCCTAGTCGCAGCGCAGGTCCTCGTCCACGGCGACCAGCGCGCCGAGGCGTCGAGCGCCGAGGCCATCGCCAAGAACATCCGGGGCATGATATTCCTCGGGACGCCGTTCAGGGGGTCTCCCTCGGCGCGGAAAGCCGAAGCCGCTCGGCGGATCCTGCAGGTTTTCGGAGTCAACACGCAAGAGCATACGTTGAAGCTCCTCGGTGTCGACTCCGAGCGCTTGGACGAGCTCACTAGGGCTTTCCCGGAGGTCCTCAATAAACGTCGGGCTTCTAAGAACCCCTTGGATAGGATCGAGGCGTTCTTCTTCTACGAGATTTTGAAGACTAAGATTGGGTTTGGCTCGACTCAGGTTAGTACCTACCTACCTACCTAGACAACTTTCTGTGTTTCAATCAGTTCTCTCGAAGTAACAGGGTCACATTATTAGATCGTCGAGCCCGAGTCCGCCCAGCTACCAGGCTGCGGCGACGCAACCCCTATCCGCGCCGACCACATCGGCATCTGCAAATTCAAAACCCAGAAAGACGAGGGCTACGGCGTAGTCGTAGCCGCCATCCGAAAGATCATGATACCTACCGGCGGCGAATCTCAACAGGTAAAGTCACATGCCCATCTAGATATGTACCTAACAAAGGCTGGGGGGGGGGGGGGGGGGGAGAGAGAAGTGTAACAATTCGGTGTACATAGGATGTCCTGCTAACTAACCGTTACACCACTCACAGGGAACCAAGATCATCAACATCCTGGGCCGAGCGGTAAACGTCGCAGCTGACGACATCAACATCCAGAACCAGACAGTCAACTTCTAAAGAGGATACAACCGAGGGAGATCTCATGCAGGCTACCGATCCAATACCAGTGGCAATTTTCAAAAGGCGTGGCTTAGCCGAGGGGGGGAGGGAAAGGAAGGACAAGGACAAGTTATGTTATGTACCTAACCTAGTAAATAGCGCATCTTGTATCGACCTACTAATTCCACCGTGCCGGGCACGTTGTTGCAGAGCTATGTATATACACGTGTGGCTCGCCGTATGTATATTACCATTCAGCCCCCAAATCTGCACCGGAATCCCTGGCCTATCACATCCATCTCCCTATGCTATTCGCCAGAGGCGCAATCCCAGGCTCTGGTACCGATGTTCAGCTGAAACACCATTACAAGCTATCAGCTGTCCATTTTTTCCTATTTATTCACGATTCGGGAATAGTGTTTCTGCGGAGAAAATCCCATCTTGGGAATTAGTACTGGGGGTAAGTACCTATAAGTAAGACATCTTTGCGTAGAAGGTTAGCATGGATATGTAAAAGTAGCATTCTAGACCCCTAGTTGTTTGATTTCAAATTACCTAGCTTCATGTCGCCCCTCTGTAGAGGAGGTGTCAGTACGTGTATTCGATTAAGAAAACTATCTATGAAATCCTACGTATTTCCAAAGGAGTGGAATCACCACATCACCATATCATAATCTTACATCAGAAGTACCTCAACGTCCGGTGATGTAAGTTCACCTCACCTCTTCCTCTTCTTCGACTTTTTCTTCTGCTTAGATTTCAGAACCTCGTCGCTTGAATCATCTACATCGGACGTCCTCTTTTTCCTCTTCGACTTATTTTTAGGTTTTCTCACCTCATCGCTATCGTCATCCCCAGAGTCGTCGTCACTGTCATTTTCATTGTCGTCGTCACCATCGTCGTCGTCGTCGTCATCGCTGGAATTCTCATAGGGGAAGTCCTCCGAACTACCTTCCTCGGACTCCAGCCTTTTGCCCGTCTTTTTCCTCTTGTTGCTGTTGCTTTTCTCGTACGCGTAGATCGGGTCCGCGCGACGCGTTACTACCGGGTAGCCTGGCCAATTGTCCAGTCTGAGGATTCCGTCCCGGGCTAGTTGGGAGTCGTCTTTTCCAAGGCTAAGCTCTTTGAGGTAACTGTCGAATTCGATAGCTCTCTCTGCGACCTTAGCAAAGTGTTCTTTTCTAATTTCAAGAGGCTTCCCCTGACTCCTAGCTTCGTAGTTGGCAATGGCGATCGCGGTCTGGAAAGCATTTCGGATTTGCCTATGGTGAAATACATGTTAGATGATGTTATAGTACTATTATAGCTTGACTCACCGTCCATTCCAAGGACGCAGCTGCAATTTTTTCAATCTGTTGAATTGCTTCTCTGCGTATTTAAGTATCTCCTTTTTCGGAAATTTAAAGTCTCTCTCTTCGCTGTCAAACTCGTCTTTTAGCCTGTCTAGGTTGTTCTCCCAGATTTGCAAAGTTCTTGCTCGGTTTAGTTTAGGATAATAAAGAGAGAGATGAATACGAGATTTGAATGCTCTGTCGATAGTCCCGACTCTGTTAGTAGTAAGGAAGAGAATACCCTATCGCTTACATGTTAGCGTTTCTTTACTAATGGTCACTACACAATATGTTACTGACGCTATAGTACTCCAATGTCCGTAAGAAGACTGTTTTATCATTCTGTCGTTAGTACATGGCATGTACAATAAACATTGGAAGGCAAATACTCACCTGACACGATAGCGTTGCGTGTAATATCGTGGTTTGTGCGTCTACTCAGAAATATACTATATCTCACTTAGTAAAGCCCTCTCTAAGTCACTTGGGATACGCCATCTTACTCAGCTTCGTCGAGGAGAAGTACGCAACCCCATTTATGGGCTAGCTGAAAGTTCCTCTCGAGATTCGTCTCCACAAGCTGCGCATTGTCCCCTATATCGCCACATGTGACTGGGAATAGCGGTCGCTTGGTATGATCAGCCACGCACTCGGCAGTGCTTGTCTTTCCAACGCCGGGCTCGCCGTGGAGGAGGATGGTAAGGCCCTTGCCTTTTCCTTGAACTAGGTCTATTGGTGATAGCATACCCTCGCCCTGGGGTCCTTGATTGTGGGGCTTTTGGTGATACTCGACCAATGCGAGAATAGTGTCTTTGATAGGGTCATCAATAACGAGGTTTTTCCAGCCGTTCTTGTATTCGACTTCGCGGAGAAGATCGATATCGAATGTTGCCCATCTTCTGGTATGGAGAACGAAGCCAAAGACCTTGGGAGGTAGTAATACCAGTTGGTCGTCCGTTAGTTGGTCCACAAGCCACGTCGAATTAAGAATAGATCGTTTTTGGTTCCTAAACTCGTTGCGATCCTTTTCGTCAACTTCAAAATCGTCGTAAACTACATCGTTTCCACAGCACCCTACTGCATCACATATCGAACAATAGGGATAAATATCTTTTAGCTCTCGCGGGTCATCATCCGCAAGGTTCTCGACCCCGATCTCTGGCTTGTTCTCTGGCTGTTCAACAAACGAGAGCTGAAAGTCAATAATGACCTCGGACTCAACCTAGATACTGCTGTTAGAAGTGCACTGTGATGCATGGCGCCATAGTATCACCATACCTGCTCTGGGCGTTTATCGAGGGTTAGTCCCTTGTATAGTTTGTGCGCCGTCTTAGCCGGATTCGATAGTTCTGCAAATTTCTTCCCCCTTTCCAGTAGTTCGTTTCGGAGGTTTTTACTATCAGCTTCAATTTCGAGAGGGATGACTGGGAGCGATGTAATCTCTCTTGCGCCATCAAACTTTGGCATCTGAAATGTTTGGTTGACAGGTCCATATTGCTTGCCATCAAAGTGCATATAGAAGCACTCAATAATGAGTGATCCGGTGGAATATCCCGCTTCTTTCAGCTTGATCGACGCATGGTTGGTAGGAGGCTCTTTCCACGGGTTTAAAATATCTCGACCACCTGTTACTTTGAGTATACGATATCTATTCCGACGTCAGTATATCATTTGATGTACTAAGTAAGAATATCTGAAATCTCTTACAGCTGAACTTGGTTCTTGCCCGTCGTTCGTACTTCATCTCCAGTTTTAAATATGTACCAAAGATCCTCGAAAAAGACCATCTGTCCGATAGGACTTAATCGATGTCGTAGGTTAACTTTAGGCTGTAGATATTTACGTATCATGTCGCACAAGAGGTTAAGATGGACTTGTGCCTCTTCCGTCTCTGTCTCGTTCGGAACACCATGGTATCCGCCAGACGCTGCTTCTTATGTCAATCTACAACATCATTGAAATTTAGAGAAGGCTACATACGGGGAGTTTTATTAGTGATCTTTTGAAGGTGGTCCTGTAACTTATCGGTATATTCAACTAGAAGTTTGAATGGTTTGAAGAATACAAGCTTGTGCCGGTGCTGACCAACAACTGTCTCAAGCCCAGTCACTTCTTTAAGTACCCTTAACAGGATTGGTGATCTAATTCGGATACGATAAGGTGTCCCCGGCTTTTCCCTACTTGCTGCACTTGGTATAAAGTCATGTTGACTCGGCATTTCAAGGCCCGATAATTTGCCTTGAGGATTTTGTTGGCCTGGAAGTTGAATCTTCTCGGTTTTGCGGATTATATCATATCTCGGCTCTTCTATCAGTACTTCAATTACTGGCTTCGGTGTCGGATCAAGCTCTGCTACGTGCTGCCAAGTATTCGTGCTAGCTTTCGGATCAAGGTCGACTCTCACGCCATACTCTGACCAGGTAAGCTCGTTAATCACGCCAGTACTTGGTGGAATAGACACTGGTGCTTGCTCATCCAGTTGTGGTTCGGGCTCCTTAAGGATCTTTCGAAGTGACTTTTCGAGGTGTAGTATACGATCTTCCACTAAGTTAAGATATGATTGAGATTGTGCTAGCCTTCGATTGGCTTTTTTACGTCTCTCTGGAAGTCCCTCGGGATCATCATGATAGGATTCGTTATATAGGAGCATTCTCCATTTCCTATCAGTTATTTTATCATCCTCGGCTAGTTCGGCGGCGAGATCAGATTTTTTCTTTACGTTCTCTTCTTGCTGTCCATCATTCTCGGTCGTGCCCTGATCTACATCTTTTCCGTTCACTTCCTCTGCTCCAGCGTCGTTGGATAACCCTTCATTATCATCATGACTATCATCTGTTGCCATGGTGGAATTGTATGATGAGATGGTGTCGGCGTTTGTGAGAAGGGATGAGGTATTAGACGATGAATCATCTATAGTCGCCGCCATTCAAATCATTCAAGTTGTAAATGATAGTGCAGATGAATTCATATGAGGCTCTGAGCAAATCTTTGTAGAATTAAACCAAAAGAACTTTCTAAGCTGCCCTGCGCCTCAAAGTATAAGTTTAGGGTAACTATGATTATAATTCTGTAAGGATAAGGCTACGAGTTCTCATGACAACTCCTTTCCTTCCTTTCTAGTCGGTCCGAAGTATTAATAGGTATGGATGTTGGGTAATAATCTACATGTACATATAGTTATCAAGGCTGTAGGAAACTGAGAACCCCCACCTCCCTTTAATAGACTAGAGTTTCTGAGCTGAGAGAGCCGCATTAGTGGCACGACATTTATTGCTGCTTACATCAAGTCTACCAATTATATTTTCGCCCAAGTTGACAAGGATTCCAAATATACATATGTACAGGACAATCCACCACCAAAGGAGTCGCACTGTATACGAGACCATACTATAGCTTTACGTATGTACCTAATATACCTTGCAAGCCACAGGGTTCGACATTAGGTATCACCAGCCGTATGTATCACTATCCTCTTGCTTTATGGAACAAGATTTATTTTTTATGAAACAAAAGGTTAAACTAAAATGATAAGTAGACGTCGCGATGGAAGTTGAAGGCCGAAATCTGCAAATAGACGGAAAAGCAGTCAATGCGGCCCAAGGCGACGTTTCCGTTGAAAATCAACATATTGATCAGAGAAAGGACCATGAAATTAACCAGAATCACCAAACTAGTGTGGTTATTAACAATCAATATGACAAGGGCATCTATGAACGTCGCATGGTACCAGCAGACCCTGCTGCCTCATTTATTGATCAATTATTATTGAGGGCTATTATCCTCGCTCAAAGCGATGACATTGAATATGACGATCGTGTCAGAAGCCACGTCCATGCTGAACAAGCCAATCGCTTGACTGAGCATATGTACGTCGCTCTATTGCCTATATTATACGAGAGCTAATCACCTATCCAAATTCAGTGCCTCACTATGGGATAATACATCACCAGCAGTTAATAATCTCAATAAGTCCATTCGAAAGTTTCGGACGCAAGTATTAGAGCCAGAGATAGGCAAGGACAATACGCCGACTATCCCACATAAGTCATTAGAGGATTCGGTAACTTGGGTCCGGGCAAGTTTAGCTTGTGCAATTTCTCAATCGAGAGACGTTTACACGACCCGAAGGAGCACCTCACTTCTTCTTCTTGATCTTAAGAAGCATATCTATCCTTATTGCTATTGGGTTAGCTTGCTTAGGAATCAACATAAAACATGTTGCTTGAGCGGTAAGCTTCGATATAATGGGATCTAAGATTGTCTTCTAATATTAATATTATCAGATGCATTCGGCTGTTTGATATCGGTAAGTCTTAAGTCTTAAAGTATTATCTTTGAGTCTTTAAGTGCACTTCACTTACATAGTTATAGGCTACTATAGGAGGTGTTAAAATTGACTCTGCTATTCTCAGATGTCTAGACGAACTCGCACAGATGTTTTATCACGCCGAAGATTACCTTGCTCTTTGCGCATCTCGCACTCTTGACAAGTCTCTTCATGAGGAGACCGTTCAAGCGTTTGAAACATTAGCAACACTACTTCAACAATTACTCGAATATGCCTGGCGAGGCAATAAATTAACCAGTATGTATGTACACCCGATTAGCGTTATATGGACAACTGACTATTAAAAAAAGAAAGTCAAAAGCAAGATATAACACGCCAAACGGACGACCTTAAGAAAAGTCTATTTGAGATGAATATAAAGTCTAAGACATTGAAGAATCCAATCAGAGCAAATGATCTCAATACATACCACAGCGGAGACCTTGGTTTATACGTCCTTCGGACTTTCAAGACGTTTCTCAACTCAGCTGCTTCACAGAGCTCGGCGGATAGCATACCATACCGCAGGAAGGAAACTTTAAAAGAAAATGTTCCATGTAAGGTAAATGATGGTATGTGGTAAAATTGCACACCTAAACTATAACGCTGCATAGGTACTGATAAGATTTTACCAGGACCCTCACCCGCTACAGTAGCAACACAGTACCTACTTCATGATCAAAGCCGAGTAATCCAAGACTTTGAGGATGCCGCATCGCCGAGCAACATCGACAACGAGGAGATGCGCCAACTATCCGCCTTGACTAAACAAGAAGAATTCAAAGCCTGGCTACAAGAAGACAGCAAAGCTACAAAGCTCCTCATACACGGCGGCCTCGACGACAGCAGTACCATCTCCGCGCTCACCTACCTCTGCGCACGTATCCCCATGGAATACCTCCGGAAAACTCGCTCTGGATTCATATGCCTCCACTACTTCTGCAGCCTGCAAAGGGCGCGTCGTGAAGGCTGCGCCGACGCATTCGACATCGTGCGCAGTCTCTGCGGTCAGCTTCTTACGCACGCCGAGTTAGCATCTGACTTCGACCTAAGCTTCCTCGACAAAAAATGGCTGCAGGGGATCCGCGAACAGAACTTCGTCAAAACGTGCCAGTTATTCCTGCGTCTCTTAAAGCAGCTTGACAGGAAGAAAGTGATGGTATTCTGCTTTATAGATTCTATCTCGCTCTACGAGACAGGCAACCTGCGGCACAATACCGAGAGGCTCTTTTCCTCGCTTGAGGAGTATTCCAAGTCCCAAAGACGCCGGCAAAGGGGTAAGCGGCCGAATCTTATATTCAAGCTGCTTGTGACGGATGCTATGGCGACTGGTTATGTGCGCAAGTATTTTAGGAGAAAAGGGGAGATGATAGATATGGATGAAGGCGAGGAGCGTGGAGATAATGATGATGTAGATTTAGATGTCCTTTACGGTTAATTTTTAACCTACTTAGATGTTTCTATCTGGGTGTATACAAAGGTGGTATAATCTGGCCTCCTTTTCAGGCCCACTAAACTCACCCCTTTTTCTATACCGGGGAAGATGTACCTAGGCAATCAGACGGTAGCAAGCTTCATTGGCTTAAATTCGCTTAAACTCTACTTATTCCTGGCTGGAACCAATCAATATCCATATGAAACGCACTACCGAATTCAATGTTGCGCTATCTGGTTATTAAACGGCATATGCGGCTACTGCAACTCTCTGTGGGAAGGTGCAAGAGAAAAGTGAATATTCAAGATTTTGGAGGGAAAAGTGGATTCATTAGAATCTTTACCAATAACTACAACATTCTTTACAACATCCTTCTAACATATCATTTCGCACCCCCAATGACGCTAAGGTAATCAATCTATCCACGTCGATACACATTCCTAAGGCCTCAAGTGAGTAGATCATCGAGTTTAATTGTACGGCAACCGGTCGCCTAAGAGAACAAATTGTTCGCCTCGTCAACAGCCTTGGCGTGGGCCTCTGCAGACATCTCCCTTAAAACTTCGTCGCGAGGCTTAAACTTGCGGAGGATGAGCTCTGGTAGACCTTTCTGTTAGAACTATCGTGTCCTTCGACAGCTGTGCTGGGGAGCAGACACCATAACTTACCGCCTGTGATTCCGTTCTGGTCTTCCTGTACCATCAGAACGCGGTCCGATTGGGACCAAGCCATGAGCTGGATACGATAGACCTAATAAAGTAAGTCGAAAGACCATTGACAGGGGGCACTGATTGCTAGACCTTGAAATAGGGATTCTTCGTGTCGGGAAAGCGGAGAACGCCAATGTCGACGAGAGTCTTTTCGTGGTTTTCCTTTTTGTAGATGAGTGCCTCGAGAGAGTTAATGGTTGCTCCCGTCTGGGCAACGATATTGGCGAGGATAGTGATGTTAATCTGGGTCGACTCGCGAATATCCGCGTCGTTTATGAGGTTTACGAACCATGATTCAACCTGGCCGACAAGGCAACTCGTAAGTACTATGATCGTTAAGACTTGACAAAGGGAAGAGAAGCAGGAGTTAGCAAATGGTAGTTGGGGAACTAGAGACCTCTTTGACGATGGCAATGTCGGGAGATCCGTCGAATTTGAACACGTTGATCCCAGACTTAATAAGCTTGTCCGTTCGCTTGATGGCTTCTCCGTCGGGCTCCATGAGAGGGCACTGCATCATGGCACCGACGACCCGGTCCCAAGTGCGCTCGGTTGGTGCGATTTTGTCGATCGTCTTGACTGCGCCGGCAATCATGACCTTGAGGCGCTCGTCAATCGTCTTGATCGACTCATTGTTAAGGTCACCATATGCCGGCGCCAGCTTGACAGTCAGATAGTCCAGTCGGGAGCTGTCCTTAACATCGATCTAACCGGAAGAGATTCGATGTCAGTTCAACATATTATAGAGGTAGGCGATGAGAGTATCCCCTCGGAGACGATTAGATACCTTGGTGAAGTCGAAGTCCTGGATCAGTCTTTCAATCGATGGGACATGGCCAAAGACGTTCGTGAAGGCTAGCGCTGCGGTGGCAGGCTTGTTGGCAGACATGTTGGCAGTTGATGAGCGAGGTGATTGTCGAAGGAAGTGGTTTTTAGGTATGATAGCACAAGGGTAACAGATACAGTGCGATATCTTGGAGGGCGCGAATGCTGGGATATTGAAACCTCTCTCTAACCTTATATATTCACAGGATGCCAATGGCTTCGGTTCTTAGATACCATAAGCTACATATTCAGCTAATCTGAAATTGCAACACACTACTGCAGGCTCTGCCTTCCTGCTTCCGGTTATATGCTCGGTATATCATGTCTATAGTGTATTGGTCGTGGCGTGCCAGCGCTGCAGTTATGTAACTCTCCCCTCTATCATCTAGGACGATTTATACCCAATTGTCTAAAGCAAGGTTGTAGTGAATGGTTGCCCCTGATATTACACACCCCTTATACAACCTATCAGGTGCGAGAGGTCCTTCTGCCTGCGTGCCCGAGTTTATGAGTACGAGGAATATGCCCAATTTTATGAGGCTTATTGTCTCAGGCTATGTTTGTCAAAATAGAAGGTTCTATACGCAGCTTTTTCAAGTTTTTTGCTATATTTCTATAATTTATCATTATTATTGTTATATTTTTAATTATCATGCTAAGTCATATATTCTTGGATCTGATCTTTGATAAATATTAACATAGGTGTATTAAACCATAAACTACTAGATCTACTCCTTATATGCCTAAAAAAGATTCTAGTTCTTTTGCCATTTCTTTCATTTATCTCTTACTGGTTCATGTAAAGTAGGAAAAATTTGCATCAAGTGGGCAAGACACATATCTCAAATAGGAGACTTTTCCTACAACATATTCTACCAAAGGTATAAGGTAAAATAAACCTTGGGCATAGACGCATCCTATGTTTTCCGAAATTCCTACTTCCATCTTTTTATCGAAATACGTATCATGTTTGCCAGACATTTATAAATTCGGGCTATTGTGGCAGCCGGAAAGGGTGGTCTCCTTTTTTGTCTTGCCTACTTAACCTCGATTTTTAGAGCAAGAAGTTCGCCCGTATATTAGGTAGTTTAAAGCACTACTTGACAGATCGATACCCAGGTAATCTAGAATATAATACAATATAATTAATCAACTTCCGTTTTCCCCATCTCCTATTTACTAAATCCATTACTTGTTTTGTGAATAGGTTGAGGTGGGCGAGTTTATAAGATGAGGCCCGATCTACTCTTAACTACGTGAGGAATCTAAATCTAATTGTCTTATGAAGTATATGTAGTAATAATCTTTGATGTAGATGTACGACTAAATTAATTATAAACGGGAAATGCTATCACCAATATTAAATCTACTTCTCTTTAACTAACGGAACTTACTATATCCTCTTACCAACTAAACAAGTAGATTGGGATCTACGTCTTTTTTCATCAAGGTAATAGCATTCTCTAGTCAAATTAGATATGCTAACTTCAACACATCGGCAGATCACCGTCACCTCAATCACGGGAATTAAAAGTCATCGCATAAAATCACAAAGCGCTAAGCAAAAGATACTAGCTAAGGGGCGAGCTCGCCAACTAAACGCAAGGCGGTCGTCCCTCCGCCACTGATGCTGCCGGAAAACCTGAACGCCGTTCGCTCGGCTAGTCTACAATGATCTGAAGAGGAACCCGATGAACACCATCCCCTATTCCGTCCCGTCCATCTCCTATACACTGGTTGCTTTAAAGACTTGGAAGGGCGAGAAGATTTAAAACGTGGGTATCAAAATTAGTGTTTGGATCTTCTTAAGAGCTCGCATCATCCTTTTCCTTGTCTTTATCCTTGTCTTTACTAGCGGGCTCCGCGGAACTAGGCGACGCAGCATCAGCCTTCTCTGCGGGTTGGTCCTTGGCGTCTGTTCCAATCTCTTGCTTTAGCTCAGGGGCGGCGGCAACGGGGGCGTCCATGTCGATGTCACCATCTTGATCAACTTTTTCAGCTTCCGGAGTGCTCTTAGCCTCTGGCGCTGCGCTGGGCGCTTTTTCAGCCTCTTCGGTTGGTGCTTTGCTTTCACCAACATCCCGCATTGTCTCGTCAGCCTCCTTGGATGTCTCAGCCTTTTCGCTCCCAGACTCATTTTCAGCGGCAGCTGTCTTTTCGCTTTCACTACCATCTTTATCGGACTTGGCGACTCCCTGGGATTCCTTCGATGCTCCTTCCTGATCAGCAATACTAGCAGCCTTGCTTTCGTGTTCAGTATCCTTCTCCTCTGGCTGGGAGTTATCGCGAGTGTTTGCTTCGACTTCGGGTTCCTTCTCTGCTACATCCTCCATAATGATATCATCTGTTTCTTTAGATTTGATGACATGTTCAACAGAGCCGTTGGCAGGCGTCGCGGCGCCGCTATCAGCTTCAACATCTGAATTGCGATAGTCGATTAATGGCCGCCGCGTGTTGCCGTTTCGATGAACTCCATTCGCTTTATCTAGGTCCTCATTATCGCTTTCCTCGTATTCGTTGTCCCGCTCTATGTGCTGTTCCCACTGGCGCTGACTCATGCGAACATCTTTATTTTCGTCCTCATCGAGGTCATCAAGCTCAGCTTCTTCCTCATCAGACATTGCTCCCAGAGAATGACGGGGGACATCTTGCATCTGGACGGATGGGGCATGAGCGGTACGGCGAAGATTTTCGATGAGCTGATTTTTTATCTTCTCTAGATACTCGGGGCTATTGGCGTTCTCCATGTTGGAAGCACGCACGTCAAGCGAGTAGTCAGGCCCATAATACTATTTTCAAGGTTAGTGCTCGAAGTAGTAGTAGGAAGGACGTAATCTTACATCATAATATTCATTAAATGGTAGGGTTCGATCCATCTGAGCATCAACAAGCAAACCAGTCTCAAAAGCCCAGGTACGGGCAACATTACGCATTGTATAACCACCACCACCGAGTACCAGAGTTGGTCGGTTGAAACTCTTAACGAACTTTACGCAGTTGGCATGTCCATCCATACTCAGGTTAAAACAACCGAGGCGGTCACCGGACAAACTGTCTCCGCCACATTGAAGAACAACCGCGTCCGGATTATAATATTCCATAACGGCTGATATGACGGGTTCGAAGATTGATTTGTATGAGGAATCATCTATGCCGTCGCGAAGGGGGAAATTAGTGGCGTAGTAACGGCCCTGGCCGATGCCAATATCTCTAAGCTCGCCCGTTCCAGGGAAGTATTCGCCGTACTTGTGAAAAGACACTGTCATGACTCTGTCTGTGGTATAAAATGCTTCCTCAACACCATCGCCATGGTGTACATCGATATCGATATATAGGACGCGCTTATTAAATCGTAAGAGTTCGAGAATTCCGAGAACGATATCTACTCGGTAACTATATTAGCATAACTGAAGGGAGAGGGATATTAAAGTGAGCAAGTCAGATAAGATAATTCGTACCGTTAACATAGCAGAAGCCACTAGCCTCAGACTTCTTTGCGTGATGGAGGCCACCCGCCCAGTTGACTGCGATATCGCACTTTTGACGGTTGAGCCGGGCAGCACCCTCCATACTGCCACCAGCACTTATGCCACAGAATTCAAATAGTCCGTCAAATACTGGACAATCATCTCCGACATTGTATTTGCCTTGCTCCCGCTGGAAATTATCCATATTCTCGGGGGTGACTCGCTGTAAGAAATCTATGTACTCGTCCGTATGGAATTGGGTCATCTCGAGTCGCGTTGCAGGTTTCGCACGCTTTGGGATGTCAGTTATCTTTCTAGTTAAAGTGACAGGTGCTATGATTACTCACGTAAATCTCCATCTTCTTATACACACCGTAATTCATAATCAAGCTGTGCGCCAACCGGATGCGATGTGGTTTCATTGGATGGCCTGACACATAGGCAAAGTTTCCGATGTCAGAATCGTAGAAATAAGCGACCTTCTTGGGAGAAGGAGCTCCCAAGGCGATGCCATTACCGTTCCAAATGTCAACGGGGGCTGCGTGCGCCATTGTTAATCGTGGGTTAACCAAGAGAGAATAAGAAAGAATAGGTTAAGATGGGAAAATGTTAATGGCGGGCGAAAGATCTCGAGAAACGCACCTATCATGCCGAATACATGTAGCTATCGATAAGGTTGGTGCATCGCGCCGTGCACCTACTAACCCGAAATGTACCTAGGTACCTACCTAGTGTACAAATTCATAGAGCCAATGACGAGGTAAATTTGAAGCTTTGACCAGCTTAAACCATATTTACTCCTTCCAATACCTAGGTACCTACCTCATAGAACGTTCAATTCCAAAAATTTACATTTACTAATATATGAATTTCTGTATGCAATTATTTACCTATCTTTTATGCTCTATTTGCTAGGAATCGTGAGTCGTGACATACCTAGGTAATTTGTCTCATTACAGTATGGTAAAAGGGGACTTACTGCAAAGAATAAATTGGTGAATTATAATTGGTCAGCCCGCCTCAGACTAATGACAAAATAGGCATAGCGTGCTCCCTGGTGTCGGAATTCACTGTTTCTAGTATGACGTATTCATGCTTTACCCTCATATCTGTATTAGCCATTATCACCAGAGAATAGACTCTTAGTTATAGAAAACGATTGATTTCACAGCTTTTTCCAGCTTGTATAAGCAACTACCAATACTGTATAAAGTACACATATCAAAAAATTAACCAATGATAGAACATTAACACACAGAAAAGACCCATTCGGCACGAGGTGTGTTAGTAGTGTGAAAGATATTTACATTAACTAGTCAAAGGATACTCATTTTGAAAACATAAGTCATGTTTAAAGGAGCGATGGTAATATATCATTACCTAACTTAGACAATATTCACCCAGGCCACTATAATACTTCCACAAAGTTGCAAGGATATATACCAGTGGCTCCAGACAACTCAATAAGTTTATTATCATACGATGGCCACACGAGAAGTTTCGAAGAATGTTCTCGGGTGTAAGCTAATATATACGTAATTTCGGTACGTCTGTAGAATATAAATTATTATGAGGTGTTGCAAGAAGCAAGGAAACAAGTTCGGTGTTGAGCGAGGAACTCTAAGCTAGCTACCGGGAGTCTACAGTTATACGTACCGAAAGTATCCTTTGTTCTAATGTCTCATCTGGAAACTCGACATACACTTCCTGGTGGGATCCAGAAGCATCTATAGACCTATGAGATTTTATAAAATATTATGCTTGTTAAAAGTCCCTCTTGTAAGACCTCTGTGTTAAACCACGACATAACTACGGTAAAAAGGTAAATAGGATATTTCCGTCTGATTACATCAGCCATATAAACCACATTTATTTATATTGAGACTTTGCAATAGAAATGGTGAATTGCAAGAACAGTGATAGACTCATTTCCTAAATTAATAGAATAATATCAACTACCTAAGCCTAGGCAACGATCAACGTACCATATAAGCTTAAATATGGTAAGCTCATATTCACGGCATTATCCGTGGTAAATCAGTCTTAAATCCAGAGTTAAGTTAATATATTAATCTGAGACTCTGAGTCATAATATTAGACTGCATATGTAGGTATGTATGGTTAAGAGTCATACTACCTTCAAAGAAACAGCCGCATTGCCAGCTGTTACCTTGTACGCATATCTATTACGCATGCAAATAGTCAATTGATAATACAAGCGCTTATCGAAAGAAAGCCCGAGTTATTTGTAAGCTAGCGCCCCGTTACTAGCTTGCGGCCAATATATTCACCAAGATCTAGGCATCAGGTAGGAGGCGTCATTTCTGATCCCCAACAGAATGTTAGTATATATGTAGTAACGGCAATAATCCGGGTTATGACGGGATTGGGTACGCATATTGAATAAATAGCATTTCCGGGGAGTTGATGGTGAGGTTAAGGAGGGCTGATGATCAAATAACATGTAAGTGGCATGTAAAATGGAATCTCTAATACTTAATTAGTATAGTCGGATGAAACATTATAGAGTAGCAAATGCGGGGCTCATGCATTGGCCGGCCGCCGGCGAGTTCATGCATGGATCGGGGATTTTTAGACCGGAGACTTTTAATGTTTTGTCATCTCATTAGAGTCGAGCATAAAGATAATGGACTTTCCAACCTAAACTTCTGCTTCTCTATTCCAATCATTGTATCTAGTGAGGATTCGTCATTAGTCTTTGAAACACTTACTGTTACCAACCAGATATCTTTATTATTATACCTTTGCAATGGCCAATAAAGAAATTGTGTTCTTTGACTTACCGTCCAAGCCGCCAAACAAGACGTGGTCGTATAACCCATGGAAAAGTAAGTGCCATCATATGTTTAGAGATGGGATATAATATCTGAAAATTGGACACAGCTCGGTTCGTCTTGAACTACAAGAACCTCCCCTACAAGACAGAATGGGTAAGCTCTACCAGAATGTGAAGATACTTGTACGAAATTAACACCATTCATAGGTTGAATACCCAGACATCAAGGGAAAATTCCAAGACCAGTGAGTCTGCCTAAAGCATAATATTCCTGCCCTCAATCCGGATATTTCATCTGGTTTTGGGACGAGCCCATCAAAAAAGCGATGTCCGAATTTTGATGAGCCACTGCCACTGCCTTTTAAAATTAGGCGAGGGACGGCGGCCACTTGACAGGGTATCAACTTGAATTTGCTGACAGTTACCTCGTAGCCTCCCGAAGGCGGATATCTACACCATCCCGACGATCATCTTGCCCGACGGGACTTGGGTAACTGATTCCTTCACAATCGCCGACGTGCTCGAGAAGAAGTACCCGGAGCCTAGCCTCCATCTGGACTCCCCTTATCTGCAAAAAGTGAAGGATATCCTTGTAGATGTCTTAACTGCCACTAGGGGCGTCTACGTCCCGGGTGTTTTTAACGGGATCTTGAACGATGGTAGCAAGGAGTACTTCCGCCGAACTCGTGAAGTGATGTTTGGCGCGACCTTGGAGGAGGTAGCTGAGAAGCAAGGCGGCGAAGTAGCATGGAAAGGTGCACAGCCTGCTCTGGAGAAAGCTACCGCCCTGCTGAAAGAGAATGGCGACGGCCCTTTCTTCGAGGGGAAGACTGTGGGATTCGCTGACTTCGCGTGGGCATCGTTCCTCCTTTTCGCTCAAAGGATCGGCGATGACGTCTATCAAGAGGCGCTGAAGCATACTGGAGACGCAACAGTACACGAGAAGCTGCTAGAGGCCGTGAAGCCTTGGAATGAAAGAGTCGACCACTAGTCGCGCCGAAACTCCTCGAGGAGCCATGTATGGAGATATTAAGTCAATTAGTATATCAATATAGTGCAATATGCTAAGTTCTAGCTTGATATATGACTGAGACCCATGATAGAAAGTGACTGGGGAAACTTCAAGATTAAAAGGATGCGTAGATTTTAAGCCCAGCACTACTAATTGCTGCACATGCCTATATGCGTATTTCTAGTTGAACTACATATTGAAATCTGTGGTGTAGTTAATTTTAAGCTGATGATATCCAATTTGATTACGCGTTTGCAGTTTGTCATATTGTAAGTCAGCCAGTGTAATGTGTAATGTGTAAATGGCAAGAGACGCACGAGCCACATTGAAAAGTACAAGGATCATCATGATAATCCACAAACACCACGTGACACGCCTTCCTTTTACGGAAATCGCTTCCCGAACTTTGTGGGTCCCTAGGGTTTTTTTCCTCCAAGCCGCACATTTCCAGGTTTGCAGTAGTAAACTTACCAACGAGAAATTTGGAGCTGTTGACCTTTTTTTCCCCCGTGACAACGACCACCAACTTCGACCACCGTCAACACCACACCCCGACCGTAAAGAACCTCCGAATAAATCAGTCGCAATGGCCAAGCTCTCGTAAGTTTATCTCATTCGAACCCGAATTCCTCGATTTGTAGCGGAAATGTTGGTGGGGTAAAATGGGAAGAGGAATTGAAGATTTGGTGGGGGGAAATGCGAAGAGCAAGACGAATTTGGGAGAAATAATTTGCATGAAAGAGGAAGAGATTGAAGAATTTGTGTTGGCGAAAATTCGGATTATAAGACATCAACGGAACTAGATCTCGAAGTGCAAGCTCAGATGTAGTTGGATTGTCGTGGAATAAGCTACAGAGGCGACGATGGGATGCTTTATTCGACAACGAAGCTCTGAAGCAAAAATGCTAACCATATGCTTCATAGACGTGGTGCCCCCGGTGGCAAGCTAAAGATGACCCTCGGTCTGCCTGTGTAAGTGCAGGAACTCTGTCCCTCTCCCGCGAACCCAATTCGAGAGACTAACACGCGAAACAGTGGTGCTATCATGAACTGCGCCGACAACTCCGGCGCCCGAAACCTGTACATCATCTCCGTCAAGGGTATCGGTGCCCGTCTTAACCGACTGCCCGCCGGTGGTGTTGGTGACATGGTCATGGCCACCGTCAAGAAGGGAAAGCCCGAGCTCCGAAAGAAGGTCCACCCCGCCGTCATCGTCCGACAGTCCAAGCCCTGGAAGCGAACCGATGGTGTTTTCCTGTACTTCGAGGACAACGCTGGTGTCGTAAGTTTAACCTTCTATATGTACCAAATATGCAGCAACCAAATCTGTGCTAGAATTCTACATGATTGAGCATGGATGAATGGGAGACTGCGTATTTGTTCACATGTCATGCAGAGCACACAGCTAACATGTTATCTCCTAGATCGTCAACCCCAAGGGTGAGATGAAGGGCTCTGCCATCACTGGTCCCGTCGGAAAGGAGGCCGCCGAATTATGGCCTGTAAGTCTCATTACCACATGGCCCCCAACCCTACAATTTCTAACCTATCTACCCAGCGTATTGCCAGCAACTCCGGCGTAGTGATGTAAAAGTCGAGCATTTCGTTTCAGGCGGAGCATTGGGTGAGAGGAGGAGGATGATTCATACTACCTAGCCTACCTACCTTATTGATTGACGATACTTCATCACGATTGATTGATTGATATTGGAAGAAGAAAGACACTAACCACGGCCGGCCGCTCTCACGACTGCTGGTGAGAGGATTTGAGATGGAGGCCTATGTCGCGTGTCGGGTGGTAGGACTGGTCACTTTGCATTTCGGCTTCGGGGCGTAAAGGAGACATACCAAACCAAAAGAAACTGCATCCTGGACAATTGATAGTTCGGTTCCCCATTCTTGCGTGCCATCGCTGCTCCGTGACTTGTTTCTGATGACTGTAACTGACCATTGTTTCATCTTGACCGACACTACACGCCGTGTGTGATGATGGTAATAATTGGGACCTCTTAGGCTTTCATCCGTATATATTTCTAGATTACAGGATCTACAAGTTAGCGGTACCCTTATTTTTCAACAGAGTATTTACTAAATGAATCTATTCGCCTAACACAGAATTAGAGCATCGGCTTTAAGGAAAGTTTTAAGGTATAAGATGAAAGAGCTAAGGTTATATCTCGCTTAGGTTAGATAAGTAGGTAGTTTTAGGTATGCTGTAGACTAGTTGAGAAGTGAATACCTAGAGTTAAAGTAAATAACTACCTCCTAAGTATAGATAACGTATCCACTACCAGCTTCACCTTTTACACGACATAAACTAATGGCAGTATCACGGCTTCCATTTATGTGAACGTATTCATATCACATATATATGCTACTAACTTCCAAAATTGATGGTAATGGTATCTTTCGTTTCCCCTCCATTTTATGTATAGGCCTCCTTCTATCCTATCCGTTTCTATGCGTACAATGATGCTCGCTCCGTGGGTGGGGTGGACAGGAATTGGTCCAGGTATCAAAACATCCCATCCACCCACCTATGCAAAATAATGACAACGCTTCGCCCTTAGGCCCAAATGCCGTATATACCCAATATGTACAAAGTGTCCTACCCCTATTTTCCGTCCCACAAACCTCCTCGCGTCTCCTGTTTTGGACACCCCCCAGGGATGAGCCCGGGCGAAGGAAGGTTTGGTCCAAGTATCCAAACAGTCCTCCACCCAGGCTGTGATGTGTAGAGAGATGGAAGGCCCTGGGACTGGCGAATATATGACGCCCAGGCTATCCATCCCTCTACCTATCAATGGGCCAACCAGGAGTCGGTTCAAGTATCCGACAGCCTATTAACCCACAGATAGGAGACAAATGAATGGACTTGGAATTGGTCCAATTATCCAACGCCAGTCCATTCATTATCTACACATCACCTTCATGAATGAGTAGAATAGGAGCCGGTCCAAGTATCCGAACTCCTCTCTACATCATTCATGGAAGATGGAACAGACGAACTGGGAGCTGGTCCAAGTATCCAGCATCCCGTTCATCTGTCCATCGTGGGGTTATAATGTGGACAGAGGTGACCCAGGTGAGTTTTGTCTAGGTACACCTCCGTCCCATCCCCAGGGGGTGTCCGAGGGCTGGATGGGCGTGGTCTAATTATCCAACAACCCTCCCCGCCCTCCGTCTGCAGGCGGACGAGTCAGTTGAGATTTCCTGACCCCGTCGCCCTATACTGCGTGGCTGGGAGTTTAGTCCAAGTATCTAAACTTCCCATTACCACTGTAGCGATAAGCTGCTAATAGGACGCAGCGTCGCCGTATAGTACTTTTATAGTACTTTTTTTCACGCGACGAGGCGTCCGAGAGTGTCTAGTATTTGTGTGACCCGAACCTCTTACTTAATGTTGATATGTCAAGACTCGATTATGTCTATCTGATAGTTCTTTTTTTTTTGTTTTTTTGTTTTTTGGGGGGTTTTTTTTTTCAATGAATTCTTCATATTGATTGGAAACGGTGACAAGCGAGAGCAAATGCAGTAGCATCAATGTCTTAGACATGCTTATGCTGCGGAGTCAGGATGAGGCTTGACTGATGTGATAGTGTATCAACTGTAATGGGTGCATAGTGCTAGCTGTAGAAGTAGGCTGCGATTGGAGGTAATGGCTGGAATAGCCCTCTATGTGGCAATGTCGCATACGTTGCTTGACATTTCCCGGGCGCCGTAGTAAATATGATGATAATTACTGCCTCAAGGCAGCGGCTTCGTCATCTTCGTCGCCACCAGGTGTAGATCTGGAGGGGGGAGTTTCTGCATGGTTGAGAGCCGTGGAATTAGCCCCCGCAGGTGGTTTCGCGCTCTGCTTCTTGGCCGCAAGCGTCGCACGGCGCTTGGCTACCGCCGTGTTCATAGAGCCAGATGCCCATCGAGCTATAAAGTTTTAGTATCTCGCATGCTTGAATTATATATGGGATAATGTATGGGGAACTCAAATATACCTTTCATAGAATAGGACATCTTTTCAGACTTAGTCATAGAATTGTAGTCCTTGTTAGGATCTGCACCGATCTCTCCGTCGGGTATGTTAGGCTCAGCAAATCCATTGCTACTATTGTCGCCATTGGAATTCCCGTTGATAGCATTGTTGGTGTGAACTGGTGCTAAGGTCGAAGGGACTAACGGCGGCGTGCTAAGAGCGGACACGGAGGCAGGATGCTTGTTCTTCACCTTGATTTTGATCTTGGTAGGCGGTTTCGATGCAGGAAGAGCCTTCTGTTCTGGTTGCTGCACTGGAGCGGGCTCTGGAGCAGGTGTGAGGTCCTCAACCTTGGTCTGTGTTTTCTTCGGGGCGCGTTTAGCGCGCTTGGGTTTGGGTTCTTCAAGGAAGTCATCATCGTTGATATCATTAGTGAACTTTCTTTGACGTTTCTCGCGGAGCTGGTAGTTACTTGTGGACACTACTGTCTCAGCTGTTGCGGTAGAAGACGCAGTAGGAGGACGAGGCTCCTCGGTCTGATGACTCGTAGAAGTAGCTGCCTTGAAGGATCCGGATGGAATATCGGGTTTTCGGGAGTTTGTTCGACGAGTTAGTTTTGAGGGTGCCAGAGGCTCTGCACCATTGGGCACATCAACTTCTTCCTCCTGTTCCACAACTGCCGCGGCATTTGCAGGGGCCTTGCGTTTACGCTTGCGAGGCTGTTCTTCCTCTACAGCTGCCTCCTCAGCTCCTCTCTTAAGCGAAGGCGCTAAATCGGGTTTGGGTTCCACATTGAGCTGTGGCGTGGGTTCTGCAATAGGCTTGACCTTAGGCTCGGGTTTGGCTTGCGACTTAGACGATGTCTTCGGTTGCGATTTAGGGCGCGAGATGCCAAGAGGCTGGGGTTCAAGATTGTGCTCTTCATGCTCTGGTTCCGGGTCTGGAGTAGGCTGAGCTTCCGGTACCGGGAGTGGGTTTTTGCGAGGTCTGCCGCCTTTTCCTTTCTTCTTAGGCGGCTCCTTCTCAGGCGGCTCGGATGCTACACTTGGTGCGTTGGTATTCTGGACCTGAGCTTGAGGCTGGTTTTGGTTCTGTTGTTGGTCGCCATTCTCTTGTCCCTGTGCGCCACGACGTCCTCGGCGTTGGGTTGGAGCCGGGGTAGAGCCTCTGCTAGCGGCTTCACCTTCGTTGAACCTCTCCGGTGGCTTTCTCGTTCGTTTTCCTTGTAAGATGTTGGGATCTTCAGCTTCGGCTGCCTTGGCGGTCTGTTTAGGCCTTTCGCGAAGACGCCCGTGACGACCTAAGCCAGTTCGTTGCGCAATGGGGTCTTGTCTACCCACTCTATCTGCTCTCGGATCATATTCGAATCCGTAGACGCTAGCCATAAGTCTGTCCTGCTGTCGGGCATAGGCGATTTCTGGTTCTGTCGTGTCCTTGGCTCTAATGCCCTTGACGACAAAATCTTTTTGAATGGGGTTTGCGCTAGGGTCTCTGGCAACAGCGGCTTTAAAGCGACGATTGAAGGCTTCCTCCTCTTTGTGGAAGCGAATTGAATTATCGTAATCATCCGTCAACTTTCGTAGCTCCTTGAACTCATCCTGCCATGCTGCGAGAGCCTTATTCGCAACTTCGACTCTTCGGTAGAGCTCTTTGGGAGATAAAGACTTGATGTCTTTGAATAGGTCGGTGAATTCAGATGCTTTTCTAGGCTGCTTGAACCGGAATTGTTTCATATCTGCTGGCTGTGTACTGGATGGCTCTAATTCCGCAGTGGGCGAATTTGCGGCAGTGTCGGCCGGTGTGTCCCCAGCAACCGCATCTTCTTCAGCAGCGACGACTCCAGGGCTATCTTCGTTAGCTACATCGGGTTCTAGCTCTAGGCCGGCTTTAGGATCCGCCTCAGCCTTGACTGCAGTACTAGGGTTCGCTTCAGCATCTGCGTTCGAGTCGGCTTCGGCATCAACCTCGGGCTCTGCCTCGGCTTCCGGGAGCTCGAGCTCATCATCCCGGTAGTTCGGGTAGTAAACGAAAGAGCCATTGATATATGGAGTGAGATGGTCCAGTAAGTCTGGCTCGGTATGATCGCCGTCAATATCAAGGGCCTCATCATCATCATCATCTGCTTTGTCTTCTTGCTCTCGGGGTTCACCCTCATTTCCGGCCATAGTTTCGGGTTGAGCTTTTTGTAGATTAGGATGGCTCTCACCCGGGGCGGTATATAGTGATAGTTGTGAATGCTGTGAGGGTTCTGAAGGTACTGAAGGTTCTGACGTCTCCGACGGCTTTGATGATTGTGAGGATTCCGAAGAAATAGACATGTCAACAGGAATGTTAAGAATGGGAGCCTTGGTCTCATCATTTGAGGAGCCAGAGCCAGAGCTAGTTCGTCTAAGCATCGACGCATCTGACTCTCCGCTATGGTGTCCACCAACTTCAATAGTGTCTCGTACTTCGGCATCATCCATCTGCTGTTCTGGAACGTAAGTCTGAGGTTCTGCTGTAGACTTTCCAGTGTTACGTTTGCGAGATGATGATGGCTGAGGCTGCTCGGAAGCTCGTCTGGTAGCGCGAGCTTCTGAATCTTCGTTCGTCTCATTCTCATTAGGAGCAAAATCAGTTTTCCGTCTCTTCAACGTGCGGGTAGCGTTGGGCATAGATTTTGAACCGTAGCTCTCAATGTCATCAAGCTGGTCAAATGTATAGTCTACACGAGGACGTTTTCTCAAGGAGCGTCCACCTTTGCTAGCGGGATCTTCTGGCATAGTGCCGGCACTGTCAATGTTGCGAGCGCGAATTCGCTTTTCCCTAGAAGCGGAAGGGCTCGGTGTCTCTGCAGTGAAAGAAAAAGAAGATGTTGCGGATGAAGGTTGTTGTATAGGCTGCTCAGATGAGTTATGAGGTGATGAAGTAATAGGGAAGGTACTTGGAAAAGTAGAACTCTTCCGGCCTCTTCCGCGAGGACCGTTAGAGGGATCCATCGTAAATTCTCTATAGTCGAGAATTGTCGCAGGTTTGTAAGTATGGATGCGTTGTATGTGTAAGTGAAGTACCTAATGTACGTGTATGAATTAAAGGTGAAAGAAGTTTTGGGTCGGAGATTATGTAAGTGGGGAAAGGCTCAGGATGTTGATGGCTGAAGCGCGCCTTCCCAAACCAACGAAAAGAGAAGAGTAAAGAATAAAATAAAATAGCCGACAGGTAGAAATATAATTTCCAATTAGTGCAAATTATATTTCTTCTCAACGCCTAGTTGACAATTGCTCGTTGTTCGTTGTTAGGCGCGGACTGTGGCTAAGGGAAAAATAAGTAGTTGTATGTATGTAGTAAGGAGGCAATGCTTGAAAATTGTATGTAAAAGGCCGGGGTGGACTGAATTACTAGTTGCCGGGGGAAGATGCAAGGACAAGCAGCCCGCCGCCGATAAAACTTGAAATAATCAATAGTCAAGATTGAATGGATTTAATAAAAAAGAAGTTGAATCAAGGCTTTTTAAAAGAGTCACTCGATCGTATTCTGAAAATGATTGTCAGTAAATGTAGTTGGTACGATTGCAGGTGTGCAGTGAGTGTGTGTTGTGTAAGAGAGACGTGGTGAGAAAAAAGGTTGATGAAAGGAGCTGACTTGGTAGGAAAGAACGAACGAATTTGAAGATTGATGGTTAGGTTGGAAATCAATAAACCTTAGGCGGTCAATACGTACCTGACAAAATACGAAGTTACTGCCTATTAAAATCAGAATCACCAACTTTAAAGATCAAGAAGTAAAATAATATCTGAGGGTACTTGATTCGATCTTTCTATCGGGCAGGTGCTCTCGTCTCGCTCTTGCTGCTATGACTGCTGCTGGCAACCGTATTATTAGGTGCACTGCTAATTTCTCGAGGTTCGACCTGTTCAAAGCCACAGATTAAATCCCGATTTGGATTTACTAGCCACAATAATTATCCCACTTGCTGGATTTTACTAAAGTACCTTCCCATTTTTGACCAATAGGATAACACGATTATGCTAGAGTTCCTTTCTTAGATCAGACGCCATTGTAACTTCCCTGTCAAAGCTGCGGGAGATCACGTAATATACATCAATTAAGCACCCAGGTACCAAGATACATATAAGTACCTAACATATGTATATCCAATTATGGTTCGTGCGTTGCTGCCACTGGTCCGCCTACCCCGTTTAGTGACGACAGTTCCTGGATTGGAACTTGGTCAAAGCTTTCCGTGTCCCGTCTTCCTTCCCTTCCCGAAACTCTTTCATCGACTGGTCAACTGGTGATATTGATACCAGATACCATACAACCTTACCTCATATCATATAACGTACCTAATATCACATGCCATATTGAACTATCCATTTACCCCCCCCATTTCTTATTAGAAGTAGCATCTCATTCAGACTCTACAAAATTAGTTGATATAACATTTCTTCTCAGTTGTTAAAATAGTGTTTGTTGCATCTGCCGACAAGTATTCTATAAACAGTTGCAGTCAAATTCTCTCCAACTATTGGTTCCCCGCGACCCTGCATACATAGACATATGTACAAGGCTATAGCGAATCATATTCAATTCCTGTGTACATCTAATTAGGATCGCAATAGCTCTTCGTAGCCTATTTCTTAGCGCATAAACTATCAGGTATCCTCCATTTGTTTTCTCTCGATCGCAATTACTAGCGATCCCTCTCTAATAAAGATACCCTTCCCCACTACGATAACTACCCAACATGGCAGCGAGACGGTCAAAGGCCTCTGCCGACGATGGTTTGAATGAGCTCTTCGAAGGGATCGATGAGAGCGTAGTAAAGAAGCCTGCTAGTAAATCTAAGCCGGCTCCCTCTAAGACTCGAGGCGAGAAGCTCAAGAAAGACATACCTGGACTTGCCGAGTTGGAGGATGAGCTTGGCGAAGAACCCGTCCGACCCCATACTCCTCGCGTCAAAGAGACATCTACCAAGGCACCTGTTAAACGAACTAGTACGGCGACCCCTCCTCCCGGTGCCCCTCGGCAATCCGAAGACAAGCCAGCCAACGTCGCACGCAAGTCCGTCGATAGTACTCGCTCCCTCCACGCAAGCTTCACCCCCAGTGCCACCAGCTCTGATCTCCAGGATGCCGAGAAGAAGGGGTCAGCCGAGGAGACAGCACCAGGTGCCGGTGGTGGTTGGTGGGGTGGACTGTTTGCTACGGCTAGCGCTACAGCAAATGCAGCCATGAAGCAAGCTGAGGCTGCATACAAGGAGATCCAACAGAATGAGGAAGCCAAGAAATGGGCTGATCAGGTTAAAGGAAACGTCGGAGCTCTGAGAGGTCTCGGTATGTATTTAAATACGGCGCCTACGTATTGAGAGTGATTTGGCCAAGAATATATTGAACTAACAACATTGCTTATAGGCGACGGTATCCGTCAGCACGCTTTGCCTACCTTCGCCAACATTTTACACACTCTTGCCCCTCCTATCTCTTCGCATGAGCGTCTACTTATCCACATCACCCACGACATCGTTGGCTACCCATCGCTTGATCCTCTTATCCACGAGGTCTTCAGCCGGGTCATGTCGCAAGTTGAGGGCGGCGACCTCCTCGTCATCCAACGCGGTCATGAGAATACCGCTCGACGATCATCAGACGCCTTCTACAAGAGTTCTTCCAACTCTGCCGGCTGGCGCGATGGTCCCTGGTGGAGGCAAGTCGACTCACCTCGCGATCTAGGTGCTGTGAAAGGTATAATCGAGGGGACTAAGCTCTGCCGCGTCAGTGCGGAGAGTTATTCCCATGACTACTTCGCGGCTAGTGGTGGCGTTTCCGAGGCGCAAAAACGTGCTCTAGAGCCCGTGAGCGAGGAAAATCCCGTGCGAACTAGTGACATCTTCCTCGCTGTCCAGCCTATTATCGTAGACGCAGACCCTGCTCTCTTCGCTGGTAGCACAGCTGGTGAGGCAGAGAAGGAACCTAGCGCCGTAGCCGACGACAGCAGCACAGACCCCCACATCTGCTTCGCCGTCTATGTCCTCGACCCGATTCATGACATCGTGTACAGCACCGTGAGTCAGTACATTCCAGCGAAATGGATTCGCTGGTTGGATGCGCCGGCACCTCTGACGCCTGCCAGCGGCGAGAGCGAGCAGCAGCTAGGTCTAGATGGGATAAACGTTCCAGACGAGATCCGGGAGATTGTAGAGAGCGGTGGCGTGGACCCGCGTGAATGGGTTGCCGAATGGGTCGAGGAGACGCTGAGCTTGAGTATCGGAGTCGTAGCCCAGCGGTATGTGGCTCGTCGGATGGGTGTTGGTGAAGGGGGGCTTGGAAAGGGGAAACAGAAGGTTGAAGAGTTGCTTCAGGGGGGTGGAGGTGAGGCGGCTAGGGCTGGGCTTATTTGATGATGGGATAGGACAAGTCTTAGTTTGCGGGATGGGAATGGAATTGGGCAGCAAGAAAGAGGTATGTAGGTAATCACCTACTTGCTATGCGGCCTATTGTCTAGTGCTGCTTTCTATGGAGTTAGCCGGGTTGAATCTAGTACTTGGTTTCTCGTCGAATTTGGAATTATGCTAGCTATCTACTTGTTGACTACCTATATATGAAGAGATGTGGTAATATGTTATGATATCAATTTTAGGGATTGTCTCGAGTGTCTTGTGTACCTACATACCTACCTATAGATGGCTTTATCCGTATAGTGATACGAATTGAATGGGCAAGTTAAACTAGGGTAGGTACTAATAGTCCTATAGAGCAAAGATTTCAATCAAAGTGTATAGCCTGTGGACAGTATAGTCTTCTTTCAATAGTTTAGGTAGTTACACGATTTTGAACTTTATCTTCAAAGTTAATACATTTCGGGAAGACCCCTATATTCCGTCAATTGAATTAAAGTAAGACATATTTATTATATTACGTACTCGTTTGAATCCAATGGGCCGCAATCAAAACACCCGGTTATTTCAGTCAAACTTATCCCGAAATACTGGCAGTAGCAACTATTTATAAGCCTCGTGGTATATATATACAACTACACCAGTTGATCTATCTCATGATCCCTATATAATACCTTCATAATAACCTCATCCTCGTTTCACCCCAAAACACAGAAGCAGGAATACTATATAGATAGCTCACTCCCTAGCAATCCTATCCCCAACCTTCTCCAAACTCCCCACAACCTTCAACTCCGCCTTCGCCGCCCTACTAGCGCCTTGCGGCTCGACGCGCTTTAGCGGGCGATACACCGGATCCCACATCTGCTCCTTGATCCACTCGTCCAGCTCCTCCTTATCCGTCGGTATGTCCTTCTCCCCCACAACGCCATCCTCCACCGCCGCAAGAATAACCTCCCTCGCAACGCGCACGCTCACCGCGCGTACGTCCTCGACCCCCGGTAACAAGGGCGCAGTATCATCCTTTAGCGCGGGACTCAGATCCGCGACGCCGTGGACGGCCGCGACGAGCATTTTGTCCGTGACCTTGGACGCGCGGGAGAGCACGGCGCCGAGGCCGATGCCGGGGAACACGACCGAGTTGTTGCACTCTGCGACTTCGATTTCGACGTCGGCGCCGTCCTTGCCCCAGGGGCCTTTCACGGGGTCGAACGGCGAGCCCGTGGCTACTAGGGCCTTGCCGTCGGTCCATTTGAGGATGTCCGCGGGGACGGCTTCGTGGAGTCTGGTGGGGTTGGATAAGGGGAGGATGACGGGGCGTTCGGTTCCTTTAGCCATTTCTTTGATGATTTCTTCGGTGAAGGACTTGGGGACCGTGGATGTCCCGATGAGCACGTTGGGGTGGATTTCTTTGATGACGGATACGAGGGAGCTTTCCTTGCCATCCCATTTGGATGCGTCTTTGGCGTAGGCCCGTTGACCGTGGTCGAGCTCGGTTTTGGTAGTCAGGAGGCCGGGCTTGTCAATCAGCCTATAGAAAGTTAAGTCTTATATTAGGCAGGTGAAATGATTAATCGATCGTTGATAAACCTTGAAACTTACCAGATTTGCTTCGCAGCCTCCTCCTTGCTGATCCCCTTCTCGGTAGCAATGGCATCTCGGACTTGATCAGCAATACCCACGCCAGCAGTTCCTGCGCCAAAGATGACCATTTTAGTATCCTGGAGTTTTTGCTTGCTGACATGCAGTCCGGCCATGATGGCAGCCAGGGTCACACACCCGGTGCCTTGGACATCATCGTTGAAGCAAGGGATTTCCGGTCTATAATGGTCTAAAATACGACGAGCTGAATCTACGCGTTAGCCGGGCACTTGTTCCTCCTACCTAAGATCACTCACCATTCGCTAACCCAAAGTCTTCAAAGTGGATATAAGCATGAGGAAACAGTTTGCGAGCGGATTGAACAAATTCGTCAACGAGCTTATCGTACTTCTCCCCTCGTTCCCGCTTCTGCCGTAGGCCGAGGTATAAATCATCATTGAGAAGGCTCTCATTATCTGTTCCACAGTCCAGCACGACGGGCAAGGTCCGGTTGGGGTGAATGCCAGCGCAGAGAGTAGTGAGAGCAAGCTTCGCAACCGAGATAAGAATCCCGCCTACGCCTTGGTCTCCTATGCCAAGGATCTCCTCGCCATCTATTTTAACACATATCAATATCATACCTACATAGCAATCGCTAATTCCGGACACATACCTGTGACAACAATGTAGTCGATATCTTCAGGTTTTCCCCATTGGGCCAAGTCATGTGAAACCCTGTCAATATCATTGATATTCAGAAAACAGCCCTCGGGTCGTCGGAATAAGCGGGAGAAGTTCTGAATTGCATCACCTTCTGTTGGTGTGTATACAATACTGAACATTTCCTTCAAGTGGTCTTGTATAAGCTATAAGTCATCAGCACGGTGATTTTTATAGTTGAGACTGAGTTTGATCTATGCGGGTTTATCGAAACAACCAAGCACTAAGACCGGGATGAGCCGCAAGATAATTTTACCTTGAAATACAAGACCGAGTTCTGCTCCTTTAATGATGTCAAGAACGTGTTCTTGGCCAAGTCATCTTGTCTAGAAGCGTACTGTTGGTATGCGCGCTCCGTTTGTTGTTCGAGAGTTTGAATGCCTGTAGGTAACAAGCCGGTGAGATTGAACTCGCGCCTCTCTTCAGATGAGTGTGCTGAGCCACGGTTGAAGTATGGTGTGTTCAATAAGACCGTTCCTGACACAGCGCATTCTATCGGACCGCTCGTGCTCAACGGGAGGTGCGAGAATTTAGATTTGGTACCGGCCGGCATCTTAGACGTGGTAGAAAACGCTACGTGATTAAGGTATTGACGCCTCAAAGATCGCAAGAATGGACGGGTAAAATACATTAAAATTTTATTAGAATGATAAGTTGCTAATAGTAAGATAAGAGCAATAAAAGGTCAGACGCCATGGCATTTGTTACACTACAGATATAAACAAGTTTTAGAAACGAGAAAAACTTCCATATACATTCAAGATTAGCATTTAAAGTGCTCATTCGTACATGTGCAGAATTTAGGTACAATAACAGGAGCGAACTGCTGTGTAATGACGTTGTCTAACGTTCCGACGAGCGGGTGACGAATTGGAATCGGTTCGGAGGGGCGGGGATCACCGTTAGGCCGAACCTAATTGGAACTAGGGCTGGGCACGGGTACGGGTTAGATAAAGAGGTAACACGAAAGCCGATATGTCGGAACGCTTGGAGCCTCGCTCATGTGGAAGACTGTAACGTAAAGCACAAGATGAGCGCGGACTATGATGGTCCATAGGAATTAATTTTATTCTTGCAGCGAATTATAGCTATACGAACGATGCAAGCACCGTCCGCCCTTATATCTCCAAGCCCTCTCAGGACCACGACGCAAGACGCATCACGGAAGAAAGATCATTCGGGTTGAAAGACTCGTAGGATGGTTCGAGTGGCTGGAGTAAGGTCTGCTGCGTCGTAAAACACTTATGATAAAATGAGAAGATACAAACCTAGTTGCCATACATCTTGCTTTCTTACATATTGATTTCTACTATCAATGAGTAGTGTCGTTGATAGTATCTTAGAATGTAGATGGTAGAGCTGAAATCGTGAGTCTAAGAAATATTGAAGAGAATTTTTAAAATGAGCGAAAGGGTCAAGCTACACATAACGCACAGACCATTATGAAAACAACATTTAGTGGGTCTGTCAGCCAGTTGCTAGATGAGTACACGGACCGGCAGAACTTACACTTATACCGTTTAATGAGCGGGTGTCTAAGATTTGTTCACCACTTCTAGATTACGAATTTACATGGCACATTAAAGATTTGCAACTATACAGACATTATGATATATTCATCTACGTATGTGCTATATATGAAATTTGAATCTACTCACCTTTCTAATTTATTCCCTGGTCTTCTGCTCATCTAACTCGACGCAAAAGCCACTCTTTCTATAGCCTCGAAGGTTCAATCTATAGTTCCTATAATTATAGCCAACCTTATCTCTTCCTACGAGTTAGACTTAATAAAGTGGCTATTAGTTTAAACCTAGTAAGAAATACACAATTATTCTCAAAGCTTTACTACCTAGCATTGACTGAAATAAATTTCTCAACAAACTTGTCCCCAAGCATCGCATGAATACGTATACGATTCAGTAATTTTGATTGCTCTTTCAAATAGTTTTACATTCAAACTACGCGAACTGTATCTGTTTAGGCCATGGCGTAGCTTCTTTGCCTTTGTGGAGCAAGTCTCCGCTTACTTGAGCCTATATAGTATAAGATTTTGGAACGGAGATACCACCTATTTGAAATACAGGCTTCAAAGCACTTACACTATCAAATCATACCAAAATATTTTGAGATAGTTAATTGATATCTTCTTAGTTCCTAATACACGGCCATTATTCCACCCACCTCACAACGCACGGTTGATAGGAGCCTATCTTGCTGAAAAGGGGCAAACTCTGACATCCTTGGGGCCTACGATGCTGATGGGCCGTTCGGGCTAGGATTCTAAGAACTGGGGTTAGATCATTTTAATGGCAATGAGGTGATTATCCTGGGTTTACGAGGCCTCTATATTCTCGACTTATAACTCCCGGCGAGGCTGTGTCAGCCTTCAGCTACGGCGCACTAGTAATATAGTCGTAAGCCTGTAGCATTGATCAGTTATTCGGCTGCTTTCTCCTCAAAGTCTAGCTTTGGTGTAATTCATAGGTTAAATATGATTGTTACCTAGGTTATATAAAATATCTTGCCCGGCGGACTGGAGCTTCGTCTCCTGGAATGTCACGTTATAGACTCGTCGGATGTCTCGTCAGCAATTGTCTCATATTCGTGACCGGTAAGCGTTCTTTGTTTAGCCTTGGTTCTAATTTTGAGACCACGGCGCTTTGTATTGATCCATAAAATTCTGATCTATAAGGGGCGATAAATGATGTCCCCACTTGCTATCTTACCCCTGACTAGCACAACACCTGTGTTAGACGATTTTATCTTCCAAAATATGCATACATCACACGGAGATATCTCTTTTAGAGCATCTTTCCGCCTAAGAACCTTATTAGATAGATAGTGCATTAGCAGCAAAACAACAGCTTCCATATAGTAGACCTCACGGTGTCTTCGGGCTTTACCCCTGACCCGAGGCGTAGTCACTACTGATCGAGTACCTACCTCTATCTACTTAGGTATATAGGATAAATTTTCTAACATGAAGGGGTATATACTTTCCCGCATTCATAGTAAATGGAATACGGAAGGAAAAAGGAAAAAGCAACAAGCAAAAATATAAATAAAAACGTACAACACCAGGGATTCGCTGGTCGTCACCGACCCAACTACTAGTCCGGCGGTATTTGGCTTGTCTAGGGGAGAGCGGACGGGATCCCGAATTTTCCAAATCCTATGGTCGTACGTGGTGTATTGGGTTGTTATTGAGACATATATCCCCTTCCCTGGTTGTTCTAAAACCTGCTGTAACAGTGCTACAGAATTAAGTAGCGATAGGCTGATGCTAGTCTAATTACTATGACATAGGTATATTTAACGTATGGTTAGTATCCCTTAGTATTAATAACCTCTAAGATGTTGTTTATGTTGCATGATACTTGGTCTAATAGTTTAGGACACTTGTCACTTGTAGCCCGCTACGGACGGGATCCGCGTGTTTCATAATATGGCTGAATTCTATCTCATCTCTATAGCTATGTTTTCACAAATACACTACTAGCGAAGCTAAAAATTGCGAATAAAGACATGGCGTCGACGGCGATATGTTAATGATGAAACTACTGACAACTCAAGATTGGTTAGCTTATAATGCCTCGTAGCCATTGCAAAGTTGTAGATGTAGTACGAAAAGCAAAGCCCGGATAACAAAAACTTCGCTATGGGCACTGGCTGATTCAGCCTGACCTTATCACCGCTAGTCATAGCATTTATAGTGGGTGGTGTTGCGTCGTATACCACCAACCCTAATATATGCTTACATAAACAAAGTACCCCTATTACCCCTATTCAACCCCGACGAGAGGTAAAACATAAGAACCGACGAGCCAACAAGACGCACAATTACAAGGAAAAAAATGTATATTTATCTTGACTCGTAACATAAGGCTAATTTGCCAAATCAAACAAATATCGCTATCGCTCTTCTCCTAGCCTAATAATTCATGCAATCCATATATATCCTAGGTATCTCAAACATGCTCCATGGCTAAGACACCTATCACTTAACTCCAATTTGCCACTTAATACACTATCCTCCAATCCATAATAGAGAAATATATATGAGGCAAAACTCTAACATCCACCTCCACCTCCACCACCACAGCCGCCGCCGCCACCTCCTCCGCCACAGCCACCTCCACCTCCACCACAGCTACCGCCGAAGCCACCACAGGCCGAACCAGAGGAGCCGCACTAGAGAAGCGTGGTGTTAGTATTCGGTCATAAATCTCAGTAGCAGAGGGAGAATGAACTAGGAAGGTTAAAACTCACACCACCGCCATTTCCACACCCTCCACTTCCACCACACCCACCACCTCCTTGTCCACAAGCTCCCGCCACACACCCTCCTTGAGCGCCCTGACCGACAGTAGCCTCGCCAGGGGCACCGGTAGGGTAGTACCCGGCGGTGAAGTACATGGGATAAAGGTACGGGCCGTACATCATATAGGGGTATCCCCAGTAGGAATTGTAATACTCTTCTCGGGGCGGGAGCTCGCGACCCTTTCTCTGGGCACGCTTCTGCGCGCGCTCGTAGTTGCGGTTGAGGTGCTGCTGGTGCGCCTCGTGTAAGCGGCGGTGCACGACTTCGCGACTAGCGTTTACGTCGGTGAATTTGACGGCGTTGTGTGCCGAAATGTGTGCGCTGCTGTCAGGGGGACAGAGCGCGGCTTTGCCAGATTTATGGAAAGTTTCAGAGACTATGGTGGAAGTTAGCTTAAAACCCAATTTCTAACGTTGTGTGAATTGTAATTATGTTAGCCTTTAGTAAGGAGAAGGATGGACGTACCCTTCTCGTTCTTCGATATGCGGAGTTTGCTGCCGAGGGAGGACACATGCGAAGCACGAATCGACTCACAGTACCAGCATGTGCACTCCGAGTAGACCTCACCGTAGGTTTCCTGATATTCCTTGCTCGTCCACTCGAAAGCTGAGGATAGCTTGTCCTCGTCAATCTTGTCGTCGTGATCAACTAGACCGTGGGTCTTCGTGTACATATACCTAGTATATATATAAGGGCTGAGCTGATGCGTGTGCCATGCCAAGTCGACGTCGAGGGTTGGAACGGCAGTTCGTGAAGGATGCAGGGCCATGATATCTACAAAGCGTTTGTATTTCTTAAGTAATCGTGACATTGTGTCCCGAGCCGCTGGACTGTGGAGCCAGTCAATCTATAGGTAGTGTAAGCCTACGACTTCACATAAAAAATTCAACCTTCAAAATATCACGGACATACCTTGTTCATCTTTTCTACAAATATGCCCTGGCGGAGAACGGCGCCACCAAGATCAAGAGCGAACGGGGAAGAGTTCCCCCAGTATCGCGACATTACTTTTCGAGTGTGTGCTTTGGCCTTTATGCCCAGACGGTAGCGTTTGGCCAAGTCACGTCCCGTAACACCCTCTATTTGCTTGATAGCACTATTATTGCTTAACGTGCGCTCAATGAGGACGCGGATATCGTCCATCGTTGGTGCCGGGTTTCTATGAGGGTTAATTAATAGCAATAGCTCGCTGCGAAGGCGGAATTTGATGATCCTGTTTGGGAATGTCCGCTCCTGTTGGCGGGCATCGCGAGCCTCTAGTGGTAGTCCCGTATCGTTTTCCAATATCGTACCGGGCATTGGGCGACCATGGGAGAGGAGCCTCTGTGAGTCTTTGACAAATTTGGCTGCCTCGAGAAACCCTCTCGTGATGGTTCTTCCGCATTTGGGACACACGTGTTTAAAGTTTCCATCTCCATAACCCTCTCCAAGAAGATCAGTGTCTTTACTAGTATATCCTTCGGGTAGTTCGCATGTTGTCCATGGTATCCTAATGGTCTTGGCGCAACTAGGACATTTGAGTACTTTAACCATTGGGTCATCAGCATTGTCCCACTTCCGACCTATAAGATGTTCCCATGCTTCCTTGCATTCGGGCGAGACGTTATAGTTGAAGTTGGTATCAATCGCATTATTAATGAGCTGCCATGGCATGCCAGCCGTCCACAAACCATTTAGGCAGTATAGTATAGAGTCCTCAAGATATGCTCTAGGGTTGAGCATGTGAGCATGCCAGACCATTAGAACATCTGCTCGAATTAGTGATGATCTTATGTACACTCATTATAGATTTGACGTACCTAAAGGCGGAAGTATGTGTTCAGCCCAATGGAGGGGTATCCCTTTGGTCGTAAACGCACCATATATTGTAGAGGCGGACTCTTCTCCGTAGTGGCCTTGCATATTTCTCTCTGTTAGGTGTTTCTTAGAAAGGCTAGCCCACCAGGTTTCGTATCGGTCCACGGCCCTTGCTACAAAAAGTGCCCATCGCTTCTCTCGAAGGCTAGCTAAACGCTTCATTGCCTCTTCTTCGAGCTTCTGTCCATTTTCGACAGCTTTAGACCTCTTATCCTGCTGTAAGAGACAACTACTATCGAAGAGACCCCAAATGCCATCTGTATAGCCGACATCCTCCTTTAAACTCTGGAAGGCAGCAAGTAGCCTGAGGTGTACAAGACAAGTATCGGGTGTTATATTAGAATTCCAAGACGATATCTCGATGGGATCAGGGGTAAAATTCATAACATGGTCGAAAGTAGCATTTAACTCTTCAGTTGGCGACGTTGGAACATGGACGGGGGTCGTTCCACCATATCCTTCACTATAGCTGGGAGGTGCTTCACTGCCCTCTCCGTCCGACAGCCCAGATATTATGTCGAGGTTGTTTGGTTTCTCCATGGTAGAATAGTAGGGTAGTACGACATAGATCAAGGTATGAGAGAAATCGGGAAATAGGAGTGATTGGTAGTAAAAGCGTAGAGCAGTGAAAGGGGATTAAATGTGGGAGTAAAAGTTGTGTTCCGCGAGCGATAACTAATACATGTTAAATACTATTCGATCATTTCCGCTTAAACTAAAATTATGGGTTTAAAATCATAGTTTAAAGATCATAGTACTAGAATAGATTTACGAGATGCGAAGCGTTTCAGGGGGGACATTACTCAAAGTTAAATAGGCGGTGGTCGGTTGGTGGCTTAAGTTTTTGTACTGCATTTTCTCGCAGGATTCTACTTAAATGAATACCGATTTTGCTCCCGTAGACTCACCTTTCCACGCTAATGCGCACAGCAGCGCGAGGCGTTCTGCATTTAATAAAGCTTATCAAACATGAGTTGGGGTATTTGACCATGTACTTACTTCTCGAATTTCTCTGAGCTAAGAATTCTAGGTACTTACGTATACCTACCTATGTACAGATAAAGTACAGGTAAAGCACAGCTGAGTGTAAGTACAGCTATGAAAAATGTGATTGGTAGAATTATCCGGTAGCTCTTACGAGATGACGCGTGGTGGTTACACAAAATATATTACGTAAGGATATTGAGGAACAGTACTTAGACCCTGTGACTTTCTGACCCAGCGGTTCGTTAACGACCCGTCTAAAAAGCTTAAAAAACATTCCTTTAGTTTATGTTGTCCCTATATCGACGTAGCTTTAAGAGGTATTCTAAAGATTATGACGTTTAATTTCACTTTCTATTACTATTTTCTATTGAGACTTTCTTTCTAGATACGTCACTTGACGCAGGCTTAAATATTTAAGGGTTTCGCGCAACTATTCGAGTGATCAGTGATTACATAGGTACCTAGGTACCTAAATGTACCCTCCACAGTACCCCGGAATGTAGAATACATCACTCCGGGGTTGTGGGGGATCCTTCGAAAGCTTCTGTGTAACTTCTAGCCCATAAATTTTCACCTCTAAAAAAAAAAAAAAAAAAAACCATCCATATTTCGTAGGATTTTAAGCGCATCTTTAATTTGGCTTGGCAAGACAAAACAAGCTTCCATGCTTTGGAATGCGAATGCGACACCATTTTTCCTTGAAACAATATGAGGTTATGATTACTGCAGACTGCAGACTGCAATGATACCATCGATCATAATGTCTCGTCCCATCCCGCCTTGTCTTGCCGCGGAAGTTTCTCATCCTGGATCGACGCTAGCGGCCTGACAGAATATTTAAGTACCTAACTATATGTAGCTAAAAAATGATTACTAGCAATTTTGTCGATCTACGGTCGATAAAACTAAAGTATGAAATATGAAAAAAACGCTTTGAGACCTAATCGGTCACTATCCTTACGAAGCTAGACGTTTAGCCCGACGGATCTCGGTAACGCAAATACGAAATCTTCATGCATAATATGTCGGTAATTAGTATTAGCCTATCGGTTTTACAGCTCTAACAAATAGTAGAAATATTAAGGATATAATGGTATCGATACAAGATATTCGAACAGTGTTATAAGTTAAAACACTTTTATTAAAACCATTTTAATAAAAACCATTTTAAATTTTTAAACTTTTAAAATAAATATATTTATTTTAAATTAATAATATTTAATTAAATTAAATTTAATTAATTTATAATTTATTATATTTTAATAATAATATAATTTTTTATTATAAATTTAATTAATAAAACTTTATTTTTAAAATTAACGTTAAAATTATTAATTATAATTGTATTATTTAATTTTTAAACTTTCAATTATTTTTTCTTTTTTATAATAATTTTAATATTTATAAACGTTAAATTAAAATTTAATAATATTTTATGTTATTTTTACAATTTTGTTTAAATTAATATTTTTTTTAAATAATTGGTATAAATTTTTATTATTATTAATTTTATAATAACGTTATTAAAGGTTTTATTAATTTTTTTAAATAAAAGTTTTATTATGGGTTTAAAAAATGTTATATTAATTTCGGTTAATTTTTTTATTAAAATATTAAGGTTTTATGAATTTAAAGGCGTTTTTAAAAATATCGAGGCTATTTTTTTAATAAAATTAAACTTTTTAAAGTTAATAATTAAGTTTATAATTATTGGGGTAATAATTTAAGCCTTTTAAATTATAAATTAATAATTTAAAACTTTATTATAATCTTTAAAATAAATTTTTATAATTTTTTTATTAACTAATATATTACTTTTAATTAAACATTTTTTTTATATTATTTAATAAACTATAATAAATTTCTTTTTATTAGGAATAAAGGTATAATATAACTAATATATTTTAATAAGTTTTTAATAATAGTTTTATTTTATTAACGAAAATATATTCACGTTAATAACTTATAAAATATAAAATAAATGTATTAAAATAAAAATAATATAAATTTTATTTATAAAACATTTTTAAAAGAATTTTATTATAATATAATTATTATAATTATTAAAAATTAATAAATGCCATTATTAAAAATTTAAAAGTTTTATTTTTTGTAAAAAAACTTTATAAAATTATTTTAAAATAATATTATTATTAGTTTAATTATTAAAAAATGTAATAAAATGTTAGTTTTTAAATCTAATATTATCTTTGTTAAAAAATTACTATTATTATATATATTTATTTATATATATAATAAAAAAATTTAAAAATTTACCGTTATTATTAATACATTTAATAATTAACGTTTAAATTTTATTACCATAATTTTTAACAATAATATATTTTTTATAAACTTTTTTAATAATTATTCTATTATTTTTAATCTTTTTTATTATCTTTATTTCGTTTACGTTATAAATATATATAATAAAAATATTAATAATATAAAAAATTTTAAATTAATTAAAAAATATATTAATATTATTAATTATAATGCCGTTAACATATTTATAATCAATTAAATAAATTTTAATTAATTTAATATTAAAATAATAAATTAAAAATTATATATACCAATATTTATTAAAAATATTAAACTAATAATTATAAATTAATAATCTTTTTATAATATTTTTAAATTAATATAAAAACGGTATATAATTAATATAATTTAACGTAATAACCTATTAAATTAATTTTTTTTTTAATATTTTAATAGTTTTTAACGTTTTTTTAAATACTTTTTTCGTAATTTATAACCTAATATTCAATTTGTAAAGTAATATTTTAAAATAAAATAATTTTTAAATGTTTATTATAAAAATATACCTTTAAAAACGTTATTTATTACCGTAACGTAACACAATTAAACTAAAAAAATAAATATTTTAAAATCTTTAAAAAATAAAGAATTAAATAATATATTTTATTTTTTAATAGATTAAATACTGGTAAAATTATATAATAATTTATATATAAACCTCATTGCAAACGCGTCGCAATTTTGAAGTAGCCCCCACTAGGGTGGCCCCAGTAAGGGTGCTTTGACTTATTCTCCTATCAGTACACACGTAAGGTACTCATTTGAAACCTCGAGGTTGTGCAACATTAGCGGGACCGCCCGACGGTTGGGGATGGGTCATGTCATACCAATGCTTGAGATAGTTGATAGTTCGATTAGAATTAAAAGATACTAACCCAGCAATTTTAGTGGTAACTTTAAGCTGGCTTACAGGATTTAGAGCACTAGTCATAACACCACCACAGCCACGGAAATAACATCCAAGCCACGATAGCACAAGCATATCACATAAGGAGGAAAACTTGTCTTGAGACAGGTTCGATTAGCGTAATCTACATCCTGTCTAAATAACCAATCCTATCAATACATTGAACCACCCACCAGCCCTCATCAATGTACTGATCTCCCAAAAAAAATCCGTGTCGAAGCATTGAGCCACCCACCAACCCTCATCAATGCAGTAACTTAAGTACTCCGTAAACCAGTATATCCATCGTTGTCGTTGTTATTTCTCAAAAAACAAAATCCTTCCAAAATACATGACCAAATTCCAACGCTGTGCCATAGTAGACACTATATAATATCACCAAATACATGCGAAAACAAAAAGCAGCCTTATTAATTCAGTAGGGTCCGCGATAGTCCAACCTCCCTCCTTATATCGCGGACCATTATCCAAGCAAAACCCAGTAGATATCCCGTAAGTAATTCCAAAAAAGGTGCCCAGCCGCCAAGCTCTTCCTGTTAGTTAGTATTGTCGGATCAGAGAGTTGGTCGGCGCTGTCTTGGTTGATGCTCTTGTGTGGCCCCAAAGTTGTGCACAGAATGTCGACGTCGCAGTAGGGGGCATCGGCACTGGGGACAGGCGGCTTGGCAGCTGGGAGGACAAGGACAAGATATGTTTGCTATTATGTCCTCGACTATCTCGTCGATGGGTTTATCCCAGGGATAGTCGAACATGTCGCCCTCGCATTTGACGCTGTCGTTATCAGCGTCGCCTTTGGTGCTGTCGGCGTAGGTTTCATCGTCCGTAAGATGCTGATAGTCCGAAAATTCATCACATCCTGAAGTGTCGCCTGTCGAAAAAGTTGAAGACCCCGAAGAAATCGAAGGCGTATCATCCGAAGGGCAACCCGGCATATACACGTCCGGTTGATCTGGATCGTCCGGAGGATCTGAGTCGTCCGAGAAGGAGGAATCGGAAGACTCTGAAGAATCCCAGTCATAGGAAGTCGAAGAATCATATGGGGACGGGGAATCCGAAAACACGGAAGAACCCGAAGAAGAAGACGAGTCTGAAGAAGAGGAATCTTCTTCAGAAGAATCCGGAAGCGAGTCTAGTGCGTGGTTTATAGAATCTAGAATGTCTTGCAGACATTTTCTAGCTTCGACAACCAGCCGATATAAATTTTCATCGGCACCAGGAGGAACAGGGCTCGTAGCCACCGGCAGCAATACCAACCTGCTATCCGGAGTGATATTTTGTGGTGTGGGGCTGTAGTCGGATTCGTTGAGGATGATGTTGTTAT